ATGGTCACATCTCAACCTGATTTCCCTAGCTGCTCAGGGAATGTCATTCCTGCATTGAAAGGAATGTCTTGATTATCAGATGAACGATCCCAATTTCTGCAAGATGATCCGCATGAAAAGGACTCTTTGCCATAAATACAAGCAGGCAAAGAATGGCATCGCCAAAAGTGAAAAGGCTTTCAACAACAGACTTGATGAAGCAGCACCTGCAGCTTCAAAGAAGGAATGGTTAGCCAGTGAGAGGATCACTCAGTCCAGCAGAATAAATGATCCTGCGGCAATGGATTATATAGGAGATTAATATCAAGAAGGGTAAGTTGACTTTGGCTACATCGAAGTCAGAATTGATTGTTGCACTCAGCACCAAGCAAAAAGGAGTTTGAGCTTAGACTGCTGGAGGAGGGTATGCCCATAATGCAGCACCTGCTTGCAGATCAGTGGCAACATGGATATCAATGGGGTTGGCAATTGGAAGAGGCTCAAATTGCATTGGTTGTCGAGCTCTGAAGAATTGGAAGAAGAACTACAGAGACACAGAGATTAGACATTGCCCAGCAACACAATCATCTCCAAGGCCAGATAGATGGATTCACTCAGTCTGCTCTTATGCATCTGGGAGAGGGATTTGATGCAGACAATGATCCTGATGACTTGAATGTAGACATTCTTGATGATCTTGACGATGACCTGGCAGATTTCACTGACATATCTGATACATGGGCAAACTCCCCCAAGCTCACTGTCATCCCATTGCCATCAAACCTTGGGGTAGATCGAAGCAGATGCTGTATGGCAGAGGATCTGATTCCACTGCAGATGTCACTTTGTGAAGGGCAGGCCAATGATGCCCTTCACAACCTCCGGATTCACTTGTGCAACAAGGCGATCCTGTTCCGAACAACAGTCAGGCAGGCCAAATCTCAAGCCCTAAAAACTTGAGCTTGGTCCCAGGTGACATCAGTACAGCAGGCAGTGTCCCTCCATGCCAGTATATATACAAAGACCCAGAAGCAAATGATGCAACTCAAGCCAGGGCAAGACCAGCTTCAGACATACAAACCACTGCTTCGGGAGCAGCTCAAAATCAGCACTGCCATCAGCAATCCAAATGCCCGAGGTCAGTGGAACGAGTCCCTTGCTTGGTTCTGGTCCGTCAATGTGGACCTGGGGGGTCCAGATCACTTGTGGAATGAGGAATGTGAGTTCAGGCATGCTTGATGTATCCCATGCTCAGCTGATGGGACCCATCTGAAGTTTACTGAGTTCATTGGCTTTGGGCAAAGGCCCTACAGGATCAATGGAAGGAAGAAATGACATTGGTCCAATTGGAGATGGATTGGACATGCAACTTTTTCTGGTGGAAAGCAACCCAATGGGGCGACAGGATGTGGGAATCATTGGTGAAACACCTTCCAGGCCATTCATGCTACTCAGGAAGGCAATCCCAAATGTATTCATTACTGGCACAGGATGCCCAGGCAGCATTTGAAGACCTGCAGAGCGGGTTCATAGACACCTGAGATGAATGAACTTTTTTGCCAATGATATGAAACAGCTACTTCGACCCAAACATTTGAGTCTCGGGACATGCCCGGATGAACAAACATTGGAGTTTGAAAATTTTATCCATCCACTGGTGGCTCATATCTTCACATCCGAACCAACTGGCATTGTGATTGTGATTTCCAGCTTCATACTCCTGCATTAGCCATGCCTGTATTGCAAACTCCTCCTGCATCCCCTTCTGATGCCATGGATTCCAGCAATGAATACTGACCTCTCACACTCAGTCTTGCAGATATTGCAGCCACAATGTCAATGGCTGCATCACACATCCGAGCAGTGATCTCCCAATATCAGACGGAGGCTGCCAACACCAAGGAGCCTTCCACTGCTCGGATCATGCACTTTAAAGCTGGGCTGCAATGGGAGATCACTGTAAGAGACTGATGACTGCAGTGGTCAATGCTGAGATTTCCAACAGACTTTTGTGACACCCATCCTGCAGTACTTGGCTGCAAGGCACATCATCTCAGTCATTCCAAACCTGGTCACCCATATTCTTCAGTTGTTTCCCCAGCTCACCTGGAACATGGTTCCAGACCACATCTTTTCATCCCACTTATGTCTCTTTCATGATGTCACAGATCCAGGAGATCCCTCCAGGATTATATCCAGCTATGATACTGCATGGTGGATCGGAGACACTGCAATCCTGGACGAATTATGGCAATGGGACCAGGTAATGGGTTGCTGTGTCTTTCACTACCAGCATTGGCTAGTAAGAACTATGAACAATTTCCTCGAGTGATGATTAATCTGTTCTAGGGTGGTGTTGAGGATGATGGTCTGATTCTTCCTGAGGAGGTGGATAACACCTTGGTTCCATCACTGATGGGACTGAGGTGGCTTAGAGAATGCCTCCGGACATTGGTTGAGGAGCAAGAAGAGGGCATCAGTGAAAAGATGGCAGAGATTGATGTGTACACTGGCATCCTGACCAGATTGAAGAGAGGCAGAGGAGAGTAGTGCTAGTCCTTGAGTTCAGAATGTTGATGTCCAAACTCCATGAAATGACATACAGTCTTCCAAATATCTAACCTAACATTATGTGCCAAGTCCTGAATACTGAATATCAAGTATTGAGTACAGACAATTGTATATCACGTTGTGAATGTGGACTCCTGAATATTGAGACCCAAATGGTGAATATTGAGTATCAAGTATTGAGATTCAGATATCAAGACTTGACTATCAAATATCGAGTCCCCAATACCGAGTCCCCAATATTGAGTACAGAGTTCACAATACCAAGTCCTGAACATGGACTACCGAATCTTGAGACCCAACCATCGAATATCGAGTTCTGAATACTGAATACTGAATACCAAATACCAAATACCAAATACTGACTACCAAATACTGAGTCCCTAATATTGTGATAGTGGACATTTGGAATTCAACATTCCATAGTCAGATCTCAAATATCAACACCTGATACCAAATACTGAATACTGAATACCAAATCTCGAGACCCAACCATTGAATATTGAGTTCTGAATACCGAAAACCAAATACCAAATATTGACTACTGAATACTGAGTCCCTAATATCGTGATAGTGGACATTCAGAACTCAATATTTGGAATTCAACATTCCATAGTTGGGTCTCAAATATCAACACCTAAATACCAAATACCAAATACTGAGTCCCTCATATCAACCCCTGAATACTGAATACCGAGTCCTGACTAGCAAGTATCAACTATCAAAACCCAACTCAATATTTAGGTGTCAATATTAGGGACTCAGTATTTGGTATTTGGTATTTGGGGGTTGATATGAGGGACTCGGTATTTGGTATTTGGTATTTGGGGGTTGATATGTGAGACTTGGTATTTGGTATTTGGTATTTGGCATTTGGGTGTTGATATTTGAGACCCGACTATGGAATGTCAAATTCTGAATATCGAGTTCCGAATGTCCACTATCGAGTATCAAGTATCAAATATTGACCATCAAGTCTTGAGTTCTGGATATTGAGGCCTGAATATTCCAGATCCTGATATCTAATATCTGGTATTTGACAGTACATGCTAACATGGGTAACTACACTTTCCACTTCTTTCATCTTTCACTGTTTGTAATCCACCCTAGCCCATCCACACAACAGAACCCTGGCATAAACATGAATGGAATCCCTTATATACCATGCCCAAGCAATCTGATCTCCTTCCACTGCATGAACCCCATGTCTCACAATCCTTCCGGAAAATGCAATCATGCAACCCGGATCATACCTGAACTCCAGCTGAAGGCTTGGCATGCTCATCTGAGCATTAGAATAATTCCCCATGGTAGTGAGAATGTCGAAGCATTCAGGAATAGATAAATGGTCTCGATGATTGGGGGTTTCCCGATTGGAAATGATGGACAGGCTGTTAAACATGGATGCCCAGTACTGGAGAGTCTCTGACATCTTCTGCAGTTCCTTGCTTTCTGCCTTTTCTCCGAAGCTTGAAAAGCCTTGCAAACCTGCCCAGTACTGCTCAGGATGCATCACCCTGAGTGCTGCTGTTGCAATGGCTGCTGGCCTCACAATTGCTTTGAGGATCTTCTTGGAGGATGCCCCCTTCAATGATGCAGATACCTCCAGATCTGACTGATTCTAGGGGATTCATGAGTTTGACTACCAAAATCGCCATTGCATCAGATCCTACCTTGTGCCCCTGTTGAAACCATGCTGGAGACAAATTGATGCATCCAGGAGTTAAGACATCATTTTCCAAGCTTGGTTTGAACCACTCTTGATTAGTTCACCAATTGCCGTCAAGCTTGATGCTTTTTTCGAGGATTGGAGCAAGCAAATCAGAGGCTGCCCAAATTTCCTTCTGTGGGCACCATTTGATGTTCAATATCCATCGAGTAACAATATATATTACACACCTGGGTGGCATCGGTCAGGGCATCTGGGACATACCATGCGATGATGGCACTGGATGCATCAAGAATTGTCATGGGTATCTCCACCAACTTTGTGCCCTCATGGCCAGGAGGACACCTCTCAAGCAACTTCTCCTCTCTCTCTTCATTATGCCTGGTGTCCTTTGGGGAGATCACTTTGCTGTATTTTGCAACATCGATCTGCATCTGAAGTGTGATGAAGCAATTTGACTGATAAAACAAATTTTCTGAGTCCACAGGAAGACCCACTGGGATTTTTATATGCCTTTATCAGGTGATCAACCAATCGATCACAAGCTATCGCCAGATCAGTGTCTAGGTTCAGAGAAGGTATAACTGGGTCTCCTCCTGTCTTCTCTGCATTGAATTTCTGTTCAGTATATTCACATGCCTCGTGAGTGACAGTCAGGGCCCAAGTGTGCCAGAGGGTTATTTCAATATTGGAAGTGGAAGAAACAGTCATGATAGAATTGATCTGGGGAAATCAGACACCAAACCCTGCATGTCCACACTTTGGAGTTAAAGGGGGTGGAGATAGTGAGGATCAGATAAGGGAGCCTGGCATGATGTTATTTTCCAAAGATGTGTTATCGTCCATTGCTCAATGAAATACCAGATGATTGGAAGTGTGCTGGATACCAGATATTTGTTTGTTGAGACCTGGGCCTCAGATCTCAGTACCCTTTACTTGATGTTTGGTAGTCGGAACTTGGCTTCTTGTAGGGCAATGCATGCTGTGTGCATTAGCTACTCGGTAGTCAGTGCTGCATGTTCACATCTCTACTGGGTGCTCAATTTTCTGGCACTTGTGACCTTCATCATTAGATGACTTTGAATTATTACCTCCTTTGATTTGGATGATATACAACTACCTACAAAACTCATACATTTTTACAACTTCCGAGTTTCGGGTTTCAATGTTCGGGGTTCGATGTTTGGGCTTCGGGACTCAGTACTCAGTGATTCAAGTTTCGAAAATTGTTTTGATGTTTGAGTTTCGAGTTTCAGGTTTCAGGTGTCAGGTTTATGTTTATGTGTGATAACTACCTAGCCCCACCTGTCAATATAATATATATCACTACCTCAGCCTATATGTCCATATGTCCATATAATATACAAATACCTTGGCCCTTACATCTATGGACCGTCTTCCGAGGTATCACTGGATTCTGAGTCAACAGGATGCTTGGCTGTACACATACCTCAGCCCTTACATCTATGGACTGTCTTCTGAGGTATTGCTAGATTCCAAGTTGATGGGGCACTTGGCTGTGTTGACTTTGATTGACATTGACAGGATCTGAGTCTGAATGTTATTCATGACTTGGATCAAAACTAGTGCAACAGCATTGCTCATATGTCCATATAGTATACCAATACCTCAGCCCATACATCTAAATGATATGTATCTGGGCCCACCCATCTATATGACATCCCCCTATGTCGGCCCACCCACCTATGTAATATACCCTATGTTGGCCCACCCATCTATGTAATATACCCCTATGTCGGCCCACCCATCTATATAATACATATTTCACTGCCCCATCAGTCCACCCATCTATCTAATATACCCCCACCTTGGCCCACCTGTATATATAATAAGTATTTCACCGCCCCATCGGCCCACCCATCTACAAAATAATACTAATACATTGGCCCACCTGTCTATATAATATCTGCCATACATCTCTCTTCAGCCCAGCTGTCTATCATATATGTCTATCCTACTCTACATATTGCCCAGATGGGCCCACCCATCTCCATTGGTAATAATATTTCTCCCAGCCCATCCACCATCATTGAAGATATTTATAACATGGGCATAGATGGGCCCACCATCCCCATCAGAAATAATATCCCTCCTGGCCCATCCATCATAGTTGGGGATATTTTTACCTTCGGCCCATGGTCCACTGGCCTGTATTATATGGGATATTATGCATGTCCATTTACTTGTATAATACGGAGATAGGTCACTGCAATATGTGTGGTGAGAACTCAGAAGCCTGAGTGTACAGGAACTTCTTGCTTGGAGCTGTCAATGAAGTGACCTATGTGGGAATTGGATGTTGACCCTTCTGTTCTGAGGTTTGTGACTGAGTCTCATCTGGAAGGTGCATCCTGACTGTTCAGACTTGGGTCACCATATCAGATCTGGACTCAGAGTCATCGATAGCCTCAAGTTGATGTTGATACTAACCAGTCCATAGTAAGTGACAGTTTGATGACAAAATGATTATCCACCAGGAGTCTGACAAGTTAGCAGATCCCTCAGACAGGCTGGCCACTGCTTTGATTATTGATTGTCAGCCTGAGCTTCTGAAACAGTTCTGAACCTGGTCACAGTATCATTGTCATTCAAGGTGTGCCAGTGAGTCAAGACACTTACTGGTAGTAGCAGCTTGCCCAGCCTGATCGAATGATTAGTTAGACTACCACTTCCAAAAGTTGAGACTTCCAAGTCTTGAACAGGAATGATTTTGAGTTGGAAGCTTTGGTTTGAACCTTGTGTGTGGTGGCAGGCTCACTGCAAGTCTCCAAGTAGAACTTCCTAGTGACCACATGCCATCATCAGTGAATTGATGAACAGTGTACTAGAAGGTGCACTATGGATCCATCCATTTAATGATGGATGTGTCCATCCTCACTCAACTAATCTTATCCACCAGTCATGATCATGTCAGTACTTGGCCTTTGAATTGAATTTCAAGCCACTAACAAAACTGGCAGATGGTCATGAAATCACCACACCTTGGGCAGACCCACTTCCTCAACTTGAATGTCTTTCAACATGAGAGACAACTTGGACTCAGGGGTTAGTCACAGTACCCACACCCCTCAACACATCATAGCATATCATGGCAGTGATGACTGATACCCATACACTCCTAATCTTGCTGGGCACTTTAGTAATCCCCACGTCCTGAGTACTAGTAAGTCCCAGGTTGTCATGTTAGTCCTTTCTGACACAAGTTTATTTAGAATCCCATCAGATGACAGCTATTGAACAAACACCTCTAATCTGCCCTACCACGAGCCCCAGGCATCATACGATCATATTAACCCTCAGCATGTTGACTTGGGGCCCCATTCAAACCCCCACAATCAACAGGTAGATCAGTTGTCCTTTATTCACTTGAATACAGTGGCTCAAAAAACTGTCCACATGTTTTTGCATTTTTTACTATTTACAATATTGTGTGAGAATACATAAAGACCTCAGTGACATGCTGATACCATATCGTAGTGCTGCTTCAGGGCTTTGGATTAAGCACCACATTGTGAGAATCAGAGGAGATATGGTGGAGATACAAGGCTAACAAAATCATGACTCATGCAGACAGTTTTTTGAGCACATATTAAAACTATATAAATCATCATTTATGACACCATAACAATCATGCCACCATTAAATAAATTATAAAGTGGTGTCATTATGTCATTTCAAAACCATATCTAACTATACAAACCAAAAATTTCCATATGTCATGGTTATATTCACCATGAAAGCCACCCCCCCTGCTCAAAGGGATAATATCCTCTCTCTTTCCTATTCTGGCCTCTCTGCTTGTCAAATTTCCTCTAGAACTGGAGTATCCAAGTCCACTGTGGCCAAGTTCATCAAAGAAAGTCACACAGACAAGGAAAACTTCTGTGAAGGGCATCCATCCAAGCTCACCTCTACTGATAGGAGGGCTATTATTCAACATATCACTACAGGAAAGGCTGATAATGCTGTCCAGGTCACCTATTACATCAATTCCACCATCACATTCCCTGTCTCTTCACACACTGTGAGAAACATTCTCAAGACAGCTCATCTCAGGTCAGTAACAAGGAAGAAAAGGCTCTCCTCTCTATCACATATATGCAGAGAGGACTAGCACCCTTCTTTTTTCACATATATACCTTGCCATCTGACCCAATCCTATTTATTGTGGTCTTACATGATCATATAACATGCTTCCATTCCATGTAATCCAATTCTGATGGGCTAAGGCAGAGGTTAGTCATCTCTGTTTATGTGTGATAGAGAGGAGAGCCTTTTCTTCCTTGTTACTGACCTGAGATGAGCTGTCTTGAGAATGTTTCTCACAGTGTGTGAAGAGACAGGGAATGTGATGGTGGAATTGATGTAATAGGTGACCTGGACAGCATTATCAGCCTTTCCTGTAGTGATATGTTGAATAATAGCCCTCCTATCAGTAGAGGTGAGCTTGGATGGATGCCCTTCACAGAAGTTTTCCTTGTCTGTGTGACTTTCTTTGATGAACTTGGCCACAGTGGACTTGGATACTCCAGTTCTAGAGGAAATTTGACAAGCAGAGAGGCCAGAATAGGAAAGAGAGAGGATATTATCCCTTTGAGCAGGGGGGGTGGCTTTCATGGTGAATATAACCATGACATATGGAAATTTTTGGTTTGTATAGTTAGATATGGTTTTGAAATGACATAATGACACCACTTTATAATTTATTTAATGGTGGCATGATTGTTATGGTGTCATAAATGATGATTTATATAGTTTTAATATGTGCTCAAAAAACTGTCTGCATGAGTCATGATTTTGTAAGCCTTGTATCTCCACCATATCTCCTCTGATTCTCACAATGTGGTGCTTAATCCAAAGCCCTGAAGCAGCACTACGATATGGTATCAGCATGTCACTGAGGTCTTTATGTATTCTCACACAATATTGTAAATAGTAAAAAATGCAAAAACATGTGGACAGTTTTTTGAGCCACTGTATGCCAGGTACAGCACACCCTCAGACCTATCACTTGGCTGACTCGGAGCCCATTGCCCCCCCTCACCATCAGTACACAAACCAGTCATCGCAAGTGACTTACATTGACCTGGGACTGCACATGAACCACCATGGCCAGTACATCAACCAGGCACCATCTCATGTCACCTCCCAGAATGTTGCATATCCTCAAAGCTCACATCACTTGACCAACATGAGCTCCAACAATCAGGTCATCAATCATTCCAATGTCTACAATACCTTTCCTGGCCCTGACCAAGTTGCATCGGTCCTGCAGGCAGCTCATCATCCACTTAACCATGATTTAGTAGACTACCATTACCATGTTGGCAATGCCTACTATCATGCTCCCCATCCTGAAATATTTCACAAACAACCTGTCCCACTACCTTCGAGTCATTCACATGATTGGATGCATGGTTTGTTTGATGTATGTGAGGCCAGTGACCAATTTGAGGGGGGGCTTTCAGTGGATTCACAGCCTGCCAGAAATCATCATGATTTTAACTGCCTGTGCTACCACCAAACTTCCAGTTGGCACACACTGTATACCACATCTAGCAGATCCAACAATCCCACTCCTCACAATGTTGAGCACAGTGAAGTCTCATATCACAGTGCAGCACAGAGTGTGCTGCCTCCTGTGCCAGATGCTCCAGGTCAGCCTGTGGCCCTGGTTGTGCCACCTCCCATACCAACAAAACTGCCACTCCCTGCCCCAACAACACTGCCTCCTGCACCAGCTACTGTGCTGTTGGCATCATCTCAATTCATCCTCATCCTCTTTGGTCTTGAAGACCTATCAAAGGTCAAATCTGCAGCATTATTTTGAATGAAATGCAATATCTTCTCTAACTGTTTCTTTGTGGACACAACCACCATCAAGGCATTGGCACAAAAGTCCATGGATGCCATCACATCAGGCAATGGTAAGCTTTTGAAACTTTTGGCTTAGGAACTATCACTAATGGCATGGAGTGTAGTTGAGCTTGTCACTTGGTCCAAGATGGCAGATGGTCAATTGGAGGTGGAAAAACTCTGTAAACCCTTGGGGATGATAAAAACAAATATTCAATTCCTCAGCCATAGTGCGGTTCTATGGGGATATAACATCCACTATGCATTGATGATGGAACCTCCAAAGGAAGTGAAAAAACTCATCAGTGGGCTCATCAAAGATAATTTCTTCATATATGGCATCATAAATGCTAGTCATCACTTTCCCTTTCTCATGTGTGATTGCTTACATTTGGTGATCTGAGTCTGCTGAGGAACGAAGCTGACAAAGAAGTTAGTCTATGCGCAAATTAAGTGAGGTGGCACAACACCTTTTTGCTTCTGCCACCTCGCATTTCTCGTCTACTTGAGCTCTAGCTTCTTGATCCAAGTATTTTGCATTAAGTTACAGTTCAATTATGTTACAAGAAAACCCTAACTTGGCTGTCCAACTGGATTTCACCTTGCAAGAACATCAATTAGCACGCCAGCAGCTTGTCGATGGAGGATTCACCGATGATCAAGTGGCCCATTCACTAGCAGCGTTATGGACATTAGCTAACAATGCAGACAAGGAATGATGGAACCTCAGGCAGGAGCGCTTGCAAGAAGCAAGAGAGTGGGAAGAGGAGGAAGAAGAGCAATGCCAACAAGTGCGCCAAGAAGAGGCAGAGGCAGCACGTCTAGAGGACAGAAAAAAGAACAAGAATAAGTATGCGCCACTTGTGCACAGAAAAGTTCCCTCTGACCCTACCATATTACCGGCTTAATACGCCACGCGAAAGCTCAGAGCCGGAGATTATTGTGAGCTTCACTATTTCATGAACAGAGGCTTAGAGGACGCCAAACTGGCCACTCTAGTAGCAGAACCAGATGCTATGGTTATGCTTCCTTCCTCGGAAGGGCTACATTTGTGGATCCCGGCTGCAGCAGTCAAGGATCCAAAGGCAGTGCCAATCGTTAGAGATGAGCACCTCTCCTGGGAGGAGTTTAATGAAGCTGCACCTCGCATGGTCACCTCGATGCGACAACATGACTGGCCTGAGGAGAGAGTCGAAATGCACATACAATTTTGGTATGCCCTTCAGGCACACAGATAGCGACACTCTCCGGACCTGCTCAAGCAAAAAGTGCTCCTCCTCTACCAATCCCAGCAGTGCCACCATTGGCACCAGAGCATAGGGACGGCAAAGAGTTGGAGCCTCGAGGAGCTCAACAATGACTTGATTCTCGAAGCTCGAGAAGAGCTTTTCAATGAGAAACATGAAAGGGAGACGAAGATAGCTATACAGCAAGTGGCAGCGGCATACCTCTCCAGTCAAACCCAGCAATCTGCATCATCGCAGAAGCGCCCCTTCACCCCAGCTGAGGACATGCAAACTGGTAACCAAGCCAGTAACAAGAAGGTATGGACAGTACATCCCTTCACGGCTACAGGTCCATTACCTTGCTGTGCAGTTTGTCTTGGCCACAATCCACACCGTACCATCGAATGCACTGCCACCCAGACGTGGGACAAACAGTTTGACACGTTCTCGGAGTGCATATGCAAAGGACTATGGACCAAAGACAGGAAGCAATTGTGTACTGGGTGGCAATGAGAAGAAGGTTGCATGACCCCCAAGCACAATGCCCGACACTTCTGTTCAGGGTGCGGAGCTACCACTCATGGTGCCCAGAAGTGTCCTAGAGCTCAGAAAGCAGGTACCACTGACTCCATACAAAGCTGAAGTATGGGCACATGAGCTTCATCGCGCAGGAGTCATTGAGCATTTTATTAATATACCAGATGGACTCCATTTAGGATTCAAAATAGACTTCCCTTCTATTTCAATTGTACAGACCCCTCCAAATAAAGAATCGATTGCTGAGTACAGGGTCGAATTCAATAGCATCATCCAAAAGGAATTGGACAAAGGGCGATACATTGGGCCACTCACAGCTGACACATTAGAAAAGCTAATAGGACCTTTCCAATCCTCGCCGATGTCTATTATTCCAAAACCAGGCAAACCTGGCAAATTCAGAGTCATACAGAATTTCTCATTCCCACTGTCCCTGAGCACCCCCCATCCAAACCCCTCGATAAACTCCTACATTAATGCCCAAGATTTCCTGACAACTTGGGGCAAATTTTCAATCATATATAACCTAATAGCACACCTACCCCCAGGTTCAGAAGCAGCAATGAGAGATGTAGTGGAAGCATACCAAATGATTCCATTACATCCATCCCAATGGCCAGCAGGAGTGATACAAGTCTCGGAAACACAATTCTGCATAGATACGTGCACAGCATTTGGAGCTACCCCATCAGCAGGGGTCTATGGACATGTTGCTGATGCTGGAGCTGAAATTTTCTGGAACAATGGAATCGGGCCTTTAGACAAATGGGTAGATGATCATTTATTCATCAGAATCAGATGGGAATTCCTAGCAGAATATAACGAATGGAGGAAGCAATGGAACCAAACATTCGCAAAAGAAGGAATGCGCCAAACAGGTGGATGCATCTGGTTCGGAGAACTGCACCATGAAATGGGCAGACTAGAAGAGTCCAACAAAGACTGCTTGAAACCACTGAAGGACTTGTCAAACAACTCACCAAGATCAGATCACGACAGACTCTTCACTTTCAGCTTATGTGACATAGACGCCCTATCGGAAGACTTAGGCATTATATGGGAACTGCTAAAGGATCAACCGTTCGCACCATCCACAATATACACAGGTTTTTCCTGGGATGTTCAGCTCAAAACAGTATCATTGAGTGCGGCCAAAGTAGACAAATATCTCGCAGCAATACACAAATGGTGCAAGCGGCATGCACACACCTTGCACGATGTACAAGAACTGTACAGAAAATTATTACATGCATGTGAAGCGACTCCCCAAGGCAAAGCGTACCTCATGAACCTCAAGGCGATGCTATCCTATTGCAGCGAGAAGCCGTTTCTTCCCCATCAAGCAGGACAAAGGGTAGCAGATGATTTAAACTGGTGGTCAGAATTGCTACAATCTGGAAGTGTCACACGCACCATCTACCCAGCCCCCAAGCTTAAAAATCCATTCGCATTCTCAGACGCAAGTTCTGGGATAGGCATCGGAATAGTAATCAGGGATCGTTGGAGAGTGTGGAGGCTAATTCCAGGTTGGAAGACTCGCAATGGTAAATGAGACATTGGATGGGCTGAAGCGGTTGGGTTTGAGCTACTCACATACACCCTTGCATCACTCCTTAACATTGATGGACATGTTGTTGTCCACGGAGACAACACAGGTGTCGTCAAAGGATGGTGGAAGTGCAGACACAGGAACATCAAAGTTAATGGCATCTTCTGCAGGATTAATGAATTCATTCACAATCTTCCCTACACTTTCGACGTTGTCACATCATACATCACAAGTGCTTCCAATCCAGCAGATGAACCTTCTAGAGGGATATACGGACCAAGGAGCCTTCTTCTCCCCCCAACCAGTATTCCAACAGAGCTCGAGCCTTTCATCATTGACGCCACGAAACCACTCTCCACCTCAGAAATTCGACTCCTGCATAACGGGAGTTACTCTGCTCCAGCAGCCAAACTCATCAACCGACAACTCATCAGACAACAGGCCGACAAATGAGCTAAAGCTAGTAGGAATGACAAGGAGTTTTTCATCAGTAGGGCACTCCACAAGGAATGAGAGGAAGAGCACCCGTTTCAATGCACTGCTACCAAACACAAACAAAAACCTCACATCAGTTCCTCAGAGCTATAGACCAGACCTAACACCCCAACCTTCAATTCTTCGGCCGCATTGTCTCGCTCAAGATCGTTTGAGGCTGTGGACACCAGCTGGAAATAGTACTAGACAAGCAGTAGTGACGGCAGAGCAGAGAATCAACCACGAAATAACAGATACCCAGCTAGAGTGTATTCTCAATGTTATAGGATCTTCATGGGCACAATCAACAAAAGAGACTTATGGAGCTGGTTTACTGGTGTTTCACGTATTCTGCAACACAAACAATGTCCCAGAAGATCAACGCTGCCCAGTAGCACGAGTCTTGCTCCTCGATTTCCTTTGCAGTTGCGCCGGATCCTACTCAGGATCATCATTAGCAAACTATGCAGCCGGATTGAGAGCATGGCACCTATTACATGGTAGAGCTTGGCTGATCCCACCAAACAAACTCAAAGCGGTGCTAGACAGAGCATTGGCATCAGCACCAGAAACATCCAAGCGCCCAAAGAGGTCACCATTCACACCAACCTTCCTATGCACAATTCAAGACCATTTAGATCTCGACACTCCATTAGATGCAGCCGTCTTTGCATGTCTAACAACGACATTCTACGCCGTAGCGAGGCTAGGAGAATTTACAGTGAACGCAATCAAAGAATTCGACCCAAAGAAACACGTTATGAGAGCAGGAGTATCAAACTCCACAGACCGCAATGGCCTTCAGGTCACCAAATTCCGCCTACCAAGGACCAAGTGTTCCCCAATCAAAGGGGAAGAAGCATACTGGGCAGCACAGGAAGGCCCATCTGACCCTAGCGGAGCCCTAGGCGCGTCAATCCAGCCAACAGAGATGTGCATCTATTTGCGTGGAAACACACAAAAGGAATGCGGCCACTGTCCAAAAAAGAGCTGATGAAGAGAGTTTCAATAGCAGCGAAAGCTGCGAACTTACCTGACCTGAAGGGACACGGCTTAAGAATTGGGGGGACCCTAGAATATCTCCTGTGTGGAGTGCCATTTGATGTCGTCAAAGCTATGGGAAGATGGTCAAGCAAAGCCTTTACAATCTATTTGCAAGACCATGCAACTATACTCGCACCTTACATTCAAGCATCACCAGCGCTAGAGCCTTTCACACGCTACACAATCCCCCCAATCCGTTAAGAAGCGAGAGTGAGTCCATCTCCTAATCCTAGGGGCATCAACCTTCGCTGCATGCATCGTTGTACTCCTAATTTATGGGAACACAGCTCACCTTTTTGCGCCATAGGTACGAAACTATGTTTCGAGCTGGAAAGCCCTTCAGGCTTTTGCCCAATAACTCAACACCCTAGAGTATTGTCACCAAAACAATAAGCATCATAACAGAAACCTTTTTCATTAGCAATCACCAAGTTTACAATTCCTAAATCGAAGGCGAGCTTCGAAAGCGCATAGAAGTTTCTTTAGGTTCAAGGCATAGAAGTGAATATCGCCTTCATGAATACAACAATCCGATACTTTGTCTGACAACTCCTTCATTACAACAGGAAATATATCAATTATATTGGCAACAACAAAAAAATCCAGCATCTGTTGATCTTCATGAGCATAGTGTTCTGTTGGGTATTCAGTGAACTGTTGAATGGCGTATTCCAGGACCAAGATTTCATGATGAATGCCAGTATGGAAGCCTTCAAAGATGATATCACAACACAATTCAACAAGATGCCAGTGAGTCACTGTGACGCTCTATTGAGAAGCATCTTTACTACTCAAGAGGGTGAGCAGCCTGCATTCTATAGGCAAATGATTACTGATACATTGCCTAGTAGGGGTAGTAGCAACCTAGGGCAGTGACTATGCCTTACTTACACTGGAACAGGTTCACACCATTGGACCAAAACTTCAACTACACATTTGTGTCAAAGACATTGCCACTGTGATTGCTCTTCTAGTACTATTAGTTACCACCAGTTCATGTATCCTACATATCGTGCATCAAAGCAACACTTTTTCACTATAAATATTCAAACTAATACATACATACACAATAAATCATAAGAACACCCTTTGAGCTTTGTGCACTCATCTTCATCTGAGGTCCTTGAAGAGCAGGGAAGAAACGGGAGTGGATGAGGGATGGTTTGGGGTATTTGAGTTTCTGTGCAACATCATGCAAGAGTTGGAAGTAAGGGTCCTGGTCTATCATGCAGGGGAAGTGCTAATTAGATAAAGTGGTGCATTATCCAGTTGAGCATGAATGACTCACCAAAAAATGTCTTCTGCTGATCCAACCCAAGCTCACAGGAAAGTATGATCTTGGATCTCGATCAGCTATATCTGAAGCTTCCACCTAGGATGTCCAGTTATGAGCAGTTCTCCATTGGGAGAGATTGTGGCACATTCAACCCCCTCAGTATGGCTACCTGATCAAGTGCCTGTCCACTGTCCAGTGGGTGCTGGTGTCTTTGGAGGCAGTTTAGCCACCTTGACTAATGCTCATACGGTTGACCTTGCTCAAGGTCAGCACAATGGTTGGACATAATGACAAAATACTTAGTGAGTCATGGACACTGTCTCTACTCACGACATCTAAGATGCTGGATACCAGCTTCCAAGATTGAGGACTCGGAATACCAAGGAAAAAGGCTTGGGGTTGGAAGAACAAAAAGTGACACCAGCAGGATTTGAACCGGTGCACATGAAACTTGAACCATCAGAGATCATTATGCCTCATCAATTTCTCGAACCATTCAAGAAGTTCTGCATCAACTCTTCACGTCCCAGACTGGACAGATCATTATAGTCGACCACAAGTTGCTTGCTGTCAGCGGAGACTGAGCCCTGCACATCCCATAGCATGACCAGATGCTCATGTGCCTTGAGGGATGATAGTGGGTTGGGAGTTGGACATCTAACAAGGTCCAACTCTGATTAAGCTCAGCTAGATGTCAAGTGCTAAGCTAACTTGAAACTGTTGGTGACAGTGCAATTCAAAGTATGTCTTCTCAGCTCCCTCCACATTGGTTCACCTCCCAATTGGGGTTCTATCTCCATCAAGGGTCCTCATCACATTATGTATGGTTAAACAGTATGGTAAGTATTATCAACTCTCTCATCATTCCTAAAACTTGTCATTGACAACTCGCATATGTTCTGGTTGTTGAGTCAAATTCAGTTAGCCCCAGGTACACAATATGTATACTAATCTTGATTTTGATTAGCAGCACTCCAGCCTTCATCTAAAAGTCAGATGATGGTAAGTGAAGTTTTTGCCAGGCTTTCAAGTTGGTGCCCAGCACCCCCAGGATGGTCAACTCAATTCTCTCTGCTTGTCAATGCACCTGGGTGCAAACTGCTGCATTTCTCCTCAGCATTCATCCAGAACTACCAAATACTAATGAAGGAGGGGCCAACAACCGTGTGCACATGCAGTTCAGCATTTTTACAAAGGAATTGATGAAGAGTCATCTACTATTCAATGGTACCATGCCGCCCTGCTTGAAAAAAGTGAGTGAAGTACATCCATCTCAGGTGTGATGGGATGCTCATGTCATGTCACACTAGTCAAATTCAAAGTTCCTCTCCATACTATGGATATCAATCAATCGACCACATATGTGGGCCAGTCTTATTCTGAGTCCAATTGCCGCCTGGACATATTTGACACAATCAGGGCAATGATGAATGTACCAAAGGCATACCAGCACTTAGGCTGGCGCCTGTCTACTGCCCGCCACATCGACCCACTCCATTGACTTTTAACTTCACTTGATATCAATAGCGCCTTCAAAGCTGCAAGGGCGGAACAGAGCTCTGGTAGGAAAAATAAGAGAGTTGCCATTGAAGTTGTTAATACTGTATGTTTTTGATCATTGTGAGTGGTACGATGGATGAATAACTTCTTGCAGGTCAAAGATTCAAAGCAAACCAGGCGAAAGATGGTTGTATCCTCTTCAGGCAAGCAGAGCTTGTCATCGCTTTTACCATACACAAAGGAGTTAGAGAAAGTCAAGAGTAAGTTATGCTGCTCCAACCATCAACTCAGAGAGAACACATTCTGTTGGGTCGATTTATTGAAGCCCAATGCTCCACACTATCCACTGTGTGCCCAGGACCTGCAGGAATGGGCTAGATATCTGGTATGTGCCTATTTGCTGCAAGGGTACGACATGATGCTTATGGATGGCAGCTTGAAACTGGAGATCTGGACAACACCTGCATCATCCTACCCACCACGTGCTATTTTGATGAAGTTCAAAGAACATGTATGGAGCAGACTACATCGCCGCTTCAGAGGGTGCCCACTGAAATGATATCACTGATCATTCATAACCATATTCACCTCTCATCCTCTGCCAATAACATCTCTGATGGAATGCTCACTGGAGAACAGGGAGAAGGCCATAGGATGGTGGATCCTCAACCACTCAAGAGGACATTCGTGTTCTATATGGAGAGTGACAAAGAGTCTGACAATGAGGAGCTGCCATCAGCATATCAAGGACATTCTTGCCAATGTTCACTCACGCTATCCTGCCTTGAACTTCCCCCAATATGCCGATAAACTGAAGGATTGTGGTATACTATATCTACCAACCACAGCTCATTTCGGTATCAGATTCTACGAGGAGAAAGTTGGGATGCCAGAGGGTGCTGCATACACCTTTCAGAGCTGTGTCTCCAAAACATACATAAATGCCAAACTTGTGAAAGGAGAAGAAAGGTTAAAGGTAAGAAGAAAGCATGAGCCCAGCTTGGCAATGAGGATGAAGAGAACATCCCCCCTAGCCTCTGATCAATAACTCTTACCTTACTTTCAATTCATTTAGAATCTCATAATATTCCGGCTTATAATTTGTAACATTGTTTCTTAAGTGGCATTGTTGTACAAGATGGAAGCACATCCGCTGTCCCTGCCATATCATTGACAAACTGTATCAGATGGTCTCTTGTGGAGGCCAGCAACAGGGAGCTTGGCGATGAAGTTGTCATGTTTCAATGAGGCTGAGGAAGGATGAGGGAAGTGATGTTGAGTTGGGTGTAACAAAGAAGCACTCTTGTGAAATACCACCAACTGATTAAAGAGTCAATTGTGTGGGTGCAAGCCTGAGTATGAGGCAGGACTCACCAGTACTCACCCCCAGTCATGTCATTGAGGGTGTCAATGAACAAAATAGCCCACCTGTGCTTGATCATGTGACTCTCCCTGGCCCTGCTGTAGCTTTCTTTGCACTTATTCAACAGCCATGGCTACCCAAATTGCATCTTTCTCACAACCCACCCAGATACCCACCCTCAACGGACCACAATGCTCCCATGGGTGTTGCAAAAGAAATCTCAGAGTCTGTGGTGTGAAGAAGTAATTGGTACTAGGTGGTTAGCAACTAGCACTACTTATCCTAAGAGGCACGAGTTAATGGATCGGCCTGAGAGGACTGCTATTGAAGCACTACCTTCAATTATGTGTGAGGGAAGTAAGTGAGCAAAGGAGTTATAACCTATGTCAGCCTAAAAAACTAGAACATGGACCATATGTATACCTTTGAATTTCTATGCCAAAGAATCGACCATGAGTGCGGGCAAAAATTGACTGATGTTAGTATCACAAGAGCGGGATGAACCATTGGAAGATACGTGCAAGTGTATTGGATGTCAGATGCCGGTGCAGCAGATGTAACGTGCACAAAATCAACTGCGCTCTATGGAGCAGCCAGTTGCAAGGGATATAGTGTGAGTGAAGAACAGCGCTAAACTACCAGTCGCAGGTTGGGTATTCTTGCAAGAGCTTAAGGGTAAGATCCTAGTGGTACAGAACTTCAGAGTGGTTGAATTGCACAGGATTGTCAAGAAAGAGCAAAATAGATGGATTGTGCAAGGTCTACAAAAATAACATGAGAACGACTCTCCTATAGAGCTGAGTCCAGGGGAAAGGGAACTACTCAATTGTATGTACTGCGGTCGTTTATATCGTAGCACGTGAATGTCCGGAGTGTGTAGGTGAGAATTGTAGCATAGTTAGTGAGCGCATGATGAGTCTATAGGTAATAAGACATCATGTGCTGTGGAACATGAGTAGATGTGTAATAAGACCTGCAGCTTGTTTAGCAATGACATTTGGGAAAAATAACACACCAGTGGAGATAGGTGGACATGGATAGGACATGGGAGGGCGGATTCCTAGGACCTGGACCGGAGTAAGAGCAGATGGGTCAATATATATGGATTTAATGATCTGCACTTTATCTCCTTTCCTGAAGGTGAGAAGAACCGTGCTATTGATCATATGTGCACTAGCGCCAGTATGATCATCACAGTGGAATGAATTATGATGGCAAAGGTGTGACTTCATTTCTTAATAGTTAGATTTGACAGAATTGATTCCTCCAGGCAAGAGGGTCTTCTGGCATTTGTTGGTGCATGTTTTTGGTGAAGCTGCTGAGCAGCATTACATTTGCCACCTATGCCTTGGCCCCCCAACTGATGATTTCTTCTATGAGATGGCTATTAAGGACAGGTAATTGGTCACAACTAATACTGTAATAGTCAGGTACTGACTTCAGCAGAGCTGTTACCAATGCAGACTACCTCGCTCTGGAGAAGCCTTCAGATAGTGCTATCAAGGACAAGCAGAAATTTGAATGCCTCATAGCTGTCAAAAGAGGATCTACTGGAAATGTTCAGCATATGTTCTTCAACATTTCTAAAATGCCCACCCATCTAATACCACTATAGTGAAATAAACACAGGCACTTGATTGACTTGGAGACCAAAATTCCAGATGGCACCTCCACCACTATTTATTGTTGTGAGCTAATGGTCAATCTCTGTATTGGTCCTCGTATACCACACACTGGCAAGATCAAGGCATTCATGGTCATTGAGGCAAATATATACCCAGAATTTGCTCAATATCACTTTGACCAAGCCCTTGTAGAACTCTGCATCATATTTCCTAGGTGATGCAACAAATGGCTCATTGCAATGAATCCATGGTATCTCATTCCCAGATAAAAAGCAGTTGACTGAATACAAAGCATTCTTGGTCAAAGCTGCAAAACGGGATCACTGCAAGATCGCTCAGGCCCAACAAGAATCATTCTTCTTTAATGACCTCAGTCCTGGAAGTTGCTTCTTCTTCCCTCATGGTACTTGAATCTATAACACTCTAATTGAGTTGATGAAGGTGTGCTCCCCTGACTCCAGATTTGTTTCTTTTCTATCATATGATATGCTCTGAGTCTGTTTCTCTGGAACATAGTAGGTGATCTCAGCAGAACATGAGCCTAAGGGAGTCGAGGACCTTGAATCTCATCATCACATGTTCAGATCAGTCATCCTGCCCTTCTTGGACTATCCCCAAAAGGCCTCAAGACACGCCCAGAATGGCTTGGTGGAAAGAACTGTCAATTAGCAAACAGCAGGTTCCTGGGACTACCCACAAAAGGGTTGGGATTTATGCAAATTATACTAATGATATATTCTTCAGGATTGAGCACCAGGGTATATAAAATGGTATCACAGGCTCTTTCACTACTCATCCACCTTTCCACACCCCTTCCACATCTCCTTCTCCTTGATTCTTTGCTACCTCCTCTATGTCAGCATCTGGGCATGACTTAGGCAACTCTCAATCTCAGGATGTCTCTCTGTGTGTACAAACTTCCCCACATGCTAGGGTGAAGCGAAAAATTGCTACCCTCATGGAGGATATCGAAATCTTGAAGCAGGATAAGGTGAGTAAAAACAGGTGTGTACATTCTCGACTTCTCTGGCAATTTTCAGTTGCCTCATTCAAATGTCACAGGAAAACAACTTACTACGTCTCACAGGGACGCTGTGATTCGTCATATGGTTATCCTATATACTCCTATAGAAGACCTTGTCACTGAAAACGACCAGCATTGTGAAGAGACAGATAACGCCTCCACTGCAGAGTAAGTATCCATTTTGATATGACATTGTGCTTGTTGACAAAAAGAGACAGTCAGGACCGCCTTCAACATGGCTATGTTGAACTCATGAAGGTACTGCTGTGGTTTCACGAGAAGCTAGCAAGTATTGACCATGAGGAGTCAGAGGACATGCTTAAAAAGGTTGCCCTTTACTTGTCACACCTCTTTTTTTTCTCATTTTCAATGTAGCTCAAGTGAGGTGTGGACTCAGCTTGTGGCAATGACACAGGAACTCTAAAAGACCTCATAGCTATGTGGGTGAATGTGGAGTATAGTCCAACCCTGCTCATTAGGCCTAGCAACAAGCACCACTGAGGTTTTGTAAGTGATGCATGTGGTAAACTACTCTGCCCAGTGGAATGGCACTGGGAGGATGCACTGTAAGTGATGATTCTTGTTGCTCACATGTTGCCTAATGTTTTTTCTAGTGTCAAGGCTGGCATTCATGATCACACCACTGATTTCATTGTATCAGAGAACTTGTGGCCATTGTTCATGTATGAAAATTATGTAGCAGACACCAAGAATCTGGAGCATGGTCTGATGAAGTCAAAACTATTGCTTATGGTGAGCAACCTGAATTTTTAACTGATTCATAGTTCATTGCATTGCAGGGGTTCAAGGCAATATTTACATCTCCCTCCTTAGCCAATGAAGTGGATGGCGAAGGTGATTGCACTGACATTCTTGAGAACAACCGACATGCCCAATGATGATCAGACCAAGCTAAGGTAAAAACTTGTGTTGCCTCCATCATAGGTATGTGAAAGGTGACTCCTTGTGCAATTGCATACACTGCTTGCCAGGTTAGCAGTAACCCTTCCCTCTAACTGTGAAGCTGAAATCTGTAGATCTGATTTGCACTTTCCTCCATCACCTCCTGGCATGCTGTGGACAGAGACTTTAACTATCAACTTTTCTGGCACAATATCATAGATTTCTTTGAGGATGCCCCAGGTCCAGCTGCACAAGCCAGGGTGAAGGAGCTGCTCAAGTGGTGGACCAGGTAAATCATTAATTGTCAGCAACTTGCCCTGATCACTCTCCTTCCCTGCACAGAAAAGTCTTTGGAAGAAACCATTGGCAGGACTTGACACTGGACATCATTTCAAAAATGTCCATCAGTGCTCTTGCTGTCTAGAGACAGCAGATGGAGGATGCCATATTTGACTCTGACTAGTTACTTCTCTTTTTCACTTGCTTGTTAAATGCCATATATTCTCTCTTAGATAGTTCATTCCTACACAGTAAATTTACACCTCTGCTGCTAATGTTACCATGCTCTGTCATTTTGATGACACAAAATTTTACAATTGAATGCTATGATCATTTGACAAACTAAAGATACATAAGTTGATATGTTTTATGGCGGTCCAAGGCATCCCTGATCTGGAGATGAGATGAATACATTAAGATGTGATCTGTTAATGAGTTCCTTTTGCCATTTAGTATGACAAGTTAATCATTGTATGTGACACTGTCAAATACAGATATTCTCAAGCCCAGATGGGAGATTAGGTGACACCGACTTTCCTTATTCTTGTATCTCCAGAAGGGCTGTTTTCCCTGGCTTACAGGAGTTTATCATCCCCATTCATGAGAATGACCAGGCTATTATCGTGACAATGAAACAGTTGAGCGTTGAATTCTACTGTAAGTTGACTTTGGAATCAGACCGGATGACACATGATAATTATGCTCAGGCTGTCTTCACATATCTGTGATGCAGCTCAGTAACTCACAATACCATCAGGACAGTTCATGAACTTTGTATCTTTGATCTTCCCACTACATGCAGGAAAGAAAGTTCGTTGTGGTGATCTCCGCCTTATTCTAGCATTCACACTAACAGCACTGTTCAAGTCTGATGGTATGAATCCGAGAGATCCAGCAGTATCATCATGATGTCTGTATTTTCTGGTCTTAGCACTAATGACAGGACATAGAGTTTTTGCTTTGGAAAACTTGCAGGAAATACATTGGACAGTGAGTGAAGTACTGAGCTGATCTATGGCTTATTACCGTCAAGTACTGAGTCAAGGCAATTTAACATAAACATACAGTGCCTGCACAAGATGATGACATCTTTTGATGGTATCCAAAGTGGGATACAACTCCCAGTCATTCAATATCTAGGGAGGATGGCATCGAAACTGCAAGCAGGAAATGAATGAATTGTCAGCCACACAGTGAGCATGTCAACACTCTCTGGAATGCACATGCTATTATCACTCATTGAAAAATTGTCCCATTAATGACAAACACTAATCATTCCAAACAGATGTTGTGAAAAGTCAAAGCGAGACAAAAACTGGTTTGTTGCTCACATGTTGAATGCATCTGCTGCTCTGTAAAGGTAACCCTTTTTCGCACGGATCCCCAATTGATGTCTAGCATACAATAGTTCAATATCCTGAACATTATTTTCATCATGGCACTTGTGGTTCACCTGGCTTAAGCACTATCTTCGCAGGTACTTGATGTGTCATTGCTAATCGGGGAACACCTTTTTTCTTTTGCTTGACCTGCAGATTTTTCTTATAGCATTTGAAGTCTAGCACAAACTTAATTCTCAAGCAAGCTAACTGTAAGATTGCTTGTGGCCCAAATGACATGGACACACACCACTGATGACATCACCACAGCATCTTTCATGTTCACACATCGCAACCTCCTTTCTTTTCCCTCTCAATATCTGTTCATATTGAACCTCATGAACCTGCGCCCTTTCATGTTTTCTTAGATCCATTTAAACGAAAGAGATCATTCAGCAAATGTTGCTACTCAGCTGTTGTGCTTCAAAACAGGTGTTTCCTTGAGAATGCCAAACATTTACATGTGGAAGTGGTCAGCAGATATACAGAGATTGTTGGGATGCTCTACTATATATTACTTTAAATAACATTTTCATTTGTTCATTGATTCACTGATGGAAGACTGGGTTCTCCATTTGTTTCTAGTCCAACTAAGCCTCTGTTTCATCCTATGGCAGCTTCTTCCAAACTGACAGATGAAAGTTCCCATTCATATGTAGCCAATGCACTCCCAACATCACCGCAGTGAATGCAGGTGTTTATTTGATGCCCCGCAGGGGGAGATATTGTCTCTAGCACTCAACTTCATTGTCACACTGTGCACCTGAGTCCATAGGCTTCATACATGGTATCTCATTGCACTCTGTGCTAGCCTCAGAGTCTCGGCTTAATTTCAACACCAATCTGCGCCTTCTGACTGCAGCTTGTGGATGGTATAACCCTAATGGCACCTTGTTTAATGGTATCTCAGCTGTCCTCCTCACTATAGCCTACGGCTCATCCTCACTCATTGTATGTCCCTACTCTGGACCCAGGGAGGGTATTGCCATTGCAGGGATGCCTCTCCTCATTTTGGGTGTTGTACTTCTCCAGGTGATTATTGCATTGTCAGTGATGTGGGCTGTCAAAATATTAACATGGAGCTCCTCACCTTTCAACTTGACCGCCGCACTGGTCCACCACATGCAATTGTCCTTTGTTACTTTCCGGTGCATGCGTTGTGTATCTGACCTAGACACGTTTGGAGGTCCAGCGAAGCCATCAGAGATGCAGCCCTCGGCATGGCATGCTTGTTGAAGTCCAAACAATCCGAACAATCTGAAGAGAAAGAGAGTGAGGAAGCCAAAGGATCCGACATGATAGGTACAAGCGAGAGAGAGAGGTCTGAGCGCATGAGGCAGATGGGCCAATAGGCTATGCCCAAATGACATTGGCTTGCGCCCTGCAATATACATATGTCAGAAAACTTCACCTTTGCATTCCTTACTTACCTTCCTATAAAACCAGCACCCATCAGATGTGCACATCTCAGTTCTAGTTGAAACTGAGATGTGAGTACTTGGAAACATGTATGTCAGCATTTACTGACCATAACCATAGCATACCTTGTGTTCTAGGTACTATACACATTAATATGAGTTCTAGTTGAAACTGAGATCATACCTTTGTGTTCTAGCTCCCTCTCCCATTCATTCGCTCACCTGTTCTCACAACAATGCTCACCCTAGCACCCGGAAAGTTGTGATTTTTCTTTGGGTGATCATTGCAGCATGCGCTGGATGGGCCACACTTGTCATGTATATCTGGCACAAGTATGCTGGCAAGAGTTCAGTGTCCCCCAATGCGCTGACCCCACAAACGTGGTTAGTTCATCCCCAATTTGCAGATTGGGAAGGTTAATTTCATTGCGTATGATCATCAGTGAACCAATGAGTCCTTGATATTGTAGCCATGTGTAGTACAGAGGGGTAGAATTTTGCTCCTGCTAAATAATATCATTTATACTATAAGAAATTTGATTTGTAGTTACATAACCTGCAAATCTAGAGTAACACGAGCAGTACATGACGAGGTTATGGTGTTCCTACATTGCAGCCAACGAGGGATGGTAGCTTACTGATGCCAAATATTCTGAGCATTGTCATTTTGCCTTACTCACACTTTGCACTGCAACCTTATCCAAGGCAATCTCGTGGGAGATACCTTTGGCACTCATCAATGAATGTAAAATAATGTGAGATTTCATGACAAAATCCTGACTGGCGGCTGTGAAGACCAACAATGGATGACAGCACACAACTCTCTATCTATTTCATGGTTCTCGCTTTTCATCATATATCATCAGATTCACACTCTTGGATTATGGATATAATTAACACCAAAATGCATGCCACTATGATATCTCTAGCGTCTTGACCATGTCTGAAATAGAAGAAAGGTCTTTGACTTGTGCAAAGATATCATGATCTGAAGCAATTCTCTTGTATTCTCTGCTGCGCTGCTGTGCTAGCAAAAATGCCCCAAAAGGCTGACGAAGGTGAGTAGCCAATTGCAACGCTCGACTGCTCAGCTCTGAATCAACTGACTCTTGTGCTTCAAGGAAACTGCCAGATGACTGCTGTGATGGAGACCCAGGGGCAGACCAGCAACCTTCCTCACTCTCCCTATCACCAGCAATCTCAGGCAGCTCTGCCAAGCCAGACAGCTCCATGAAGTCAGGAAGCTCAAGGAGATGACGATTCCATGGACGAACTAGCAAGAAAGTCTGCATAGTGGGTCATGGTGATGAGAACTGAATCAGCTTGTCCTCCATGGTGATCAGCAGGTCAAGAAGCCCATCAGCCTTAACTTCATATATCTCCTGGTCTTGGGCGCGATTCCATTTGACTGCTGTGACACAAAATGCGATGCAAGGCAGATGTAGTCTGCAGTTCCTGAAACGAGGCGTGCTCAGGTTATCAAGCAGAGTGTAAAGTTTCAGAACCACATCTGCGGCCACTTCATGACGGAGGGAGGATATTGATGCCTGAATGTCATCTTCGGACAGAGATGACATGGTGTATGGTGGAGCTTTGTATGAAGCAATGTTGGCTGGCAGACAGCTATTGAATTCAGACAATTGTCCTACCCAGTCCAGGGCACTGATGTCACCCAACTGAGCTATGACCTCCTGCAAGAGCCTCCCAAGCACCTTTTCTTCTTCTCTCCATAAATGGCAGGCAGGTTGATGCCGAATATACCAAACAATGAGTATGCAATATCTTCCTGACACGTGGTGACACAGGCCAACACCCATTGGAGTTTCTCCTGTGCGAATCTCATCCCAGGACGGAAGGTGATGAGCGCCTGTGTATCTATACCCACCACATCTGCCATCTCCTGCATGATTATGAGGGAATCCTTGTGATTGGGAGAGCGATTGTCAAGATATAACGACCAATCCCTCTGATAAAATAGGACAAAATTTGGGGCCAGAAACTCTTGAACTGTCCATCCTCGCATGTTCCAAGCGCTGCTTGTGAGTGCCCTGGGCTTTGACAAAGGTGGAACATCCAACAGGTAGATGATGGTAAGTGTTGAGTGGTGATACCAGATAAACATGGAGTTCACCGATTGTTGGACCTCGACATTATTAGCCTGGTCAATGCAACAGGTATCCATCCATGTCCAGCGATACCCCATATCATGAGCAGTTTGACAGAATGACTGCAACTTTGGGATGCCACCAACTGGATCCAAGTCATACACTACCTTGTCTTGTATGTCATGCAGCAATGGCTCGTTCCCTTCCCACCTATGCAATAGCATGACATAATGGAAGTATGTTGCCACGACATCTTTGATGCACTCCTTTCAGAGAGAAGGTATTGATCTGTGCCTCGTGATTGCATAAGAGCCCAGTAGAGGTGTTGATGAGATGATGCGGGATGTCATCGAGTTGAGCTTTGATGGTCTCTTGAATGGCTCCTTCTGCTTCAGATGGACTAACGTACTGTTGGCGCAAGCCTAAAAAATGAGTCAACTATGTTGAAGGATCTGCTATTTGGGGCATACTTTGTGTTTGCGTGTCAGAGGCATTTTCCAACTTGGAGAGCATAATTTCGAAGGCCTCGATGGCTTCATCATATTGGTGTGCGCCATGGAGTGCTGCATGCTTCAACTGATGTCCAAAGTAAGATGAGGGGTCGAGTTCGATGACCTGCATATCACCAAAATGAGTGTTGAATATGAAATGGTAACCGTCATCGCACCTTTTCTGCATCAAGGAGTGCATTGTCCCATAACATTTTTCCAGACCTTGCCTTACTACGGTTCGCAAAGATGGTATCAGTTGCCAAATTGAGGTCAATCGCTGCAGAGTAAATTTCGATAGCCCTGTCATAATTACCCATGGCGAGGGCATCTTCTCCAGCCGTAGCACAGAGCACACTGTAATCTTGCTTGAAAGCTAAGTGAGATGAGATCAGGTTGAGAATTATATGCGGTTGACATCACGAAGACTTGCCAGTGGACCAATCAAGGCAGCGTGCTTTCATAGCCTCATCAGCCATATCCATCATATATCATATATCGGTATGCCTTGATGGCTCCTGGAAGTCTACCCACCTGAAGGAGCGCGTGGTACCAATTCTGGTGTGCAGTTTGCCACAAGGACTTGAGGTCCCACCCAAATAACTAGAAAAAGCATAGTAGGGTGTGAGAAATCAATTTCCAGTTGCATTGCAATCAACCTACCACCACAAAGACATTGTTAGAGCGAACTAGGATAGGTGCGACAACAGGTACTCAATAAGAGTAACGCCTGAGGCCGAATCAAGGCCTTACAAATGTAAGGTTCTTAAGACAAGTCAGAGAGAGTGTCTCTGGCTTGAATATCGGTTATCAGACGACTTAGGATTGGGGGTCCTAAGCGAAGGATAGTTCTGGTTAAAACCTAGTAGATTAAAGTGAAGATCTATCTAAGTACATGACCAGATTTATATAAGTGTAGGTCCTTTAGGGCTGGTACGTATATGTCATCGATCGAGTCAGAGATAAGCATATACGACATCATCAGTCGAGTCAGAGATAAGGGAATGAGTCATCTAGCGACGGCATGTGGCGATCGTGATGTAATACAAAAATAGGAAAAATGGTTAGTCTAATGATGGCACTGCAGGGTGCAGTCATGATGTATTACATAGGCGAGAGAACGAGAAAGAAGATAGGGGGTAACCATGATTGTAACAGACATCATATTTAGAATGGATGGCTGACATAGATGAGAAACTAATAATGTTGACAGCGGAAGTGGAGTGGTCAGCAGCCTCGTTGTGATGTGCATTGCCTAATAAGCCTCTGAGTTCGCAGTTCAACTTGAGCAAGAACTCACCTGTAACCTTGTCTGCAATGTCCAATTTCTCAGACACGCGTGCTCATTTGTTTTCGGGGCCTGGCTCAGAGGAGGCATCCAAACGGCGCAGTTGATCGTTTCCACCTATAACTTCCATGGGCTCAGGAGCTTCATCGACATTTTCCATGATGCCCTTCCTTGATCTGATGGTCAAATGAGCGATGCAGACACCAAATGAGCATATAGACAGATGTTTTGAAGAAGTTTGCTTTTGCTTGTTCCTTTCCTTTCTCCGCCGCATCTGCTTGCTTTGCGACGAGTGTGGCATCAATCTTGGGTCGAGTTAGAATGTTAATATCATATTCTTCCAAAGTCACAAACCTCAGTGGCGACCAACTGTCAAACAGCGTACCAAGAGACTGTGATATCTTTGGCGCGCTTGCTGTCGTAAGTAACAAAAACATCGATTGGACTATGTGAACATGAATGTCATCAGGCAACAAGGGGATGCGTTGTGCAGAACTCACAGATCAAGCCTATACACATTTTGGCCATCCTCAGCCTTCTCTTGCACAAAGCGAAGTTCAAAAGACACCATAATCTCCACCAAAAACAAGAGCAGGGCTCTTTCCTGTGGCTTTATCACTTGAATGTTGACCTGAAAAATATATATCTTGAGATAGCAAGCAGGTGTGGCACGATCCACTCACTGGTTGCAAAGGAGGGGATATTATACGATTGATGAATGGCGCAAATTCAAGTTGCAAGACTTCACCTGTGACGAGGTGTCTGTTGGCTCCTGCAGTCCAACCGGTAGAGTGGATACCGTTTGCTAACGATTTGTAAATTTCTTCGTTTGCGCATGTCAGCTGCAAGTTCTACTAGGCATGAATATTTTGCAACTGTGCAAGAAGTAGACGCTTACATCCCAGTCCGAACTATCTCGTTCTATCCACTTTTCCCCTCATTCTCAGAATAGCAGATGGAAAGGGACTAGGAAATATGACAAGTATGTATGCAGCGCGAAGTCCCCATCTGTATACATGACTGATGAAAAGGAATCAAAGGTTGTCAGCCACTCGCCAGCCTTCTGGTAGTGGTTCAAGTTCACATTGTGTTGGTGGCAATTGATATAATGCGCAAAACAGCCTATCTTTGGGTAAATACATGGAATGGATGTCGTAGATGTTGTACTGACCATTTGCTATACTTGCATGATTGTTCGATGAATAAAGTATGTTCTGAACGAATATAGTTTAATCTGTCATTCAAACATTGTGCATCTCATAAGCCTCTGAGTTCACGGTCCAACTTGAGCAAGAACTCGCCTGGGTTTCAACCCCAAATCTTCGCAAAATTGTTCTATTGCTGTGTATTCACAAGAAATCTCCTGAAAAACAACAATCAGATGAAGTCTTAGACACATCAGCCTGAGAATGGGCACTCACCATGAACTCTGAGTGAGACTTGTCCTCAATGGACTGAAAGACCTGGTTGGGTCTGAAGGCTGTAGAGACAACAGGGGCTCACTAGCAGGTGATGCTGGTGTTAATGATGAGAGTGGCGTGTGTGCTGAGCCTCAAAATGTCATGGGCGATTTCATTGGTGGAGTGTGACCCTGCAAGTCAAGATTGGGGCTCGCACTGGGATGCTCTTGGCCTCCTGCTAGACTTGAAGGGATATACTCCATAAATCCTCTGGACATGAAAGACCTTGTTGTATACACGTCAAGCTTGAAGGTAAAGGGTTGGTATCGGATCATATTATACCATGAGTATAATCTAAACATTCACCTGATGACGAGTGCTTCAACTTGAGATTGGTCTTGGCTGCCCAGCAAGTAAAGCATTCTAGCAAGCATGCACTTGATAGAGTTGATGCACTCAGACTGGGGTTTGCAGTTGGTTTGTGCTTGCTTGTCCCTGGAGGACTCAGAGTGTCTAACATTTTGATGGGAGGTAGAACTGAAAAGGTGCCCTCAACCATTAAATATTGGAGTTCATAGTAGTGCGTATTCCGGCCCAACACTAAAGATCTCCTGAAAAGATCAAATGAGTTTCAGACACATCAAGTCGGCTTGAGAATGGGTGCTCACCAGGCCGTAAACTCTCAATGAGCTAGAATACTTTCAATACATGTCGAGCCTGAAGGTAAAGGTTTGGTATCAGGTTATACCATGAGTAGTATAGTACTTGTATCATGCCAATCGATGAGCAATCAACTTGGACAATGCCTTGGTCGACTCCTTGGCAACTTAATTTTCTCAGGCCGACTCTTCCCACATTGCCACATGTTGTCAAAATAAAGTTTCTGATGGACTATCAAAGCCTGAAAGAGCATACCTTACTTCTTAGATGTGAGTGCAGTTCAGGTGCTATATAGTGAATTTCATGGTCATGGTGTTCAGGAGGCTAAGGTAACCTGCATACAATAGATAGGTGATCCCTCTCACTTGTTAGCATTATCAGTGACCTCCGGTGTTAGAAAGACAAATGGTCGTCTTCCTCATTGATGTCTTCCGTCTCCTCATCATCTATATCATCGATGCTCTCATCATCATCGCACTCATTGTCATCTGTAGTTTCGTCTTGTTCATCTTGTTCACCCTCTTCGGTCCTCCATCATCACCTGTAGTTCCACCCTCCTCCCTGTTGTCATCACAGGGTTGATCCTCATTGTTATTATCCTCCAATTCTGGGCTATTCACGAGGTGCATGTTGGCACAATCCCTCGTCATCTCACGCAGGATGGTAGGATGTCCAATCCCATAGGGTGTGTAACGCATGTACATATCCCAGTCGACAAATCTAAGTGTTCATTAACTTGAGTAGGGACAGCTAGATAAGGTATGGCACTTACATGCCAATGTAGTATGCTTCCCAATCATCTGACTGGTCATCTTGATGTGCAAATGACTTCTCATGACAAAGTGAGGTTGTTCCGCACCTGGAAATGAAAGCTGGAATTAAATGGGCACCTCAGATGACTTGGCTGGGATCTAGAAACCCAAAAGCATCATAATCAGATTCCTCAACAAAGGTGACCTTTGGAAGTCAAGCGCAGGTCATCCCTGATCAGTGGCCAGCCACAGGTGCCAACCATCTAACATAAAGAACTTCGAGTTGTTCCTTTTTGACCAGGCCTTCAACATTCAGCCATACATCCAGGTAATAGATGCCTAAAACATGGGCATACAAGTATGGATGTCAGGGCCTTGTTTTGCCAGATAACACCATAACATCAGAGTATGTCTGAGGATTTATGGTGTCATATTCCCGTTGAAGGTCATAAGTCATGTAATAGACCTGTGAAATTGTGAAATTGAATGATTGTACACTGATAAGCTGTTGATACACATGACATACCCACATCGTTTGAATAGCATATAATCTGTTGTCCAATATTATCACTAAATTGCATTCCTCGTCAGTAAACATATGATCACAATAGGTGATGTCTAACTTTCAGAGGCAATATAGTATATGGTTCTTGAGTTTCGGCATGAATGCCTGCACATTGTTGTAAGCAAGACGAGCAACAATAAAATTAATACCTACCGTTACAGTTGGATCATTATCATGGCCTCGAAGAAAATGAAAGATGTCCAACAGATTATTATGGCTAAGTGTCAGTATATAGTGATGATCCTTGAATGCCGCAGGCAGGTCAACTGACACTTGCTCGCTAGTAGACAAACTATGTACTGTTTCTGACACTTGCTGAAGGACATGACGACGTTCGTGCTTGGCGAGTTGCATTGGAGTATTGAGTTTACTGGTCAGAGGATAGAATGCTTTCAGTGTTCTATGTGCCAGCTCTCCCTGCCCCGAAATGAAATTGAGATGAGAATATACAAGTAGCAGAAGTTGACGTACAATTTGCGATGTAAACGAATCTACTGTCCCAAAGAGCCGGATCAAGTATAGATAGTCTCCCATGGCATGAAATTTATAAGTATTGATATTGAATTTCTTTGTCCTTCGGCCACCACTCTCCATATCCGGATTGCCTAAGGCCAAGCGTTGATGTGCAGCCCTGCGCTCGTGTGCAGCCTGTTCTCTTGGTAACTCCACAGTGGTGAAAGCAGTACAGGTAAAGCTTCTGAATCTGCGCAATTGATGAGAGAGGCGCTTGAAGGTCTCCTCCAAAGCCAACAGAGTGCTTTCGGAATGCATTCTCAGTTTGGCGAGAGCATGCCATTGAGCAAACCTGAACAAAAGCAACTGTATGACCTCGTCATGGCCTCTTGGAAAAAGTCCTTCAAAGACTGGCATAGCACACTGAGTTGGATGTCAGTAATCTACACCACAATTCTACCAACTAGGCAAACCTGCAAAATGTCTTCAAAATCTCGGGCAGCAAGTCTTTTCACTCAATTTTTTGAATATCATCAGTCTGAACTGTGCCAGACATTCAACAAAGGTGAGTCACAAAGGTTGAACTTATGACTTACAAGAATGCTCCTAGTAGTACTGGGTGTCATCTCAGGCCGTAGTAGCAATGGTAGCAATGATTTAATAGATTCTTTTGCCCGGTCCCTTCTTTTCTGTGTAGCCAATGTGCTTGCCTTCTGGTAGTGTTTGCATGTCGAGCGATGATGGCTCAATCCACAAAAGTCTGTATCTCTCTCCCAAGAGCAACATGATGTACTGCAGGACACCATTGAAAGAATTGAAATTATCACAAACAGAGGCCAAAGTGTTTGAGATAAATGCATTCCCGAGCCCTCAGCCTAGTGACTAGTACTAGAATGCCACAATGATGGGAGTCTGAGAGACTGAACACTCTGATTTCTGTCCAGAAACATCAACGCTAACTCAGAAGCATGGTGTATTTTCTTATTGGACAATTCCATATTTGTCGATTGATTCATAATAATGAAATTTGATTGATTCATATAATGGAGGAAACACATATGTTACTGACTACATATTATGAAATAAGATGTAGCAAATCTTACACTGACATGGATATTATTAAGAACCAATATGACAAAGACTATGAGGGTACAATGAGAAAGGTGAATGAGTGACAAATTGCTAGAACAACATACACAAGACAGTATCACAACACCTGTAAAATCCACTTGGGCTTGTAGTCTGGCAGGATGTTACTTGCTTTCTCCACTTTCTGTGCCCACTCATCTTCCTCGCGTCTCAGAAGCGCTAGGAGTTGGGTATACTGACGAACACGGGACTGCGCTGCAGCATAACTTGCATACACTGTATTGATGGTGAACTCGGTAAACAGCCTATCCTGTTCATCTTCGTTCGATTCAATGTTGTCAAGCGACATCTAGTAAATCGCCCTTAGTGCTAGGTGAAGCAAGGGAACCTCAGTAGTATGTACTAAATATGCTTGGAGCTCATGATTGCATCCAGCTGTGTCTAACTTCACAGAGCAGTCCAGTTCTGCAGGCATTTTGGACTTGTCGCATCCATGAACAAAGCACAAAAGATGTGCAGCAGTTACAGGGATGTTAGATACAGATGTCATGTTTTGAAGGTTGATGGTTAAAATATACTATAGTATGGTTGCGGAGCCAATGTTCTTGAATAAGTCATCCATGCCTTTATGGGGAGGTTTTAATCGGAGTTGGTATGTAAATACCTCCGACATACCAATCAACATTACGGAATCTCCCTGTAGGACAATGCTAAATGTATTCAGTGCCTAGAACATGGATGCTCAATGAGTAGGCAAGCCCGTGAGCCAATGACACATTGAGCTAGGGCTTTGTAAGCACATGTATCTTTGACATCTCCTGCACTTGCATAGATCATGCCTGTGCACACAGACATATATGTGCACTTTCTCAGAAAAGATCCTCAGATTCTCTCTGCCTCATGCCCTCACCTCCCTGTTCTCGGCACAAGCATTTTGTCCATTTCACTCATTGTCCTACCGTCGACTCAATTTTTACTAAGAATGACTTCTTCCACACCTCCTTCTGGCAGGTCTGTCTGTACTCATGACCAAATTATTGCAGAAAATGCAGCGATCACAGCCAGAAATGAAGCCTGTCGTGATCACCGTGACAGAGGCAAGGCCAACGTCGATAATGACAAGCCCCTACTTCCTCTTCCAGCTACCACCTCTGTTGTCTTCTCCAACACTAACATTAATCATCCTTCCACCCCCAATGCAACCACCTCATCTTCACAACTGGGGGGTCATCCCTCAACTCTTCAAGCTTCTATTCCAAATGTCAGCACCATGATGGCCGCCTTTGCTAATCTGTCTCCATCCAAGCTCACTAGATTACATGCTTCTATTTTTAATTTGGCATCTACCCCTTCTGCACCTACCCCTTCTGCACCTACCCCCTCTGCATCTACCCCCTCTGCATTTACCCCGTCTGCACCTACCCCACCTACTGCTACTAGTAATGTCATTTCTACCATCACTACCAGTACCATGCCTGCTCCGAGCCCTTCTATTACGTCTTCTTCTCTTCTCTTTGACATCAATAATGAACATGCCTCCTCCATGTCTATCTCCAACACATATGGTGTTCATACTTATATCATAGAGTTGGCCAAGTGCCACCAGCATATCCCACTATCCATTCTCACTACAAAAGCAACATCTCATCTTTTCCTTGAACCCTCTACCTTAAAGTTTCTAACGCATTACACTTCTCATCACAACTCAGTGCCCACCAAGTGCCACATCCTTGATGTCTCTCAATTCCCCGCAGAAACCTCCATATCAATTGGAGAATGGCACAAGGCATGGGCCCATTTTTTAAACTACTCTCTGACCATGCCTCCCCCAAAATTCTTGAATGATGGACCAAACATCACAATGAACTTCAACAGCACCCAGACTTCGAAGGACACTGGTTGGCCATCCTGGCATTTGACATTGAACAGCATGCCTCATATATTGCTGATCCCCAACCACTCGACAAAGCTAAGTACCATTGTCAATTTGAAAGCATTAAAACCTGTGTCCTCAGGGAACAGTGTCTTAAGGAAATTTGAGAAGCCTCCATCAAATCTCATCACTTCAAACCCTACCCTCCACGCGACTTAAACACTTGCAAGCCACCTCCAATGGACAAATCCTGTCAGAACTCCTCCAAAACTGACAATGAGCATCCCCCTCCCATCTGTCTCTGCTGTGGCAACATCAGACACACCTTCCCCACTTGCACCTCCACCACAATGCTGTTGGGTTCAAGTACATACTCGAAGGTCATCAACAAACAACTCATTTCCCATGCAACCCCCGACATCAAGTACCCGCGTTGATTTCAATATCTACTGCAATGGCAAATGCACCTGCTCCAAACACACCCATTGTGAGGGAGAGATCCACGGATGTTCCTTCTGCAGTTCCCCAGACCACAGTGCCTGCAGCCACAAGTGTCTGGGTAACTGATCCCACCCTCATCCCTTTCTTGATATGGCACACAGACCACTGTACTTCTACTATTTTACCTCCTTGCCATGTATTTCTAGATAATCTGCATATTGTTCCCACTGCATACGACTCTGATCCTGAATTCTCAAAAATTTTAACACCCTACTCTGCAGATCAACTTGAGATCTTCCTTCACAAAGCCAACCTCCTTGATGCATACCCCCAGTTACCCGACAAACTCAGATATGGCTTTCCTCTTGGGAACCTTGATCCCATCAATACTACTTATGCACCTCCTAATCTCCCAAGCGCTCTCAAACATGACCAACTCATCCAAGAGTACATTGAGGCAGAGCTCTCTCTTGGCCACTTCAGTGGCCCCTTCACACAATCCGAACTTGAAGCAAAGATCGGTCCATTCTGCTCCTCTCCTCTGCAGGTTGCAGTCAAGGAGGAAGCACTGGGCCTTCCCAAAAAATCCTGTGTTTGTTGCAACCTGTCCTACAAGGGCTCTATGGGCCATTCCATCAATGACAAGATCAATGCCAAGGAGTTTCCCACTTGCTGGGGCACTGCTCAATTGGTGGCTGACTTCGTGAGTTCCTTTCCCTCCTAACTGTGCCTTCCTGCACTTCCTCCTTTGCTCAATCGCTACCATGATGCACTTATGACCTCACGCCCACCTGATGCTGAGGAGTTTGTACATCATAGGCTGCCGAGTATCTTCCCTCCTTCCTCCGAGTACTCCTTACTCATGTGCACCTTTCCAGGTTGCTACAGCTCCACCAGGCATGCAGGCCGCATCCCTTGACGTTGAAGGTGCATACCGCACCATCCCAATCCTTCCAGATCACAAACACTACCTGGTGGTATGTTATCATGACAAATTTTATATGGATCATAACCTTCCTTTTGGTGCTGCCTCTGCAGCTGGTCTTCAGGGCGAGGTTGCTGATGCCACTCAGGACATCTGGGATCACACAAATATTGGACCCTCCTGGAAATGGGTGGATGACTTCTTCCTCGTTTGTGTCCCAGATCCAGATGGTCCCTTTACCAGTATTTCCAATGGCATCATCTACCACTATTGTTATGACCTCCACTCTGCCAAAGAATATATTGGCCCAATCAATATTCCATGGCACCCAGTCAAAGGTGCTGATTTTGGCGATATCCGTGATTATGTTGGATATACCTTTGATTTTCCCAACTGGTCTGTTGCCCTTCCCGACTCCAAATGCACCAAATACCTCTCATGGGTTCAGTCCTTTATGCATGACTGTGAACATAGAATGGTTCACAAACAGGACACTGAGAAGATCACGGGGACTCTCACCCATTGCGCCTTTGTTTTCCTTCATGGCTGTTCCTATCTTTCTAACCTCTATCATTGGATCGCAGACTTCCCTTCTGAGTTCATCCTGTGCTACATGCACTCCACAGTCAAAGTGATCTTCAACGGTGGATCAACACACTCATTCTTGACCACTCTCTTCATCTTCTTTCCCCTTGCCCCCCCACTCATGACTATGGCATTTGGGTGGATGCTTCCACTGGCTCTGGCATTGGCATTCTTTGGAATGGCCTTTGGGATATGTGGCCCACTATCAAAGGATGGTGTGAACCCATTGGTCACAACATTGGGTGGCTGGAGACTATCACTGTTGAACTCGCAATCCATGTCACAATCACTTTTGGTATTTCCAATGCTGACATTCTTATCCAAAGTGACAATGGAGGTGTCATTGGTTCTTTCTGAAAGGGACATTGCTCTAACCTTGCCTCCAACATGTCTATTCGCTGATCAAAGGAAATTCTCAGGTCCTCCAAGGTTTCCATTTCTCTTATATATGTCAACATGAGCATCAATCTCACTGACCCAATTTCACACAACATCCTCCCTCCCTCCACGCAACACATCCCTTTTTGCACCCTCCTACCAAAAGAACTTACTCCATTCCTCACTAATGTCCCATAACGTCGACAATGCAATGGACGATCTTCTTCGTCTTTCCCTCTATAATACCCACAAACAGGCCATTACACACCCTGACGGTCGTGTCCGAATCCCATGCCCTCCTTGCAAAAACACAATCATCACCCCTTCACCTCACCGACCCCATGTTTTAGCAAGTGAATGCATCCTCTTATGGACCACTCCCCACAGACTCAACTTTCAAAATGAACTCTTGCAATTGCTTCCCAATTCCCTCGTCCTTAAAATATTCTTGGTGATGATCCAATCTTTAGATGAAGACACCTGTAGTAATTATGGTGCCAGTCTCTTGCATTTCATGCAGTTCTGTGACTCTCACAATTTTCCTGAATCTGAATGCATGCCTGCTTCAGCAAGCCTTCTTGCAGCCTTTCTTGCCAATGCAGCAGGTACCATCTCCAACAGCACGGCCAACAGTTGGATGGCAGGTCTACATTACTGGCATGCCGTAAATGGTGCTACTTGGTTTGGTACTGAATCTGATGTCCTTCATCACATTCGACGAGGCATCACTAAGCTCACTCCTCCCAGTTCCAAAAGAGCTTGTTGCCCTCCAGTCACCCTAGACACCTTAGGCCAACTAGCCCAAGGACTAGACCTCACCAATTCCTTCAACATTGCCATATTTGCTGTTGCATGTGTTGCCTTCTGGTCCTGTTGTCATCTTGGGGAACTACTAATCCCTAGTCCCAATGTTTTTGATTTAATCAAGCACATCTCCCACTCTATCCTACTGATCTCGGTACACAACTCACACAATGTATGTTGCACCACTTTCCATATTCCTTGGACAAAAACCACTGGCATGGAGGGTGCTGATATCAGCATTACTGAATGCAGCCACTCAACATGTCCACTTGCAGCCATTATCCTTCATCTCAAGAGCAATCTTAACATCCCTGCTCATGCTCCCCTCTTTTCCTCCGAAACAGCCAATGGTTCTTGGTCTCCCCTTACAAAACCTTGGTTCCTCTCATGCTGCAATGACATCTGGGTTGTGGCAGGTCACCCAACCATGCCTGGTCATGCATTCTGCATTGGCAGAGCCACAGAGTTGTTTTTAGAAGGGGTCCATCCAGACATAGTTGCCATGCAGGGCCGTTGGAAATCACGTGCTTTCCTAGAGTATTGGTGTCAAATTGAATCTATCTTGCCCCTCTTCATTTCCACCGCTATCAACTCCCCTCTTGCAATCTCACATCTAGAATCCACCATGCTTAATTTTCAATGTTCACATTCTCTACCTAATACTGCATTATCTCACATATAGCTGTACTCACATCTGTTCTTCTACTAATTCCCCTGCAACATGTGTTCCTTTCTTGTGTTCACATCTCATGTTGTGTCGGGTTTGGGTTCCTCAAAGAGGAACTCGACCATAGTCAAGCTGTGCTCACTATGGTGTGGTCTTGTTTTTCCTCTTTGCAGTTTTCTCTTCCCTCTTCCCATAACTTGAGACTAACCTTTTCATGCTCAGAAGGTTTGGCTTTTTCTGTGCACTCAGCTTGTTCTCAACTTCTTGTTGACTCTGAACACCACACTCAAAAAATCCTCCCAGATCGCACCTACAGCCGCAGCCTGGCAAGCCAGACCTTCCCCACTGACTACGAAGGCAAAGCCTTTGTAGTCCAAACCCACATCTTCCTGACATCATCTCCACTGACATTCTCTCTAGACATCATCTCAAACATGCACAAACTCTCACCTAATCTCATTTTTTGCAAGTGCACACTGACAATTGATTAGTCAACTCTATCCATCATAAGACTAATCATTGTCCCCACAGTCACATCCAGTGTAGTGTCAATACAAAGCATACAAGTCTAGATACATGAATTAACAAGAATGTACAAGAACTACTGTATGATACTCACCTCAGTGTAATGTTAGGACAATGCTGAGGTGAGATGATGAGAACTGTTGAATTCTGAGCAATCTGAGACAGATGTTGAGGAAGCCGATGGATCCAATGAGATAGGTACAAGTGGGAGAAGGAAGTCTGAGCACATGATGCAGTGCAGCCAATAGGCTGCACCCTGCAATACTGTACCTCTATGTATGGAGGCAACTGTAACATGTTGGAGTGGTAAGTACTGCCAATGAGAAGATGAACAATGGCCTGCTGGAATGAATGACTATGACTACAACAGCCGCCTGTGTGGGACCTGTGTGCTGACTAAGCTACTCGACCCTCCTTCATTGGCTCTATCGACCTCTACTTGCCTTTGCTAGCCCTTGCTGGCTCTCTCCCTCGATCACCCCCTACTAGGGGGTGCCCCACTCCATGTGCCCCCCTTAAAAAAAACCTGGTGGCGTCCTTGTTGCCCACTCATGTCTCCTTTCTGTTCTGCTTGTGCCCTCTCACCTCCAGGTCTCATTTATCCTCTTCCTTCTGACTCTTTGTCTTTGTCATCTTGTTCTTCCTCATCCTGGTTTTCTTCCTCCCTTAATACTTCTCCCACATGCATCTCTTCCACTCGACTCTCATTCTCTCCTTGCTTTGCTAGGTTTTCTTCAAACATTTGCTGTTCTTCCTCTAACTTGGTGTTTTTCCATGGCACAAATGTGTGTAATCGTCTGGCATGGAATTCTCCTGTGATATTCTCTCCTTGCAATGTTTCGAGTTCATATGAGTTGCATATCCATGCTGTGATTCAATGAGGCGGTGACCACTTAGGTAGCAGTTTCCATTTGGTTTTGAATGTGTAATCCAAGCTACTGCAATAGAACTGAACCAGTTGCCCTGTATAGAATATAACCTCACCTGGACTTTGCCTGAGGACACGCTTATTGAACATGGCTTTCCTTTTGATTGTGTGTTGCACTGCTGTGTCATAGCCATCGAGCTGTTGCTGCACCACATATGCCATGTGGGTTGTGATGTCTGCTGTGCGTATTGTTGATGTGCAGTTGCTGAGGTCTGTGTGCAGTGTGTTGACGACTTGCCTGAGGAGCAGCTCCTTTGGTGAGAATTTGAGTGCTGGTAGTATCCAATGGTTGAGTGCAGTGATTGCGTCATCCAGGTGATCTGGCCAATTCAGCAGAAGTCTATTCCACGATAGTCCTTCATACTCATCCTCTCCAAGGCTTGGGGCGCATAGTCACTTGAGGATGTGTAACAATATTTTGTTTGTACCCTCCACTAATCCATTGATCCAGGGTGAGTATGTGGCTACAACGTGAGTTTTACAATTCCACTTAGTGCAAAAGTCTTGGACTACTGCATTGTTGAAGTGTTTGCCCTCATCTGACATGAAGGTTTCTGATGCCGTGAAGTTCCTGAAGATCTGTGATAGACTGTTCACTGTCATTTTTGCGGTGCCTGTTGATTCATACTTAAATGCCCATATGTGTTGCGAGAATGTGTCTAAGTATACTCCAAGGGTGTTGTATCCTCTGGCTTTGGTAGGGCAAGATAGTCTCCTACTAACAACTCAAAAGGATGTCACCATGTTATCAGTTCTAACAACAAGTGAAGGTGAGGTGTACCAAAGTTTTTGCATTTGCTACAGTTGCTGATAGCTGCCATGATAGATATGTTGAGTCTTGGGCTGTAAATGTGATTGGTTAGTGTGATTTTGATGGCATCACATCCCCAATGACCCCCTTCTGCATGTTGCTTCACTGCTAGTTCCTTTGCTTCCTCTCTTGTGATGCATTCTACCTTGGTTCGTGCTCATACTGCAGTTCCTCCACATAGTCACCATAATTTCCCTTCTTGTATTAGGTACTGTGAGGCTTGGTGCCTTGCACATTTCCGATTGTGGACTTCTCTACCTTGGTCAATTTGCAACATTGCCTCAATGACCTCCAGGAATACAGGTTTGTTTGCAAATCTTGTCTGAAGACTTGATGCCATGGATTCATTGATATTAGTAGATATTAGCAGTAAATCATTGATCAGACCCAAATTGGACTCCCAGTCCTTGCTAACTGTCCATTCACTCCCATCAACCAATCTGACATCTTGAGGTTGACCCTCCCATTGACGACTGAGGCCATCGGTGATCACATTGAGCTTTCCTGGTACATGTCTCATGTCTACAATATTGTGAGCAAGTATTCCATCTCACTATTGTGCATGGGCTGTATTTAGATGATTACTGATGAGAACATCTTTCAGGGCTTGACAATCAGTTTTGACCTTGACTGGAAATCCCCAAATAATATCTGAAAATTTATCTAGTGCAGATTTCAGTGCAGTGAACTCCAATAAGAAGGGTTTGTAGTTCTGTTCCATTGAGGATGTTTGTTTCGAGGCGAATCTGATTGGGTGAAGACATTCTGTCCATTTGCCTGCTGGATTTTGTGTGCATGTTCTCTGTGACAAGACCGCTGTGAAACCTTCAGCGCAGCCATCAGATGTTATGACAAAGTTCAAGCCATCATACCTTGGTGCCTGTAGTATGGGCTTTGACACCAGAGCTGCTTTGAGGTCCAAGAACACTTTTGTATGTTGTTCTCCCCATACATTTTGAAGCTTAAGGCTGCACAAGGTGTGTCTGTATGTGTTCTTTGTGTATGGGACTGTCAATGGTGCCATTTTGACTAGATCCCACAGAGGTCCTTCTTGCCTGGAATAGTTCTGGATTAAGTCTCAGAAGTGACTGGTGAGCCCCAAGAATGATTCAAGGTTCAATGTGTTGGATGGTTGTTCCCAGTTAACTGCTGTGGTGAGTTTTGCTAGGTCTGGTTGTACACCTTTGGGTCCTACTGTGGCACCTGCAAATGTAGTTTCAGTCATGAATAGATGACACTTTGTAGGAGAGAGGGAAATCTTGCGCTTGTGACATCTCTTGAATATTCACATTAGTTTCTCCATCATCTTGTTGAAAATATCTGCTGCTGTCCCTCCGTCATCGATGAACAGTTCCATAGTGCTGTCTACTAATATATTGTGCAGGTTAGTTGCTGTCATCTCTGAGAATGTCGATGGGGCACCTGTCAAGCCCATTGGCATTCGTTTGTACCAGAAGTACCCTTGGCCTTCAACATAGAATACCATAAAGGGTCTTGATTCCTCTGGAACTTCCACAGCATAGAATCCAGATGCAGAGTCAAATACTGACATGTACCTATGACCACTAAGTCACAACTGTTTGGCCCTGATATCCCCCTGCAGCATTGGCACTATGTTCGTGACTCGGTTGACTTCATTGAAGTTTTGGCATATTCTCCACTTCTGTGGCTTCTTCGCTAGATTCTCCTGCTCAGGCCCTTCAACTACCTCCTTCTCTGGTAAGGTAAATGCTGGGGGTTGACTGTGTTGTGAGCATTGTTTGTTGACTGCTCTTTGGAGTTCCTCTAGTGTCATCCCCTCCTGCTCGTGCGCTTTTTTTGCCAAGACTGTGTTTGCACAACACTTAACAAGTTCTGGAGGTGTGTGCTCAATGATCCCTGCCTTCAGCATTCTGTCAATCTTACCATGCAGGAACTGCAATTGTGGTGGCATGAGGGGTCTTTGATGGACTCGTAGGTTGAATGTTGTCCTATCTGGTATGTTCAATTTGTGGATTGCCCCTGGTACCAGTCTGACTTCTCCTAGTGAACATGCAAAGATGTCAGCATATTCAGCAACTAGCACTTTGACCTTTTTTAGTTCTTCTAGGGTTAGGTCTTCACCATATTGAATGTGTTTGGTGATCCAGATGATTCTCAGGGGGTTATGTGGGTCTGTGAGTCATGTGTAGATCACTGTGTCATTTTTCAAAAAGTCAGTGGGGATTTCATTCAATAACTTGTCTAACTCAGCCAGTGGTATAGGGTCTCCATCCACATTGATGCATATTGGATGATATCTTTGATTTCCTCTTTTCCCTGTGTGCTGGTTCCTGTGGGTTCCTTTGTGAGTACTGTGCTTGATTTGAAATCATTGACTCGCCTTTGAATATCTTCTGCTTCTGTTTTCTCTGTTATTTCCTGTATTTCTTCTATCTCCTCACTATTGATGATATTGGTTTCTCTTGCTGGTATGAGATTGTGCAGTATTGGCTTGCCTCCAATTCCCATGACACTGACTTCATCGACCTCATAGTCATGGACTGCCTTAAATGCTCATAGTAGTGGTTTCCCAAAGAGAAATTTCCATCCTCCGTCACTCTGAAAGACTTCAAATTCTCTGAATTCTCGTACCCCTCCTATTATGACTTCTCCCTTCCATACTGCTTCTGATGGGATAATCATTCCATTGGCCATGCAGAGACATTTTGTAGATGGGCTCCAATTTCCTAACTGGTGTTTGATCTGATTAAAAACTGACACACACATGGCACTAATCATGGCACCTTCGTCAAATAGCACCTGGACCTGTACTATCTCTCCTTGTGGGCCTATGAATGATGTGTGATGTTGAAATGGCAAGCAGTGTTGAGTGTGGTGCTCATTGTTCTTATCTTCCTCCATTGAGTACAAATCAATGATCTCACAAAGCTCATCTGCTGTTAATACACTAACAGAGTCTTTGCCTAGAATTGTTTCAATGTGGCTGATGGGCTGGTCCTTGTACGCTGCCTCTTCACATACGAGGACCAATTGTTCAACTGGGTGAGGTATGTGCTTCATCTGGGTCATCTGGTGCTCCTCTATACTGACAACCCTTGTCCTTTTCCCTGCTCCCATTGTTGCGCATATTCATCCTCAAACATCAGGTCGATCTGCATTGCAAGCCCTCGATTGAAATTCCCCAGCTCTTGTGCTGCTATGCTGTGCCATATCTTTTCTTGTATGACTAACTGTGATGCTTCTGGCACTGGACATGTTCCTGCAATGTGTCCATGGGATCCGCACTTGAAGCATTCTCCAGAGCATATCATCACACTGCCTGGGCAGAGAGGGAACTGTGTGTTCTTGTTGACTCAACCATCCTGCCCATACTTTGTGAACCACTGCTTCAATTACTCTTCATATGCAGATATGCCTGTAGTGGTGTCTGGTTGGTGTGGGATGTTGTTGATTCAACTATGCATTATCTCCTTTTCCTCCAGCAAGAGCAGTTGATGCTGACATGCTGGTGGTCTAGTCATGGATGTTCTGTGTATGTAGCATATGCAAGACATTGCATTGTTGGGTGGATAAGGTGTGGTATTTGGTGCTGTGGTTCCCAGTTGCATGCTTCCAAGATTGGTGCATTGGAGCCGTAAGTGTAGCACTTTGATTGTGTCTGTCTGCAGACCTTCCAACCTGGCTAGTTGGGCATTCTGCACCTTCTCTACTTCCCTCTTCTTCCTTCCTGCTTCTGCTTTCTCCCTCAGCTTGTTCATATTCAGGGCCTTGATCTCATCTAGGAACTTCACCCAGTCTGTGAGCCCTGGGGTGGTGAGTTCTTTGATCACCATGGGTAGGTTCTCTCTGACTTGGTAGACTAGGCCTGCTGTTTCACTCATTCCTGCTTTGTTAACAAGTTGCTGTAACCAAGCATGGAACTGTAGGTGGGCCCAGGTTGGGACTCCTGCTACCACGACTTGCATTCCTAGTTCTTCCTCATCTATATGCCATGCTAGTATCTCTCACTGATAGTCGAGGCCTGTTTTCTCTGTGATAGTGATTGCTGGCCATCTATTGGTGAATGCGGTTTGTACGTCTGCCCATATTGTTTTCTTTGAACTATCTAACTTGGTCCACCATAAATCTGTGATAGATCCTGCTGAGAGGAGCATGCTGAACACAATGACTTTTGCAGCCTTGGTCTTTAGATTGCTGAGGATTATATAATGATCTACCTCCTTCAGGAAGTTCTGGGCATTCTTGTCTGGTTTGCTGTGGAACCATTCCAGTGTGGAGTTGCTTGTCATTTTGCATGACACTGGGGGTTGGGTGATCGTTTGTACTGTGAGCTGCAAGTTTTGGGGCGTTGTTGAAGGTATTGGAAACATTATAGTTAATGGTTTCACTGGTGTCAATACAATGGGTACTGAGGCTGGTTGCAGGGTTTTGTGAATGGATCTCTAAATCTGTTCTGTTGGATTGGGTGGGGGAGATGGAACTTCTTCGGTGGGCCAGATGATAATGTCTGGATTAGGAGCTCCTGGTAGTGAGTCTAAGTCAGCTTCATATTCTCCAGTGTCTGAGGTAGTGCCTTCTAGGGTGCAATTTATGACTTCTGGTGTATCTAAAGGGGATGAGTTAGCTGGTGTTGTGAGTGAGGAAGTGGTAGTGGAAGAGTTTAGGCTTTTATCTGATGCAAGGAATCGACCATCTGGTCCTTGTTCAGGTAACATTTTGCATGCTTTCTTGGGGGCCATTGAGAGGCTTTTCTATGTTCTTTTCCTGAGGCCATGCGTTCTACATGTGTATGTTGGGGTGCATTTCATTGACATTTTTAAGGCTGTGATGTCATGTTCTTGTCCAATCAGCTTTTGCTTTTAATATCAGCAGTAGCTTATTGTGAAACCTGAATCCCACTCTCCTCACCACAATGGAGTGGTAAGTACTGCCAATGAGAAGATAAACGATGGCCTGCTGGAATGAATGACTATGACTACAACAGCTGCCTATGTGGGACCTGTGTGCTGACTAAGCTACTCGACCCTCCTTCATTGGCCCTATCAACCTCTACTGGCCTTTGCTAGCCCCTGCTGGCTCTCTCCCTTGATCACCCCCTACTAGGGGGTGCCTCACTCCAGCATCACAGGGCCTTGGTTTCATTGCTAATTTACCCCACCATAATGTGTCACAAGCGGTCAGTTGCTAACTGTAGGTAAATATTGTAGAATGCAAACAATTGGGCGCAAAAATGACTAAAACTACTTTTTCACTGCTGTGCCAACTCCCTGCTCATTTACTAGTGCCCATATATTCTCATTATCTCCTGCTGCAACCAGTCTGTGCCTGTCACCTCGCTGTACATCATAGACACAAAACTGTGCAGTGTCTGCAACTGCAACATCGACCCCCTCGATCCTGAAAATATCCTGAATGACAGCGCTACAAGGCATGTCAGTGTCATCACCACCAGCTTCAGCATCAAGCTGAGACTCAGGTGGTTCATCCTTCAGGCCATGAATGATACCTGTGTGATTTTTGATCTCGTCGTGAAGCTTCAGGTGGCTGCGCAGGTATGAATTGAGAACTGTTTGTGCCTTCTTGCTTCTAAGGCACTCAGCTGAAAGGTTCCACTCTTTCGCAGTACACTTCTTCCATGACTGCAATAATATGTATGCTTCAGTTGATCCATAAGTTGAGATAATCATGAATACCTTTTGTACCAGTTCATGTCCCAATGGACTTGTCATAAAATCATAGACCTCCACACTTGCAGCTACAGATGCATCTTGTAAAATAGGCAATTATGTTGTGAATTTAACTTGCTCTGGTGTTATTCCATCATTGATCTGTTGCTGATGTGAGTCAACGAGAAACTGAGTTTGATGCTGTTTCAAGCAGTATTTGATAATGCAGTTAAGTCCTACATCAGCTGGCTGAAATATGCCTGTGCCTATGGTAGTATTGTCAGTTCTCAACACAGGCTATAACATAAACAGAATTTGGCTGGTCACTTACAACTTGCAGGCATGAAGCAAAGGATAATGTGTGGGAAGCCATCAAAGACATATGTACAGAATTCTTGACCTGCATGCACAGGATAACAGTCAAGGTAAATAATGGAGACCTGATCATCATCAAGATCAGGATCTATTTCAATGACACTGACAATAAGGTTCAAAAATGTTTTCAACCCACTGATGGTCCATGAGCAAAGTTGCAACAATATTATGTAAACAAAACATGCACTTCTTTCATGGTTTTCAACATGCTAAAATGACTGCCTTTCTTGTTACTCTTTGCAAATGTGAAGTCAAAGCCTCTCTCTTGAGCTTCCATCATTTTGTGAGCACCGGGTGATGGTAAAAACTGTTCCGTGCTTCCGGACCAAACCTGTTGAAAGGGTAGAAATGTCCCTTCAGGAGTACTTGCCACCAGTAATGTGTAAGCTCACTTCTCATCCTTCACAACAATATCAACCTGCTTTGAGCCACATTCCACAAAGGTGGTACCACTGCTCAGAAGGATATAAACACCAATTTGGTCAAAGCCTACCACCAACTGAACAATGATTATACTGAGACTCTCCTGGGCCATGATAAGGATAATTTAACTTACCTTTGGAGGTACTGAATGCCATTTAATAATATATACAAGGCAGAAAAAACACTCTTTGCATTTATCCTCAGCATCTGATGGAAGCTTGGCAGCAACACAGGTTCCCTTGTGAGGAGTCCAGTCAAGCACACTCTCAAAAAATGAGCGAACAAAACTCTATGATAAGGTTAGCTTCGAATCACATAAATGAGTGACTAATACACAAACCTCAGAACACTTGAACAGTGTAAGTAAATCAAGAGCTTGATTATTGATCACTGCTAACATGATTGCTCTTCCAATGATGACATTGACTACAAGACCTGATTTACACAGTGCCTGAAGCTTCTCCATGATCTCCTTTACAACATTCAGATGCTTTGCCAGCACACCAGACTGCCCCAATCCAGCCAGTGCATGACAATGCTGCACATTTTCAAGGATCACCTCGGACCATTGTTGCTTTGAGCCCTTGTCTATCCACTTTTGAACAGTGCCTTTGTTCAGATGCAAAAAAAGGGCTGGATGCTCTCTCTCAAGTCCCTTGGTAATGGCTTGTGGTGACCAATCAAATTTATGAGCAGCTGCATCAATATGAATCCAAAGGAGAGGGTGATACCAGTTTGTCTGCTTGTGCCATTCCTGCTTTGTTCCACCACATGTTCCATTTCACTGATCCTTCCAATGTGAATCTGATTGAGACAGTTCCACCACATCTAATGGAGTCATAGATGCAGAGTTTTCTCGCAATGCCTTGTCAAAGGTCAGTCATTGTTCAGTGTGCTTGTTTATTGACTTACCTGATTGATAGGAGGTTCATTTTGTCTCTTTTCAGCAGTGACAGCAGCTCTTTTTTGCTCACAATGATGGTGTTGCCATTCAGCTGCTCCTTCACATTGTCTCCATTCTCACTCCACCCATTCTTCTTCTTCCTTGGTTTGCTTCTCTTCCCAGGATTCTCGTGTCAAGGCATCTAGCCTCTCCCACTGCAACTTCTTCTCCCTCTCAGTTTCAAGTGGTTTCCACCTCAAGTTGTCAAAAGTGAGCTGAGTTGGCACAGTGGTACTCCAGTTAGGAGGTGTAGGCTTAATTTTTCCAGATAATTCAACCTTCAATGTACAACTGGATTGAATTGGAATGGTGCATGATTCCATTTGCTTGCCACCATCTGATGAATCTTTGCTGGTCTCCATGACACTCGAAAATGAACCACTTCTCGCAGGCTTTGCACATTGGGTTTTTGCCTGTTTTTCAGGACTAGAACTGACGTTGTCATCAATATTCATTGGATTTTTGTGCCTTATAAACAGATGAGTTTTGAATAAACTCTAAATGAAAAAATAGCTCACTTCACAGGAATTTTTGCACCCTGTAGTTTTGTGGCTGTTATGAGTCTCTTGAGCCATACTTCATGCAGGAATTCTTGTTCAGAGTCCTTCTCCAACTGTTTAACAGCAAGTTTGAACATCTGGATGAGCACTTCACACTGCTTTCCTCATTCGTGGAAAACAATGGTTCCATTTGGCCCAAGTTTGTGAGTCTTAAAGCAGACTTCAAGGTTCCTATTGAATGCAAACCAAACTCCCTCCTCCTCTACAAGTTCAGTGTTGAGGCCAAACCCATATTGCGAACTCAGAGGGTTAAGTGGAAGGGCTGTAGGCAGATTTTTCAACAGCTCAGCAAGATGATGGATACAAGAGATGAGCTCTGAGGATGGGCTCTGTTGAGCCATCATTTGGTATGGACTGACAATGTACACTGCAGTTAATCGGTAGTCTACTCATGCTATGTCAAAATTCTCCTCCACAAGAGTTTGAACCTGATGCCACTCTCTGACAGTTGCTATTTCGTTCTGATGTCACAGGCAATCAGACAAGGTTGCTAACTTTGCAACTGTGGCAGTGTGTCATGTGTGATCAATGGTTGCCTCCATACACAGAGGTACAGTATGCCTGGAATGTAGCAGGGGAGTTACAGAGGCCAAAGAACATGACATTGGGTTCGAATAGTCCAAATTCCATGGTGAATGCTGCTTTCCACTGATTGTCTGGGTGAATCTGAATATTGTTATAACCAGAATGGACATCCATTTTAGTAAAATATTTCGCATCATGGAGTTGGGCAATAAGGATTGGGGGAAGAGGAAGTGGATAGGAATTCTTAATCATCCAATCGTTGATGTACTGATAATCCTGACAGGGCTGTAGTTCACCACTTTTCTTTCCAACAAAAAAGAACCTGCTTGCTTGAGGGGATTTCAATTCTGAGATGAATCCTTTCTTTACATTTTCATTGATAAAGGCCTTGACCACTAACCATTCCTTTTCTGACAGAGGGTAGATTTTCGACATTTTAGGAATGAAACCAGGTTTAGTCTCGATTTGGTGATCAATACTGGGGTGTTCTGGGGGAAGCTTATTCAGCCCATCCTTTGTGAAAATATCAGCGAAATCATGAAGGTAAGATGGGACCAGTTCCTCAAATGACTTCTTTTTCTGTTCCACCTCTCTGTGGGCACTGGCCATGGCAAACTGCTGTGCCTTGTTACTAAATTTAGGCTGGGGTGAATTAAGCTTCTGCTCAGCTTTTGAGGTACTGTCTCGGGTAAGGAGAGTGTCAAATGATACATTTTCAATGATACACATCTCTGACCTGTCAGTCTGATATTCAATAAGGACATCATTGTCGTGTAGGAGATAGGTGGAAACATCAGTAACAGGCAGTTCATAATTCTCCCAAATATCTTCTTTAGTATCAAAGATCTTTGATATTTCATCAGGGATAGATGGTACCAATTCTTCTTCATCTGGGATTTCTTCTATGGAGGCAGACAAGGGAATTGTGGAGTCAACACATTCAGGCTTCACAGATTCTTTCCGAACTTTAGAATGAGCATACTTAGGTGTTCATTTGAACAGTGGTGGGAGTCCATTCTTCTTCCATTCGATATCAACATCTTCTTTGATCAAATCAGATTTGGGAGTACAGGGAAGAGAGAGCATGCCAGCTTTCCAGCAAATCAGGGGATCCATGGCATGCAGCCAAGGGATTCCGAGAAGAATCTGATCACATTTTCCTAAGTGGGTGACGTTAAATTTGCCAATCATGGCACAATCATCTATCTTGACTGTCAAGACACAATAACAAGTGATGGGTCTACTTTTGGAAAGGCTTCCATTGGTGGTGGTAACCTTGAATGGCTTCGAGAGACGATGAGTTTGGATCTTGTGAAGCTTGATAAAATCTTCAGAGATAAAGGTGCTGGCTGCTCTGGAATCAACAACAGCGGTGGTTTCAACAGTTTTCAGATGAGTTTTGGAAATAAGTGTCATTGGAATGTGAAGTTCCTTTTGTTCATTGATAGCCTGTACAAGTCATATTGTTACATTGGAAGATACTGACATCGTACCAGTCTTCCACATCAAAAGTCCTCGGTGAGACAACAAGTTTCAACCTTGTCTTTGTCTTCTTCTTTTATCTCCTCCTGGTGCACTGGAACCTTCTTCTTCTTCTTGTCCTTCTGTGGGCACTTAGCAGCCCAGTGGCCATGCTAGTGGCAGTTGAAGCAGAGCCCCTTCCACATATGCCTACCATGTGCTTCTTCATCAAGGCAGTCCATGTCCATAGCATCATTGTCCTTATGCTGAGGTTTGGGGTTTGGACAGTAGTGATGATTGTACTTGGCGGTGGTAAGAGCGATGGTAGTATTGTCCCAGTTAATATTACTGTTTATCTTCATGACAGCCATAATGTACTTGTTGAAGTTGCTGGGGATGCTTTCCATCATATGGATCGCTCAGATGAGGCTGGGCTGTAGTCCCAAATTAAACAAATGGGTGAGGATGTGGGATTCCTTGACGTTGGCGATGGTGATGAGGGCATGGAACTCAGCGATGTAGGAAGTAAGATCTCCCTTTTGCTTGAGTTTGTTAATCTTATTGAGAGCAACAATACTCACATCAATGGGGATGAATATATCTTTGAACACAGTTTCAAAGTCAGCAAACATGCCATACTTAGCTGTTCTCCCTTCACACACCTGGTAGAAGGGTGGACACCCATGAACCGGCAGTTCCTTCTGTCATATATGTGAGGGCAGTCATGACCTTTTTATTGTCAGTGTTATAGACAGTCGCATTGATGGCAAAGTACACCTTGACAGAATACAGCCAGTGCTGTAAGGAACATCGCATCTAGCCATCAATTTGGAGGTCTTACAGGCTTGAACTCCAATGCTTGTATCACCACACTCAGAGTGTGCGCTATGGCACATCCATGCACTTCACACACGCCTCACCCTTACCTTCATGCATTCGCCTGTCCATTGTCCTTGCTGATTTACTGGTGAGTCATCTCATTTACTATGAAAGCGCTTACTTCAGATCCACACATGCACCTACACATATAGTTACCTACATACTAATCGCTAGTATTTGGGAGCACACATTATTCGGCTCAGTACCGCACACTTTCATGCTTATAGATACAGTATATATAGACCTTACTGGACAGGAGTTCACATGCTTCGCACACTCCCCACTCCTTAGCTATAGTTTGACTTTGAGAGCATTGAATATATTGCTTGTTTTATTGCACATTCATGCTCACGACAACCTGCGCGCACCTTAGAGCACCCTCCCTCATTGCAAAGAGAGTCCCTTGCTCATATTCCAAGGTTCTCCCTCTCAGTAGCTGTCCTACAGGCTGAGTATATACCTCGCACCCAGGTCTTACTGCAGAGTTCTCTTCTATACTCATTTCCCCCTTTTCATCTCTGTAGCTGAGCCTCACACTTCACCAGTTTCAGGATTCTCATCTTAAACTCAAGAATGCATAGTGGGACTGGTAGCATCACACATCCATGTATTCCATATCATTCGATGGCTGCATACCACCCAAAATGTAAACTGGGGCAGATGCTGGAAGGAAGACAAGTACATCATAAGAAGCAAAGTGTACCGGTGATCAAACACAAAAGGAAAGAACATGAGATTGTCTCTCATCCGACCTTTGCCATTAATCCAGCACTGAAGCTTAAATGTGTCAGGGTCAGGTTAGACTTTTGGATCTCAAGTGATGGCCCTGGTGTAGTGGCCACATTAGATTTGCAGATTGAAAGATGATGAACACTGCAGTCCCAGCAGGAATACAATGGTTTCCCTGCAGGTGAATGTCAGGCTCTCCTTTGCACAACAATTTTTTAGAAGACAACTTACTAAAACCATGTTTTTATGAGTCATCCAGGGAGGAAACCCTGCAGTAAGAACAATGTAAAAGTCATAAGTTCAGCACAAGGGTTCAGCTGGGTGCAATCTGATGTGAGATGTGCTTGCACAGCTGCAAGCACCCAAGAACAGCCATACTGACCATGCAAGTCAGATGTCCCTTGTTCGTTGTTGGTCTCTACAGCAACAGAGATCGGGGCCACATAGTACTCATCAAACTATGGATATACTAATCAGCCTGTGATGACCACAAGGGGAAAAAAATTACCACTTGTCTAAGCCTATCAAGGCCAACATCAAACAATGCCTTGTCCCACTGATGTTCAGCATATGCAATCTTGACATTGGGGTCGAGTGCTTCAAAGCTGGTAACTCATCAGTATCATCATAAGTGAAATGGTATGAACATACCAAGGCAAATAAAATATATGTTGGTATCCTTTGTTTTGTGATACCACTTCACAACATTTTCCAAAGCCTTTTGAATTGCGTCACTGACTTTGGAAAATTGAGGGAGCTTGGCCATGTTTTCCCATGACTTCTGTAAAAATTCAAGGACAGGAATCATCTGCCAGACAGAAGGGTTGCATGAGCTAGAAAAGGTTTGTGTAGCACTTGCTGGTTCCTGTCATTGTTGTCAGTGTATAAAGAATATAAAACATGTAGCTAGTCATAATGATGAACCTGTAGAACCTCATGCATTAACTTTAGTTTTTCCCAGTCCCTTCTGTCAAGTTGAAAATCTGCATAGGACTTCCCTTTGAGGTTTGGAACATTTTCGCTGTTGTCAGTGAGCTCAACAAAAAGATTGATGCCCTACTGAGATGCCACAGTTAGCTTAGCTTTAATACATAGTATACAAGAGAGACTTGCCTTCTGAAGTAACAGCATGTGTGAGATGAAACTATGCATTGAAGCCCAGCATGTCCACACCCACTGCATCAGCTCAAGGGTAGGAACATCTGCCTGCTTACATGATTGAGTGAAAAAAGCGTGAGCCTGTGGTGATGCACAAATCTGTCATATGTACCAATCAGTAGAATATCAGAAACGAGGGCTGCAAGATAGCATACCTGCTTCACAAGTGCTAGTGCCTTTCCAATTGTGTCCCCAACTCCAAATTCCTCATCATTGTCATCCTCCTCCTCCTGGTCACCCTCAACATCGACATCCTCTAAGTCAGCCTCTAAAGCATCCAGATCAACATCTTTACCTTCCAGCTGAGCATGTTTTAATGCTGCCTTGATCTTTTTGAGAAGCTTGCGAGCTGATGTCGGCGAGACAGTAGTGACAAAACATCTGGCAGCAAGGTTAATGGTATGTTCCATACATCTGTTCAAACAGTGAGATGTGCAACCATGTAGATGTGTACTGCGGTTACCTGACATGACCTTGTACAGGATCCCACATCTTCGCACCGGCATCCTTATTAGCATTGATGATACCAGCAAAGGCATCAAGGCACGTGTCGTTACTCAATGCATTATCACAGGTGAACCAACCAACCTGATTGTTATTTAGTATCACATAGATTAAAAACAAATGAAAACTTGCTTTTGGATGAAGACTATACCAGTCAACTGTGCACACAAGTAAATTAGCCATATTTGCTCCAGTATGGCATCCTTCGATGGGTGAAAAGGCCAGCTGCTCAGTTTGCAGTTTGCAGTCATTAGGTTTATCTGGTTGCGTGTGGATATAATGGCTGGTAACAGACAAAAATGGATCACCAGGGTTGGATGTCCAAGCATTGAATGTGAACGAAACTTTTCCAGGTATGTCCTACAGCAAGTCCACTGTTAAGATGGTAGATATCATAAAGAGAAAAGAAAAACACCTTGAGAATATCTTTTAGACAAGCTTCAGTAGCTGCTGCTTTCTTCATGATTTCCTGGCAAATGGCCTTATGGTGTGGAATGTCATTGTCAGATAAAGATGGTTGGAGGTAAGTTAGTAGGCAACAGAATGGGCATTTTTCCACGAGTTGGAATGCCTGTAGTTTTGAATTAGATATTGCTCCTATCTTGATGATGAATGGTATAGCCTTACCTTGTCCTTGCACACAATCAACTCCATGACATAGTCAAGAAGGCCACTGGTTGTAAATGCAGGTGCGTGTGGCTGATGAACTATGATCCCATCAAGACTTCATTGACTGAAATGTATGTTAATGACCAAGTCAAATGTCAGTGTGGGATCAAATATACCTGTCAAGGGTTCCAGTTGCATTGGACCTTGGACATGCCCTTTCATTCAAGGGAATACCTAATTTCTTGCAATGTTCTTGATAAACCTTGATATGATCACGATGCCTGTATTCTGTCATCAGCATAAATACATGAATCACTGATATGGAATACTTGCCTTGAGATATGAGTACAGAGGGTTGACATGCTGCCCTTGAAGAAGCATTGTCTTGTGGCAACACCATTCTTTCTAGTGAACACAGTTTTAGGCATCTTTCAAACAAAAAATCGGAGGCCTACTGGCAGACTGTGCACATGTGTCCTGACTCGACCAGCCCAGTATGTGGGTCTACATAATCATTTTTCTTGACAAAGATGGTATGAACATCTGTAGTTCATTCAGCCTTAGGACAGCGAGTCAAACCCTAGTTTGTACATGAGAAAATTGCAGATGAAAACAATCCTAGTGACTCACCTTACAGTCCACATCTCCCATAGCTTTTGTTGATGCATATGCACACTCCACATCATCCTCAGCTTCAGTGTCACCACCTACTGCATCAGGATGGTCAAGATCAGTACCACCAATATCTACATCACCATTGGATTCTCCATCATGAATGGAAGGAGTAGGGCTTGCAATAGTCTTGTGTGCGACCCATCATCTGGTAACAGCTAGATCATTGGCAGCTTTTCATTTACCTTGGGCAGTACTGGACAATGCAACATTGTCAGGATCAAGTATCCTCATTGAAGGTCAGGGTGCTCGAGTAGAATGACAAGTGCCAGCTATGATAGCTGCAGGGGGAGCAGCACCAGTAAAGAATGGGTGTAATGGAGTGGTCGTAGATGAGGAGGGGATAGGGTGCTCATCATCCACATCATTGAACCATACCATTTCGGACGCATCATTTAGCTTGCCATTTGGGCCAACAGCACTGTCAGACATCATGAGTTGTGTTCGGTCAATGAGAAGTCAGTTTGCCAGCTAATACACCTTTCAAATAGTGCAAACAGGTCATGGAAATGGAGGTGCCGATGGGTTCAAGATATCATTCAATGATAGATCAAGACATATCTTGCAACAAATTGCATGAGTCGCCAATTGAAAATCAAACATAACTTTGTCAAGTGATTTTGAAACATAGTGTCATCAAGGAGTCTGACTCACAGATGTGTGCCACTGAGAGTAAAGCCTCAATATCTGTCAAATTAATGTAGATTAATGTAGATCAATCACTGTATAGAGCAAAATCATATACAAGATGAGGGAAAGAAGTTGAGCTTGTACCACGGTTGACAATGTGTCAAGCAACTTGAATCACATGAACCAGCAAATCAAATGTAGATGCGGCCAGGTATATCTTTATTTCACTTCAAAGGTACAATTAATACTGATATTAGACTACAACATACTGCTTTCAGATCTCCCCCGGTCTGATGTATCTCCATGGTTCGAACAGGTTCAGCAATTCCTACAGGTTGTTGAACCAGGAACTGGACTGACAGTTTGGTTCCTCTCATGGCCCAAACCTTGGACTGGACTTCGGTCAAGTTCATAATGGTTCGAGTTCAAACCACAGTTCTGAACTGAACTCGGCCATCACTATCATGTACAGGACAGGAATGACAGTAAATATACTCACTCATAGGGCCCAACACCTCATCCAACACACTCAGTGATGGACATGAGGAAGGGATTGCTGAAGATTGGTCCTGAATTTGAAGCAACATTGAACCGATAGAACTGTGATTAGAAATATAGGGGTGCCTCTATCCCCTGCCGATGACTGTATCAACCTCAGCCATCACCTTAGCTAGCTGCTCAGAGAAACTTCTTGTTACCTCCAGCACTGCACACATTACTGCAGTAGTCTGACACCTGATTAGCCACACACCATTGGAAACAATGATAATAGTATTGGATCCAACTCCAAAGAAGGTGCCAAAAAGAAAAGCTATCTCCAGCTATGGATCTGTGGTTTTCTAATATGAATCTCGTGAATGATGGACCAGCATCTGCATTGCTTTACTATGGAATAGTTGTGACACCATGTGAAGACCAACAGATTAGACTCATCAAAGACGCCTACCATTTCCTGTTTCACATAATTCAGTCAAATATGTTTATCGAAACTAAGTATCAGTAAACTACAAAAAAGGAAACTAAATCAAAGTCAGCCACAGAGTTCATGACAGCCATCTATACTGGTGGTGGGCAATCCCCACCAGCAAAGTGGGATGCTTATATAATCTTCTCACTGCAGTAATGGCAAAGGAGATTGAAACCTCGAGTTCTGCACTGAACTAGAAAGACTCTTACCTCATACTCACAGGTGAATATGATTGAAATAATCCTTATTATAATGTTATCAGAACTGAATGTGTGATTTCGCATTTTATTGCAAGATACAGTACCAATGAAGCTTCATTTACCATCTCAAAGGGTGATAATAAAAAATCCATTCTGATAACATTGTAGAGGAAGTAAAAATACTCCAAAAGTTCACTGTGCACGAACTGGAAGAGTGGCAGGTTCGGTGTGCAATCACTGTGGAGGAAGACACCCCCTATGCAATATAAATTCTCAGCCACAAGCATGAATTTCTAAAAATGCATCATTACACGACTTACAGTTTCAGCGCATGACACATGTCATAATGCTCCTCAGCCTGACCTGTGGAGCCCACATTCATTGCCTCGTCAAATTAATGATATTATAGACTTCATTATAACTTACCATGCCTTCAAAACACTGAGAACAGCCCAGATCTCACAAAAAACAATACTGTAGAGCAAAGAGAGATCAACTTCAATGTGCGTGTGACAAATGATGGGACAAAGAGAATGATGCACCTCGAAATGCCCCACTTCCCCAGAATCTCTCTGACAAGGTCAAAGTCCTCAAACAACAACTTGCTGAGTCACAGCAAGCTCATGTGGTTACTGAGACAATCCTCGAGAAGACTTGCACTGCACTTGCAGAGCTGGAGGATAGGGTCCAGCACATCTGGAAACAGCTCTGTCTCGAATGCCAGAAAATCTGGCATGTCAAAGCACAACTTGTGACAGCACTCCAGATGGCCAGCCATTTTGGAGTGGAGAAGCGAATTCCACTCAAATCACACCTCAAAAGCAAGTCACACTGCCTTGAGCTCCTCAAGAAGCTTTCAGCTCACCACTCCGCATGTTTACAAGGTGAATCAGTTGCTCATGATAACAATCTCAATGGCACAAATGACAAGACTTAAGTATATTAAACTACTTCCCTTGCAAATACTGTACGCAACTTCATCAAATAATTACACACTGCACATAACATACTTTAGCTGTAACATACAGTAATTTTGACCACAATACAATGCACAAAAACTTGCTGTGGCATTAGAAATTGTGTTGGTTTCATGAAAAGAGTCCATTCAGGGGTTTTTGGCTTATATAAGCGTCCTGCTTTGTTGGTGGGGATTGCCCACCACCATCTATACTATTAGTTACCACTTGCTCCTGCACACCACATTTTGTGCATGCCTCAAAAACCACACTCTACCTACTACAAAACCTTCAAACTGCTACATCTATTTGAAACAATAATACACAAGAACATTTTATGAGTAAGCCATCGGAATTTTTGGACAACACGCAGTGCACTGAGCTTTAAATTTCCCCGATAATTGATGCTGGTCAGGTAATCTAATGACACGTGATATTGCTCAATCGATGTAAGACTTGAGTACATAATGATCATGAACTTCCAGTCCAGGTTCAACGTCAGCGGTCACAGTGGTAGCGAAGAAATCACCAAGTGTCCTCATACTTCCTAATGCCTGTAGCCAAAATTTTCGACCAACGATAGCACATACCAAGTACATTCACATGGGTTGTCTTTTTACCATAAACTTGAATTGCTTGTGATACTAAATGATGTCCAACAGGTCCGACATGGTCAAGTCAAGGACTTGGGCCGCTCCTGCTCTGAGTGCTCACCAGCAGCACTGAAACCTTGAGGCTCAGTTAGGTAATGATAATCATTTCAACTCTGAACATGACTTAAAGTTAAACCTTGCTCGAGATACTCAACTTGAACTTGAAACTGGACCAGCACGACCATGATGAGTCCGAAGTTCCTTTAAATTGACAGCCTGAGATGGAAAAAAAAATAGTATGTTATGTGTTTTTCGTTTGTTACAACTATAGTTCACTAAATGCGCCGCATACCTCATGACAGGTCCTGCGAATCTTTCATGGTTTCACACTTTCAACCCCATGATGGAGGATGTGTGCAACAGTGTGCAGCCACTAGTATCAAGAAAATGTTTGTATATCAAAAAAAGGAAATATATTCAGGTGTCCAGAGGATTTATGAAGTATATCCCTTCGAGTGGAGTGGGAGACCAAGAGCATCCCAGTGCGAGCCCTGATCTTGACTCACAGGGTCACACTCCACCGATGAAATCACCCATGACATTTCCAGACTCAGCGCACACACCACTCTCATCACTAACACCAGCATCACCTGCTAGTGCGCCCCTGTCGTCTCTACAGCCTTCATCCATGCTCCCATCATCTGACAGTATATCACCTCCATCAACAGATTTTGAGTCAACCCCAGAAGCACAATCCCAAGTGATTGAGACCCAAGCCATCTTCAAGTTGCTGCAGGCACTGGCATCAGCAGTGCCTGAAATCAGCAGCCCTGAATTCGCAGATGAGTCGCACCTCAAGGAGTCAGAGGACTCAGAGTATGATAAGTTGTTTGAAGAGATCATACAATGGCCTGGGGTATAGACAAATCTTCAATTAGCGCACTGACTCAATATCATACTATGTACAAACTCACATGATTGTAAATTTCCTGCTAGTCCATATTAAGACAATCCAAACTGGGCAAGGCTCAGTGACAGGTGTCGCTGACATAAGATCAACTCCATGACTTTAGGGTGATTTGGCTGCTCAGTCAATTACTTACCTCTCTCTCTATTCTATCCTCACAGCGTTAAATACAAGGACAAGGACAAGAAAAAATTACAAGGTGAGTAATCTCCTCCTCACTCATTCATTATCTCCAGTCAAAGATTAGACACTGACTCACAACTCCTATTGGTAGTGTTCACTACCCATATGCATCAGCACACAGAATTTTACCCCTTGTGCTATCGCTTGCATTGTTTGTAAAGGTGATTACTTGTACTTTAAATTGTAGTGAAGCTTATAGCGTGTACCAGAGAACTAGCATGGTGCTGCCTGTGCTGAATCAGTGGCCTTTTTCTCTCTTGTTCCTGTCCCTATGCTCATTCCTATTCTCGTCCTCTTCTCGGTCTGTTGCCTCTCATTATTGTCTATCATGTCCCTACGGCAATATATATATCATGTTGTGTAAGATTCTGATGATGCTAACAGACCAAACTTACTAGTAGTACTAAAACCACTTAAGACTGCGCCCTCATTAGCTAAGCTGATGAGCCACTGTGGTATTGATACAACGATTGTTGAAATCATTCAAATGTGTTTCTGACATCCATCATCATGTCAAAAACTAGTGTAGTTTTCTCTATATATCTGTTCCCTGCTCCTGCTGGCATCGAATCAACTCCCAAGGAAAATGCCTCTGAGCTCCAAAATGGACATAGTTCAGCAGATGAACTCCAATATTCAATGGTTGAGGACACCTTTGCAGTTCTACCTCCCATCAAAACATTAGATACTCTGAGTCCCCCCAGGGTCAAGCACAAACCCACTGCAAATCCCAGTCTGAGTGCATCAACTCTATCGAGTGCACGCTTGCTAGAACGCTTTACTCACTGGGCAGCCAAGACCAATCTCAAGTTGAAGTGCTCGTCATCAGGTGAATGTTTAGATTATACTCATGGTACAATCTGATACTAATCATTTACCTTCAAGCTCGACGTGTATACAACAAGGTCTTTCAGTCCATTGAGGACAAGTCTCACTCAGAGTTCATGGTGAGCGCCCATTCTTAGGCCGATGTGTCTAAGTCTTCATCTGATCGTCGTTTTTCAGGAGATTTCTAGTGTTGGACCAGAGGAATATGCAGCAATAGAACAGATTTGGGGTTGAAACCCAGGTGAGTTCTTGCTCAAGTTGGACCGCGAACTCGGAGGCTTATGAGATGCGCAATGTTTGAATGACAGATTAAACTATATTTGTTTGGAATGTACTTTATTCATTGAAATGCCTTCAGGTCTCCACGAAGCTCCGATGGCCATCATACAATCCTCATTCCACGACTTCTTTTGCAAAATACCCTACCCCAAGAGGCGGTTTCTCAAAATCAATTTGTTAACCAACATTACAAAAGATGGCACCATCCCCGATCTCAGGATATTGATGCAGAATGTGCGCAATCCCCAACTCACCCTCATTATCCCTGCCATTGGCCAGACTGCATTTACACAACATCTTGCTTCCTTATCCATAACATTGAGGATGGCTGTTGAAACCAATTCAGCACTACTAATGATTATCGTCGCGATAGTCCAAGAGCTCCATCCATATTCTTCACCTGTTAAGGGTTCAAATGCATTCAATGTGTTGCTCAACAAGCCACAGTGCAGTTGGGATGACTTTCACCCTGCGGTCGGCGGAGGAGACCTGGCCCTTGATTGACCAATAGTCGTAGAGGGGCACACATGGTGCTTGCTGAGATCCGTACGCTTCAAGGTGTGGCTCCAAGGGACAGAAAGCATTGATATCAATACCATTGATCCAAATCTATTCGCCCAGGGGGTAAGATTCCTCCTCCTCAAAATTTATATGCAACTGATTGTTTTTCAGTCTCTCTTTCCACTTGACAATAATATGACTGCTGTGCACACCATGATTAACAGGGGTGCCGAAGCGATCAGGGAGACCCTCATCAAGCTGTGTCAAAGCATGGCTCCTGAAATGGACCTTGTTCCCCTTCGAAATCCTGATATTAAGTTTTGATTGGAAAATGAGGATTTTATTGATGGACTTTTGGCGGCTATGAGCAAAACAGCATATGATCGCTATGCAACCTGGTACAAGAATACGCCCCAACCAAGAAAGCGTGGCAGGGCTGCATCTCAAATGGATGGACCAGCATCCAACACTCAACGTTCTCAGAGGAGGCAACACTAGGGTATCCTGTCATAATGCACGTCTCACTGTATATATCAAGAATCACTCATATAGTGGTACCATAATATGCATGTTTGTTATTTCATTTGTCAATACGTGATTTCCGAACCTGACAATGATATACTAGTAAATATAAGATCTTTGAACATGAATAGCACTTATATTCATGTTGGTTTAGTACCATTCCACAGACTTTGTCACAGCAGAACTAGGGAAACTCCAGCTCGTATCATATATATTTCTTTATAAATTGGCAGCTGCAGCAAGGTACCTTTCAACTGTCCAAGACGAATGTTCACTGGGATGAGATTTCCACCCCCATTTGTTTTGACCATTCAAAACAAGCACTTGAGTTATACATTGTCTTCTGAATTCATATCATTACACTCATTGCTGTTAGTTCACCAGTCATTATATGGCTTCCATCATATCCTAATCCACATTAAGACAATCCTCATTAGGAATCATTCAATCATTTAGCGAGACATTATATATAATGGTCCAGGTAGGTTTCTGACTTGTCACATCTTGACAATTCTCTCTATCTTTGCTCCTTATTTCTCTCACTTGTCGCTCTTTATTTACTCTCTCACTCATCACTCTTTATTCTCTCAGTTCACTTCACCCCTTTACCCCGCCCTAACTTCTGCCATGTCTGAACGAGAATCAGAGCATCACAATCCGACACACACTCTCATGTTTCCAGACCTCTCTGGGGTGGTTCCTACATCTGTGGAGGCAAGGGCAAAGCATCGCATCACTGTGTTGGAAGAGGAACTGCAAATGATGCAGCAAGAAAAAGGAACCAAGCAAAGGTTCATTACACAACATCTTACTCGCCCGATGCCTCTTGCTTATCTATTAACTCTCAAAGAAAGACAACTTACTATGTTTCTCAAGGCAGGGCGATTCACTGCATGGTTGTTCTATATACTAGCCTGGAAGATTTGATTGCCAAAAATGATCGCAGATACAAGGAGCAACTGGAGGAGAACACCACAGAGTATGTCATTCATTTTGTTCCACACTACGCTTAATTCTATTTTTCAGACAAGATCGCTTGCAACGTGGTTATATCACACTTGCGCAGGTTGTGCCTTGGCTACACCCCAAGCTTTCGGAACTTGACATCGATGACTGCGAAGATATGCTGAAAAAGGTGCATGCTCTCAACTCCAATGCTTACTGCACTGCATCCTAATATCTTGCAGTTCAAATGAGGGGCCGATGCGGCCCACAGTGACGATATGTCAACTCTCAAGGACCTTGTCGCTGCCTGGGTCAATCAAGATTTCCGCCCATTGTGTCTACTGAAGGCTGATGACAATCACTCCTGAGGCTTTGTACATGACACTTGTGGGAAGCTGCTCTGCCCTTCCGAATGGGACTGGAGTGATCCCCAGTGAGCACCAAACTCTTTTGGCTCATTTATGTGATGTTGACGCTTGAGAAGAGTGAAAGCCGGTATTTGCAACCAAACATCTGAGTATATCGTATCAGAAAATTCCTGGCCACTCTTCCTGTATGAGAATTATACAGTGGACAGCAACAACCTCGAGGAAGGTCTTTTCAAGTCTAAGATTCTGGTGCAGGTTAGTAACTTGTCTTAGTAGTCATAAAATTTACTCCAAGTTTTTATGGTGCTAGGCTTTCAAAGCTACATTTACATCTCCGTCTTCGGCCAAAGAAGCTGATGGCGATGGCGACAGAGCCAACATCTTGGAGAATAACAGGCGTGCTAGGCGTGCATTGAACCAAGCCAAGGTTAAGACATGCATGGCCTCCATCATCAATATGAGGAAGGTCACTGCTCGTTCTATCGCATATGTTGTTTGCCAGGTGAGTACAAGTGATTACCCGCCATTGATATACATACAATCTTTCACAGGTTTGTTTCGCTCTATCGGGTGTCACATCTTGGCGCACCATAGATGGTGACTTTGATTATGAAATGTTCTGGAACAACATTGTGGATTTTTTCGAGGACGTCCCTGGCCCTGTTGCACAATGTAGGGTGACCCAACTTCTCAAGTGGTGGACCAGGTAACAAATTGTCATGCCTCATGTATCTAATCTCTAATCCTACTGTCTAGGAAGATTTTTGGAAGAAACCATCATGAGGACCTAACACCAGACGTCATGTCCAAGATGTCTGTCACTGCATTAGCCGAGCAGAGAAAGGCAATAGAGGATGCCGTGTTTGACTCAGACTAAAGTAATCTTTGTACCTCACTCAATTATTTCACCATAGTTACTTTAACATCATTGTAATGTCATTTACTGGTATATATGAATATTGGGAACAGGTCATATTGCTTGGCGTCGGTGTACAATCTACTGCAACATATATTACACCCCCACATACTGCCAAGTTTGATGGACACTCTGAATGTAAATAACTGTGCAGGGTGCTGCAACAACTCACATTATGTCGCCTGTATGCAGATCACCCCATGGAAAGTTGATCATCCGCAATCTCCAGCTAAAGAGAACCAATTGAGGACCCAAAACATGAGAGGCATACTCAGTAGGTGATATAACTGTGGCAGATGCTAGTATATTAAAATAGATGTGAACGGATAGCCAGCTTAACAAAAAAAATCGTTCCTCTGGGGAATGATCTGATCTTGAGACGAAAGCACAAAGACTGAGGATAACTTACTAAATGAACTTCTGGAACTACCTTTCAATCCTTTCATGACCCCATCGTCATGTCATTTATGCTTGTAACGGCAAAATAATATCACAAGCCCAATTTGTGATATCCAGAGTGCCACTGGAACAGAAAAATATTAGTTATTGCTGTTATTTGACTTTGTCGAGGCTGGTCAGAATAGACTGACTTCCACCATGAAGGTCAATCCGGACAGGCATGCCATATTGTTGATTGTTGCGTGACTTTCGTGCAGAAAGAGTTGCCTGCTGTGGTTAGCACTTGGCACCAATTTGACAGTCTTGAGCCTCAGGCTTAGCATTTGCCATATCTTCAAGACAGGCTGATCTTATATTAATTGGATAAAGTAAAGATTGATGTTAGAGTAGGGTGTTGTGTCGGTTTGTAGAAGGAAGCGGCCCTCATCTGGTATATTTGTAGCGCACCATTTATGTCATATGATTTGTCATTGTACAGACAGTGTGTGTCTTGAATGAATTGTAGATGCAATCAGTAGAGGTGCGTATGTTCGATGCAGAAGTTTTCTTCGGTGACTATCATATGGGTTAAAACATATTTTGTTGTCCCCATATTCATCATAGTTCCTCCAAGCATGAAACACACCTCCTACGTCGCATGTTTGACTTGCACAAAATTAAATTGGGGATGGAGCACGATCACCAAAAAATGTCGAATGTAGCAGATTGCCAATATCTGGCTGGATATGGCACTTTAAACCAGCAGTTCGCAAATATGCGACCACCCCGTGACTGTGTGAATCGGATACCACAAGCAAGATTTTACGCCATCTCAGCCATCGTCGATTGAGTGCAAACTGCTAAGCAGGGCCGGAAGCATACAATGGGCCAAACACACTGATGATGGATGCGATGTGAAGTAATCACAAGAGTCGGTGCGAAGGGCATCGTGGACCTCTCAGTCGGCCTAGGCAATTGTCTATCACATGAGATTTGAGTGCCTTATAGGCCACCAAGTGACCAGGCTGTCAAACTCGATCTCGCGTTTTCTCGTCATACAGCCAAATATTGAGAACAGACATTCACAAACGGGAGGAAACGTATCGACTTTCACATCAAGTAGTCTGTGTCGACTAATCTTCGCACGACTGAAATAATGCACACCAATTATGGGCGCTGACGTCTGTGCCGACGTTGATAAGTCTAGACTACAATCAACTTCCTTAGCCAGCGTTTTGTATTTCCTTTGCGTTAAAATTCGCTCAGAAGATAGTGTCTCGAGCACACCACAACTTGATTGGCCGTCTTTGAAACACATTCTTCCTACATAAGGTTATATATTGTCATGTCAACCCTCCCTCCATATTTGTAGACATTGTTGCGATTGTTATCAATATATGGTATAATATGGTATTTTAATATGTTCATCGGTTTACTGATGATATACCGGGTGTCAATCTTGAGGTGTGGATTCTGATCTTTGTCAACGTGGCAGTTGTCCAGGGACCATTGATGCTTGGACTGCATTGCTTGGAGCTCATCGCGAATGTCATTCGAGACGAAAGGCAGTGGAGATGCGCTACCAGCAGGAAAGGACTTAGCACGGCGACAAACCCGGTGAAGATGATTTTCACTCATCCGATCTGTCTCATACTTTTCGTCGCGAAGCCTTTCCTGCATGAGTCATTTGCATATAGTATTTTCATCGGTGTTATTGAACACGACGATCACAGACTGGATGTTTGGGTGTTCGTTCACGATAATTGACTTTGCCTATTCAGGGACAATATCATCTCTGGTGGTAGGCATGTTCACTGCCCAGGCTCGCATTTACTGCCTATGTCAAACTGCTACGAGATCCTCACACACTCGTGCAGATTTAGAACTTATGCATTGCACTGTTTATATTTGCCTGTATCTTCACTTTCGTCGCACTGCGCAGACCGCGCGGTCCCCAGCCGGCTACATACGGCCACCTCCAGACGCTCGCCAACCTCGTGGATGAGTGGTCGCCTGTGATGTGGTGGGGACACAAAGAGGATGGAATTCCGTACTGTCATGCTGGTAAGGTACTTATATGCTCGCAATATCACTGCTTTGACACTTTTACAAAGGGACGAGCGATCACCCGCTACCGGATGTGAAGATGGACTGTGTTTATGCTGGTTCCGGTGCTGGGTCTCTGGTACCCCTCTCATGAGAAGTACTTGTTTTTCTTTTTTCAAAGGGTTCAATGATACGCGTACAATTTTTATGCTGCTTGCTGCGCTGTAGGTAGTGACATTATTCCAGCTCGGACTTTATAATACCATGATGGATGATTGGACAAATCTATATGAGTTGTAGAGGATGGAATATGAATCAGAAGCGTACAGGTGGGGCTGTGAATGCCAGTGAAATTGGCGGACATTAAAGAATCAGAGTCTCGGTAGGATCGTATCACATGGTACGTACTACTTGCTGTGGTAGGCAATATGTGGTCGGTCTATATGTAGTGACCGACGAACAAATCATTATCAACTGTATATCTGAGATCTGAGCGTGCATCATGAGTGATATTAACTGCATGGGAAATGGTCTTGACCTGAAGTAGATGACCATCACATACCCTCAATTTAAACATCCACGAAAACGAGACTGCGAATTGTCTGAAACGGTCACGATCTCCTCAAAATCTCCTACAAATATCGAGATTCGAAGTCAACATTCATCGTTCTGCTGTTTCGGAGTGCGCTTATCGAGTCCACTACCGTAATACACAACACCAATTCTCTTCGCAACGGGAACAGATCGGATACGAAGAAGTCATTGTCAAATGGCAATCTGAATATCAAGCTGTGCCATATGTTGACGTCAGCAAGCTCGAGAACATCACCATTGATCCATAACCTTGTTTGAGCCAAACCTCAGCATCAAATGCTCTGCTTGCGAAAGATACCGAACACTAACGACGGATATGAAACACCGTTGACTATCAGTTGAGCAGGCAAGTTGATACAAGGCAGTCGCGGGTTGCAGGTCACGTAAAGGGCAAAATCATTCGATGTACACCAGTGGGTGAGGGAAATTGCCATAGTGGGAGAATATGGCACTGTCTTTGTGTAATCTGTAAACCTGCATCAATGTGGCAGGCTGAGTATCGTAGTTTGAATGCGTGACTGGCAAGACTTACCATTAAATCCTGTACTGCTCTGCCACAACTCATTATCTCCGACGACGAAGGCAACTTCAATGTTTGCAGGGCAGGTATGAAGATGACAAAAGTCGTGTCATGAGGACGCAGGATTAATGTTGAAACGACAACCAGATTTTGTGGAAAAAAAATGTCGGAGGCGGGATGCGAGCAACAAGAGTGAAGAAACAGGTACTGCCCAGGTCGGTGTGCAAACCAAGGCTGAAATCTGGGATGGTGCGTGAATAAGTTAGCTGGTGAATATGATATGGCATTCAGTTGGCTGTTCAGTGATGATTGCAACATAGGTCGAGCTATAGAGTCTGGGGTCACTTCATTGTGAGTTCCGTAAGGGTGTTCTCCGGGACTTTGTTTGCTCAGGGTTTGAAGTTGATGAGTTACTAACGCCATGGAATATGGGCGTAGAATAAAGCTGAAGTACTAAGAAGCCAGCATATGCATCAAATCGATCATGCTTGCTCTCGGAAGGGCACATATATGGCAATTGGATCTAACCCTAGAACAGGATTTTGATTCACCTCGGAACAATATCACACAACCACTGCTTAGCACCGCTCCTGCATCACTCTCTACCAGTGATAAGCTTACGCTTAGCCTGTTTTAATGCAATATAACGACCCTATACCCTGATAAATACCGCGTCACATGGCCGTTTTTCCATCATGAAGTCGCACCATACACCAGAGGCTATGGCCATAAGTGAAATATATTTAATCTGGGTGTTCATAATGCCCACATGCACTGTTCATCCCCAACAGGTTTCTCTTATTCCAGCATCCCCAGAACGATCTCTCCTCAGTCTCTTTATCCGTCTAGTCCGAGCCCCTCTTCATTCAAGACTGTCTTCCCTGTGTCTGCCTCCCATGGCAGCTTCTTCCAAACCGGCAGATGAAAGTTCGCATCCATACGACGCACTCCCGAATGACCAGGACTTTGGCTGGATGATATCTGATGCGAAGTTCTCTGTTGATACTAGAACCAATTTCTACGACCGCAGTCTGACAAGTCGGAGATATGCCCTTGTCGGAATGGCATGCTCAGGTATCTTTGGCTGCTCATGCATCGTTGCAAGCATCATCACTTTAGCCAACCAAGGAGTCTTCGGAGTAACCAGTGTGACTAACTGACTCTACATATTTGCCTGGTTCCTGGTTGCCCATGAAGAGGGAGATATTGGCCCTGGCACTTGACTTAATCGTCACATTGTGTACCGAGTCCATAGGCTTCGTACACGGTATTTCATTGCGCTCTGCACTAGCCTCAGAGTCTCGGCTTCATTTCAACACCAATCTGCGCCTTCTGACCGCAGCTCGTGGATGGTATAACCCTAACGGCGCCCTGCTTAACGTCATCTTGGCTGTCCTCCTCATCATATCCTACAGCTCGGTTTCATTCATCGTATGTCTCAACACTCGAAGCTCTGACTTGAGTGAGAGTGTTGCCATTGTGGGGTTACCTCTCCTCATTTTGGGCATCGCACTCCTCCTCCAGGTGATGATCGCATTGTCAGCGATGCGTGCTGTCAAAATATTGACGTGGAGCTCCTCACCTTTCGACTTGACCGCCGCACTGGTCCACCACACGCAATTGTCCCCTGTTACATTACGGTGCATGCGTTGTGTGTCTAACTTAGACACGTTTGGAGGTCCAGCGAAGCCATCAGAGATACAGCCCTCTGCGTGGCATGCTCACCCTAGCATCCGGAAAGTTGTCATTTTTCTTTGGGTGATCGTTGCAGCATGCGCTGGATGGGCCGCACTCGTCATGTATATGTGGAATAACTATTCGGAAGAGTGGGGCGGTCTTTCAGTGGACATTCTTCCTCACCTGGCAGTCCAATGGCATCCAGTATCCTATACCAGGTGTTGATCTTGAGGTGTGGATTCTGCTCTATGTCAACATGGCAGCTATCCAGGGGCCATTGACACTTGGGCTCCATTGCTCGGAGCTCATCGCAAATGTCATTCGAGACGAAAGACAGTGGAGATACGCTAGTACCAGAAAGAAAGGACTTACGACGGCGACGAACCCAGTGAAGATGATTTCCAGCCATCCGATTTGTCTCATCCTTTTTGTCGCAAAGCCTTTCCTGCGTGAGTTATTCACGCCTCATTTTCTTTATCGGTGTTATTGAACACTGTCATCAACGATCACAGACTGGATGTTCGGGCTTGCAATCAACTTAGGCACTGAAAGCACTGTTCACCCCATACGCCCTGATTACCTCATAAGCCCTGATTACCTCACAGGCACTGACAACACCGTAGGCACTAGCAGCGCCGTAGACGGGCAACTGGCCGGCTTGGGGGTATCTATGTTCACTGCCCAGGTTCGCACCTACCGCCTATGTAAACTGCTACGACATCCTCATGCCCTCCTGCAGGTCTGGAACTTATGCATAGCGCTCTTCATATTTGCCTGTTTCTTCACTTTCGTCGCACTCCGCCGACCACGTGGCCCCCAGCCAGCTGCATACGGCCACCTCCAGACACTCGCCAACCTCGTGGACGAGTGGTCGCCTGTGATGTGGTGGGGACACAAGGAGGACGGAATTCCGTACTGTCATGCTGGTAGGGTACTTATGTTCTCACGATGATGCTGCATTGACACTTTCACAAAGGGACGAGCGATCACCCGCTGCCGAAAGTGAAGATGGACTGCGTTTATGCTGGTTCTGGGTCTGGGTCTGGTTCTCTGGTACCCCTCTCGTGAGAGGTACTTGCTATGCTTTTTAAGGACATTTTTTCAATTTCTCTTTGTAAATAGAGGAACTATATTCACATCAGGCTGGCGATGCATTGACGGGCACACAACCAGCCGTGCCATCGAATGATACATGTACAATTTTTATGGTGCTTGCCGCATTGTAGGTAGTTCGTCTTAATATTGCTGTAGCTTGGACTTAACGGATGAATGGACAAATCTATACGAGCTGTGGAGGATGTGTTGAGTTGGAATATGAATAGGAAGTGCACAGGTGAGCTGTGATTATGAGTGAAATTGGCCGACATTAAAGAATCAGAGTCTCGGTGGGATCGTATCGCATATAGTACATACTACATGCTGTGGTAGGACCTGTGGTCAGTCTATATGTAGTGACCAACCAACAAATCACCATCAACTATGTATCTGAGATCTGAGTGCGTATTGATATCAACTGCGGTCTTGACCTGAAGCAGAGGACCATGACATACCCTCAATTTAAACATCCATGAAAACGAGACTGCGAATTGTCTGAAACAGTCATGATATCCTCAAATCTCGTACAAATATTGAGATTCAAAGTCAACATTCATCGATGCATCGTTCTGCTGTTTCAAAGTGCGCTAGTCGATTACAACAACTTGCCATTACCGTAACACACATAACACCAACTCTCTTCGCAACGGGAACAGATCTGGTACGAAGTCATTGCCAAACGGCGATCTGAATATTAAGTTGTGCCATATGCGCTCTACATGTGCTATCGAATAAGTGAAAATTAGGGTAAGGATTGACGTCAGCAAACTCGAGAACATCATCGACCCACAAGACATCTACTTCGTTTGGCCCAATTCTTGGCCTTGAATAACCTGCTTGCAAAAAATCTTGAACACCAACGACGGATGCAAAACCACGTTAGTGACGAGTTAAACAGGCAAGTCAATACAAATCGGTCGCAGGTTGCGGATCACGTAGAGGGCAAACCATTCAACGTACACTGGCAGGCGAGGGAATTTGCCACAGTGGGAGGGTAATTTGTGCAAGGCGTAACCATACATTGGCCTGAGTATTGCAGTTTGAAAGACTTACCATCAAATCCTGTACCACTCCGCCACAACTCATGACCTTTGACGACAAAGGCAACATCAAAGTGTGAGGGCAAAGGTAACTTCTGACAATCGTGATTGGGAATGGCCAGATGGACTTGAATCCTATTGTGTCGCTGATGTGATTTCATCGAGGGATCCTAGAAGTAGGATGTATTGAAACATGTCATACACACTGATGGAAATCGATGCGGAAAGTACTGGTCGATGTTAATGTTTGCAGAGGCTCCGATATACTGAGGGAGTATAAAGGATACGGAAGCCAGGCACTGGCAGATCGTCGTTCCTATATATGGCAGGAGGTATCGGGCATAGTGAAAATGCTGCGCCACTGTGGCTCCCAAAGTTCAAACGGCGAGCGCACATCTACTGCTAGTCACTGAAACCTCCCAGTGCTTTCAAGTGGGCACCGATTCATTTGGCACGCTCGCAAATATATCATCAAGATTCACACAAGTACTCCTGCAAGTCAGGTCTCCCATATTTTGTTTCGACTGTCCTTGTTGCTAAACAATCTTTCATATTGCATTGTAGTCTGATTCCTTCACATACAATATTGGTTTCTTTCTTCCAAACGAGTGACCGCGCATGGTCGTGGGCATCATCTCAAGACGCAGTCAGTACTACCTTTCTTCGCTTTTTCGGTCCTCCATGGTATTTGTTGCCTGCCTCTTTTCTACTGCTGCTGAATGAACACTCAACCAGAGGCCCTCAACTCGAATACTTTACTTCTATCAAATATACTATCTCCCCCCTCCAACTCCAATGCTTCACAAACGCTCATTCCGCAAGCGTCCGACTCCCATCTTCCCTGCTTAGAAAGTGTGCAAGGGTAGAGCGCATTATCTCCCGTATGCTCCTTTATATTCGCATTCTTACCTGCGCGCTGCCGCTGCATATCCTCTGCCATGCTCTCATCACCGCTTCCCCCGCTGTCAAGTGCATATTACAGAAGCGCTCAGAGAAGAATGTCATGAGACCTGCTACGCTTCCAGAAAACAGCACATGAGAGCAGGTATTCATGCTGTATTAGCTGCCAGCAAAAATAAGAGTAGGAAGACGGTGTAGGCGCGTTTAGTACAAGAGATTGCTGTTGTCAATGCAAAGCCATTACTAACAATGAGCTGGCACACAAATAAGCTATGGTTAATAGGTATGTGCAACTTCGACGTCGGGTAACTCTCATTGACACATTGCGCAGGGGCGATGCGCTCGTGAAGTGAAGATCTTGTACATTTACTGTATTTTCACCCTTCTTGTTATAGACCGCGAAATCCAATGCAATATGACGGTGTGATTCCTCAGCTTCTTTTATATGATCCAATGAATACTACATCATTTTCAGCACTTCGGACTTGGTACCGGGCAGAAGTGCTCTCTGGTGTGGTTCCTCGAACGCCTTGTTGGTAATCTTGATGCACTTAGCAAAATTGGGGAGCTCTTTACACGTGTATTGGTGAACAGGGGTTCTACGGTGGATCGAGGTTTGTTAAATGATTCATACCGCTAAAAGTCAACACAGCTTTCATAGGGTCCTCACTGCTTACTTCTTGTCTGTTTCTCTATCGAACGTTGCATCCAAACCAAGTTCTGACTAGGTGTAATGCACTGACCCGTTAGACTAGCTTTTTCTCCGACAACGAGGGTCGCATCCATTCAGCTTCCCAACATTGGCAACGACTGTCTCAGCAGTCACCATTGTATCGTGCAATGTTCATAGAGGAAGATGAGAGCGACAAGGAGACAAACGTGTTGGGGAACCCTGTACTAGCCCAGATGTGGTCGTCCCATATCAGTTTTTACGCCATCCAAGCAAGGGTTTGACTAATAGGGACAAATCAATTACGCCTGAGATGCATTAATTGATCAACCTGACGTTCTTACCAAGGTGAGCATCTTCGAAGTCGCATTGAAGTTGTATTTGCTAAAGTTACATACATGCAGTCAGATATCACTGCTTCCGATGACTCTAACCTGCAAACTCATTTGACTTCTAATCTTGTGCCTCATTGGCCTTACTTGGTCGACAAACAATGGCAGGTCTGTGCATCTTGCAAGGATATATGTGCAATATAAGGATGTTAGGCTTAACTGGCTTTCAGCGATCACCATCCTGACGTGTGCACTTTCAGCATTGCTGTACTGCAATGCGATATCAATTAACGGTGTACTGGATACACATAAATGCCGCGTCGCACGACCGCTTTTCTATCACGAAATCAGATGCTCCAGAAGCTATGGTCATCAGATTAAATCTGCGTGCCCATCGTATCAAAACGCATTCGTCATACATACTTTACACAATAACCCTTTGCTACACGTGTTCTGCACGTGAACGTTTTGTTCTCCGTTCCAACAGGTTTCTTTTATTCAGACATCCCCGGAATGAAATCTCCTCAGTCCCTCCATCCGAATACTGAGGTGAGTATTAACATTTACCAATACATATTTCCATTCTAACTATCTATATAGTTCTCCTTTCATTTCTAGTCTGAGCCTCTCTTCATCTGAGACTAGCCTTCCTGTTTCTGCCTCTCATGGCAACTTCTTCCAAACCGGCAGATGAAAGTTCGCGTCCATATGACGCACTCCTGAATGACCAGGACTTTGACTGGATGGTATCTGATGCGAAGTTCTCTGCTGATACTAGAACCAACTTCTACGACCGCAGTCTGACAAGTCGGAGATATGCCCTTGTTGGAATGGCATGCTCAGGTATCTTCAGCTGCTCATGCATCATTGCAGGCATTGTCACTTTAGCCAATCACGGAGTTTTTGGAGTAACCGGGACCCACTTGACTGTGCATGCTTACAATTTCAATAATCCGTTGCCCCTGAAGGGGGAGATATTGGCCCTGGCACTCAACTTCATCGTCACGTTGTGCACCGAGTCCATAGGCCTCGTACACGGCATCTCATTGCACTCTGCGCTGGCCTCAGAGTCTCGACTTCGTTTCAACGCCAATCTGCGCCTTCTGACCGCGGCTCGTGGGTGGTATAACCCTAACGGAACCCTGTTCAATGGTATCTCGGCTGTCCTCCTCATTATATCCTACAGCTCGGCTTCAGTCGTCGTATGTCTCGACATTCTCCCGTCACATTGGGTTCTTGCAATCGCAGGGTTTCCACTCCTCGTTTTGGGCATCGCACTCCTCCTCCAGGTGATCATCACATTGTCAGCGATGCGGGCTATCAAAACATTGACGTGGAGCTCCTCACCTTTCGACTTGACTGCCGCACTGGTCTACCACACACAATTAACTCCTGCTACTCTGCGGTGCATGCATTGTGTGTCTGACCTAGACACGTATGGAGGTCCAGCGAAGCCATCAGAGATACAGCCCTCTGCGTGGCATGCTCACCCTAGCATCCGGAAAGTTATGATTTTTCTTTGGGTGATCGTTGCAGCATGCGCTGGATGGGCCGCACTCATCACATATATCTCGCACAAGAATTCTTTTGCCATCCCGATGACCACAAAAACGTGGTCGTTCTCGCCCAACGAGTCGTCCAGTTTCATCCGGTATTATGTGCCGGGTGTCAATCTTTGGATATGGATTCTACTCTTCGTCAACATGGCAGTCATACAGGGACCGTTGACACTTGGGCTGCATTGCTCAGAGCTCATCGCGAATGTCATTCGAGACGAAAGACAGTGGAGATGCGCTACCGAAAAGAAAGGGCTTAGAACAGCAACGAACTCAGTGAAGACGACTTTCACTCACCCGATCTGTCTTGTACTTTTCGTCGCGAAGCCTTTCCTGCGTGAGTCATTTCCGTCTAGTATCTTTTATAGGTGTTATTGAACACCATCCTCGACGATCACAGACTGGATGTTTGGGCTTTCATTCCAGATATATAACGATATCTTTGACATGACAATACAAAGGTTGTCGGTAAGCATGAACACTCCCCAGGTTCGCACCTATTGCCTGTGTAAAACTGCTACGACTTCCTCACAACCTCGTGCAGATCTGGAACTTATGCATTGCATTGTTTATATTTGCCTGTTTCTTCACTTTTGTCGCACTGCGCCGACCGCGTGGCCCCCAACCGGCTGCATACGGCCACCTCCAGACGCTCGCCAACCTCGTGGACGAGTGGTCGCCTGTGATGTGGTGGGGACACAAGGAGGACGGAATCCCGTATTGTCATGCTGGTAGTGTACTTCTGTGCTCACAATGATGCTGCATTGACATTTTACAAAGGGACGAGCGATCACCCGCTACCGGATGTGAAGATGGACTGTGTTTATGCTGGTTCTGGTGCTGGGCCTCTTGTACCTTTCTCATGAGAGGTACTTGCTTTGCTTTTTTTTAAACGGGCATTTCTTAATTTCTTTTTTAAAACAGAGGAATCATATCCACGTCAGGCTGGCCATGCATTCACGGTGCACACAACCAGCCATGCTGTTGAACGATACACGTACAATTTTTATGCTGCTTGTTGCATTGTGGGTAGTTCGTCTTGTTCTCATGCCATTCATATCTGGGACAACTTTTGGCGGAGACACGTTAGATTCGACCTTCAAGCAATTGCTGAATCGTTGTGATTCTTTTTTTCCGATTTTATGTCTATTCAACATGAGACTATTCGGGACTGTCCCAGTACCTTATCTAGTCTTGGAGCATTATGATTTTGGTTGATAATCCATCGTATGGTTGGCTTCCAAAGTTATACTCTAGACTGTCCCGCCCCGAAGCGAGCACCATAACATAGGATTCAAATGTTCACCAGATGTTTAGTAGAAACATTTGGACTCTAACGAGCATTCTCTAAATGCCTGTGCTCGCTGCTCCGCCACTGAGGTGAAACGGAACCCTCCCGAAAAATGTCGTCTCCGACTCTCCGAGCTCAGTATGACATCGCTGGTGTTTCCCAGAAGTTCCCCAGTAGGCCAGCCGTTGTGTAATGTATATCATGCTCAGCTCAATCTCCAATTTCTACCCTCGGCAACTAGAGTGTAGTTCCGTCAAGTTCGGGTACCATTGGAAGATCCTTCATTGCAGATGACAATCTACCAATGGCAATATACGAAGTGCTTCGCAGGCATGTGCAGAATTCTAGCCTTTCCCGCGCTTCGCTGATGGCATCCCTCCCGCCCTTCCTCATCAACAAAAGGGCACTCACCTTATATGTCGTCACCTTGTCGTGTATGAGTACACCAGGTTCACTAGGTGCCACAAGGCGACGCCAGGCTGGTGAGACGCCATGCACGAGCTTCGATGGTTCGGGTTTTATGCAAGGTTGTAACAAGACAGGTGAATCATTCAAGAACTTGTGGATCGTGTATAGCTAGGGAGAGCTTGTAAGAGCCGGCCAGAATACAAGAGATTTCAAACCTGTTCAGGCCTTGATTGTCGTGCAATGGTTCCCAATCATGTATTTCGATTCATTTAAAATTCATTGATTGAACAACTTGTAATGATACGAAAACATGAGAAGTGCCGACAACATGAAGAACAATGCAACAAGATGACAAAAAAAAACTCGAAAGCATAAGCAAGCCGAGGGTCAGCATTTGCCGCCACGTTTGCCTCGACCACGGTGGTTGCTGGGACCATGGCCACGCCCGCGAGTGGTAGTTGGTGGCACGACGGGAGATGTGGGTGGAGGGGTCAATGGGGAGCGCTCCCTTTGGGTGTCTGGGGAGAAACAATTGTAAGCGCCCAGTGTATATAATAAAAATATTACCTTGCTGGTCGAGCCTGCGTCTGCGCCGGGGCTGACCGTCGTTGTCATCTTCATCATCACCGTTGCCGTGCACGTCCGTTGATCCAGCCTGTCGGCCCTGTCCAGTGGCACCATCCGTTGAGCTCGATCCAGCAGCAGCAGTGCCACGTGTCGAATCGGATTCAGCAGCCAGCGTTGTGGAGCTGGGTCCAGTGTTGGGTTCGTGTTGCGTGGTGCTCGTTGGGTTGTTGGTGCTGCCTGTGGGTGCGCCTGGTTCGCAGTCTGTGGTCAGTCCATCGCGCCCAGATCCACCTTGTGTTTCTTCAGAGTCATTGCTGAAAAAGTCGTCCATGTCGTCTTCACTGTCTGACGCTGTTGAGTTTGCGGCAACCCTCCGGCGCTTCGATGGATGACCTTGCATAAGTCCAGGTGACTCGCTAGAACAATCAATGAAGTTCACAGCAGAAAAAAAAGAACAATTAACTCTTTCCAAAACTGTATCAAATCCTTCACCCATTGCTCATCCGCATGCGTCTTGAGAAGGTCAACCGCAGTATAGTATAAGTCGTCGAGATTCATAGTGCCGACCTCGGGAGTCCAGGATTCGGCATTACATGCGACAAAATACATCTAGTAAGATGTAATGAAGTCTTTGAGTAGTTGTAATAGCTCGTAGATAGATAGAGACATTACCTGTATTGCAGCATACATGATGTTTCTGGGTCCCGGCTCCGTCAGATGATGTTTTTTGCCCTTCGCAGGCTTTGAAGAGCGATGTGTGCACTCTTTCGACAACGCGGACATTGGTCCTGTGAAGATGTGATGCCATCCCTATAAGACATGACAATAGTAATTGAAAGTGAGATACTGAGCTAAAGATGAACGTACCTGTACAATTGCATGGCCGTGTAAGAAACCTAACTTCTTATTCCTCGGGTTGTACAGGCTCATGTCGTAGAACATGGATGGCCATTGTTTCGAGGTGATTTTTTCTGCCCCGACTTCACTCGGTCCATATATGCGCTGCATATGAGAGTGTTGTAAGTGAATGGAAGCAACAAAGCATAAAAAACTCACTGAGGGTCTTCGTCGAACTCGAGAATGTCATGAGCAGGACAAAGTAGTCTTGCAGTGGTCGTGTGATTCCATCCCCATACTGCCTTGCCATGGGTCTTTAGAATCAGAGGGTCGAAGCGATCCTTTGCTGGGTCCTTGAGCAGATATTGGAGTCCGTTATGCTTGAGGGAACCTGTATCATCGCAGCAAGCACTGTTAGCAGCGTTTTCCATCTAAAAATATATAAGTGCGTCTCAAACAAGCGCATATATGCAGCTCACCGCCCTTAGAAACTCATTCAAAGACTCGGCTTCAGCTTCGAAATTCTTCACGAGCTCACTCCAATTTGGAATTGAGGAGCTAAATTTCTGGTAGACTGTGAGGCAGTGTTCCCTGATTGCTTGAGCTCTAAACGAATGATGAAGTTAGCTACATGAACGCAAATATAAATCTTACTCTTCGCTTTGATCTTGGTCCGGATCTATCCAATCAGGATCGAATTGTGCCTGCATGCCCTCCCGTAGAACCATATCGAAGTGAGCAAATAGGTCGTAGTTGAGGCGGAAAAAACGAGCAGCAGACAGATATGGATCTAGGATAAGGACCCATGAGAACCCCCATGAAACCCAGGCTGGCGTCCGGACAAAAATTGACCCAAATGACCGTTTCACCCAGGTCACAGTCCGGACACAAAACGTCTAATTTGGGTGTCAACCCAGGTGAACGTATCTGCGAGGGGGGTGGTGGTATGCCAGGTCGAAGTTCAGACAAATATGGTAGAGTAGTGTAGCGGAACGACACAGTCGATAATGTTGAACGCGAGAGTTCGAATCTTGCTTTTTACAGCTTCCATTGGACGCTTGAAGTTCGAATGAGCAAGTCGACTACTATATGTGATGCCCACAAAAGTGCAACTGGCGCAAACCAACATCTTTTTTCTTTCATTGGTACAGTTCTCCTGTCTCACGTCTAGTTATGAACGAGCTCGATCTCGTTTGTCCCCCTCCGTCCCTCAAAGTCGATGACTTTGCGATTGTATACACGGAGTGGGGCCTTCACATCAGCCGAGGTGAGTTTGTGCTATCATGTCATTGTAATCGCTGACACAGTCTCAGTTTTTGCAATATACTCGAAAGGTGGCGGTAAAAACGGCAAACACGCTGCTGTTGACAAAGCAGACGCTATCGCTGGTGTCTCGTACCTTGGCGTCCAAATCTACCAGCAACACTTTCATCGTCATTTTCGTTCCATTCCTGATGCAACCGCCATGTTCCAATGCAACCACTTTGCCTTCCTTCCTTCTACTGCCTTTCTCTGTCTACTTTCATCTAAGCCCAACCTAACGCGCTCGGGACTCGAACTTGCACCTGCAGACCTCACAGATTTCGATATCCTATCAACTGCTTTGCCTCAGTTGGCGGAAGCGGCCAAATCGTTCCGCAAGAGGACTTCGAGGAACGGGGCCACACAGAGGGATGAAGAAGGCGACTTTTGATTGTTTTTTGCTTCTCGTGGCTATTCTAAACACACCTAGCTACTTAGAATAAGAAAAAACGCATTTTTTGAGATTTTTGGTAACCTGGGCCAGAGTCCAGACAAAATTCAGCCCTCAGGTGAACCCAGGACGGCATCCGGACAAAAATCCCCAAAACGTGTCCGGACAAGTTTGGGCCTCAGCCGACCTGGGTTCTAAAGGGGTTCTCATGGGTCCTCTAGGATATCGCTGATGATATTAGTGGCACCTGCGTATCAGAATTAAGACAAGAAATAATGAACCTGCGCTTTTGTTTCCGTCCACCTGACGAGGTACCATCAAGACTCCTTAAAATGGCCTGGAAGCGGTTAGTATTTTGTTCATTGGCATCCGGCTCGTTGGCATCAACAGGCATGATGAAGGTACGGAATCAATGACCGAATCACCATCTGGCATGGATAAGATTATAATCGGAGTTCGAACCTTAATCGGAAATTGCCGCATGGCCTTGGCTGCTCACATCAGACTCGTCACTGTTCTCCACACCACACATTGATCACCATTTGCCCATCACTCGGTAAGTCCTTTCCTTGATAGTGTTGCTCATCACCTCCCTCCTCCCACTATCTGAACATGGAAGGTAAGTGTTTACGCACAATTGGTGTATGATATTCTAATTAAGGGCTGTCTAGTGATGTTTCCCACTCCCCTCTGCGGCATACCCGGGCCATTGCACCAACTTTGGACCTCTGCATGCATGTAACTTTATGTGAAAGATAAGGCAGTTGGATGATTGGTCTTTTTTATCTTACCTGTATGATGCAGATTACACTTAATGATACCATTTTGACCAGATTCATTGCACTTGAGAATCTTTTGCTCGGATTCCCTCATTGACTCACATGGGTCCATCTGTCCAGCGCATGTATAAATACTTTTTACTTCACCCCATTTCGTGACTCGGCCCAGCTCAAACCCTACTAACATTACATTTGGTTCTAGTATGGCCATCTACCATTGTTCTGTGTGCAGGGCCACCTTCAGTACTCCATGGTCCCTCGCAAATCATATGTGAGGGTCATGTGGTAAGCAATGGACAGCAGTAATGGCGACAATGCTCAATAAGCGGTGCAGAGATTGCAAAACTGCACAAGCTGCCAAAGTTCAATGGCTGGAAGATGAAAGTGCTGCACTTAGAGAGTGGGATTTGATCCATGAAAGCACGACTGAGGGAGAGGATGAGCCAGCTGATATACCAGTAAGGTTTCATCTACCTATGCATGATATATCTTGTTGTAACTTCATATTTGCATAGGTTGTGAGGTCACCAACTCCACCGGTGATTTGTCCCTCAGGATTGCCTAATCGGAGGCGTCGCTTGCCACAATGCTATTGTGATGACCTTCCCCCCATTCCTAACTCTGCACCAGCTCTGCAGCACGAACTGATGGTTGACGATGGTCCAATCAAGCCTGACATACCTCGAGCTGCAGGTGAAACCAAATATGTTACTACGGAGCCTGATTCATATGGCCTTTATCGCTCATATCCCAATCACTTCCCAACCTATAATTCCGACAATCTCACCTCAATCTCACACGTATCAGATTCTCCTCATTTCATCCATACAGCAGACCAGACAGGTGCTCGACCCTGGTGGTCGGGTTTTGGCTCCTCCGCTACATTGGTGAAAGATAACTTCTTCATACCGTTCCTGAACTCCACCATCTTTCGTCTGATGTGTTGGTTTTATAGCGGGTCAAATATAAAATCACTTGCAGAGCTTGACCGTCTCGTGAATGATGTCATTCTCGCTGAGGATTTTGATAGTGCTCATCTTACTGGATTTCGAGCTGTGAAAGAGGTGGACCATCTAGATAACTACCAGGGGGACCCTGCAGACATCCATTCATCATTCCTGGGTAAGGATGGATGGATAGAGATGTCAGTGAAAATTCGACTTCCAGCTGATGGTGTCCAGCACGCATCAGAAACATCAGCACCAGAATTCGAGGTCCCTGGACTATTCTACCATCGTCTGCTCGAGGTCATCAAGTCTGCATTTCATGAGGCATCTGCAGAGCGATTCCACCTAACCCCATTCAAAATGTTCTTCTGACCATCACCCAATGAACCTATGGAGCGTGTATACTCTGAAATGTACTCTTCGCAGGCCATGCTCGAAGCTCATGAGGCCATAAAATTACATCCCCCTGATCCAAGTTGCAAGCTTGAGACGGTCATTGCTGCTGTCATGCTTTGGTCAGACTCAACACATCTCACTAGCTTTGGGAGTGCGTCATTGTGGCTTATATATTTGTTCCTCAGGAATCAATCCAAGTACATTCACGGAAAACCTTCGTCCTTTGCTGCACACCATCTAGCATATATACCTAAGGTGAGCCCAATCCTTGCCTTAATCTCGTAATCTAATTTGTTATTTTTTCAGCTCTCCAATACCATTCAGGACTTTTATCGCTGTGTGTTTGGCAAGCCTGCTACTGCAGAGATGTTGACCTACTGCCGCCAAGAATTGATGCAAGCCATATGGCTTCTTTTAATGGATGATGACTTCATGCATGCTTACGAATTTGGTGTTGTCATCAAGTGCCTTGATGGAATTAGTCGACGAGTCTTTCCTCAATTTTTTTCATACTCAGCTGACTACCCAGAGAAGTAGGTGCAAATACTTTCATTTCTGTGTCTATTGACGTGGATACATTAGAACCCTTCTGTCTTGCATCAAATTCCTCGGTCAATGTCCCTGTCCCCACTGCCTGATTCGAAAGGACAAGATTGGGGAGCTGGGTACAACAGCTGACAGGCGCTGACATGAAAGCCATCCACATGAGGACAGTGACAGCTTGCAAGGCAAGATCAGGATGGTCCATGACTGGTTATATATCAAGGGTAGGAATATTACAAGCATCTTTGTGAAATGGGTACTTGTCCCAGATTCACTCACTGCCTCTATGGTGCGAATTTATATCAACTCAAACTTCACTGTGTCTTTCTGAGTGCTGATTGTATACACAGAATGCATTTTCAACACGAATGAGGCACTTTGGCTTCAACTTTTATTCACTCTTTGTGCCAGATTTGCTTCACGAGTTTGAACTTGGTGTCTGGAAGGCAGTCTTTACCCATCTCCTTCATATTCTGTATGCATATGGTGAAGAGAGCATACAAAGATTGAATCAAAGGTAGGAAACATAGTCATGGGTTCTAAGTGGCAAATTTCTATGGTGACCATTAATATTCAGGTATCAACAAGTCCCAACATTTGGACAAGGCACAATTCAGCATTTCAGCAGCAATGCATCAGCAATGAAATGTCTTGCTGCTCGAGATTTTGAGGACTTACTACAGGTGAGTGCACTGACTTGAAGCCGATTGTCATCTAACTTTTGTTTAGTGTGTGATGCCAGTTTTTGAGCAGCTCCTTCCATCACCCTTGAATGAAATGCTACTTGACCTGCTCTTTGAGCTCACAACATGGCATGGACTCGCAAAGCTTCAACTGCACACTGAGACCACTCTTGGATTTCTTGACACCTCAACAACACACCTTGGAAAATGTCTTCAAAAATTTATGTCCAAGACTGCAAAGAGATTTGTGACTTGTGACCTTCCTAGCGAGGAAGCTGCACGTGGGCATTGCAAGGCCCGAGCAGCTGCAAAAGGTGGTAATACGTCCTCGAGAGCTAATGCAACAGGCCCTTCCACTGGAGTTAAGGCTCAATATTTTAACTTCATGACCTACAAGCTGCATACGCTAGGGGACTATGTCTCTGCAATTAGACTTTTCAGCACCACTGACAATAATTCTACTCAACTGGTACGTACTAGGTGTTCTGAATGTCACAGTGTTCAATACTTTCTACAGGGCAAACTCGAACACCGACGTGTGAAACATTTTTACCCACGCGTTAGTAAGGCACAATTCACATCCGGAATCGCCAAGCAACAACGCCGAGAGAGAATTTTATTCTGACTGGCAGAGCACAAGTTGCCTTCAAAGTCGAAGAAAGGGAAAGCAAAGGTCACTGACAAGCGCCAATGCCACACTGCAAACAATCTATCGAAGGACCTTCCAAGCATACCTTTCGAAGCATCTGAGCCATTGGCATACTCTGATCCGAAAGCACACTACCATATAGCATCAAGCACGAGATATTTTTTGAATGTGCAGCAGTGGCTTGGGAGGCATTCAGAAGATCGTGCATTGGAGGTGAGTCAACCAATTATAGTGTTTGATTTTGATCTGAGCACTGCCCCGCATCAGGATTTTCTTCCTCAACTTAAAGATCATCTCCTTGCCCGAATGCTTGGACATCGATACAATGGTGACGAAACCGAGTTCAGTGCAGCTGAACAAGCCCAGATTGTGTTCGTAAATGATTGTATTTTCCGTCATAAGGTACTTCGAATCAATTACACTACATACGACCTCCGCCGAGCTCAGGACTCACTCAATCCATGAACACATGCTGATGTGATGGTCCTCGCACACGAGGATGACCATCCATATTGGTATGCTCAGATTCTAGGTGTCTTTCACGTAAATGTTGTCTATACAGGCGATCACGCACCTAGCTTCAACTCACCCCAGGAAATGGACTTTTTATGGGTCCGATGGTTTGGTCACAACCCAAACAATTATCAGTCAGGCTGGAATGCGAAACGTCTTCACCGTCTTGGATTCATACCTGCAGACGAACCAGGCACGTTCGGATTTCTCGATCCCCGTCAAATCATTCGTGGCATCCACTTAATCCCCGCATTTGTCTATGGCCGTACCGACGAACTTTTACCGCCTTCGATTTCCCGTCCTCTTCATGAAAATAATGAAGATTGGAGATTTTACTACGTAAATATGTGAGTATAGACTTACTATGGCGATTCTGTATTAATATACCTTCTTGCTATAGGTTCGTCGACAGAGATATGTTTATGCGCTTCCGTGGCGGGGGAGTCGGTCACAAGTCAACTCGCAGCGCAACACAAATATTTCGCAACGACCACGACCCTCTAGATTGTGTTGCTCCCGGCGACAATGCAGACTCCGAGGAAGATGAAGAAGCATCTGACTCAGAGGAAGACGAAGAAGCATCCGAGGGAGATGAGGAAGGAGCAGCCGAGGGAGATGAAGAAGGAGCAGCCGAGGGTGCTATTGATGAAGGTATCATTGATCAGGACGAAGACGAAGTTGGTGAATCAGAGATGGAGGAGTTTGGTTATGGCGGACTGGATCAAGAAGAGGATGACACTGACAGCGATGAAGATGACAGCAGCAGCGACAATGAAGATAATGACTCAGACCTCGATAATGACTTGGGACCTGAGGATGGAGAAGACGAGAACGAAGAGGAGCTCGAGGGGTATGGAGAGCTTTAATTCATTTATAGTTGTATTAGTTTACATGACTGGTGTGATACATGCACGCCTCCTACCAGACCATACCAGACAAACATAAGGCTGCCGACATCCTTGCAAGGGAACACAATATCGGTACATGATTGTAAGGCTCACGCCAGTCCGGTGTTCTATTGCAAGTCTACTGCCATTTCATACCTGGCCAATATTAGTCATATGCGATCATGCAAGTGTTGCAAGCTCTCACCTGATCATACATGCTTTGTGCTGTTTTGTTGATGCTGCGTCTCGATGACGTCCTTCACACACGGACAGCTATACCGCATTTTTGAGGGTGCGATGTGGGCGAGACTTTCAAATGCTATTTGCAAGAGAGGAAGAAGAAATCACAACGGCAAACGTGGTATACAGGAATCTCTTATTGTAATTAACAGTGGAAAATGTCCGAAGGTGAACGGAGCCCTTGTAGCTCCTATGTTTAAAAAGAGATATCAAGAAATGCCCTTAAAAAAAAGCAAAGCAAGTACCTCTCACGAAAGGGGTATCAGAGACCCAGTATCGCAGCCAGCATAAACGCAGTCCATCTTCACATCCGGCAGCGGGTGATCGCTCGTCCCTTTGTAAAAATGACAATGTAGCATCATCATGAGCACAGAAATACCCTACCAGCATGACAATACGGAATTCCATCTTCCTTGTGTCCCCACCACATCACAGGCGACCACTCGTCCACGAGGTTGGCGAGTGTCTGGAGGTGGCCGTATGCAGCCGGCTGGGGGCCACGCGGTCGGCGCAGTGCGACAAAAGTGAAGAAAGAGGCAAATATAAACAGTGCAATGCATAAGTTCCAGATCTGCGTGAGGGTGTGAAAACGTCGTAGCAGTTTTACATACGCGTAAAGTGCGAACCTGGGCAGTATACATGACTATGTACGAAATCCGTAGTGTCCCGTCAGAGGCGACGTCATGTACGGAGAATGAAAGCCCAAAAATCCAGTCTGTGATCGTCGAGGATGGTATTCAATAACACCTATAAAAGATACTAGACGGGAATGACTCACGCAGGAAAGGCTTTGTGGCAAAAAGTACAAGACAAATCGGATGAGTTAAGATAGAATTCGTTGCCGTTCTAAGTCCTTTCCTTCCGGTAGCGGACCTCCACTGCGTTTCGTCTCGAATGACATTCGCGATGAGCTCCGAGCAATGGAGCCCAAGTGTCAACGACCCCTGAATAACTGCCATGTTGACCAAGAGAAGGATCCACACCTCACCAAAATTGACACCCGGTAGATCATACGCGATGTAACTGGACTGCATATTGGGTAAGAACGACCACATTAGTGCACCCATGTTAGCATAGTCCTTGCGCTGGATATACGTGGAGAGTGCGGCCCATCCAGCGCAAGCTGCAACGATCACCCAGAGAAAAATGACAACTTTCCGGATGTTAGGGTGAGCATGCCACGCAGAGGGCTGTATATCTGATGGCTTCGCTGGACCTCCAAACGCGTCTAGGTCAGACACACAACGCATGCACCGGAAAGTAGCGGGGGTCAATTGCGTGTGATGTACCAGTGCGGCAGTCAAGTCGAAAGGTGAGGAGCTCCATGTCAATATTTTGACAGCCCGCATCCCTGACAATGCAATCATCACCTGGAGGAGGAGTGCGATGCCCAAAACGAGGAGAGATATCCCTGCGATGGCAAGATTCTGATATGTCAAGGAATAGTTGGGACATACGACGAGTGAAGCCGAGGTGTAGGATATGATGAGGAGGACAGCCGAGATACCATTAAACAGGACGCCGTTAGGGTTACACCATCCACGAGCTGCAGTCAGAAGGCGCAGATTGGTGTTGAAACGAAGCCGAGACTCTGAGGCTAGCGCGGAGCGCAATGAGATGCCGTGTGCGAGGCCTATGGACTCGGTGCATAACGTGACGATTAAGTTGAGTGCCAGGGACAATATCTCCCCCTCCAGGGGCAACGGATTAACACCCTCGCTCACTGCGGGAATGTTGGTTACGTTTACTCCGAAGACTCCGTGATTGGCTAAAGTGACAATGCCTGCAACGATGCATGAGCAGCTAAAGATACTCGAGCATGCCACTCCGACAAGGGCATTCCTGCGACTCGCCAGACTGCGGTCGTAGAAATCGGTTCTAATATCAGCAGTGAACTTCGCATCAGCTATTATTGAGTCAAGGTCCTGGTCATTCGGGAGTGCGTCATATGGAAGTAAGCTTTCATCTGTCGGTTTGGAAGACGTTGCCATGGGAGGCAGAGACAGAAAGGCCAGTCTAAAATGAAGTAAGCTCGGACTAGAAACGAAAGGAGAACTCAGTCTTCGGATTAAGAGACTCATACTACGGCAGTGCATACCTATAAATGAAAAGAGAACTATGTAGGTAGTTAGAATGAAAATATGTATCGCCAAATGCTAATACACACCTCAGCCTTCAGATTGAGATACTGAGGAGGGTTCGTTCTGGGATGCCAGAATCAGAGAAACCTGTTGAAACGGAGAACGAAAAGCGCATGTATAGAACACGTGTAGCAAAGAGTGATTGTGCAAAATACGTACGACAAATGCATTTTGCTACGATGGGCACGCAGATTAATTCTATGGCCATCATAGCTTCTGGTGCATCTGACTTCATGATGGAAAGCGGGCGCGCGACGCGGCATTTACGGGTATCCAGTGCAATGTGGCGACACTAAAAGTGCACACGTCAGGATGGTGATCACTGAAAGCCAGTCAAGCCAGACCTCCTTGTACTGTACACGTGTCCTTGCAAGATGCACAGGTTGGCTGCATCCCAGGCATGATGAATTTGTTCCTGTTAGTCAAACCCTTGCTTACAGGTGGTCTAGAAACTCACGTGGGACGACTACACCTGGGCTAGCACAGGGTCCGACATGCTCATCTCCTTATCCTCTCGCCTTCCTGCACGAACATAGCACGATACGATGGTGACCGCTGAGACACTGGTCGCCAATGTTGGGAAGCTGAATGTATGCGACCCCTGTTGTCAAAGAATAAACTCTCCTCTAACGAGTTAGAGCATCTGCACTACACCTAGTCAGAACCTGGATTTGGATACTACGTTTGATGGAGAAGCAGACTAGAGTTAAGGAGCGAGGACAAATCATGTGCTAGCTGAGTGAGAACCCCGTGAAAGCTGCGGACATTTAGCGACATGAATCATTTGAACTAACCCATCTCCACAACTTTGCTAAGGGCATCTAGATTACCAACAAGGCGCTTGAGGAAACACACTGGAGAGCACTTCCACCCAGTACCAGGTCGGGAGTGCTGAAAATGGTGTAGTATTTGCTGCGTCACAATTTAAAGAAGTGACCGTTTCAGGGTGGATCGTGAGCCCGCGAACGTTGACACGTGAAATACGGCCTTTGTAAACTCACCACGTGAAGATCCTCCTGAATGTGTGCCTCAATTATAAGCACACATTCAGGTTGCCTCGTTCTTAAGGGCTCTGGTCTGAGAACCGACGTCGCATTCTCTCTTGTCCCCTGCGCTCATCCCGATCTGTGCGTCGTTCGACGATTTTTGTCCACCCCATGCACCCACCTCCCTATCTTATACTCCAGCGTGTTTTGGTCTGGATTCGTTTTTCTTCGGATTCTTTAAGGGTCTATGCACATTTTCAGACCAATCACGCTCTCGGCGAAGGTCCTGCGCTGGCCCAGCAAAACCAGACATTCCCACACACAAACCGAATCAATTTCTGACCAAACTTCGTCAGACCTGATTCATTTTTACAAAGCTCTCACCTCTTTCATAGCAGTCTAGCTGTTTATCTCTCCATAGTAATCTCGTTACTTCGCTCACTCATCTCTGTATTCAATATTACTCTCTCCTTACTAATATTGAATTCTCTCATCTTCACCTCGATTGAGCGATAGTACAAAGGACTCCTGTAGTCCATTGCGTGAACCAAAATTTCGAAATACAAATAAATAGATTGACTGCTCTTTCGCGCCTTTGAAAATTTTCGAGAACGTTATCACTCAAGGCTTGTATTGATTTTCATGTGGCATAATGGCGGAAAATGAATGAGGTTTTTGTAGGATGGAACTCCCCACCCTCAAAACTTATCTGCTGGATAGGAGCGTGACGCATAATATGCACGACCACTGTTGCAACATCTGAAGTAATCTCACAGCCGTCCACACATTTAGCAAATCAAGTCAATTTGCGATGCATCTAGATTCTTGGACCAACTTTCCATATGCCTAGCTAATATAGTTTGAATTTAACTCATACAATTGATCCTTCCAGATGCACGCTCATGGTTAAATTATAAAATTGTTCATTATCTGCACAGTAAAGAGATAGTTCGACAGAGGCAGTATATGTATTGGCATCTGCCAGTAGTACTTTGTTGGCTATCTCGGGTGTAAGCAAGTAGAATGCTGAGCACTACCGGCTTGAAATTACCTAATTTGGTAACAGGTGCGGTGTATACCTCGTGTAGCCATTAGTTCGGTTTAGAGCAATTAGTTTTGTTTCAAACGCCATGGACAATTTTCCTGACGGGGTCTCCGCGCCAGACCTTACTACATTGTCTTACGACGAATCCGTTCCGTACGAATCACAAGTTCCCACTCATCCATCCAATGATCCAGAGCGGGCCACGTTACTCAACCGCATAGGGAACACCAAAGTGTACCTTCTCTCTGACACTGCCCAGGCAAGATTTGCCAAGGTGCGCTAATAGTATGTCAACTTCAGCTTTCAGAAAACGACCCTGACATGGGAGTCTGTCCCCGCTTGACCCTGAAGCGCAAGCACACAGAGGGGGACGATGACGACGACGTAGATATGGAAGAAGGTGAAGACGGGTTTAGCTTCCGTGTTTGGCATGTAACTTACCCACTGCTACCAATTAGAAACCACCCTGACTTTAAGAGCAAATGCTTTGCTACTCACTGGCACCCCAATTTCCCACCTGCCCACCACCCGGATCTTTGCATATGCCACCCATTTCGACACGCACCCCATAGCCCTTGAATGGCTCGACGACAATAGCTGCATCCTCGTTTATGAATCAACTGCCTCTGCGCGTACTGCACATCGGTACCTCCAAAAATCTGCTACAGAGGATATGGATGCAGATGGCTTCATTACGGCAAAACCCATTCCAATTACCATATGGCCACCAGAAGAGCGAATAACCAAGAGCCTGGGTAAAGGTCAAGGGCTGAAAGGTGTCATACGCATGCGTTGGGCTAAGGTCGATGACGTGAAGAAGAAGGGTGCAAAGAAGGAAAGCGAGTTCTATAAGAAGTATGGAAAAACGGCCGGGAAAGAGGATGATGGAGGGGAAGTATCGCAGAAGAGAAGGAGGAGAGATGATCCAACTGTACGAAGCCGGTTGGATGATGATGCGTTTCTTGGAGCCGATAGACCTTCCAAAATGCGTTCCGACTATGTGGGTGGGTCGTGCAAAACCATGGAGCGCACGTCTTCTGCGTCCAATTCTTCAGACCTAAAAAATCGCATTTCTGCGCCGTTGCCGCGCCGCGCGAGGGGTCAATTTGCGGACCGATTAGCTGGCTCTCCAACTGACACTGAAGAAGACTGGCGTAGAGCGAGGGGTCGAGGGAGAAGAATTCCGCGCCCACATAGAACGCAGCAAGACCTTGATGATGAGCTAGACGTTTTCTTGAACGAGAAGGAATAGTACCTTCTATGTGGGTCACCATCTGTGGTACGCACGTTTGCTCGTTACGTTCTTAATTCCCTGCTAAGGACGATCCGCGTTTCATCTTGTCTTGGACTTCTTACCGCTCATCGCATATTTTGTAGCAGTTCTTAGTGGTGTAAAAATATTCGCTTACATTGCGTATTGACTGTGTGTAATTTATGCTGTTGCTACAGGGCTCATGTGGAGCGTGTTCTGTGGCGAAGTGGTGCGCAGTCGTAGCTTCCACCTGAAGATTGCATGTCGAATGCTAAACATGTTCAAACGAGCTGGCTAACACTATCACCTTTCTGATTGCAGCCTCACCCAAATCGTGTTCGGCGGATCCCATCAGGATTTCAACTTGGTGTAGCGCCACCGTCGGGCCCCGTCATTATCACTGCAATTGCATTCTCGTAATTAATGAAACGCAACTTGACCGATTCAGTTACAACTGTACGAGTCATCATGGACCACAACGTTGACGACGATATCCTGCGCAATCTGGAAGCGGGTCTATATCCTCAACGACGCCATACCCGAGATATGTCCCACTCTGACTCTTGGTTAACTAATATGAAGAACAGCTTTACGCGACCCGCCCTTGGCATTTTTCAAAACCAAGTTTCAAGTAACCAGCATGGTGTACCAGGCTACTCGGAAGATGACGATGGCATTTGCACGCGAACGACAAAGACCTGACCGGGATGAAAATCATGTTCCAAATGGATTGCAGCAAACAGACTGGAGTGTCATGTGTCTCCCCCAGCATTACCACGCCCCCTACTCATTTCTATTCTGAATCACCTATTGTATCGTTACCCTCTGCAACTTCAAGCAATACCCCTCCGCTCACTCCGGATTGTTCCATTGGTATCCTGCATTCTACGTCACTGGAGATCGCCAACACCCAGTCCGGCCTCTCGTTTCCTTTGCATATTTCACCTAAGAGTCCGACACCTCCCCTAGCAGCTGAGCATAAATGCTCCATCAATGAAGGGGAAATGCCAGAGCGCCCTTGGGTGAGCTGTGCTATAATTCTTATATCACAGCTAATTCCTGATTTGCTGTGTCAATGAGTGTTTCGACGATCTTATAGCTGATATCACCTTTGATTCACTGCAAAATGCCCAGCCACCGTGGCTAGATGAAGAATTCAAGAATGGTACTGGCTTGACTATGCGCTGAAACTCAGCCGAGATGGCCGTCGCTCCTGTGAAGTGAGCGCCGTGCAGCTGGAGAGTCTTGCGAGGTATGTTGATCGCATATATTCACATTTATGATGTTTGACTCCCCTTTTGTTTGGAAAGAGTCGCGAGTCTTCTATGACACTCTATACATGCGAAGTGTTTCCCCCGTTTCATACCCAGGAAGACGAAGAACGATACCGCTGGAAACGGAAGCACAGAAGTCAAGGTAGAAAGAGACGCGCCAGAGAAGACAAACAATATCCCGACCTCTTTCCAAAGTTATTTGATGCGGGCGGGCTTCAAGTCAGTGAACGGTAGTGGGTGCGTCCGGTTCGGTGGTTAATGGCTTGTGTGGTCTCAGTTTCAGAAGACGTGTACTGATATTGAGTCGGCAGGACTATAGCAACGGACTCGGATGAAGCCAGGGCGATCCCGCTCGTCGGATAGAACTGAAGGCCTGCACGTATGACTCAGACTACGGAACAGTTTTGTGGAATAAGTCAATGCGGATTACTGATTTTGTGATCGCCCCCGATTGGGTATCGATGAAATGGACGGTCATGCGTGAGCGCCATATAAAGTGGAGTACAATATATGTGCGGTATACGCGGTGCATCAGAGCTGGGGGAACATGTTATACTTACTCTGGGTATAGACTTTGAAGGTCGTTTAAGGGATAGGCTTTATGACAGTGTTTACGAGGACCTTGTTAATTCCAGTAATGACTCGGGGGTCGCGGGTTTCGAGAGAGATGCAAGATGTGTAAGCGCCGCCTCGTCCTTGATGTGTTCGAACTTCTGGCGAGTTTGAATGAAAATGAACGTCACGGTTAAGAATGTTATCATGTAGTTCCAATAGATTGGATCTGATTCCATTGGACTGTTCATCTGGCCTGGTCGGAGTCCAAGGCTCATAACCTGATAGACTAGAACGGAGAGGCCAGCTCAGCAGGAGTGTGAACAATGCTATGGCATCAAGTACCTAGAACGGTGAGACTGGCTCAGCGAGAGTGTGAATAACGCTGAGGTGTAAGTCAGTGACTGCAAAAGACGTGCAAAAAAAAAACGTAAACTTGCATAACTAACCAGTGGCTTGTGACAATGGTGATACGACAAAGGAACTGTGCAGTAGGTGATGGGATGCAGGGGAAGGTACGATGCACATGGCAAGAAGAAGACACGCACCAATAACATCTGACTCATGGTTCAATATTGATACCAAGGGGTGAGCTGCAAGCAGCCAAGGTGTATGGTCACCCGTTCACGGCGTTGCACAACCGAGGTAATGAGGAGGGAAAGCATGCGGGCCGCGTGCTACGGAAAGACCATTACACATCTAAACTGTGCGCACGAAGAGTGAGACCGTCTAGACGAGCACCCTCAAAATCAGAATAAACTCACTTGTCATTTGCTGTAAGCCAGTAGGAAGGGGTCAGCTTCGAGGTCCTGCGGCCAGGTAAGTGGTGCCCCAAACGAAAGTGTTAAGTTCTTCATTCTCGAGACGAACATCTGATCCCTATAAGACGACGGTACAGTCTACGGAGGAATCAGAAGATTCAGGACACAAATCGACGACACGAAGAATATAAAAAACCCAAGGCAAGAAGAAAACATATGACTGTGCGAACAACGAAAAGCCTGTCGAGAATTATACTAACCATCGACGACAGGAGCGCGCGCAGGGTCAGAAGTCGACTCGACCGTGACAGCCGCCCCGTTGCGGTTGAAAACAGAACGCGGCATATTGCAATCTGAATTATACAGAAAAGACAACGATATGGTGGAACCAGGGCGCAAATCGTCGACACGATTAATAGTAGCAAGAATATTAGTGAAAGAACCATTTGAGGGACTTTGCAGAAAACAGATGGTCGACGTCGGACAAAGATCAGATCTCTGTCAACACTCGCAGGCTCGCAGTCCGCTCTGAAACGGCCACCAATCTACAATCGTGCTAGCAAAGGATCGTCAATGCCATGCTCGCACAAAGCACATTGACGTGTGTTTTCTTTTCATTAGTTGGGTCATAGAAGGCGAGATGTTCATAAATGATGCACTGCTTCGAATGATATGGTGAACGATCGAGTGTGAAAGGTTATGATTGCTATTGGCAGCAAGTCAGGAACGATGTTCACAGGCACTGTACGAGGCTGCGGCAGGCAGATGTCGTCCTTGAGTAAGTATGTACGACGGGTGAAGCAGTGAGTAAGGCCGAGAAGCGACATCTGTGCAAGGTCGTAATGTGTTCGCAAGGCGTCAAATAGGGAGCCAACATCCGTTGGGCACGACTCAGTTGTTGTTGGTGCAATCGGAGTACTAGATAATGGGAACGGACCCACACCTTGTGTGCTGACTGCTGTTGCGACGGCAGGGTAAAATAATCAGTGGATCGACGGGCAGGCAGAGCTCTGGCCGGAAAATCCCGAAAGACGTTGGCACACACCTGCACGCGGAGTCTGCGTCAAGCCCATATAGACTGCCCAATTCCTGAACATCCTCTAAAACAGTTGTTCAAATTTGAGCTTCCCATCATACGTTATTTTCTATGGCGAAGATAAAAACATCTACACCATCCCCAGATCACCGGTTTACTTTTAGCGAAGACGAAGAAACAAATAGCAACGATGGTGCTTCCTCCTCAAAGGTACATTCATCTGACGAGCATGACGATCGCGGAATAAGTCAGGGAATGGAAGTTGAGGGGTTCGCTGGTCCGAAGATAGTCCAGCCTTTGACACCTGAGGCTCTGGCAAAATTCAATGCTGCGCAAGCTCGCACTGGCGTAATCTACATCTCACGAATACCTCCTGGCATGCGTCCTGCCAAAGTACGGCATTTAATGAGTGCCCATGGTGAAGTGGGGAGAGTGTATCTCCAACAAGAAGGTGTGTCTGCTCTTCACCATGGTATTGCACACTAATTGGATTTTGTCAAGACGCCAAACGTGCATACCTCCGCCGAAAGTTTACGTCCACCAAAAAGCCGCATTTCACTGAAGGCTGGGTGGAGTTCAAAGATAAAAAGGTCGCAAGATCTGTGGCTGAGATGCTAAACGCGCAGCCGATCGGCGGTAAGAAGGGTACTCGTTGGCGAGATGATGTGTGGACTATGAAGTACCTCCCCAAATTTAAATGGAACATGTTGACTGAGCAAATAGGTGCGTGTTTCTACTTCATGCATGAACACGCGGGAAACTCATTGCAACCTCAGCGCATGAAGCTGCTATTCATACAGCTAAGCTGCGCGTCGAGCTTGCACAGTCGAAGACGGAACAACGCGATTACCTCAAGAATGTAGAACTCGCACGAGTATTGGACAAGCGTAACGAAAAAAGAAAGGAAAAGGGTTTAGGGCCACTTGAGCTGAAGCGCCCAGCTGAGGTCAGTAAAGAAGAGGAGCCTCGAAAAAGATTGAAGTACACGGATGATACTCAACTTAATAGTGTACTTGGTAGCATATTTTAGTTTCAAGCTATATTGCAATGATGTTAATGTCCAACATGAGTTTAATTAGTGCACGGGCCAGCCGACGGCATGGGATAAAATTTAATCGGCGCGTGAATGGGGAAAGGAAGAGAACTCGGTTGACGGAAGCAACGACTTACATCGCGACATTGTCGACAAAGGTTTGAGTTGGTCAACTGGCACGGTTGGTCTCAAAAACTCACAGTCTCGCGATCCAAGAGGTCTGTCTGTCCTTCTACATCATGCTCGGCTCTCTCTCCTCAAACCTCCATCCTTGCCGTGGAATATCGTCTCTGATTTCTCTCTCAGTTCTTTAATACTTCTAAAGATATTATAATGTCTTCCTGGCCTGCTCCTGCTTACCCTCCGCCTCGTCGCTCGCGTTCTCGCTCCCCTCCTCGTGGTCATCCTCGACCACCATATCCAGACACTGGGTATCCTCCGGACCAGTACAGAAGTGGAGGTGGCTGGGATCCACATGAGAGGGATAGGGAGAGAGCATGGGTTGAGTATGAGCGAGATAGAACCGGATATGACCACACTCGTCGCAGAAGCCGCAGTCCGCCACCGGACGATAGTACGAAAATTTCTTTATACTTTATTTCATGACAGCATATTGACTAGCCCAATTTGTATAGCCAGAAAACGACGCAGGTCCGTTTCACCTTACGACAGGGAAAGGGAGCGATATGACCCACGCCCGCGTTATGGCGATGATTATGGTGTTTCGGTTGCGTTAAATCGTTTTCTCATTTCTGACCTCAATCTAGATGCGCATTCGCGGGTATACAGCTATAGGTCTCCCCCCAGAGCTCAATTTGCGCCCCCGTATCCTCCTCGCAGGGCACCCGCAGACCCGCGTACACTCGACCACCCAGCAACCCTGAAGCAATATGCCGAATGGTTTAGATACGCCTTCCCTCAACAAGCTTCCGATGAGGATGCTGCTGACAAGGCAGCGGAACAAGAAGCCGGCGATGGTTCCAAGCCTCGCAATGGCATTCGTTCTCGTTGGGAGAAATACAAGAAGGATTTTGTCGCAACTCAGGTTAGTCGCCGTCAATCTCTCAAGCGTACTGTGTGTACTGCGTGGCATATCGTGTCCTTTGCCGTCGTGGGTTTTGTGAAGCAGCAGCTGAACGTCTTTTGTTATGTATGTAGTTGCAGACCATGTTTGATCACCATAGGAAATCCCCGTGGTTTGCAGAGAAGTATGACCCAGCTCCGGAGTTCGTTGCTCTACGCCGTCGTGTTCGAAAGGAAGGTTGGAGAGGGCGATTAAACACGTTTCTGCTAGACCTCGAGTCGGGCAAGTTTGATCCTGACTTGAGCGAGCCTGAAACAGACACAATTTCTCCCGTTAAGGAGACAGTCGAGGCTAGTGAGGATACGAAGACTGGTGGCGATGATGACATGCAGTTTAACCTCGACGCTGAGGACGATGCTGGTGAACAGGAGCCTAGCCGTGCTGAGGCCAACGGGAAAACTGTGAATGACAACAAGCGCAATAATCGTGGCGAAGAGATTGCTGTCGCTCCAGAAGGCAACCAGGTCATGATTCGGACTATTCCGCCTGACATCGGTCGTGTGAAGCTGGAGGAGGTAAGTGTAGTCGTCCTATAGTGATTATAAGAGCTCATTGGGACTTTGCAGGCATGTAGTAAGGTGCCAGGATACATGTACCTAGCGCTCGGCGACCCCCTTCAGAAACGCAACTACTATCGTGCTGGCTGGATCAAGTTCTGTGACGATGCTGATATGACAGTTGTTATGACTGAGTTGACTGATAAAAAGGTGAAGATCTCTGTTCCGTACCGCGTGGCTTTCGTTGACGTGACGTGATAGATTGAAGGCTTCAAGCTTCATGTTGCTCACACCGTTAAGCCCTTTGTAAACAGAATTCGCTATGTCCCAGAAGTCGCCAGTAAGCCAGACCGCATCGAGAAAGACCTTGCGAACGCAAAGCTCTTGGCCTCTATTTTAGAGGAAGAAGCTGCAGCACTACGCCATTTTAATCCAGCAGGGCATGAGTCCTCGGCAACGAACGGAGATGCAAAACCCGTGGATGCTGTGATGAGTGATGCACATGCAGACCATGAGGACGATGAGGAACCAAAAGAATCCGGATCTGAGGCTATAGAACGGAGGATAGAGAAGATTATGGCAGACCTTCGCGACCAGGGAGCGGTTGATGAAAAAGTCATGGAAGCAAAGAAAGTATGTGTGATCTGATGCGCTCTCTTCATTGTTACTGACTTTCGCTCTCTTGGCTTTTTTTAGGCTGTTATTTCCCTGGACTTATATCTTGCCTACCTTCGAGCAGCGTTTCACGCATGCTACTACTGCGCTGTTGTGACCGATCATCTTGAAGAATTGCAGCGTAAGTGCTTGCAGCACGTGAGGAAACCTCTGTCCAAGTCACTGCTTGAGGAGGTCAAGGCTGCTGAGGCTGAGAAAGAAAAAAAGGAAAGGGACGATGAGAAAGAAAGTGATGCACCTTTACCCCCTAAGCCAACCGAGAACAGAGACTGGAAGCGCAATGGTAAGCTTCCGGCATCTTTCAAAGTCAATTTGGTTAATTACGTGGAGCAGATGAGCGCTGGTTGGAGTGGTTTGATGGCAAGATTGCGCTGCTGATCAATCGCAACGACCTGGACCCGCGTGAGTATGGTGGCAAAAGTTACGACGAGTGCGTGCCTCTTTTGATCTCAGATGATTGGAAATGTCATTCTCGTTGCAGGGAGCTAAGCAAAGCGGTTGAGCAATACATCAAGCAGGAAGATGAGGGCAGGTTCCGGTGCAAGACTTGCCAGAAGCTCTTCAAGGCTACCTCGTTTGTCGAGAAGCATGTCGCGAACAAGCACCCTGAACTTGTGAAACAGCTCGACGAGGTAAGCATGTTTAATCTCGTCTTCTTTCGGCATCTCACGGTCGCCGGATTTTCAGGTCCCTTACTTCAATAATTTCGCGCTGGACCCACATAGAATCCAGCCGTTCACACACCCACCTCCTATCACCGGGAACAGCCAGCCTCCCCCCCAAGCGTTCGGTATTCAAGGACACGCGGTGGTATACCCGCCTCCCGACTTTGGCCGGCCGAATCCATATCTTACTTATCCTCCTGCGTTCCCTCCGCCACCCTATGGAAACAATGGTCACTGGGATCATTTCGGATATCAATACGGGCCTCCAGGTCTATTTCCTGCTCCACCACCTATCCGAAGGGATGAAGCGACCACCGCTCGCAGGCTCAGTGATCGTATTAGCGGCTATGCCCCCAATCTGGAGCAGCCGATGGAGGTTACAATTCCCGCTAATGCCGGACTTCCCGCTAAGCCACAAGTTACTATGGACCTTGGTCAGCCTGCAGCGGATATTGGTAGGAAAGGTCGTCGAGGAGCCACGAGCTCAGGTCCACCGCCACCTCCGCCACCCGATGCGAAGGAAGATCCCAGGGCTGCTGGGGGCAAGAAGGTCAGCTACCACGACATGGACTCGGTTGCTGAAGGAGATGTCGAGTTGACTTACTGATGTGATGATGCATACGTGATATAACTTCTCTGCGCTTCGCAATATATTTTGGTGATTATGTCGCATGTTGGGAAGCGTCTTCCTCAGAAGCGCCGAGGAGGAACTCGTGCACTGGATAGAGCGTGGCAAGCACTTATAATATTGAGAGAGATCACAAAAACAAATTAGAAAGCCAAAAAGGGTGATGGCTCAAAAAGGGCGAATGTTGCGGTTAGTGTAGCACTGTATCATTCCTCCCTGACCCTTGCCTGTCCCTGGCTTATTAACTCCCTTGTCTCGTAAACTACCTATTTCTGTGTCCCTTCTGCACAATCATTCCAGTTCGAAACTTGGACTACAAGTCGGGTGCTGTTGCACAACTCCTGACTCTACGGCACCGTGATCATCAATGAGTGGGGTCAAACCTATTATTGCACATCGTCTACCGGCATCCGTTCTTGTCAATGAAGAAGGATTGATAGCGCCAGAAGCCATTGGCCCGAACAAGTTTGCGGTAACGTGGTCTGCTGAACCTCCCCCTCCTGTACTTGCACCTCTTGTACAAGCTGCAGAGCGCCAAGTTGTCCTCAGTTCGTCTGACGGGGAATCTGATTTCTCAGAGAAAGATCTCTGCTCGTTGGGAGAGAAGCAATCGCCGGCCGAGCTTTCTGACGAATTTGAAAGTTCGGTGAGCCAACGCATTCGGCTTCAGCAACTCACTCCTCACCACCACGATGAAAATCCGATTATTCCACGTTTTTCTCGCGCAACCTCCATGCCTCTGCCATCACAGCTAGAACATCTAAAAAATCCCCGCAGGACCGCGTCTACTTCGCCCGAACAGCCTAGTCAAGCCCTTCCCACAGATGCCACCGTCGAATCCTCTCGGTTCCACGAACTTTCATTGGAACTCGCGGACTCTGTTCAGATGGTTGTTCAGACGCTTTTACAGGTCTCACCAACACAAATCCTTGACCCGGCGAAAGAGCAATTTGCAGCTTGCTCTCTCTCAGTCCCCACCGCCTGCATGTCTGCCGTATTCACGACGATGAAAAACCTCAATTACATTTCTGCGAATATGTCAGATCTATGTGCTGATACCTTCAACCCTGCTCATTCCAGCAATTCTACTTCGAAAGCCCGCCGATTAACTCTGCCTGGACCACCTGTCACTGCAGCTACCGACTTCGATATTGGGGAGATGCTGCAAGGAGTTGGAGATGCATCGAGTGGGAGGGCTGCTGAAGTTGGTGTGGATCTGGTCTTATTCCATAGTGACGTTGGGATGAGGCACATTGCGGTCAAGGGGGTAGAGTGCGGAATATCTAACGTGCTAACGCATGTGAGTGGGCGCGTTGCAGTTCGAGTCCCAGTCTCACAACCTGCAGGTCGTCCGTCAAATCATCAATACTACATGCCATGGTGACTCCATTGACTTGGGCCTTAGTATCGCTTCGTCAAGCTCTTTGGGCTCAAATATGTCACCCTTCACAGAGAGACCAAATTCGACAGCCAGCGGTGTCTCTTCGCCCATTCCCATAGACGAGGACGAAACTTTGCACTGCACATTCGAAATCCATCACCGTTTCCATTCGCTGGATGTGCCGACGGATGACATGACGCCTACCAAAACAAGCCCTTCTGGCGTTCCAGAGCGCCCAGAGCCGAACTTTGATTCAATGCTATTCCGCAGGTTACTTCTTCGATGCGGCGCAACGCTTTCATCTGAGGTCTCTGATGACATAACTTCAAGAAGGACGTATGAAGTCAAGCTTGAACTTCAGCGCGGTTCGCTAGATGCGATTACTGCTAAATCCTCTGCATCATCCGAACAATCTCATGCGCTTCTCAGTGGGGTTCGGTTAGGAATGGAGCCGTCTCTTGAAGAGCTTGCTCAATTCGCTGAAACTTTGCGCGGAAAGAAAGTCACCTTGTATGCAAGCACCGCAAGTTCCTTTGCACACCACCTGACGAGCTATCTCACTGCTTGGGGTTTGGATGTTAGTCACGTATCGTCAGAGGCCGACGTCGATGGCAGCCCAGGCACCAACGAAGCTCCTGCTCCTCCTATGCCGAGAACGTGGATCACAAGAGCCTCGAGCCCATCCGTGAACGGCACTCCACGCTTAGCTCCGTCGTTGTCATTTGTAATGATCGATGACGATGTCTCCATCCTTCGGGAGAGGTTGCGCAAGTACAGAGCAGAGCAGCCAATACCTCTCAGCCTTCACTCTCGGAAACGACCTTCTCTAGCTGCTCACCATCGCCCAAAGTCGTCACCACAAGTAGCCCGTACTCTAGGCTTCGGATCACAGGTCCCACCGCAACAAACACCCGTAGTAGTTGTTCATTTCACCAGCCTAGCCAATTACAAATTGGTCAAGGAAATCATACAATGCGATCTCGCTTCTCACTCCTATTCAGCATGTCCACCCGAAGTTATGATTATTCCTAAGCCCGCGGGTCCACGCAGGTTCCTCACTGCGCTGCACACTGCTGTTACTAAGCCTATCATCGATCCATTCTTTGCCCCAATTGCTACCTCACCACTGAGCCCTGGTTCGCACAGTTCTCCTTTCTTCAATTTAACTCAGACAAGCCCAAAATCCCCTTCTCGCCCGTCGAATTCATCACGGACCAACTCTGAGAAATCTTCGCGATCTGCAAGGGACAGTACAAGTGAACATCCCTCACACGCACCTCCTTCACCCCTCGGTCTCGCGGATAATATGGAGTATTTCCCTGAAACTCATAGCCCTGTAAGGCTTGGTCAGACACCATCCTCCGGACTTGTAATTTCGAGCCCGGACGGACAGCCAACAGGCATCATCTTCCAACCGCGTGCAAAATCTACGAAGCCTATCACACCATCACCCAATAGTGTTGCAGTATTATCCAGTTCCGAACGGCTACGAGGGACCTCCTCCCGCCGCCTATCGGACGGTGAACAGAAGAAGCAAGGTCAATCGCCACTCTCGTTTGCGTCTTTGCACTCCAATACACCTCCCCCTCGGCGAGCAGCATCTCCTAACGAGGGCTTCACCCCAATCTCTACTACGCCCAACGGAAAGGGTAAACGAGCAACCTCCCCCCAGGTAGATGAACTTGCCCCCCCATCACCGGTATCTCCCCCATCGCGTAACACAAGCGTGGTCGATCTAAGGAAGGCTTCTTCCCCTCCAAGTTCTCCAGTAGTGCCGGACCCTCAACCTAGTGTGCTCGCGCGAAGACTAGGAAGGCGAGCAACCCATGATACGAAACCTTCGACAACCCCCACTGCGTTGGGGAAAGCAGGCAAAATTCAACCTGATACAAGCATCATACCTCCAATTAGCGTGCTCATCGTTGATGGTATGGGCTTCAAATCTTATCATACATCGCGCTAATCGGTTGGACCAGATAATCCAATCAATCAGACCATTCTGTCAACCTTCATGAGGAGGAAAAAGATCAAGTATGACGTGGCCAAGAATGGAGAAGAAGCTGTGCAGAAGTGGCAAAATGGCGGGTTTCACTTGATTTTGGTATGATGTTCCCTCGTACGACAAATTTATCAAGCTGATGCGTTAAATTAGATGGACATCCAAATGCCTGTTATGGACGGCATACAAGCGACGAAAGAGATTAGAAGATTAGAGAGTTTGACAGCTTCTTCAGGCTACACTCCAGGCACACCCCTATCTGACACACTTTCAGAAGGGGCATTCTCCGATTCTCGAGCTTCAGCATCGCCCTACCGTTCCGCCGTCATTATCGTAGCTCTCACGGCCTCATCCCTCCAGAGCGACAGAGTGGCAGCCCTTGCGGCAGGATGCAACGATTTCCTGACCAAGCCTGTGTCCTTGGAGTGGCTAAACAACAAGATTATCGAGTGGGGGTCGATCAAGGCTTTGCAAATGTGGGCCGACCTGCGACCTGAGGTGGTAAAAACCATCTCGACTGAGCAGACTGCTCAAGCCCAGCTTGTAGCTCGTCGACTTCACGTTCCCGAGGGTCGAATGACTCCAATCAGTTCTCTGAGCAGATCGCCATCAAAAGCTAGGGGGACAAAAGCGATCCCCTTGTTGAACCTGGTTCTGGACCTACTGCTAAGCTCACGGTCCCGAAAGGAGAGGACCAGCCAACATCGAAACCAGCAAAGTGACTTGCCTGATAATGATTCCCCTGGATCATCTCCTTCTTCCGAATCTTCTGACTCCTTTGAGCAATCTGGTGAGTTCCTTCTTCTATTTCTGCGTTTCTTTCACTTAGATCGGCGATTTCAGGAGAGAATACCGTATCACTCCCTGGTGTGCTGGCTGAAACATATTTGAAAAATCAACATTAATTATTTTATAGCCGCTCATAATCATGACACGGATGATACGGTCACCCAATCTGAATCTACGACTGCCAAGGATGCGCACACGCCGACAGGTATTTTGTTCCCACCTGGAATGCCGCTGGATTTGGTTTAATATGTTTCACAAGATGGGGAGGAATGCCATGAAAGCTCATCGGAAAGGTCATATGCGACTGCAAGTGAAACGTCAGCAAATGCTTCCGAATTCCAAGATGCGCCGACATCACCCCAATGACTACGTTGGGCGACCTTTGGAAGCTTTGCGAGGCTGGCCGCGCCTATGGTCTTACCATTATATCTGAGGGTCGCCGCGTTCTTCCGTAAATATGTGTATACCTTGTCATTTTCTCGTTCGTGTTGATCACTAAGCGTTACATGTTTTATCTTGGGTTTTATGGGGTTATTTGGCAATTGTCTTTCGACTACCATTAGTGGGTTATGACAGCATCGATGCGATGGTGGCTATCTTCTCACCGTTGGGCAATAGAGTGATTCGGAAGATGCCTGAATTTGACAAGTTGCGGGAATTGCGTGAAGGGTGTGCTTGGCAACATGGCTTTTTACAAAAAGCAAGCAATGTATTGAGAGTAATAGTCTGTAGGTCAGTCAGGGACGGGGGGTGAACCGACTGCGGTGATTCAGGTTCGCGGAAGTCAGAAGATGAGATGAATTTGCTATACGTGGTCAACGACGATCAAAATACAGTAGGTTCGATGACTCAAGATGAGCTCGTAAGGGCACGCAGCAGACTATTTTTCGTAAAATTTGATGTCGAAGAGCCAGCTACTCACGCAGTCACCGACATGACCTTCTTTGTTCGGCTTCTCGGCCCTTTTAAGTTAAACAGAGAAATCAGCCTAAACATACCTATTTGCGGCATTCGCCGTACCGGAGGTTTCTTTCGTACTCCGCGTGGCCGACTTAGTGAGAGGATTTGGGTGAGGTCTCACAACACCTCATTTCTCTACACCAAAGTCCGTCTTTTTTACAAGCAATTCCCTGTTCTTAATTTTCTTCTCATCGTCAAACTCCAACGATGAATACCATGCACGACTCCCACAGGAGGACTTCCATCAGTCAGCTGCTCAATCCATCATCCGACTCCTCAGTTTACTCTCATGCTTCATCGCCTGTCGCTGTTTCTCAGTACCAACATCCTCCACATCAGCCGCAGCCAAATTATAATCAGCCAATAGAGTCTGCTTCTTCTTTCCATCTCAGAGCAGCAAGCTGGGAGCCAAGTGACGACCAGTCTGTACCTAAACGTAGAATTGACAATGGGCCAGCTTTACCTCGACAATATCCATTGCCACCTCATCATCATATGCATACTGAACCTAATGGTGACATGATACCTCGCCAGGGTAGATCAAGAATGGATGATGCTGCAAATTATGCAATGCCAGCAAATTCTTGGCCATCTCAAGCAGATATGTCAAATCCTTCCTATGGATCACCCATCGTCGCACCCATGTATTCAGACGAGCGAACAGGTAAGTAAGCATGCGAGATGCACGTGAATTCTCATTCAAGCCCTTTGTCTACCCCAGCCTTATCGGGCGACTATCCACCGAACAGTTAGCTTATTTTCCGTTGACTCATGACTGCGCCACTGACGTTGTATTTAGCTCAATTCCATCCCGCGCAAAATTTCCATCCTCAACAATTACCACCAGGACATCCTGCTTCATGTAACTATTATCTCTTGATCATCCCTGCTCTCGTTTTCTCAATTTATACCGATCCTAAGCCTTGCAGCATGCTGAAAGAGCTTCTGTTCGTATAGCGGCCCGCTTTACGGCTCCTTTACCAGGGCAGCCGATTTATGAGATGGCTCCTATGCATCCACCAGCAGGAATTTTCCTGTATCACGCACCTCCGCTTCCCCCACAAAAGCGTCCGTCGACTGAAGATGACCAAGCACCGAAGGCTAAGAAGGCGAAAACTAAGCCAAAGGCTACGGAGGGAAATGGTACATTTACATTACATTTCGCATGGTATTTTACATGGTGGCTGATGATATACCCAAGGTTCATCCAAGCGGGGTTATAACGCCAAGAAGCGCAGCGAAGCTGCACAGATTGCGGCCCAAAATGGTCAGTTGATGCATAGGTGAAACCACGGTTACTAACTATCCTCTAGCTCAGTTGATGCCGACTGTTTCTTATGCATCGCCCCCTACCGACAAGGGCAAAGAGAAAACGGCAGAAGGTAAACCGCTATTTCCGCCGATATCAAATGATTATTAACGTTCAGAAGCTCCAATGCGCATGGTGACGGGCGATCATGGACAAAACACCGACGCTGCAGCTCAGCTGCACCCCGAATTACAATTTGCTCGGTGCATGTCAAATCGATATAGATCTGAACAGTTCCCGCGCTGTGTGTCGTGCACACGTCGCTGGGCTGGTGACACATGCAGATTCCAAGGCATACGATTTTTCTTGAAAGACAATCAGAGAAATATTGTTGGTGTCAGCTTCGTTGAGAACCAGCGACCTGATGCGCCAAGCATGAGTTTTCCCGTGAACTGGAACGTCTCGTTGACGCCCACGCATATACGGCGAACGAAAGTGAGAAATAATTCGTTCTGAGTTTTGACGAAATGTTGAGTCTGACCATTTGAGTAATTAGAGGACGATAGCTCAGGCTCTTCTCCCAACGCTTCTTCAGGAGCTGCAACACTTGAACTTCCCAGAGATCATCCGGAGGACCCGAGAAAGCGAAGTGCGCGCCACTTGTGGTCAGTGTCACGCGACCTTTTATATTTTTTCGTGTTTGCCCAATAATGTTTCATCACAGACACCTGCATGACCTCGATTTTCTCCAGCAGTTGGATGTGTCGATTATGTGGCAGAGAAGCATGTGCGGAATGTTTTGAACAAGTGAAAGATCTCACCGAAGATAAACCTGGTGCAAGCCAGGCTGAGATTGCTGCTCTCCAAGCCCGCCGAGAAAAACACGCTCACAGCAACCCATTTTTCTTGTCATGCACGCGGCGGAATGAGCATCACGCAAAGGACTTTTCACCGATGTCGCGCTTTTGTAAGGCCGAGCTTGCACAGGCGATTAAAGACATGGAAGCTATGCTTCAGGAGCCGGATAACGATGCACTTCCTGACGCCGGATCAATAGATCCATTACTGCAGGTGGAGCAAGCGCAGGCAAACGGGGGCACTTTGTCCTCTGCCCAGGTTTCAGATTCACAGATCGGCGGCGAGGCATCCGCATCAGCGCTAGAGCCGTTAATCTCCTCTGCTCCTCAACACGGCCTATCACAAGACGGCGTCTTCCATTCAGAATCGGCGTCAGCAACTGCTCCGTCTGCTTTACAGGTCGCCGAGCTACCGCTGTCAGCCCCCGTAATGCCACCGTCCGTTGATCAGAGTTCTACTGTGCCAAGTGAAATACCCTCACATCCGACCACCACTATCGCAGATTCACAGCTTACTGAGGAAGTTTTCCGCCCGTTGTGGGCCAAAGGAGATCCAATTGTGGTCACCGAGTTGCTGTCCAAGTTCCAGATTCAATGGACGCCTGAGTATTTCGTAGAGAAGTACACCTCTCAGAGCTGCCTCATTTTGGAGTGCCAGAGCGATGTGAATAAGCGCGTGACGGTAGGCGAGTTCTTTTCGTGGTTCGGAAAATATGAAGGGCGGGTGGAGTGCTGGAAGCTCAAGGTGAGTGTATCGTGACCGTGGCTCCTGACACACGCTTAGTGCGTATCTCTAGGATTGGCCACCATCAACAGATTTCAAGACTGCATTTCCTGAGCTTTTTGAGGACTTCAGTCGGGCTGTTCCCGTGCCCAATTATGTTCGTCGGGATGGAGCCCTCAACATTGCCTCACATTTCCCCAGCAATACAGTCGCACCGGATTTGGGTAAGCATTACGGCGACTACGAATAGAAATCGGCTGCTCATTGAGGTTTCATTGCAGGACCCAAGATGTACAACGCGATGTCATCGTTCGAGTCGGCAGGCAGCAAGGGGTCGACAAGACTTCATATGGACATGGCTGATGCCGTAAATATTATGACGTACGCGTCTACTACGCCAGATGGCAAACCTGGATGCGCGGTATGGGACCTCTTCCGTGCCCAAGATGCAGAGAAACTGCGTACTTTCCTTCGGAGGAAGTTCAAGGGCACATATCAACACGACCCGATCCACTCACAGCAGTTCTACCTGGATAGTCAGCTACGGAAAGAGCTGTATGATACGCATGGCATCAAGAGTCATCGGGTATATCAAAAACCAGGAGAAGCTATATTCATTCCAGCCGGTTGCGCTCATCAGGTTCGTCATTTACCCTTTTGCTGTACTCTGACGCTCATATCACGATTTGCAATACAGGTATGCAATCTCGCGGACTGTATCAAAGTCGCGGTCGATTTCGTCAGCCCCGAGAACATTGCGCGCTGTGAGAAATTGACACGCGAATTCCGGGAGCAAAACCAGTCCATGGCGTGGAAGGAGGACGTTCTCCAACTCCGTACTATGATGTGGTTCGCGTGGCTTTCGTGTTGTCGGCAAGAGAAAGAGATGAACGAGCCTTGAAGCTTCAGGTGCACGTGGATGTGGATGTTCTGTTCCTTGTGGTGACGATATTTTGTATGATAGAGGGGTTTAGTATTGTATGGGGGAAACCCAATTAATCGGTCGATGTGCAATGTGTGCTTTCTATTTTTCACTTGCTTTCTTGTACATGCGTAATTTCAGTGCTTTCGTGCTTATCTGCGCATGGGTCCGTGAGTTTCTGTTACTTATCTGCACTGCGGCCTCGGATGCGGAGATGGATCCTTCACAATCTTATCGCATAACTTGTGGACTGTATTGCCTCATGTTATCACCACGTTTTTGAACGTTTGAACTCCGACCACTGCACTGCCATGCGGCATTGAAGTTCATACATCTAGGCGGCTATTTGGATCCAAGGGGTTTGCCAAACAAAGCTGCACAGCTCACACCACTTAAGCCTATACATCGCCCACGATGCACTCCATGAAGTACGTGCCACTTTCCGTTTATCATCGCTGCAATGTCGACATTCGTCCTGGTTGCATAATGCACATATCCACTCAACACGCCCGATCTCCGATCTCAAAATACGATGTCTTGTAGCATAAGCCTGCCACAGTTGTGGAAGTTGGCCACAGAGGGTGGCTCGTTTTTTCTAACCAAGCGTATAAGAAACATGCATCACCCTGCTATGTGGCATATCGAAACTCGCTTTCCTCTCACTCTACCCTCATCTCTTCCCGATCATGACCGAAGCAGACGCCGTTACTTTGGTTAGAGATAATGCCGCTAAGAATTTCTCGTGGTACATTTCGCCGGGAAGGCCCATGATCTCCGTTAGGTCCGAATCGAGCTTTGCCTCTCGAGCATGGATGCCACCGAGGCCGGCAAACACATCAACCGAGGAGCAATCACCAAAACACCTAGCCAACTGGCATCTTCTGGGTATTAGACTAACGAGACCAACATTGAATCAATGCCTACAGTCTTATTTCCGTAGGATGCAACACGTTATGACCCGAATATGCCATCCTTTGTCCATCCACAATGAAGCCTGCTCGATCCTACATTCAGCGAAGAACGCCGGATTCATTGAACCGAGGTTATTGGCCGAGGGACTATTCATCGCCGGAGCTGCTCAACTGCAGTACACCCGGACTGTGGCACTGCTTATACATGATGTTCTCATAGAACTCAATATGACCGACTGGCGTGTCATGCACGCTGTGGGAGTGCATCTCGAAGAATTTGCGACGTCGACTCTAGTCAACGTTTTTCATAATGTATGTCAATCTCTCGTGCATAATTTTTGGTGTACCAAACCACTTTATAGTTTTCGGGGGATTTCAAGTGTAATTATAATGCGACCAGTTTGGAGAAAGGCTAACGACACACTTGAGTCTCTTCGAGACCAACAGTTCAATGCAGCAGCTTTATATGGCGATCTTGTTTCGTTTGGCATTATCCCTCACAATCTATTTGTTTCCGTCATAAACAGCTTCTTGGACGACATATCATCGATATCCCAGTATCGCGTCATTTATCTCCTGATACTCCGAGCAATATTCCAAGATGTATTCCCTATACATCCTGACTTGTTTACTTGGCTGGCGGGACAGGTTGCTCTTTCCACTGCAAATCAAGCTGCGTTTCGATGACGAGATGATCCAGAGGTGGATTATTGTAAGTAGTTATACTGTCGTTTTGCTTGATGTTAATATACTCGTTACTGTGACCAGGAAATCTGCAACTTGATCGATAAGGCTAGCTGGAACGTCCAAAACCAAGCCACCGTGCCGCAATCTTCCAACTCGCCAGCCGGAAAGCATATATGGGATAGACAGCTCACCAGACAGGGTCTGTACGATTTAATCCAAATTCAAATCCGGAGGGCGGGAGAGATGTACACGATGATGTGTTAATGTAGACTTGGTCTGTGGTAATTCAAGTTCTTATACCCAGCCTCAGAATGTGAACGTAGTGAACTTGTGAAGGAACGCGGGAGGTCACGGGATTTCCATCTTGGGTCCAAAAATTTCTTACATACTCTAATACATCCTCACATATGCACATCTACATCTACTAAAGGTATGCCGCCAGCAATCACATATGATCCCAGGAAACACGTTGGGGTTCACCCAGAACGTGTCTCTCATGTTTCCAGCACGAACTTTCCCGGACACCACCCAGATGAGGACCACTCATGGGACCTTGAGAGATTCAAGAAGGTGCGTCTCGGCCCTAAAGCTTGATCTGTATCCGACTAATCCACGGTCTTGCAAGGATAGGGACTGACCGTCAAAATAGAAAGATTATCGAACCGCTCCATTGAATTTGACCTAGTAGGTGTGGATGCATCAATCGCAAATGCTTACAGGAGAATACTGATAGCCGAGGCAAGTCAAATTAGTTTTCATTCGCGGCGCGATCGTCTGACGTACTCTAGGTTCCAACAATCTGTGTCGAAAGAGTTTACGTTTGGGACAACACTTCGGTTGTTGTCGATGAAGTGTTTGCACAGCGGATAGGCCTCGTGCCTCTAAACGTCGATCCGGCTCTCATGGATATGAAACAAAGCTAGTTAAAAATTGTTAAGGATGTTCTTCATGCTAATACCTTGACAGGCCAAAATGACCAGGCTACTGACCGCAATACACTCGTGTTTCGGTTACAAGTTTCCTGCGAGCGTCGGAAGAATGCGCCAAAAGATACCACGGACCCAAACAAGCTGTATATCAACCATGAGGTCCTGTCCTCACATTTGAAATGGGTTCCACAAGGAGAGCAAGAGATTGTTCTGGCAGACAATCCCCCTGCACCCACGAATTTAAATATTGTGCTGACCAAACTACGGCCTGGGCAAGAAGTTGATATGGAGCTACATGCTGTCAAGGGAGTAGGGAAAGATCACGCAAAGTTCTGTCCAGTTGGTGAGCGACCACTCTGAAGGAGCAGTAGCTGGATGTCTAACCTCGAGTAACAGCGACAGCGTCATATCGTCTACTACCATTGGTGATTTTGAACCCAGAAAAGCCCGTACCTCGAGAACTTGCAGAAAAATTTCAAAAATGCTTCTCGTCGGGTGTCATTCGAGTAGATCCTCGAACGAAAGCTGTCAGCGTGGACAGTAAGAAAATGCGAAACGAGACGATGAGTAGAGAAGTGTATAGACATCCAGAGTTTGAAGGATGCGTTCAACTTGCTCGAGTCCGAGATCATTTCTTATGTATGTGTCCTCTCCTCGTCCACGTGTGCTTCGACTGATATCTCTGCATAGTTAATATAGAGTCTGAAGGATTTTATCCTCCACAACGTCTACTTCCAGAGGCAATTGCTGTCATGCGAGCCAAGATTGCTACTGTCAAGCGTGCCGCAGAAATGCTACTAAATAATGGTGACGATCTAGGTGACGTTGCGATGGCAAATGCTTAGTTACGTATGTTACCCCCTGTATTGTCAGAGGCCACGTCTGTACTATTTCCACTTTGTTATCTTCGTAGCTGTTTTATCATGCAAGTGCTTTTCATTCGACAGCGGAAACCATCCTACAGTAGATGTGCATCTACATATGGTGATACAAGTCCTAAAGTGCGTACACTTGTTCAAAAATGACTCACAGGCGCATGTAGCACAGTGAAATAAGGTCGCCGGAGTCGAACCATTGTGGCTACGTCACAACCCTGGCTGCTTTAGAATCCAGCATTATTTCATGTACCTGGTCCCATCCTTGAGGCAGTGTTGAGTTAAACATGGTCGTAAATGGACCGGGAGAACCTTCCCCCCAAATGGTCTCAAGTTCAGGAAGTATGTCAAGGAGGATGCGAGCAACCGCTTCTGGGTCACTGATGTGAGAATCAATAAGTCTGGGATATTTGACCAGTCGATTGCAAACACCACCGCCTGGTTTATCACCCCGCAGTCCATCCAGCTTGGTGGCGTCGATAGCCAAGTTAAAGAAACGAAGATTGGGGCACAACTCCAGAAGCGAAATGAGACCGTGAAAGGTGATTTCAGGAGTTTGATTGCTACGTAGGTCAGTCATGTTAAAATCTGCAAACGGTGCCGTTCCCTCTAGATGTATTGACATCATTGGACCAAAGGGCATATGTGGTGGGAGTCCAACAGGCAGGGGTGGCAAAGGTGGGAAATCATCATCGGGGAGGTCCACAATAGGCAGGGGATGGGAAGGAATCCGCGGGTACAGATTGCGACAGTCGAACAGTTCAAGTTCCTCCAGCAGTGGCCAAGCAGAAGCCATGGCACGCAGATCATCATCCGCGGGCAAGAACAGCGGCGTCATCATTATGCGCAATACACGAAGGTTGCAGCAAAGGAAAAGGGGTCGAAGTACATTAGAGCTGTTGATGACACCGCTACTCAGCAGGGGAACGTTCATGCGAAATTCTTCAAGGTTGCCGCAAGACACATTTTGACCAATGGGTTGTAGAATGGGCTCGACCGTTTCCACACTAACACCCCCCGACCGGTACACCGGAAGGAAAATATCCATAGATTTGGGCAAGTTCCTTACAGCTTGAAGAATAGAATGAACAGTCGCTAGACTGTTGGCTTGAAATTGGAGAGTGCGCAACGATGGAAATGAGAGCGAATTTGCGGGCAGATTGAGATCAGATATGCTGTCAACGCGCAACCGAAGGATTCTGAGAGATGACAGTGCGGAAAGGCTGAGGATGCATTCGCAACCCTACGGGACTGTAATCCAGCACCTCGAGCTTCTTCCAAGAGCAAATTACTCGGGATAAGCAGCTTTCGGCTATTGCTTCGCATCCTTCTGAGAGATAGAATGTTAATCCCAGCGTATTCAGCTCCGGGCAGAGTCCCCGGATTTTGGACAGGAGTAACGGGGTGGATTTTGGGCTCCACTGAAAGCTTGATATGCGAAGAGACAATAAACGTGGATTGAGCAGTGGCCAGAGTAGAGCAAGACTAAGTTCATCAGTCCAAGCCAGGTGGGTGAGATTGGGAAGGAGTGGAGCTGGGAACTTGAAGAACGTGGAACACTCCCAGGTCATCAGGAACAGCTCTGACTCTCCAGCCCCCTTCGTATCCAGAAAGCTCTATTTTGTGGACGCGATACGCGTACTTGTGAAAAACAGATAGGTCGGGTCCTGCATCAGCGTCGAATTCTGACGGGTCCTGTTCGGTAAGCGGATTAGCGTGAGGAGCAACACATGGATACTGGAGACGTACCTCATCGCTCAACTTCATGTTAGTATCGTAGATGCACGATACTAACGGGTACAGGCTACGTAGCTCGCCCCAGAGAGCATCCAGCGAGGCATCACTGAGAGCGCTGCAGGTTCTGGCAAGTGCTGCGAGAGTCCGGCGACTGATTTGCTCACTACCAGCCTTGATGAATGTGAAGATGTGATCTAGGATATCTGGAACGAGTAGCGCGTGATGCATTTCGACAATTTGATAGTTGTTGTTCACAATGTCAGCTGTAAGCGAGCTGGGGGAAATATTTTAGTAAGAGAAGGTGGACGAGAAGTGACCAGATGATACCTCAGGCCTCAGGTCCTCAGCGTCACGAACAAACAGCTGCGGTATACTAGGCGCGATCTAAACACAACTTAAGTAGTGAACGAAAAAGGAAAACGACTATATCCTACTGAGGCAGCGATTTAGTCATGCTTAGGTACGCAATTCAGGATGTCAGTACGGGTAAGAACCCAATAGTTCTACTTAGACTAGTTATCGTACTTCATGCATAATCAATGGTCAAATCGTATGTTGTCCGTCCCGAAACCGTCCCGGATTTATCTGGTAACTGGTACTACACAAGAAACGCACACTGGTCATATAGTGATCTGCCTGAAAGTTATCATATATGAAGACTGTCGAGCCATAATATAAACTCTGAGCAGGGAAGTTTATACGTAGTTATACATAATAAATGCATCTGGATTAGGTCTGGGAAACAGGCTGTGGTGTAGCATGTCTCACATCATTTCTGAAATCCATCATTCTCTGACGAACGATGTTCCACCTTTGAGGCACCATATTGTGTGGGGGCATGTTTTGAGGTGGAGCTGGCAGTAGAGCGTTTGGCCCCGCAAGGGGATCAAGCTCAGGAAGTATGTCAAAGAGGATGCGAGCAACCACCTCAGGGTCGCCAATGGGCGAATCGATAAGCCTGGCATACTTGACCAGTCGATTACAAACTCCACCACCTGGATTATCGCCTTGCAAATCATCCAGTTTGGTAGCATCGAGCGCTAGGTCAAAGTAGTAAAGATTTGGGCATAGCTTCAAGAGCGAAATGAGGCCGTGAAGAGTAATTTCAGCGGTTCGTGATCTGATGGGGAAAAAAAGGTCTGGTGGAGGAAACGCTGGGAATACTGGAAATACTGGAGGGGGAATGGTAAATACAGGTAGGTACGGAAACTGATTCGCCTGACCAGCGTTTGCCAGAGGTATTTGCATAGGTGCGGGGTGGTGATGGGCCATGACAGTAACCACCGGAGGTTGTGGAGCTTGATTTGGCTGGCCAAGACCCGTGGTAGTGATGGGTGGTAGAGATGGTTGAGGATTGGGAGGAAGAGGGGGTGGAGGTGGGGGTGGAGGGGGAGTCTGAGTCGCTACACGTGGTCGTAAATCGATCAGCTCGAGTTCCTCGAGCAGTGGCCAAGCGTAAGCCATCGTTTCCAGGTCGTCGTTACTGAGAGTGAATGGCGATGACATTCGCACGGACAGTGTGCGAAGTTCACGACACACGAAGAGGGGTCGTAGGATCTCAGAGATATTGTCAGGGTTATCTCCCAGAAGGAGTGGGAGATTCAGACTGAAATGTCGAAGTTCGTGGTACAATGCATCTCGACTGACGAGGCCCAGGAGGACCCCGACAATTTGCGGACTGCAAGTTCCTCTGCGGGACCGCCCTGCGAACACATCGATTTTCAAAGATTTAGGAAAGCTTTTCATCGCTTTCATAAGAGTGATAGCAGTGTCAAGGGTGTCAGTTTGGAACTGGAAAGTATGCAGCGATGGAAATGAAAGCGAGTCTGGAGGTAGATCGATGACGGATGCAGTGTTAACCTGCAGGCGGAGAATTCTGAGAGATTCCATCCCAGACAGGTATAGAAGACCTTCATAGGTCATGGGGTTGCAGTCCAGCTCCTCGAGTTTGGCCCAAGAACCGATTACCCGAGATATGCAATACGTGCTCTGAGTTAATTCCGAGTCTATATGTCCATCCCAAGAATGAACTTGTAGTGTCAGTGATTTGATTTTCGGGCAAAGTCCAGGAATTTTGGTCAGGGCAAATAGGGTGGATGCTGAGCTCCAGCGGTGGCTGGGTATTTTCAGAGACAGCAAATGTGGACCGAGCAGATGGCGAAGTAAATTGAGACCCATCCCAGGGGCCCAAGATAAGTGCCTGAGGTTCGGTAGGAGAGGGGAGTTCAGTGGATAATAGAGCAATGCGCCTAAATCTCGGTGACAGATGGGTAACCACCGTTGCGTCTCCAGAATCTTTGTTGTCCGGAAAGGTCTAATTTGCGGACACGATGAGCATATTTGTCGAAGACAGAGCAATCTGGTCTCGTGTCATCGTTGGCTTCAATCGTGAGCTGTGAGATAGAATGTGATAATTTAGCTTGAACTGTACGGTAAACAAATATAATAGACATGCCTCATCGCTCAACGGTATAGTGTTTGTTGCGTAAATGCACGATGCTAGCGGACGCAAACTATCCAGTTCGCTCCACAGAGCATCCAGAGAGGCCTCACTGAGGGCGCTACAGGTTCTGGCTAGTATGGCAAAGGTACAGCGACCCGTTAGCTTATCTTCCTTGATAGAGGCGAAGATGTAGGCTCGGATATCTGGAATGAGCAACGCATGATGCATGTCGATATCTGAGCCAGACGCCTGGTGATTAGATGGGAACAAGTGGATTTCAAAGTTCACTGGTGAATATGACTCTGAGGGCGCTAGGCCAAGTTCTCAGGTATAGTAGCCGTCAGTACGAGCGGCCTTTGTATGTAATATGCGGAACCATCATGCACATGCATCAAGTCCACACAAGATTAATAAGCAGTGCGAAAATAACCCGATATGGGGTTGTCGCAGTGTCCTAGACTAAGCTTCTTCCACTGGTACTCGGATTTGACATCCATAGGACATCAATACTCGGGATTCATATTCGCTGCATCGAGTAACTTCAGCCTGCGCTTGCAAGACACTTTGCTATGCCCCAGATTCGTAAAAGTATGTAGTTAATCAACTCCATGAAAATATACTCATTCATGATATCGATACCGCGGAATAGAAACGTCCAAGCGAGGGACGACGCACCAACGTCAAAAGTTGAAGCATAAGGTCTCACAGGGCAGAAAGAAAGCTAAGAAAGAGGCTAGGAAAGAACAGGCTGCTGGAAAAAGTGAGTGGCATGCATTGTTATAGGCAAACTGCTTCGTTCAGTGCTTTGAGACCGCATCTATAATTTGTTCTGCTCGGTCGTTTATCTCCTTGTGCTCATAGTCTTTTCTAGCCCACAAGAAATCCAAAAAAGATCCTGGAATCCCGAACAATTTTCCCTACAAGGATCAGATACTCGCGGAAGTTGCAGAGTCACGACGTCAAGTAAGAAAGCACTAATCCATATGAAATTTCCCCTACTGACTTGACCGTACTACAGGCCGCAGAGGAAAAGCAGCGACGTAAAAATGAAAAGCGTGCCGCTCTTACTGGACTCGACGTCAAAGACGTCGAGGATTCTCAAAAAAACATCATGGATGTTGACGTCGACGAAAATCAAAATGATGGGCAAGGGTTTGATGGTATTATGTCCATTCGTCCCGCACCTCTAGTGCCACCCAAAAAGAAGTCCGTAGAACCTTCGAATTCAGAACCTGTCATACCGGTTACCGAAGGACCTCAATCTCTCCGCGAGGTATTGCAAAAAGCGGACGTTCTCCTGCATGTAGTGGATGCACGGGATCCTGCAGCAGGCCTCAGTGAAACTTTGTTTAAAGAAGCGACAGGCAAAGATATCATACTCATCGTGAACAAGATTGGTAGGTTGTTCGTACTGTGTGAATGACACTGGATTGATTGCGTTTAGATTCCGTACCACGAGAATCTCTGGTGTCATGGCTGTCCCACTTGCGATCAACGTATACCACCCTGCCTTTTCGCGTGGCGGAAGCTTTCTTACCATCCAAACCCAACCCGCCCCCGGCATCGAAGAAGATTTCTCTTAAATTGGACGATGCGCTTGGCTCAGACGCAGTTTGGCAGCAGCTTAGCAAGCTCAAAGCCAAAAAATCTGGTGAGGAGTTGGTTGTGGCCCTAACGGGAGTTACCAATGTGAGTTTCCTCGATTGATTTCGTGTCGAACCGTTGTTGATCAAATTGCCCCGTCCAGTCTGGCAAATCAGCGGTCATCAATTCTCTTGCACATGCAAATCTATTACCCATTTACAATCTCAATTCTGCGATCTCTGCAAAAGGCCCTTACACGACCACATCAGCAAGCGAGCTGGTCTTGGAGTTTCCTGACAAAAAAGGGGGGAAAGTGCGGTTGATTGATACTCCAGGATTGGAATATGTCCGTGCAGAGGGTGTAGAAGAGCAGGAGAAGGAAATGACGAGAGCAAGAGACATCCTGCTTCGAAGTCGAGGGCGGATCGATCGACTCAAAGACCCATTGTTTGCTGGCAAGTATCTCCGAGCTGCTCCTCTACCCAAAATCTGACGTCCATGAAAGTTGCGCATATAGTGTCTCGAGCAGATATCCAGGATTTGATGCTGGCATATAGCTTGCCTGCATTTTCGAAGGGCGACCTGACCTCATTCCTTGCTGGAATGGCACGTGCAAGCGGGCTTATCAAAAAGGTAGGTTTTCCGAGGATACGATTCAAGCGCACGCTGATATCTGTGACATACAGCGTGGTGTCCTGGATCATGCAGGTGCAGCACGCATTGTCCTCAGAGATTGGAGTATCGGAAAATTCGCGAGGTATACCATGCCATTAGGGTCATCGACTACCTCCTCTTCAACAAACGACGAGGGAATTATGGCAACGCTGAAGAGCCGGAAAGAACTACGGAAAGCGGAAGATGTGAAACTTGTACAGTTGCAACCTGGCGAAGCAGAGAAGAGGGAGGTGTTATTGGATGATGTGTGGATTGTTGACGAAGAAGTCAGCGAGGATGAGGCCGATGATGAGGATGCCGGAGATGAAGAGGCAAGCGGAGATGAGGACGGTGATGAAGACGAAGCCGATCAAGGCAGCGATCCCGAGAGTGGTGAGGAAGAGGTTGATGAAGAGGAGGTGCCTGAACTGTTGCCCCCGCCTAAACGAAAGCGAACGGTATCCTTTGCTGTTGTTTCAGCTGGAGGGAAGCGGCAGCGAAGGACCGGCCGTAGCTGAAGTCACCGGTGACTTACTGTATACATGACGTACAAGACATGCTGTGTCGAAGAGCGTGGGTTTTGATTCTGACTTGTTTTGCACGCTCCAAACGTCTAGTAGCCACGCGGCCTAACATGTGGAGAGACTAGTCAGTGGTGTTTCGTGACACCAAAGTTATATAGCCTGCAGCAAGCTGATGACCTGGCCCATGGCTCGTCCGACTTTTCTCCAGAAGGTACTCCGAAGACCTTCCCAGAAATATGCAACAGGCACAAGCCGCACAACATCAACAAAAGCCCCTCAGGCTCAAGAACAGCCCTACACAAGGGATTTCCATTCAACCAAGAGCGAGTTACTTCGTATAGCGTCCGAACTCAATCGTGACGATCCGCTTGATAATGAGGGCCGACGTTGTCTCCCAGATGAATCATGTGCATCTATACAGGTGAGTTGCGATAACTTATGCATTTCAGAACCACGTATATTGATTACACATGTCCTCGCTGAAGAACGGCCAGGCTGTCCTTACCGCTGCGAGAGCGCTGGACTCTGGAGGACACACTCCCACCGTCTCTATCGCCACTCATACCAAGAAGGCACAGGCACCACGACAAGAAGCAGTTCAGAAATTCCACGCTTCTGCGGATCAATCTATAGATTCATCTCAGCACAACTCTGAAGAGGTGTTCTACACACCTCCCAGTACACCTACATCTTCCTCGTCCCCTGTTGACCTTTCCCCTCCAGCCTCTCGCTCGCAAACCCCAGCTCACTCCCCACATTCGACACCCCCTCACTCTGCTGCATCGTCTGCTGCATCTTTAGGGTCTGATAATCCCCAAGATATCTCTGTTTCAACAACTTCCTTGACCGAATTTTCTCTGAACACCACTGTCACCATGATTCCCGTCAAGAACGAGCCGGGGCGTCATAAACGTATTCCAAACCATCGTAAGCTAACTTATACGGACCGAGATTGGGCCAAAGACGTTCGGTGGCTTGACACCCCACAACATAACAGAACTAGAGGCAAGGCTACCAGACGCAATACTTCGCCGAGCAGCGTTTCAAATGCAGCATCACGCTCGGCTTCATCTTTACCGAGTACTATTTCCTCACATACATCACAGATGTCTATGACACACCTGCCTTCTCAGCCGCATGACCTTTCCAAAGTTGAACCTCCATCTCCTCTTGGACGTAAGCCAAAAGGTCATGGGCACATGAAATCAAAAGCGATGCGTGCGATGGTTGGCATGTCGGTTCTACTTGAGGTGGAGGAGGACGCTGACCTGTCTGGTAATCCTGGTGGAGTGGATAGAAGTATGTCTCGCAGGCGCTCGCAGTCTTTGACATATACCCCAACACATACTCTTCAACCACCAAAACCGTCACAACAGGAGCCATCTGCGACTTCATCGCAGCCAACACCAAGGTTGACCAGACGTCGTAGTTCGTCTTCTCCTTCGTTTGCTCCACCATCGCGGTCGTCATCAACGTGCTTACACTCTCGTGCAACTGGCGTAACTTCACAAACAGGCGTATCTGGTGCGTCTGCATCAGCTGTCAGCGTTGCGTCTCGCCCAATGAGCAGCTCTTCTCACGCAAGTTCCTCAACCACGAAATCTCCTTATACATCAGCGCCATTCAATGCCCTGGACGCCCTTGCCGCGCACGCATCATCCTCACGCGAGGCAGATGCTCTTCCATCAAGTGGTACGCGTGGATTCACCAGCCTTGTTCTTCCTCGTGCAGCCACATCTCCGGCCCCCTCTGGATCGAAATCCGGTGTTGGTTCTTGGCGCCCCTGGAAATCAGGTAGAAGGGCAACAGCCGCAGAAAGTTTGGGCGCGGGACTCGGATTTGGAGATGACGTCGATCTTACACGAGCTGGACTCGCCCAAACGACGATGGCTAGCGTAGAGATTGTTCGTGGAATCGCGTCTGGTGATGTCAAATGCCAGGAGTCGAAGTCTCGTGGGCCGTTGTTTGGCTTGGGATGGCTTTCAAAGGATAATACAAAGCGGGTGAAGGGCCAATCTCGACAGGTCACTGCAGAGAGTCCACTCGGTTTCACAGCCTATCGAAAACCTCCGGTTTATGTTGGCGGAAGTTCAGTGCTAGTGCAAGTATGGGCCGTGGGGCTGGACGACGTGGATGCTCGTCTTGTGGGTGTGCATCCGCTGCCATCGAAGCAACCATCTCCAGGGACTCCTCAGAGAGCCGACGAGAAAAGCGATGGGAAACGGCACGTTCCATTGGGTTATATTCCAGGACGATCTTTCGTTGGGCGTGTCCTCGAAGTTGGATGGGATGTTGATGAACACACTATCAAGAAGGGAGAGTGGGTCATCGGTCTCAACAGCGTGCAGAAGGTTTGTATTACATCGACACGTGATTTAATACAAATATGCTAACTCATTGTTAAGTGCGGTGCTTTGGCTGAATTCATTCTCGTTGACCGACATCGCATTTATCGCGTGCCACATCCTTACATGCCCGATCAGCCATCTCTGGCTCTCGCTTCGTTGAGCGAGGCTGCCGAGGATGGCGAAGGGGGGCAGCGCAATTCGCTCGTATTTCCTTATGTAGATGAACCCAAGGGTTTCACAGTGGACGAGCTCGCTCTGCTCCCGCTTTCAGGCGTTCCTGCTTATCGCGCTGTGCGCACATTGACGCACATCACGCGCGCATTAGTAAAGCCCGACGCAGCTGCAGGGCGGCCACGCGGAAACGGAGGTAGTCGCGAGGTGACCAGCGACACTAACAAAGAGGATGTTGACATCGTGCGTTCCGTTAAACATGGTTCAGCAGAAAAGCGGCTCGACGCGACGCGTCCTCGCATATTGATTTTACGTGGACACGACGGATCTGGTGCGCTAGCCCTCCAAATGCTTGTTCGTGCTGGATGGTCCGTCTGGGTTCATGTCCCTGTGCCATTCGACCTTCCAGGTCTTCCTGACAAATTCGAAGAGGATCTTCGGGACGAAGAGAAGAAGCGTACGTTGGCAAAACGACGAGTTATGCTGGAACGGATTGAAAAACGGCTTCGTGCGTGGGGCGCAGACGAAGTTTTGTTTGTTCCCATCGAGTCAAGTTCCACATCCGCGCCAACTCCGCGAGACGACCGTTCTTCATCGCCGTCTCTGCATGATCCACAGTCTTCTTCTTCCAGTCATTCGCGGAACATATCTCCCTCACCATTTTCACCCTCGTCGACGTCGTCGACATCGACATCGCCATCGCCATACCCACCCTCCACACGCGGTCATATTTCCTCCACATCTCACCCTCATTGCGCACTCCCTGCTCCATATTCCTATACTGGACTTCCTCTCACTGCATATCAGACTGAAAAAGCCTCGGCGACTGCACTTTTCACCTACCTGGCGCACACGCGCATTCATTTTGATGCAGTCATCGATACAATTGGAGGTTGTGAGGTTTGGGAGGCCGGGCGGGCATTACTCAGCCTTCCAGTTCACGATGCCGCGCGAGCCAGCATCGAAGGCCAGTTTACCACACTGGTAGGCGACGCACCCGACCGTGTAGTGTCTACGGCAAGCGATCATTTCCGCGCGGGCGTGCGAGCGCTCCGGATCGGAAACCACAAAGGCACCTCGAAAGTCCACGATGACGCCGAGTTCTCTCGGGCAACCGGCAGGCTTGCCAGGGGCAAGAAGGACAGAAAGATGAAGCCTCGGCTGGTGAACTACGCGTGGGTGAACGTCATGTCTGACGTGGATTGGGAGGGTGCGGATGTACGGGACTCGTTGGGCGCAGCGCTGGCGATGGCGGTGGGGGAAGGCGTGCGGCCCGCTGTCGGTCTTGTTGACTTTCCGGATATGTCGAAAAAGGGCAAAGGGAAAATGAAAGCCGTGGGTAGTGGTGGTGACGGGGATACGCTAGGGAAAGTCGTCCCGTTCGAGAATACGCCCCAAGTTTTCGTCCCTGGAGGTGGGCTGGAACATGGAGGGACGGTGGTTTCCAGAATAGCTGGGTAATCTCAGGATGCTTGCGGTCTGAGGCATGATCCGGACGAACCAATAGTCCTGGAGCCTTCCGAATTCGAGGAGTGGTGATGCCCACGAACGCGGTATCATAATAACCGAATTATAGTAAGTCACATATACTGTACTGCACATCTATATTAGTATATATCTATCTGTCATTCAGGGGTTTCCAAAGCGCTACGCCCAGTGGATTGAGCGTGACGGCAGGGTTACTTGTTGGAAATGGCCCACTACTATGCTAGGGACATCATACACCCATATGGAGATTAGATAGGTCGTATATGTATTTCGCCAACTATGGTAGGCGTGGATCACTATTTTGATAACTCAGTGAAGGGCAAATTGAAAATAAAAAGGTGAAGCAGCACAGGAAAGCAAAAAGCAATACTACAGAGGTGTATTTCATATGGTGGGTTTGTATATCGGGAGACAGACCGAGTCGTATTCACTCCAGATGCACCTTGCCAAACAGATCTCGAAGTCGTATTATGGGCCTGGGCGATCTTTCACCTCGAGAAAAGCATACTAGTTTTCCACAGGCGTGGAGATAAGAAACCACCGCGACATTGATATCTATAGCTTGCCCAACAGTGCCGCAATGCTGGGGAGTCCGACGGTGGGAGCAAGACACCCGCATAGAATTGGGTATATACTGCGACTCTCAAAAGCTAAGCAGAACATCTAAAAACAATCAGAAGTTGTACAATTCGCTTTGAAGATCTTCTCTCACATGCTTGTATGAGCAAGATGACAGAAACCTAGGATACACTTGCATTAGAAAACTTATTGACAGATTTCAAGATTCAACGAAAGGTTTCCTATGTTGGGTTTGGCAAAGTGGCCTGAACTTCAGGGTGCGAATTCACACCAGGCGACCATAGGCTGTTGGCAAGCTTGTAGAAGTTGCCTGCACGCTCGATTGGTGATCACTGATCTGGTGGCAGCCTGAGCGTACTGCCAGGTAGACTCGGTGATCTCGGGGAAGATGAAACAACGGATTATTCGGGGGAAAGCATCAAACTTTAGATGATCACCGCGATCAGTACACGAGATGGCGATACTGCTTCTCTTCTACATCGCTTCACTATCACATGGTAAGTGGCCTAGACCAGTCGGGGATCCCGGGGAAAGTACTAATGTACTACTTGTACTTATGCTCAGTGGTAGGTCATTGTTTCATCGATCATTCCTGGGATCCGGGAGTCCGACCAAACTCATAGCTGGTCTCCTAGGGTCTCCTTCGCTGACCAACTGCTGATACCAGTGGCCACTCAGTCATTTCTTCACCGATTTTGATCATTCGACTTCATGCTAGTGGCCATATTTTAGAATAAAACTAGACTATGAAACAGGGTAAGCTACATGATAGATCGAGGTAAATTTGCATAGAGTATTGCGGAGTGGCTGAAGACGGATGAGTGGTAGTAACGGATAAGTAGTAGTAGAGCTGACTACCAGTGGTTATCCAATGTGATGATCAAACATTCAAATTTGATCACCTCTTCGAGCGAGTTCCGTTAATGTTTGACAGGAAGTGACAAGACCCAATTTTTGAGTAAGTAGTCTCCTCCATTTGACAGCAAGTGAAAAAAACGCTCGCACTGCCTCAAAGAGGCGGTCCTTTGTATCCGTTCATATTTGTTATTGGTGGTAAAAATGCCACTACCTGACCCAAATGTTTAAATGCCTTGCGGTCGGAAGGCGAGCATATCAGAACAGTCAAATCGCCCAGTTGTCCGCTTACACACTCCTAACCATCTGGTACGTTAGGGCACCTGTCTCCAGAGAACAACTGAATCATTGCTTACCTGCGGTGCGACAGTCTGTCTTCCTTGTAATCAGCCATCAGCTCTCCCACTGACGACCCACTATCATAGTATTCATGCCTCTCGATATCATTCCCGTCACGGTGGATCCAGAGACCTTGTTTTGAATGGAACAAAGCGGTCAACCACTTGTTGTGTATGAATGTAGATTGCAGGGGACACCCTGCGGAATGTGTCTGGAGGGAACGACTAGTGCAGTGTCTGCCCACCTACGTAGACATGGTGTCACTGGTCCGGACAGTGCTGCCACAACTTGTACCTGGGGTGGCTGCCACAAGACACTCAGGAAAGGAAGCATGGCAAGGCACATCCTTGCTCACCTCGGTGTCAGGGTGCGCTGCTCCATGTGCGGAGTTGTGAAATGCCGTCACTGACCTCCTTCGTGCACACATCAATTCCTCGGAGCCATGTCATTTCGCAGTCGCCAATGATATTCCAGGACCCGGAGGACACGTCATTGCCCCCACGAGTTGGGCTACTGCCCATATGCATCAGGTCTGATCCTCATGGCGTCTGGTATGTAATTTGATCTTTTTTTTGTAACCAGTACGGTTTACACTGGTTGGATGTTTTTTTTCGACAAGAGATTTTAGTGATATTCACTAGGAAGTCCGCTCGAAAGAAAAATGAACTCGCATGGTGTGATAGATGTGGGGGCTCTGTATGCTATGTATATCGTGACATTCCTAGACGGAGGACTGATTAGTTGTAGTTATATATTTAATAGCAATGGAATTTTTGTACGTACGAAGAGGCATCCAGGCCAAGATGGCTAGCTACCACATCCGTGGTAGAGAATATTGTTTCATAATTTACTCTTTCTCATCAATGTCCTATACGATGCCTTTCAATATCTTTCCCGTGGATCCAGAGACCTTTTTTCGAGTGCAACGCAGCGAGCAACCAATTGTTGCATATGAGTGTAAATTACAGGAGGTCGGCTGCGGAATGTTTGTGGAGAGAACAAGTAGCGCAATATCTGCCCACTTGCAAGGGCACGGCATCACTGGTCCAGACACCGCCAGTACCGGTATAAGATGCACGTGGGGTAGCTGCTCGAAGACACTCAAGAGGGGATGCATGACAAGACACATCCTTACTCACCTCGGCGTCAAGGTGCGCTGCTCTGTGTGCGGAGTTGTGAAGTGTCGTTAGTACGACCTCCTTCGTGCACACATCAAATCCTCAGAGCAGTGCTGTTTTGCATTTGTTGATATCGTCCATGGGCCCGAAGGACATCTTTTTGTCCCTGATAGTTTGGTTACTGTACATCGAGTCTGATGCATATATTATCTTCACACGTGTCTGACTCGGACACGTTTTTGTGCTAGTTGGTACTTGTTGCATACATACTATCATTCCACGCAATATACAAATTTTTCAGAAAATCTTTTGTAGCTCCTCAATCACATCACATGTTCTTTCACAAATTTGCCCCATAATAGCATATCGGAGCAAGGTCACAAGTTCGCAACGCGGACCCCTAGTTTATCAAGATCTAAGTGCTGAGCTACCAAAACGTGTGACCAGAGACCCAATCAGGCAGTATCAGGTTTTTGAATTTTTGGTGATGACGCGGACGGTATATAGTGTACGGTCAATTAGGAACTGTCCGAGATTCACAGGGTAAATTAACAATGCGCCCAGAGGCTTCAGATTCACCAGCGTGAATTACAGTAAATTAACAGGTCTGTAAATCAACGCTAATTTACAGGTGAATTAGGTCAAATGTACTGTGAATTAGGGTAAATTAGGGTGAATTATTTCCACTCATCCCAAGCAGAAGGGTCGGGGACGGACGAGGACAGGTTTTTAGCGGCAGCCTTCTTTGTTGGTCCGGAACCCGGGTGCGCAGGTTGTTTTCCGATTGAACCGAGCAGTTCACGCAGGTGGGGTGCGCGTAAATCGATACCGCTGGATGCTGCAAGCACAAACGAGTCTTTTTCCGCTGTCTTAAACTGTGAAGGAGCAGCTGGACCATCCAACCAATCTGCGCCATCGTCAAACTCATCTTCCGAGTCCAAGTCCGAGTCCACTGTTCTCGCTTCAGGTAGAGGAGGCATTCGACCAGCGGGAGGCAAATCTTCGGCAGGATGGAATGCCGGCAGATTCGAATGCAGCTGCTGCTGCTGCTATGGTAAGGTCGTCCACCCATTTGACAAGAAGTACTGTCTCTGGAGACTCGTGGTACTGATCCAAGTAACCACCAAGCACATTGGTCACAGCATTGAGGCTAGGTCTACGTTCTTTAAATGAAATAGGACCTTTGTCACGCTGACCCATGCGCACTTCGAGTTCGCGGTTCAGTGCGCCGATGGGACCGTAATCCTCGATCTTCTCGTCATCCAAGGCAAAGAAGTCGAAGCCATACTGCGTGATCGAAGGGTCCGCATAAGGAATGGTTTCGGGGAGATTTTGGAAATAAAGAGATAGTAGCTGTAGTTTATTTCTCGTTTCACAGTTCATGGTTGAGAATGTGGTTCATTTAATGGCCTAGCCAGTGTAGATATTTTGCGAGATTCACAGATTCACAGATTCACCATCATGGAGACGCCTGATTCTAACTAATTCACCCTAATTCACACCCCAAAATGCCCGTCCGAGATTCACATGCTGATCAGCCCTAATTCACAGGCGTAAATTAACAGGTGTAAATTAACACCCCTCTATTTGACCGTACACTAACGGTATATGAAAGCGGATTGCGCTGGCACTGGTGGACCGGTGGTGTGTACCAGTGTGTACCTGACCTGAAATAGCTTATCCGCTTCTCTTGACAAGCTCAAAACAAGGAAACTCTTTATTCCCGCAGTTCATGATTAATTTGTTAGTGTCCTGCCGGAGAGCAGGCGGACCGCGGATGGGCCTAAAGTAAGCTCAATACCACGATGATATCTGGCACAATCTGGCAGAACGCTGACAACTGTACCGCTCGGACTCGGACTCGGACTCGGAGTACGGCTCAGTTACTAGGTGACGGAATGGAGAGTTTCTTTGTTTTGATCTTGACAGAAGTAGATGAGGACTGCAGGTGACCGCGAATGCCTAAAGTGAGCTAAATGTCATGATACATGAGGCTTCTCTGGTACAACCTGGCAGAACACTGACAACCACACCACCTGGACTCGGAGTGCGGCTCGGTTAGGTGAGGGAGTACAGGGTTTCTTTGTTTAAATCTTAACTAAAGCGGATGAGATATTTCAGGGACAGTAAGCACTGAGTGAATACATAGAAATTCAGCGATTCGACTCACTAAGTTTCCTTAGAGACTCTCTGTTGAAATCTAGCGCATACAGGATCAGGCCTGACAATGCCTGTGGAACCCAGTCAGCGATCCGGATAGAAACCGACCCAAATGATAAGTTGTCCTCGGTTACAAATCCGGCCATGGTTTTGGGGACAACCTGGGACCCTGGCATGATGTTCTTATGGAGCGCATGTACCAGCACACCAGATTTACATAAAAATAAGTCGTAATGCTGAAAGAGGCCCGGGCTCCTTCCCACCATTGCTTCCAGTGCGAGGGGCGGAAGTACTGTAATGACTTGATAATCCAGTTAAGCGCCAATGCCAACTTACTCATGTTTACTGGGTTTGAATCTTGCCAACTACCGATCAGTCCAGCCCTCGGAGTCTGCCCCTAGTCCGCCCCGCCCCGGCAGCGTGAAAGACAGTCATTACCACATCCATTTGCAAGATTGATGGGATGGTGGTGGCGGGTAGAATGCCAATGTCTCCCTGGTGTTTAAATACCTGCGACAAGTGCTACAAAAATTGGGACTCTTGTATTCCAAAATTTCTTTGACCACATTCTCAACTCCTCTGGTGCGTTGGGTATCCATATAAGAACTGGACTGTCGCTGACCTGTATTGCAACATATCCTTCTGACAACCTCGTCTATCAGCTTCACCTTGCAACGATCCACTGTCGTACATATTCATGCCTCTCGATACCTTAAACGTGGATCCAGAGGTCTTCTTTCGAGTGGAAAGAAGCGGTCAACCACTCGTCGTATACGAGTGTAAATTAGAGGGAGTCCCCTGTGGGATGTTCATGGAGGGGACAACTGGCGCTGTGTCCGCCCACCTACGAGGACATGGCATCACCGGTCCGGGCAGCATCAGCACAAATTGTCCGTGGGTTGGTTGCTCCAAGACACTCAAGAGGGGAGGAATGACAAGACACATCCTTACTCACCTCGGTGTCAAGTTGCGCTGCTCCATGTGCGGAGTAGTTAAATGCCGCCTTGACCTCCTGCGTGCGCATATCAGATCGTCAGACTCGTGCCGTTTGGCATGTGTTGATACTGTCCATGGACCCGAGGGTCGTTTTCTTGTCCCTACAGGTTGGACCGCTGCCCATCAGGTCTAATGATTTATGTTAAAGTTTTCTGACGGACACTGTCTTGTACTAGTAAGCACTTGGTTGTACAATTATAGCGAGATGTATGATGGTGTATTATACGTACGAATAGATATCCATCACAGTTGAAAAATAGCTTTCGCAGCCGTGACGGTGAAATGTGTACGATTGTACTTTACGTTGATGCTATTTCTATTCTTGACCCCCAGTAAGAACTGGTTATGACGGGAGAGGACCGTAAGTGTCGGGAGGTGTTGATGAAATGAAAATACCAGACGCGCACATTCCGCTTACAAAGTGGGACAACCAGCACATTTTCGAAGTGCTGCTGTAAGATCTCTCGCGCTCTCGTATGTTTTTTTCCGCATATGCACATCAGAATCACCTTAGAGCATATAGTTAAACTGCTTGGGTGCTGTATCATAATATGCTAGGATAGTTTCAAATATGATTTCATAGGGTATTGCACACTTCACACTAGGGTCTCGGAATATGCTCAGATAACATAAAATATGATCATATTGTTAGGTATTACACTGGGAGTGCCCATACAGATTGAAACTGCAGGTAATTGAAACATAAAACAGACGCGAAAACACATCGAAAGCAGGTGCGGGAACGTCGCAAGCAAGTGCGGGAACATCGCAAGCAAGTGCGGGAACATCGCAAGCAAGTGCGGGAACATCGCAAGCAGGTGCGGGAACGTCAAATGCAGGTGCGGAAACGTCAAAAGCAGGTACGAGATCGAAAGCAGGTGCGGGAATGTCGAAAGCAGGTGCAGGCACATCGAAATCAGGTGCGGGAACGTCGAAAGCAGGTGCGGGAACGTCAAAAGCAGGTACGAGATCGAAAGGAGGTGCGGGAACGTCGAAAGCGGGTGCGGGAACGTCGAGTGTCTACTAGTGCATTGCTCCATCGCAAACATTCTTCACCCAAGTGTTGCTGGCAACCTGCGCACATCAGAACAGGAACTAACTTTTGGAGACGTTACTCACTAGCGCAGATGCCTCGTCATCATAATTCTGATATAAGACAGTGAGTGCACAATATGCACGACGGTGATGCAATGACTTCGTACCTTGCGCTGTTCTGCAGTGAGATCCACGTAATACAAACAAAACTCTTCTGTTGTCCCGTCGGTTTTGATTTGCTTGAGCCAGCGAAGAGCACACAGATTGCTTCAAAATTTGTAAGTACCAGTTAGATTGGTGTGAGAGGGACCGTCTGATAGTACATACCGTCCGTTTCTAGTTGGGCTTGGACGCATCTTCTTGCTAGTTTTACTGGTGCCCTTGCCGCTTGCGAAGTCGTCGGCCTTGCCTTTTTTACCCTTCGAATCAGCGCTGTCATTTGCTAGAGGAGCCTTGAGAGGAGGATCGATGGAGGGTGGGAGTGGTGGGATCAGTGTGCCGACAGCAGCTAGCGCAAGCGTAGAACTGTTGAAAGTGACATCATTAGCCATTGACGAAAAGAGACAACAAACTTACAGTGAATTAGTCATTATAATTTTAATTGGCTGCGGTGCGATAGGATTAGGCTTAGGTGCTAGTGTGATACTAGAATTAGGTACCGGTGCAATAGGATCAGGCGTTGGTGGAGGAATATTCTCCTTCTCCGCTACAATAAACTCCGGAGAAGCAGGTGGTATAGCTGGTAGCTGCCGAGAATCGGGATTGTTGGGCAGTAATATCGGAGACAAACGAATTGTTGGAGACGGCGCTCGAGAAGGGGTGGTAGGGTGAGACCTGGATAGCAGTAGCATGGACTCGGCAGCTAACGAGTTAGGCATAGTAGGCGATGGTGCCAAGAGAGAGTCTGGCGTCGAAGGCAGGATATTCACGGTAGGGTCGACTACAAAAAATACTAGTTAATACAATATCATATTAAATTAAAGACGCACCTTTTAGTTTTTTGTCGGGGACTTCAGACTTGAGAGCGTTCTTCAATTGTTTACGCTTCTTGCCCCCGCTACTCTCGTCCTCGTCATTGTCGTCATCGTCGACGAGTTTCTTCTTCCAGTCTCCGTCATCATCAACGTGGTTTCTTCGCCACGCAGAATACGACGTGCTCATGAGATAGTCGAGCTTCCAACCGTCGTCAGCGAACTTGAACAATGGATGTGAGTTCTCCATCAGGGTGTGAACAATTTGCCTTGCAGTCGCAGTTGCTTTACCCCACGTCTGACGAGCTCCGCCCAAGCACCACGAAGAAGTTTCCGGATAGACTTGACTATCGGGTCGGTAAGTGGATCACCGTTCTCATCCTCGAGATACGGCACTTTCCCGCGGTCAGCTCGACGGCCGTCGGGAGAATCCAGCCATCCTAAGAAGTCGTCATTGGTCCAAAACCGAATCTTCGGATGGATGACGCGAGTTGGCCGGTTAGCAGTAGCTGGAACTGAGGAAATGAGGGTACAGTCAAGGTCGAGCGAGTCCGTTTGATGCAGCCGAACAGCGCTTGAAAGTTGTTGAAACATCGATCCGAAATATGATTATATCAAAATTAATTAAATTAATGGAGATGCAGAGCAGGAAAATACGTACTTGAGCGTGTCACGTTCGCTAGTCAATTTCACGATTTGAAGTTCTAATGTTTTGCAGTGTTCGAGCAAATACTGGTTACTATGCTGTGCAGGCTGCATATATGCGCGCTGAAAATACATTTATGAGCACCAAAACAAAGCACTGGGGGGTATAGATGTTCTGTCAGAAGAGTTTGAAGATGAAGCGCAGCCTGCAGCCGCCTCCCCAGCACCCGGTTCCAGCTCCATGGTATGTCCCCGTAGTTCTCGGCCAGTTCGCATCTTCTCTCGCTCCTCCTCTGTACTAGCCTCTTGTAGATGTCGGTGCCATGTGGATTTGGCAACTCTATGGGGTTGGCCAAGATTGTGCTTGGTGCACAGACAAACATATAGCTGCCTGTCTGAGCTCGAGCTCGAGGCAGGTAACATTCTGAAATATTGAATCAGATTAGTATGAGAGGATGGCGCAGATAGTACATACTTGTAGTACAAAAACTCAATGATACGATGTTGGTGCGATGCGATGCAATGTTGGTGCGATGCAATGTTGGTGCGATGCGATGCAATGTTGGTGCAATGCGATGTGATGTTGGCGCGATGCGATACAATGTTTTGCAATGCGATATGACGTCGTTTTGCAAAACGCAACGAAACTTCTCATGATTCAGCAGATTCCGTCATAGTACAAATAAGGTAACTCACTTCTCAGCAGCTGTGATCCCCTCCGGTCACAACCGGTTTTTACTGGGCTTGACCATTGACGTCAACGCCACATGCCCAGGTGATTGACCAACGGAAGCGGTACATTCTGATAGTCGATAATAACTCAAATCTGGCGTAGTGACAAAACTTTTCGCTACGACAAGTTCGTGAGATTCCCGACAACGAAGCGCCGTGTTTCATCAAACGCCTGCGCAAAATGCACCCGGCAATTGCTTCTTGATTGATAACGCAATACATGCCAAGCCTCCTGATTGAGCAAACATTAATGTCAGAACGAGTCGTTCAAGATGAGTAGACGTAAGTTTCGCTCAGCCTGGTTAGTGAAGCTTCCACAAGCCTGCCAACATTCCAATGGCCGCATATGCTGAATCGCTATGCGCAAGATTGTTGTGCCTGACCTTTCTTGCAATCACAATTTGAGACTTGCCACTCTTCATGGAAGCGAAAGTTGATAGTGTAGAACAAAATAGCAGAGCGATATGAAATGTGGAACGGATACAGGCAAACAGTCGAGGATGATGAATTTCGAATGTCTAAAATAGCGAACACGGAAACCATGTCTTGCTTTCTTCAAGATAGGGAGGTAACAAGAACATTGCCAACTTGAGGCTTGCTGTGGGACGACCGCCATGAACCTCTTCAATCGCTAGTGCTTGTACGAACGAGACCTCTTGTCCATGCTTTCGCCCATCGATAACTGAAACAAAGGATCACGACCGGCACATCTCCAAGACGACAGCTGAACCATCACCAACGACTACCGTTTTCAGCCTGGTTGGAAGAGTTTGCCGCACCGGTCCCTGAAGGACCATCGTAATCCTTACGAGAGCTACTACCCCTAGGAGGACTCCTGGAGTAGCTCCCGCGCCTCCTGTAATCAGGTGAGTAACGACGAGGGTTGGGGTGATCGTGCCAATCACGGCTGTCGTGATCGTAGTAGGGGTCCCTATCCTTATCGCGATCGGAGTGACGGTAATATGAAGGGAGGGCATAAGACTCCATTGAGTTCCTGAATGTAGCGAGTAGCTTGTTCAGTACTGGACATTCCGATAGAGCCAAAACCACGAGAACGGTCGGACTGAAAAAGACGTTTTCATGGGTTAGGGTAACAAGATGCACAGGAAATCACCGTACCCTCTGGTCGTAAACAATTGTGACTTTTTCAACTCTTCCAAAACAAGAGAACTCCTCGTCAAAAACCCGCTCTTGTGTCCTAATACTTAATCCAAAGGCCCCCCAAACTTGGGGAGATTGGACGCCTTCTTTGCCCCATAAGCGCTTTGCAAAACATGAGAACATGTGGAACGTACAATTGGAGCATGCGTTGACTTTTTAGGAGGTGCCGACCTGAGCTTTTGAGGACTATATTAAGCGATACTGTGGGCTCCAGGACTTCTCGAACGAGAACGACCGCATGGTGGGGCGGCATCCCAGTCTCTTGTTTCTGATGTAGCAGTAGCGCGTGTTGGTGCATTGTATGCATCTAAGTAGGGGTAAACTGGGGGCGCAGTTGGTTCCCTGTATTGATCCTAAGAGAAAGGCAAAAAGTTAGAAAAAGTTGCCGCAAATGTGACGCACCACGGCAGTTGAAGTTGATTTGGCGTTGTTTGTCTCAAATGTTCTGCAGCAACATGTGCAGACAAACCGATCAGTCTTGGAGTCTATTATCATCTTAGAAGTGAGTGCTGGACTCTGGAGGACACACTCCTAGCGTCTCTATCGCCACTGACGTTCACAGCAAGAAGGCACAGGCACCACGACAAGAAGCAGTTTGGACATTTCACGCTTCTGCAGATCAATCTATAGATCCATCTCAGCACAACTCTGAAGAGGTGTTCTACACCCTTCCCAGTACACCTCCATCTTCGTCGTCCCCTGTTGGCCTTTCCCCTCCAGCCTTGAGCTCACTCCCCACATTCGACACCCCCTCACTCCGCTGCATCTTTAGGGTTTAATAATCCCAACAGGAACCATCTTCGACTTCATCGCAGCCAGTGCCAAGGTTTACCAGGTGCCATAGTTCATCTTCTCCTTCGCTTTTTTCACCATCGCGGTCGTCATCGACACGCTTACACTCCCGTGCAACTGGCATAACCTCACAAACTGGTGTATCTGATACGTCTGCATCAGCTGTCAGCATCGCGTCTCGCTCAATGAGCAGCTCTTCTCACGCAAGTTCCTCAACCACGAAATCTCCTTATACATCGGTACCATTAAATGCCCTGGACGCCCTTGCTGCACACGCATCATCCTCACGCGAGGCAGGCGTGCTCCCATCAAGTGGTACGTGTGGATTCACTAGCCTTGTTCTTCCTCGTGCGGCTACTTCGCCGGCCACCTCCGGATCGAAATCTGGAGAAGAGCAACAGCCGCAGAAAGTTTAGGTGCGGGACTTGGGTTTGGAGATGATATCGATCTGACATGAGCTGGACTCGCACAGAGGATGGTGGCCAGCGTGGAGACTGCTCGTGGAATCACGTCTGGTGATGTCGAATGCTAGGAGGAGAAGTCTCGTGGGCTGTTCTTTGGTCTGGGCTGACTCTCAAAGGATAATACAAAGTGGGGGAAGGGCAAATCTCACTTTGCACCTACTTGGCGCGCACGCACGTTCATTTCGATGCAATCATCAATACAATCGGAGGTTGTGAGATTTGGGAGGCCGGGATTACTCAGCCTTCCGGTTCATGATGCTGCACGGGCCAGCATCGAAGGCCAGTTTACCACACTGGTAGGTGACACACCCGACCATGTAGTATCTACGGCAAGCGATCATTTCCGTGCGGGCGTGCGAGCGCTCTGGATCAGAAACCATAAAGGCACCTCAAAAATCCACAATGACGCCGAGTTCTCTCGGGCAACCGGCAAGCTTGCCAGGGGCAAGAAGGACAGAAAGATGAAGCCTCGGCTGGTGAACTATGCGTGGGTGAACGTCATGTCCGAGTCAGTCCGACGAGGATTGGGAGGGTGCGGATGTATGGGATTCGTTGGGCGCAGCGCTGGCGATGGAGGTGGGGGAAGGTGTGCGGCCTGCTGTCGGTCTTGTTGACTTTCCGGATATGTCGAAAAAGGGAAAATGAAAACCGTGGCTAGTGGTGGTGACGGGGAGACGCTAGGCAAAGTCGTCCTGTTCGAGAATACACCTCAAGCTTTCGTCCCTGGAGGTGGGCTGGAACATAGAGGGACGGTTGTTTCCGGAATAGCCGGGTGACCTGGGTGATTTTGCCCCCGGTTATCGCTGTCAAATAAGACAAGAATAAACGCTAATCCACCATGTCGCGACAGATCTGACTCGATATGATTATGTACTTGCACCTCACAGGATTGATAGTTACTAAGTTGCTCCCTTATTCGTTGTTGTCTGGTCTGGTCATTATTGCTGTTTGCAAAAGTATTGGCTTCGGCGATATTTCCAAAAAAAAAAATGTGTGCGCCACACCAAAAAATACAGCAATAATTTTTGATTTGTTTCTCGACAACAACAAGAGATATCGCCAAGCTGCAAGAGACAAAGTTGGTCAGGGAACCAAGGCGAAGGTGCACGCAACAAAAACAGGGCGATTTGACGAAGTCCAAACCAAGTTGTCAGATGACCCCCTCCCAGCCCTCTTGTGAATTGTTGTGAGCGAAGGGCAGTATCTGTGAGCTACCGGCGAGTTTCCAAGTACTCAGTAAAGCATGTAGGAGGTGCTAATATTATGTATCAAGCTATTTCAATGCTTTTCAAATGTGTCATAGACTCATAGTCAATCAAGCTGGGACTCGGCGAGTCAGAGCTTTGTAAGAATTAGGCTTTGAAGTTTCAACTACTACAGTACTACTGCTGTACCCACAACTTGAACTCCCCTCGTAACACACGATAACGTGACCCATCCTCCGAGTCTCTGTCATAATGGTGAATGCACGTCAGAAAGCATCTGCTGCTGCAAAGTCAACGAAACAGCGAGGACGTCCACCTGTCAACAAATCAGCAAGGACTACCCAACAACAGATAAAATCTACAGCAGGTGTGGCCGAAGACATACCAGCACCTGCCATAAAGCCAAAACCAACTCCACGGGCAGTCCCAAAGCGGGTCCATGTGCTTCCTCCCAAAAGTCCAGTGTCATCTGACTCGAACAGACATGCCATTGAGCTCGAAACTGCCAAGAATGAAGCTGCAGCTATACTTGCAGGGATGGCAGATAGTGGAACAGTTAATGAGGAGAACGACAACTTTTTCACCAACCTCGATGACTTGGCACTTGGCGAGCCTGAGATTGAACAGCAATTCTCAGCAGCAGCTTTTGTTGCCTTTATATGATATTATTACAGCTGAAATATCAAAACCGGAGACGAGCTTACTTTTTTATGTGTATATCCGGTCCTGTGAAGAGTTCTCCAGATCGTCGAAAGAGAAGGATTGATGTTTGATGTGTGCTGCACACCTGTCTGTAGCTCGTTTAGATATGTATCACAATGGCGAGTGACACATTCATGAAGGTACTAAGCCGCCATAAACAAGTCTGATAATTTGTATACGAGGGCACTAACTTACATTGACATCATCGATCTGTACTGTTCGTGGCCGGCCGACTCGTCGATTGTTGCGATCAGTGTAAGCTTGACCAGTTTTCTTGTAACAACGAATGATTCGCTGGATTGTGTGCTTGCTGGCACCAGTGTATGCTGTGATTTCCGAGATCTCAAGCAGTGGAAACATTCGGACAATGGCCTCGCAAAGATCTTCAGAAAACTTTCGCATGCTGGCGTGTTTGAAGAGTGTTATTGGCGTTGGGAGGATGATGTTGCTTGATAAGCTAAGCAAGTAAGGCTAAGTCATTGATCCAATTATAGTGCGACCAAAAATGAACTGCGCAGCTGGGGAAACGCATAATAAATGCTTAATTGACCTTCATGAAGTAGTAGCTTCGGCCCTTCGCTCACAACAATTCACAAGAGGGCTGGGAGGGGGTCATCTGACAACTTGGTTTGGACTTCGTCAAATCGCCCCGTTTTTGTTGCGCGCACCTTCGCCTTGGTTCCCTGACCAACTTTGTCTCTTACAGCTTGGCGATATCTCTTGTTGTTGTCGAGAAACAAATCAAAAGACATTGCTGTATTTTTTGGTGTGGCGCACACGTTTTTTTTTGGAAATATCGCCGAAGCCAATACTTTTGCAAACAGCTATAAAAAACTATGTGAATATCAGAGCTACAGCCTGCACAGGGTTTGGCCTGGACAGTCCAGGCCAAATCTGTGCAGCCTGGCAGGCTGGGAGAATATCGCAAATTTGAGATTGCTGGGTGGCCGTCAGCAACTTGTCATCCGAACATATGATGGAACTTCTTGTTGAACCATGAGGTCATGGTATGATGGTGGATCCGAGAGATTCTTTGATTTGAGCTTGTGGAAAATCTTGATGTGAATAAAACATTTCAGGACACCGGCGGGTGGGGAGCAGATGCCATACGGCTTGGCTAGGCGAGGGAACAGAGAGTTTCGAAGTTGCGGACTTGGAAGTTCTCGATGTTAGAAGCTGATGGAGTTTGCCGATGGCACTGCCAGTGGCGTCGAGGTAATATGAAACAGTCACAGTTTCATGGGATAATTTCATATCCAGATTTAAGTTCATGGACTTCCATGTCGTACGTATAATACACTACAGTACGTCTCGCTATAATTATACAACAAAGTGCTTCCTAGTACAAAACAGTACCCGTCAGAAAACTTTAACATAAATCATTAGACCTGATGGGTAGTGGTCCAACCTGTAGGGACAAGAAAACGACCCTCGGGTCCATGGACGGTATCAACACATGCCAAACGGCACAACTCTGACGATCTGATATGCGCACGAAGGATGTCAAGGCGGCATTTGACTACTCCGCACACGGAGCAGCGCACCTTGACACCGAGGTGAGTAAGGATGTGTCTTGTCATCCCTCCCCTCTTGAGTGTCTTGGAGCAACCAGCCCACAGACAATTTGTGCTGGCACTGTCCGGTCCAGTGATGCCATGTCCTCGTAGGTGCGCGGACACTGCGCTGGTAGTTCCCTCCACGAACATTCCGCAGGGGACTCCCTCTAATTTACACTCATATACAACGAGTGGTTGGCCGCTTCGTTCCACTCGAAAGAAGGCTTCTGGGTCCACGTTCAAGGTATCGAGGGGCATAGAATGTCTGAAGAATGAGAGGAGATACTATACTATAGGTCAGCACTATTCTTTTGGAGACAGATGCCAGACTGTGACGCACCAGAGGGGTGTTTTGAATGTTATGAAACGATATCCTTCAAATTGAAGGGTATTTAAAAGTCACCTACTTGGCATTCTCCCCGCCAATGAACACGTGCAGACACTATTGATCAGGTTGTAGTCGGACTTTAAGCTTTAGGATTAGCGCTAGCATCCTAGCGTCAACTACTAGAGGTAATTGAAAACACCATATAAGGCTTGAGCCTTGCGAGTCTAGAACTCTCTCTGAACACTAATCATAACTGAGTCGAACTGATCTGATTGGCTCATCTGATCCACCCTTTGAGGGAATATCTTATCCGCTTCTGTTACATTGTAAGATAAAGACAACTTAAGGCTATTCCCACAGTACTCATGGAGCTCAAGGATCCTGCCAGAAACAGTCAGGGACATACTACGACAATATTAACGTACTGTAGGTGTCCGATCTTCTCGCTGTCCTCTGTGTGTTTGATCCTCCCACTGCCCTGAAATATTTATCTCATCCGCTTCTGTTGAGAACATCCAAGTCCTCGAGTTCAAAACAAAGAAGCTCTCTATTCCCTCGTTTAGTATCAACCCTACTCAATAATAGTTTGCTTATTTCACTAGTTTGTTTTTTTGAGCGCGCAGAATGAAGTAAACTGATAAGCAAGGTTTGTGGGCTGTGACTATCGTGGAGAGTGAAACACGAGCAGCTGACCAGCTTGCCGAGAGACCACCATGCACAAGAACATCCGTGGTACGCGATAATTCAGTACACCCACAATATTTGTCAGCGCTGACGGAGCAGCAAGAGAGAATCCTCTTGGAAACTTCCGCAGTTGTGCTCCTCCTGATGTCTGTGCAGAGAATGATGCATCCCAGATGGCATTGGGTCAACAACCGTGACTTGGTGGTTTTATTCTGAAAGACACATATGATATGGCATCCGCTCCCCACTCAGTGTCCTGAAATGTTTCATTCACTTATGTTAAGATTTTCCGCGAGTTCAAATCAAAGAAGCTCTCCACCAATATTTGTGTTCAAAACGGTAGGACTGCCTCTCTAAACAACACTTGTCTGTATACTCCAGCCACTCAAAGACAGCGGCTTTGGCAATGTATTCACGGAGACTGCGTGTTGGATGAGATAAGAAAACTAGCTGGAATCTATCCAAATCTTGAAGCTTGAAATAATTGGGCCTCCGCGAATCTGGGTACCAGAATTATATCCTCAGTTGCAGCATGGTCGTGCAGGCCAAGTAACAGAGGGGAACGAGGATAAATATCTTTGGAATTTCCAATCTCCAGATCTCAATCCGATTTCCAAGGCACTGTGATAAAGAAGATACCTGCATTGGCGAGCCCCATAAGTTAGTACTGAGTTGTACACAAACAGATCCAGATCTGAGACAGAATGTGATCATCATGCATCCCCAAACAACCCTAAAAGACACGTTAAACATCACAGAGTGACCATCAGCCCAGGACTGGGTTGTGCCATCTTTGCAGTGTCTGCCATTCCAATTCAATGATCGTGTCTAAATTAGTTGAACCCTATCTGTGCCACAGCACCACCAATGGCCACTTCAGCGATATGGCCTGGAAGACAATGTGACTCTGCGTACATGGGAATTCCGCCTGTTCGAGCATAAACACGATTTCCCGATCATGATGTAACCTAATAGGCTACTATCCACCACAATGTTCGCAGCAGAGTATGGTCTTGGATGAAATTTTTATTGAATGTTGTGTTCTATAAGAAAATGTGTTGTGCACAGTACTAACTAAGCTCCTGCCATCATCGCTGGAGAACCGCACTAAGATGGTGCACATTTTCTCTCTGTTTGGTGTGGTGACCACCTGAGTGACACCTATTCCCACACTTGTTAGTAACGTACATAGTATAACATATTTGTTACTAACGAGGGGGGCAAACCTATGCTGCAGTACTTCAGCGATAGCTGCAACAATCAGCAGTGACTTCAGGAATATTAAGAGGGCGGGTAAATAACATATCAGGGCTATTGATTTGTCATCTCCCTGGATATCTCCCTTACAACACTGCTGCTATGCCTTCTGATGGTTCCCACGCCCCTCTCTTTCCATCTCCACATCATCCTTGATGATGTGCTTGCTATCCCACTCATTCTTCTCCCAACTCTAGCTGATCTTTTGGTTTTCAGGATCCTATGGACCATCATTTGCTCTCTCAATGGACGTGATGACATTCTCATGCCGCTCCTTTTGATTGCTCCAACCTTGAGTTGATCGGTCTTTGCTGGTGCTTGCTTTTACTCTTCATGCGACGTGTCCCTTGCTCAGGTTCTACACTACCACCATCATGGTTCCCCCAAGAAAACGGATGTCAACATCATTGAGGGTTACCATGACTCTTCTCAGTAGTTCCATGGATCTTCATACTTCCAGACCATCGCTCTCTCAAATACGAGAGTCACGGCTTCGCAGGGAGCAAGAACAGTGCCAGATTCGAGGTATGACACTTATTCTCATGATGGTCTCTTGCTCACTTTCATCAGATGATTCTAGACACATGCAGGAGCTGCTCGCTGAAGCTGAGTTGGAGGCTGGGCAAGATTCCTTTGAGACCATGGACTTTGGAGGTGAGATTGTTGATGATAGCAGAAATGAGTTCACTGAGGACAAGCCTGTGGGTGGTCCGCTTTTGTCTGAATTTTTCAAGACATGCTCTCAAGAACAGTAAGCATTTTCCCCCCTCTACATAGGTATCTAACGTTTATCTCTAGGGAACCTCCTATATGCGGGCGCATTGATGTGTGGACCTGAACAAAACGTCGCCAGCATGCCAATGCCGCTTGGAAGGAGCAGATGCCCACCCTTGTTGATGGCTACTTGGCATGGAGACATGAAGCGCCAACTGACAAAGACAATACCATTGCATCTAACATGTTTCATGTTGATGTTGTTGGAATTTCCAGTAAGGTTTCATTCCTTCAATACATGGCCCTTACTTACACTCAATCACATTCAAAGGTTTTGCATGTGCCATCACCATCCAGCAGCGTCCTAATGAACCAGTGAATGCAGCCCTCCTTTGCATGGGACTTTTGGGGTGCTCCCCACCACAGCCGACTATCGCTATTTGCATTGAATGCCTTGAACCATATCACCAAATACGATGACGTCAATCCTCGTTTAGTATCCAAGCGATCACAAAGGTTTTGTGCGCACTTCATGATGTAAGTGTTGTAGCATGTTATGTATGATGTCATACTCACTTACTATACAGATTACATATTTTCGACAGTTTCATGATCAATTTTCTGATGCATTCAATATCTATCTACAAATCTTGCAGGAAATTTAGAGTCGCATTGACCGGATCTTGGGCAGAGATCCCAATACCTGGCAGATCAATGGTTCTTGTCCTTCCTGTACATTCAAGGTAACGCTCCATTCTCAAATATGTAGATATAATTAAATCAATTTTACAGCAACCTAATGAGTCATTCTTGTCACCAGCATGTCTCCACACAATGGATGGCAATTTCTCAGCCAAGCGATTGGACGGGTCAGGATCAGCTGATCCACACCTATTTCAGAGCTGGTATTTTATTTCTGAGGCCAAGGTAGACCAATTCAAGGATGATGTTCAGTGTCGAACTAGTGAATCCTCCATGGTAGAATCAATGATATCGAGCACTTGCACAGAGAACTGGACTGCAGCCAAGGCTGTGGACAATGATAAAATTACTGTGTTTGACCAGACAGGGATTTTTCTTCTAGCATGTCATCATGGGCTCATCGAAAGTGTAACTGAAATGAAACGCAGCGGTGAACTGTATGTATTTTAACTCTCGTTTGTACTATGCTAATCATCCACCAACAGCGTGAAATACAGGTCTGGCCACAGTCAATAGACTGCTTGATGTCTGCGGCATGGATCAGGCTATTGGACACAATATTGCATGCTCATCTCATAAAACAATTGCAACAAGCTCTATCGGAGTCAAGGCAGCTGGACTAAATCTACAGGTTGTTGTAAATGCCTTCCACAGCTTTTCTCATGATTGCTGCTGTCAGCTTCAGAATCACCCTTTGTATCTCAACGGTCTAGGACTTGAAGACCTTGAGACTTGCGAATGCATCTTCACTAGTTCAAACAGTGCTGCAATTTTGATCCAACATGCATCATACTTCCATTGGATGCAGTTCCTTGACCTCCACTTCGATCAATGGGACATGGACCAGTACTCAGACCTCAGTATGTCTTTTTGAGCGCCCAACAGCAATTTTTTTCTATCTATTTCAGGTGCATTTCTTTACAACAACTATGTTCAAGCTCTTCAGATCATCAAGACCAACACACCCGTCCTCAAGGAATTCAAGCAGCTCCATGATCTTATGGATGCGGACTTTGTAAACTGGCGAAATGAGGAGTTTGAGTATCTCAGCAATGTTGCTATGGAACCTACTTTGGATGTAATTGCAGTGGCTTACATCAAACAGCTTGAGAAGCTTCAATATGTGGAGTTTGTATTTGCGCCCTGTTTACTTGTGTACTAGTTCTCATTGCATGTCTTAGAGAAACATATGGCTGTCTTACTTCCGTGCCCTTTCTGATGTACACTCCTGCAAATTTCACTCGCACATCTGGCCTCAATGCCACCGCTCGCAACAATTCCAGAGCATTTGAATCTGAGCATGCATCTGCACTATGCAAATATGAGCTGCAATTGAATGTTGTCGAAGATTTTGAGCATTGTCACAGCATTACGGAGCGGTGGCTACCGCATGACCCAAAATACATGCAAGCAGTCAGATATTCTCAGGAACGTCAATTCATTCATTTGGTTGAGGAATTGGAGGGCTTAGTTGTTTGGTGTCTTTTTGAGTTATCAAAGGCTAATCTTGCCGGCACTGGTAGGCGCTTATTTGACATTCAGATAAGTGATGTACTCATGGACTACCATAGGCTACAAGATGTGAAAGTATATCTCAAAGGCCATCACATGACATTTGGCTGCCATCCGAATGGCTTTGGAGAAGTACAATAGACTCACACCCTTACAAAATCCACCACATCCCATGCTCGACTATACCAAAATTGTCGGTTACATATCTCTCAGTGAATTTTCGGCTCTGAAACACTCACGCCACGATATCCTCACAAAACCATGGACTGTGTCTGCTAATTGCGAGATGGCCACAAGGTATTTCAAATTGGTGCAATCACATGAAGAGATTGTACGGCTCAATGTCAAGATCAAATGCTTACATTGTTGGGTTGAGCACGAGGACAGGACCACATTGGAAGCTATTGATTCACTCCTTGCTGATGACCCAGATTCTCCACTCATAGCCGAGTTGAAGACATTGTATGCCAAGCACCACCGTGTCAACAACAACCATCACAAGCAACTCCAACAAATTTACACACTCGACAGATACACAGGTGATCGTCTTCCTACAGACCAGACAGTGACTGCATCCAATGGAGACAGAGATGACAAGGGTAGCATGAATGGTCCTGAAGATGATGCTATGAACAAGGAGGCCATGAGACTTGAAGATTTAGTGTCGCATTCTTTGTAACTTTCATACTGTCAATTCTATGTCCTGTGGCATCTCTCATCTATTTGTTTTCCCCTGTCACTCCTCTTGTGCCCTCTGTGGCATCTCTTGTCTATTCGTTTTCCCCTGTCACTTCTCTTGCGCCCTCTGTGGCATCTCTCATCTACTCGTTTTCCCCTGTCACTCCTCTTGTGCCCTCTGTGGCATCTCTTGTTTATTCGTTTTCCCCTGTCACTCCTCTTGTGCCCTCTGCAGCATCTCTCATTTATTTGTTTGCCCTCTGTGGCATCTCTCGTATATTGTCTATTGGTTTGCCCTATGTGGCATCTCTCGTCTATTCGTTTTCCCCTGTCACTTCTCTTGTGCCCTCTGTGGCATCTCTTGTATATTTGCTTGTGACCCTTTTACTAGTAGCACATTTAATTGAGCCCCATTTGATTGGTGGGCACAACACAATATCTCGACCATCCATGTTGGCATTGCAAAATATGTCATTGAAAACTAAAGCTTAGGAAGTTGAGCTCTGCACTGACCCTTTAAAATAGCACATTCAATTGAGCTCTCAGTGTTTGCAAATCCTACTCAATACTGTTCATTATGACTAATTTAATTCCTGCTGCCATTATCAAATGCCTCGTACTGAACAAACAGACTCAACAACCTTACTTCTTGACTGTGCTCACTTCACTGTTGTTTTACTCAATGTTGTCTATGTCACCTCGCTTGTTCCCTGTTGAGCTGGATCCTGTCCCTAATTGTCTAGAGTATCTTGATTTGCAAGGGGAAATTGTAAGTTTATCATTTAAATGATTTGAGCTACTGTTGAATCTGTTTTTCAAGAAAGATCACTTTGAAATAAAACTATCAGTAGCATTCAAGTTCTTAAAGAAACCAGGACACTTTTGCACATCCCCTCAGATCATTACCACTGTTGCATCTTCTTGTCCCCTCGAGACTGAGGCTGAGGTGGCCACAGCAACAATTATGCATGATATTTTGCTGAATCGGCTTGCACCACTCGTCCATCAGTGCTGGTTCTGCTGGAATGAGGTCAAACTACCTAAAAGCATGGTTGAAAGTACATATGATTCACTTGTGGCTTTGATAAGTTTGTTTTAACAGTTGTGCGGCAGGAATAGCAGCATTGGACCAAAATTCTAGCACGTCTTCTGAACATGTCCAACCAGACGGTTTCTTATATCCAAATCCCTCAGACTCACCCAATGGTCACCATGCTCATCAGACTCCTGACGACAGTATCACGTCTTTCACATCCGAGTCATTTGACTTCCCAACTTTGTGGTCTAACACCAACCATTCGAGTGACTCGACTTTCCCTACATTTGGTGGCCCAGATTTCACTTCTATGTCATTCCCTTGACCACCTGCACTTCCTGTGTCCAAGGGCCATGATCTCGCTGAAGCAAGTGGAGTCACAAAGCGGTGCCCTAAGCATGTCACACAGCCAAACAACGCTGGTTATCATGTCCATATACTACCAGGCAGCGTGAGTCCCCTCACAATACCATCACACGCTTTCGTCTTAGCAGCCCAGCCACTACCTAATACCAGTGCTGCTGTAGAACATGCTGCTCATATGACAGAAGATCACATTCTTTCAGGTGGTCTGAGCCCCCCATCATGACCTTTCGTATTAGCGAAGCGCACGTCCCCTGCTATAAAGAAACTAACAGCTCAACCAACTTCTTCTGATGTGAAGGAATCACACAAACGTCACAATGTGGGTGTTCTGACCCTGAGAAATATCCTGACAACTAACGGATTCTGACAGGGAAAAAAAAAACAGCTGGTCGGCAATGAGGCGGGAAATGCAGTGCAAATGAAAACCATGTTGTGCAGCAACAAGGACGGAGTTTCAGTCACTAACCACATTTACCTCATGACATCTGATCCAGGTCCCATTCAGTCGACTTGTGATGCAGGTTATGACCATATCTGTGGTGAAATCAACAGTGCACTTCTTGGCCTTTCCCTTCACCACAGTACTAAGGATGAGATCTGGCACTGCATCCAGCAGGTTGAGGGATACCAAGTAAACAGTTGGAAGGCCATACTTGTGAAGCTTGATATCCCAGAAGAATGCCATCACAACATGCTTCAAATTATGGCTAGTGCAAGTCATGACCATAAACTTAGTGAGTTCCGCCTGTTTGGACTCTGTTTCAACCTGACTAACCTTCAATTTAGTCTGGACTTAGTTGTTTCGCTTTGCTCCATTCTTGCATATGATGGACCACTCATATTGCTTTGTTCACAATATCTCAGTTCACTTCATGTATTTGTCCTTGTCCCTGAACTTGAAATGTATAAAACTTTGCTGCCATTCACTCCTTGACTTCAATGGTTCCTTGTCCGACCCCTAAAATTCATCGAGTGCGTGCACAACTGACGGCGACCCAAAAGGCTCAACAGCGTGCCCATCGTGAAGCACTCGCTGATGATATTGACACTGCCAAGGAGTCGTACAAAGCAGAGGCTGCTGACATAGCACAAAAACATGGCCAGCGAGTCTGCATCATAAATATCTTATTGCTGATATATATTAATTGTCTTGTAGATCAGTGAAGTGGACCAGAAACCAACTGTTTCTTCGCAGTCGCATGCTGCAGAAGACCAGAGGTGTTAACTCCTGGAACGCATTTGTCAAAGCCCGACTCAAGGATGAAAATGAAGGTCAGTGTAATAATTTAATTTGCAAAGTAACACTGGTGCTCACGAATCTTTCATTAGGCTTAGGCAGAGGTGATCGCACAAAACTTACAGCCTTCATCGCAGAAAACAAGGCCACATTACTCCAAGATTATTGCAAGCTAACCTTTGCTGAAAAGCAAGCTTACAATGTCTGTGTTCTCAAGGATCGCCAAGAAAAGAACTGTACTGCACATTCAAACCCAAAGGCTGTCAAACATGATGTGAATGCAGCATTCACATTCATGGATTGTGAGGTATGTCGAAGTATCTTGCACCCTCTGTGGCATCTCTCATCTATTCATTTGCCCTTGTGGCATCTCTCATCTATTCATTTGTCCCTGTCACTTCTCTTGTGCCCTCTGTGGCATCTCTCATTTATTCATTTTCCCCTGTCACTCCTCTTGTGCCCTCTGCAGCATCTCTTGTTTATTCATTTGCCCTTGTGGCATCTCTTGTCTATTTGTTTGCCCTCTGTCTACTCATTTGTCTCCGCCATCTTTGGCACCTCTTCATTTATTTATTTACCATCTGAGACACCACCACTAATACAACTGAAATTTATCCTCAGTGGATGGCGCTCCATGCATGCACTGGTCTGGAGGGGTTTTATGTGGCAGTATGCGGTGGAATTGAAGATCTTGCAGAACCAAAGATTTTTTTTACAGAGAAATCTCAAAAATTTGTTTGGGACGTCCTAGGCATTGAGCCACAGCATCTTGGACTGAAGCTGGAAGCATTCATGATTAGCAAGCTTGGTATGTTATCTTTGTCCTCATCTTGTAGCCTACTGATTGTCTCAAAGATGAACATGTAACACTTAACCGTCAACAGCCACTCAACAAACTTATTAGTGAATGCCGTGAGCTTATCCAAGATAACCTTGGTATGTGCTTCATGGTGTCCCCTTGTGCTGTCACTAACATAATTCATCGAAGAATTTATCTTAATGGAGAAGAACATGTCAGGCAAAGTCAAAATGAATTATACAAACTACGAGCACGCTATAGTAGAACGTCATGGTGTTGAGCTAACTAAGTGGCCCTTGCCGGGGGGGTGAAAAATCCCTCAAAGGTTGGTGGAAGAGCACAGGTTCAGGTTTTGTTAAATGCTCTCAAGTCTGATTCGTGCAAGTGGGTCTCTCTCTCAGACGAGGAGCTTGTCAAGAGGATGAAGGATAACTGGGATCGGCATGCATGTGGGGAACAAGTTTACATGCAAAGGAAAGCCAGGGCTCATGTTTCACAACCCAAGAGTAAAGCCACTGTCAACACTGATGACGAGTTGAGCTCAAGCTCAGACTCAGATTCAGATTCAGACTAGTACTATGCACCTTCTAGACACATTGATAGGATGGTAATGATAACACTGAGCGCAATAATCATCAGTGTCAAGCTCATTTGATTGACAAAAAGGTTCACATCACATTAGGAAGAACATGATCATGGTAGCGCAGTGATCATGGTAGTGTGGTGATCATGGTAGCGCAGTGATCATGGTAGCGCGGGACCTGGGCAAGGACATGTCGCATGGAGGGTAAAAGCAAGCGCCAGCAAAGACTGATCAACATGAGGTTGGAGCAATCAAAAGGAGCAGGTAGAGCTGGGCCAGGAATGACTGCAGTAGCGAGCACATTGTCAAGAATGATGCAGGGCATGAAAGAGAGAGGCATTGAAGGTGTTAGAGGCATCAGGAGGCATAAGGACAGCAACATACCTTGTAGCTCCTGGCAGTGGCAAGAGATTATCCAGGGCAATGAGAGAAGGAAAAGAGCATCATAGAATGCAAGGGTGTTGACAAGCTAAAACCAAAAGAACAGCTAGAGTTGGGAGAGGAATGAGCGGGATAGCGAGCACATCGTCAAGGACAATGTGAAGATGAAAGAGAGAGGCATGGGAACCATCAGAAGGCATAGCAGCAGTGTTGTAAGGGAGATATCCAGGGAGATGACAAATCAATAGCCCTGATATGTTATTTATATTATATATGTTATTTACCCACCCTCTTAATATTCCTGAAGTCACTGCTGATTGTTGCAGCTATCGCTGAAGTACTGCAGCGTAGGTTTGCCCCCCTCGTTAGTAACAAATATGTTATACTATGTATGTTACTAACAAGTGTGGGAATAGGTGTCACTCAGGTGGCGGTGACCGCTGGCTTTCGCGTGACTCTTGCAAATAGCGCATACACGCCAAGACGAACTAAAGTATTAATACATTGACGCAGGAGTTCATCTTGCGTTGGGACAGCTCGGACTATGCTTAGATCCCTTGCATGCTCCGGGTGGGAAATATAGGGCCGTGTCGTCATAGCTGGAGCTCCGTGGATCACAGGTGCCAAACATGCGTCTGTTCCAGCTGCCGAGCTCAAAAAAAAAGTCAGCTTCAACTGAAAGGAAAATAAGTGTCTGAAAGCGTACCTTCAAGTTTGATTGCTCAGAGTCTTAACAATCATGAGAACTAGTAAGACTAAATCAGCGAGACAATCGTAATGAAATCAAGACTCACAGATTCAGACAATGAACCAAAACGAGTGTGTCAGTCCATAGGCACTGGTACTTTGACATCCAAACTTGCTGGGTACATAACACTAGCTCCGTAACGTCCGGGAGAACATTCTGGTAGGAGGACGCCTAAGAGCAGGAGGTGGGTGCGTTTGAGAGCCCACGCAATTCGTTCTCACAGTCGAAGAATACACAAAGTCCCAGTGCTGTGCTGTGTGTCAGCCATATTACTTCCTGATATGTACAAGAAGTGATCCTATTGTCAGATCCCATCGCTACCTGCTGATCGGATCCAGGAGAATGAGGAGCCGGGGCAATGGCAGGGCGTAAACAAAGGTGACCTTGCCAAATATCCATATGGAGCATTCAACCTCCCGTAGAACAGTGATTTATAAGCATGGGAAGCCCGCAGCGTGTAGATAACCTTAGGCACACTTTGTGCGTGAATAGTTTGTAAAGCGATAACATGTTACTGTACTTATAACTCGGATATGGTGCGAGGTATGAACCAATATAGCCTTAGTACTAGTGCAACACCAGAATTGGTAAGATCTGTGAATGTTATCAGCAAATCTTGTGAGATGAGAGATAGGGCGTTGTGCACGAAATTGAAGGCATCTCCGGTCGTGACGGCAGAGTCGCTGCACTTTACTCCATGGCCGCAGGCTGCCTCCTGCAATTTACGCTGATAGTGGTGGGTAGAATGCTAATGACCCTCTGGTGCTTACATACCTCCAATCGAACGGCAAGTGCTATGAAAATCGCAACTCTTTCATTCCGAAATGTCTTTGACCACATTCTCAACTCCTCTGGTGCGTTAGGTATTGATATGATAACTAGACTGTTGCTGACTCATAGCACAAGATATCCTCCCAACAACATCATCTAAGTATCAGCTTGACCTTACAACGATCTGCTGTCGTATATATACATGCCTCCGGAATGACATTCGCGGACTCTGAAGTGCAGTAGGTTAAGACCACTTTGTGCTGGAGTAAGTAGGTCCCAGCGCCAAACCAAACTCTGGATCGCCTTATAAACACACGTACCGTGATTGAATCGGGGGCATCATCCAGCGCCAAACCAAATTTTGGATCGCCTTAACACGCGTACTGGGATTGAATGAGGGGCATCAGCCGCCGTTCCCCGCTATGCATTCATGTACATGTTCGACTGAGAATTCTATTTGCCATAATTATTTGGGTAATCACTGGGATAACATCGCCACATTGATGGAAGGTAACTTTTAAGGAATCATCCAAATGCTGCAGGCTACCCGCTATACCGGTTATACACGTTTATGAGTGTATCGAAACACAGCCTCAACGATGCGATAACTGCCAATGGCAGGTAGAATGCCAATGTCTGATGCTTAAATATAAATACCTGCGACAACTGCTACAAAAATAACGACTCTTGCATTCCAAAGTTTCTTTGACCACATTCTCAATTCCTCTGGTATGTCGGGTATCCATATGATAACTGGACTGTTGCTGACCCATAGCACAAGATATCCTCTCAACAACCTCATCTATCAGCTTGACCTTACAACGATCTGCTGTCGTATATATACATGCCTCATGATACCTTAAACGTGGATCCAGAGGTCTTCTTTCGAGTGGAAAGAAGCGGTCAACCACTCGTCGTATACGAGTGTAAATTAGAGGGAGTCCCCTGTGGAATGTTCGTGGAGGGAACTACCAGCGCAGTGTCCGCCCACCTGCGAGGACATGGCATCACCGGCCCGGACAGCATCATCACAAATTGTCCGTGGGCTGGTTGCTCCAAGGCACTCAAGAGGGGAGGGATGACAAGACACATCCTTACTCACCTCGGTGTCAAGGTGTGCTGCTCCGTGTGCGGAGTAGTCAAATGCCGCCTTGACATCCTTCGTGCGCATATCAGATCGTCGGACGCATGCCATTTCGCATGTGTTGATACTGTCTATGGACCAGAGGGTCGTTTTATTGTCCCTACAGGTTGGACCGCTGCCCATCAGGTCTAATGATTTATGTTGAAGTTTTCTGACGGACACTGTTTTGTACTAGTAAGCACTTTGTTGTACAATTATAGCGAGATGTATGATGGTGTATTATACGTACAAATAGATATCCATCACAGTTGAAAAATAGCTTTCGCAGCCGTGACGGTGAAATGTGTACGATTGTACTCTACGTTAATACTATTTCTGTTCTTGACCATTGACGTCAACGCCACGTGCCCAGGTGATTGACCAACGGAAGCGGTGCATTCTGATAGTCGATAATAACTCGAATCCGGCGTAGTGACAAAACTTTTCGCTACGACAAGTTCGTGAGATTCCCGACCACAAAGCGCTGCGTTCCATCAAACGCTTGCACAAAATGCACTCGGCAATTAATTCTTGATTGATAACGCAATACATGGCAAGCCTCCTGATTGAGCAATCATTAATGTCAGAACGAGTCGTTCAAGATAAGTAGACGTAAGTTTCGCTCAGCCTGGTTAGTGAAGCTTCCACAAGCCTGCCAACATTCCAATGGCCGCATATGCTGAATCGCTATGCGCAAGATTGTTGTGCCTGACCTTTCTTGCAATCGCAATTTGAGACTTGCCACTCTTCATGGAAGCGAAAGTTGATAGTGTAGAACGAACTAGTAGAGCGATATCAAATGCGGGACGGATACAGGCAGACAGTCGAGGATGAAATGAACCTTGAACTTGGTTTTCTGTCTGAAATAGTGAACGCGGAAACCATGTCTTGCTTTCTTCAAGATAGGGAAGTAACAACTGAAACAAGGGACCACGACTTGCACACCTTCGAAATGGTTTCCGTTGACAGCTGAACCATGACCAATGACTACCGTTTTCAGCCTGGTTGGAAGAGTTTGCCGCACCGGTCCCTGAAGGACTATCATAATCCCTGTGAGGGCTACTATCTCTAGGAGGACTCCTGGAGTAGCTCCCGCGCTCCTGTAATCAGGTGAGTAACGACGAGGACTGCGATGATCGCGCCAATCATGGCTGTCACGACCGTAGGGGTCCCTATCCTTATCGCGTTCGGAACGACGGTAATCGCAGTCACCATATGAGTCACGGTAGTAAGAGTCGTGACCTGAGCCTGAATAGGTGTCCCCAATCGAGCAACGATGTCCCATATATTTGCCAGGGATTGGTGCGGCGATCTGTCAGTGACAGAATAGTCAACCCGAGTGCGACGCCCGTTCGGTTCCTATGAAGGAGATCAGCAAGGATATCATACACATGAAGGGAAAACGTACGACTCCATTAAGTTGCTGAATGCAGCGAGTAGCCTCTTCAGCACTGGTTTCTCAGATAAAGCCGAAATTATCGTACCCTCTGGTCGTAAACAATTGTGATTTTTCGACTCTTCCAAAGCGAGGGAACTCGTCCAAATCCCGCTCTTGTGTCCTAATACTTAATCCGAAGACCCCAAAACTTGAGGATTGGGAACCTTCCTTGCCCCATAAGCGCTTCGCAAACCATGAGAAGAACATGTGGAGCATACAATTGGAGCATGTTGGCTTCTCAGGAGGTGGAGACCTGCGCTTTTGAGAAGGACTAGACGGTAGCCGGTACTGCAGGCTCTAGAACTTCTCGGACGAGAATGATCGCATGGTGGGGCGGCGTCCCGGTCTCTGGTTTCTGATGAGCAGTAGCGGGTGCTGGTGCATTGTATGCATCAGAGTAAGGGTCAACTGAAAAAGCAGTTGGTTCTCCGTATCGACCCTAAGAGAAGGGTAAAGTTAGAAAGAGTCGCTCTGGGCACCGGAAATGTGACGCACCAGATTCGACAACATCTATATCATTACAAGAGGTCTGGGAGAAGTGCGTGATAAGTTGCGCGTACGAAGAAGCGGGAGACAAAGGAGTGTTTTGACGATGAAAAGGAGCTTAAAGAACAAGAAAGTAAGTATTAAGATGACGGGGGAAGGGAGAAGCTTGTGCCCTGCGCATGCACTGCATGATCGTGTTCAAGAGATAAGAGAAAACGAGGCATTTGTTGAGTACAAGGTATTAAGTATCACAAAAGGAAATAAAGTATCCGTGTCTCGGATGCGACTCTTTGACACGCGGACTGCGTGTGCATTCGTTTGAAGCGCTAGTTGAGGCGTAGTGCAGGGTCCTTACAGTATCCGATACTATACCTCACGGCTGAGTCGTCACCCCCACAAGTCGTCACGACCTAAATATCTCACTCAATTCTTACTTCCACACACAATTTACAACTTAAATCAATGTTTCTATCATGCACCTTTCATTGCGAGGTTGAACGACCAATTTTTGTTAAGAAATGGTGAAGTTCATTGAAAGCCGTCAAAGTCACGCTGGTGACAGCCAGCCGAGCGCTGCCATAGCGGAGTTCTAAACAAATACTACCACTGGCTGTGACGACTTGTCAGCGAGTCGACACATTCGGACATGGCTCTACGAAATAGCCGCCCAAAAGGCAAATCACGAGAGTCGCGTGATCCCACATATGAGCAGAATGGTTCTAACTTAAATAGTCCTGATCTATGCCATGAAATACCTTACAATCCTCCTGTACATCCAACTCGCAGCAACATACCAGCAGCAATTTTCCGGACATTTTACATCACACCAGCATCAAGTTCATGTGCCTCATCATCACGGACCACATAGTTCTCATTCTCATGTAGTATATCCTGCACCATACAGCCATTATAATTACAACCACATCCCATACTATATTCCACATCACACCAACCAATCATAATCATTATTTTTGACCTGTAACTGTCAGACCGTGAATTTCTTAGGCATTGCCGAGCGGATTCTGAAAGCGGCAGCGGTGACCTGCTGTGACAAAAGCGTGACCTGACGACTTGTGGGGGTGACGACTCAGCCGTGAGGGACTCGGAGCAGAGGCCATCAGAGAACTGGTGAGAAGAAGATATTGTCATATATCGTTATATATCGTAATATATAGGAAAGGATTTCGTCACATTGGAATATAAAGCAATATATGACCATGTAAATGCACCGCAATCAGCATAATGGCTAGCAAGAACTCACCGGTTCACTGATGGAGGAGGCTGCAGGGAGCATATCAGCTCGGCCAGCCAACACGGTCCCCCTGCAGTCATTTGCAGTGCCAACCTGATCACTGATAAACTAACATATATATAGGCGTCTGATCCAGTTCATTTTAGCACACTCAATAGGCAGGGCTGATAAGGGAAAGGGGCACGATCATACAAGACCATTGATCGACAGCCAAGAAACGACCATGACGGTTGCCCGTTTTCCTCCGAGAAGCAGAAATGACCTCGCATTCAGATATCTGCATGGTTGCATCAAGGCCACGATCACACTGCTCATATATGCGGCACAAAGAAGTAATACAACTGCAAATTTCAAACTCCTTGCTTCCCCTGCTAATTCTCGACCAGCCTGGCTATGCCCTCCGAGCATTTCTGCCACAACACTGTCCGATACGATCAGTTGAGCACTTCCGCGTGACCCTCCTGCATCGGACATGCCCAACTTTAGTCGTAGACTTGTGCTACCACGCCTCGAGGCTGAAGCCACTGGATTCGACCGAGGCCACTCCGAGGTGAGTACAATGAATTTGTTCATCCACACTCACAGTTCCTAGCATACCTCACTACCCTCTCCCGCTGTTTCCCCTGCTCACATTGATCATACCTCATTCATTCGTGTTCTTTGCCTACGTGCTAGCAACCAAGTCAATCTTGCCCAATCTCTTTCTTCAAGGCCGCAAAACAACACTTCCACAAAGATGGAAATTGTCGTTTTTATGGCTTTAGTATTCGGGTGACTGGATATGTGCTTCGCCTTCTCCTTGCATGTATCATACTGACAATGTTACTCTCACTTAGCATTACCAAATGCACGTAGTGTGTCATATGCTACCTGGTTTGAAAACACCGAGAGTGTGAAACTGGACTGTGTCAGTGGAGCTGCGGATTCCCCAACTCATTACGGGGATGCCGAAGTGACCAACACGAGACGAAATTCAAAGACCGGGATTTACGATAACCTCGTGACATTGGAAAAATGAGACATGTGGGCTTAGAGCAGCCAGAGCTCACAAGGTGAAGCACGCGAATTTTCTCTTTGATACTTCCGAGCTGCCGTGCACCATGAACTTGTTGACACAGGGAATCGTATGAATTGCGCTTGCAGACCTTTGTCGTATATATGAAGTATCGGCCTGCAGCATTCAAGCATAAGACAATGAAGACGATAATACATACAAAAAAAGATTCGTACCTTTCTTCGATACAGTTTGCACCGTCCAACCTTTATTAAACAATGTCAGTCAAATAGTAACGTGATTCTTGAAAGATACCCCCTAAAGGTGGTCTGGCTCACTGCCCTTGGGCCGCCAGGATCACAAGACACCCACTCTGCATTCCTCGCGTGTGGCAACCAATGAAACACACCAGAGCGAAAGCTGGTAGCACAGTTCGTGCCGATATAGTGAAATGAATGTCATTTAACTAATTCGTCCATCCCGTTTTGTCATTTCCGATCCGATCAACTGACGCTCAGCGCTAGGGGGAATTCTAGTCACCGGCCTTGTAGGACATTCTATTGCATGCTTATGGAGGATGTCAGTGTCATGGATTTCCAGAACTCAGGAGCAAGAAGATCTGTTAAATCAGTGGAACGAGTGCGTCATCTTGCTCCCCTTTTCACACCATACCAATACTTATGTAGCAAAATCTACGCTGACTTCGCAGACCTTGAGGAGAAGCACGACGGGGAACTGAGTATGGCTGCCAGTGCTATCGCATCACGACCAAAGCCCGTGCCAATGGCAAGTGAATTGCGCGAACGATAAAATATGTACCGGGATTCCATCGATCGCATGTCTGTATAACTATTACACGTGTTGTGTGACATTGCAACCGTGTCATAACATACGTTGACCAAAGATATACTGGCAAATACTATTGCTCAGAGTCATGGGCGATTGTGACGATGACTAGTGCTTGGCCAAATCCGGAGTTTTCTCTGGAGCCTGCCTCAAGCTCAGCCTCAAGGCCTCACCAACAGTCTAATTTCCGTGGCTTGAACTTCTTAAGGCGCAGCAAAATTTTACAGCCGATCGGCACCGGTGTTCATAGTGCCTTCATTGGCAGGGAGAACGCCAACTATCTTACTGAGTCTCGTAAAAATTATTCTACCATTATATAGAAGGGTAAGTGTGTCAAGGCCCTCAAACGACCGGATCTCTACTTGTTATTTCTAGGAACTTCTTTGATCACACTGGTGCGTTCAAGCTGGGTGCCTGTGGCAAAGAATAACTGGACATTGCTGATACGCAATACAGCACATCCTTCTATCAGTCTAACAAACCTCGTATATCAGTTTGCTCTCGACCATCACCGTCCCGTACAACATGCCTTTCGATATCTTTCCCGTGTACCAAGAGACCTTTTTTCAAGTGCAACCTGGCGACCAACCACTTGTCGCATACGAATGTAAATTACAACAAGTCGGCTGCGGAATGTTTGTGGAGGGAACAACCAGCGCAATATCCGCCCACCTGCGAGGACACGGCATCACCGGTCCAGACACCGCCAGTACAAGATGCACGTGGGGTGACTGCTCGAAGACACTCAAGAGGGGATGCATGACAAGACACATCCTTACTCACCTCGGCATCAAGGTGCGCTGCTCTGTGTGCGGAGTCGTGAAGTGCCGTCACGACCTCCTTCGTGCACACACCAAATCCTCAGAGCAGTGCCGTTTCGCATTTGTCAATATCGTCCATGGGCCAGAAGGACATCTTCTTGTCCCTGAGGGCCCGGCTACCGCACACCAGGTCCAATGATTGTCGATATGTTTTGTTTGGATCTTCGTTCATTGTTCTGTAGGACAGTGACCCTATTGTCGATATGTTACCTTCACATGTTTTTTGACGGACACTTTTTTCTACTAGTTAGCACTTGTTGCATGCATACTATCATTACATGTTCTTTCACAGTTTTTTTCTGTCATAGATTCGTATATCTTCTACATGGATCTGATTAGAATGATGTGGTGTGGTGTCGGAGCAAACCTGATAAAGCTCTGGGTACACCCTGTAATGTACACAATTCGGCCACATCCAATGAGATGTTATTTTTTTTAACCGGAGAGAAAACACGTACGATGACCTCAGAACACTGTAATAGATACATACGCATGAAAATGTCAGATGAAATGACATACCGCAGCGTCGCACCGTTCCAGTACAGTAGGATCCCTACTAACAGACAGTGGGGTAACAGAAATTCGCCATAACAATTTACGTGGCTTTTGGGTGCTGCACAGACTTCGTAGCTTGCATTATTGCCAAAGAAATGGTACTTCGCAAGATAAAAAGTTGTGCTTGGTGAGGTAAAGCTTGTGTTTGCGATACACAGTTTACACTTCACGATACCGAATTTGATCGATCATCGATTATGATCCTTCTGACTCGGAGGTGCGAGGGCGACGGGCGACGGGTGACGGGTGGTGCACCGGTGAGGCCTCAGCAAGTGAGTGCCACCTGCATTTCTTTTGCTACCTCCCATGCCCGCAGACGTGCGGGACGAATCGCGCTGCGCATGATGTTGAAACTCCGACTGAAACGAATCCCAGAGTCCAGAGCCCACTTTGGCCTCAGAGTGTCGATTTCCTACATGTCCACCATCGCCTCCACTCGTAACTATACCTTCTGGAAAGAAAACTTTCTCACAACCCAACCCAAAACCGACTGAGCCTCGATTTATGCATGCATATGAGGCGAGTTCCTTGGTTTATTTTCGTCAAGTTTTTTGGACATCTCCCAGCCACCTTTAATTATTAAACGGTCGCGTATTTCTCAGCGACGATAAGCTCAAGTCTTAACATGGCAGGGGCGCCACGCGGGTGTCTGCTGGCCTTGAAGCCCCGTACATCGTCGAGTACAATGTAGTGGAGGATGCCAAGGACCAGGGAGCATCTGTGGGGGTCTGGCAGGGCGAGTTCTTTGATACATCAATATCTACTTAGAGTATAATCAGACCTGTTTTTGTTTAAACCCTGGCAGAAAACAAATGTGAGGATTCAAGAATTCTGAATTGATTTCACATCAGATTGGGCACTCGAGCAACAAACCAGGCCCTTCGAAACTCGTGAATCATGATTTGCGTTATGCTATGGAACGAGTGTCTCTTGTGATCTAATTCTGAGAAGATATTTGCTTTGCAAGTTCGAGTTATTATCTGCGCAAGGCTGCTAACTTCACCCTATCCCGGTACCTCTGGCTACAATACTTCTCCGTCCGCAGGCCTCGGAGTGGACTTCTTGTCTACAGTATCAAAGCACGTCCATCACGTCATGCTGTGTTGCTCTTGGTTCTGTCTCCTATGTACTCTTACTACCATGGCGACTTCTGCTTCATTTCACGGCGTTGTTGGTCTTCAAAGTGGAAGCATTGACAACATGTATTTGTGGCAATACGATGTATTCATCGCCACTCCAGAAAACGGAGATATTCGTGTAAATGTGTTCACATTTGACGCCAACACTGCTTCTGCTGAAGATGGAATCTATCTATTAGGTGCGCGGACAACTATCGGTCTTACTATCATTGACGATGAAGGTGTATAAATCTGCGCATTCCCGGGATAAAAGTTAAATTACTCGGGCAAATATTAGCAAGCTTTTTAGCAGGTGGGCCTATGCCTGAGAGAGATATTAACTAGCCGCTTTTTAGCTGCTCGCCGTTACCATCATCATTTCCCTAATTACTCCTGAATCTCCTCCGCAGCCTTACCCTTACCCTTACCCTTACCCTTATTCTTCCCTGCGTTATCAGGAGCCGAGCCAGGTAACACCGTGCGCAAGGAGCCTATCAGCGCTAAAGTCTATCTTGGGTTCCCACATGTCATCCAGCCAAGTACCAGCCTCTTCTTCTTCAATCTCTTCATCTCCGTTACAGCTATCGGTTGACGTTTTAACAGTCAGCTGTTCATTACATCATGTTGCTGTTGGCATTTAAAGACTCAGCGCTCATCCCTCGTGTAGGTTTGGCTATTTGAAATGACTTCCAACACATGTTAGTTAACCATCATGATGTATCAGGAGAAGCTAGCCAGCCGGTCGGCTCGAGTCTCACGATGACATGCCTGACCTGATCTGCAGTGCTTGCACACACAGCACAGTCAGCCATAAAGAGTTTTTGGCATCATTAGGTTTCTGGTACGTGTTATTAGCATGTTAATAGCATATTAATAGCGTGTCATTATTTTTATCTCTTTGCCAATGATGTATATGACTTCACTACGCCTTCGTATTTTGGCTCATTCCGAGTCATCTATCCATATGGGACTTACGCCCCCTTCATGATAGCGCGAACGCCTTTCCAACGGTTATCATAGCAAGTAAAATTTTGCGCAGCACCTTTTCAGTCAAGCAGTAAAACGTATTTGATATGGATGTCTCTGCCAGCCCCTCGGCAGAATCTTGCACTCATAGCAGCGACCACAAACTTCGACGACACCACCAGCGACTTCCTCTTCCCATCACGTGTCCTCGAAGACGCTGAAACTTGTCTTCATCGTGCTTTCCTTCCCCCACTTAACGTCCATGTCGATGAATTCAACGACAAAATTCTAGACAGATTGCTGGGCGATTTTCGCGAGTATCGCAAACGGAAATCGATCACACATTCCGCTCACGAAATAGAATCTCATTTTAGTTCAGATAGTCTGAAAGAAGCCGAGCATACTCCATTGAACGCACCAGAACACACACCCTGGCAGACTCTCTTGCGATGTTGACCCACCCTGGAGTATCTCCTCATCGCCTGGATCTCAAACAGGACTGCATTTGGCATTTGCGCCATTCAACGAAACATCTCGGTACAAAAGGGAGTAGTCAGAAACGTGCGATTGTGCTGCATCGTCGGTTCGTCGAAGTCCAACTATTCTTGAATACATTCAAAAGCCACTGAATACCCCGCATCAGCTGACGCTTCTTGGACTTGAACCAAGTGGCACCTCAGCAAGGACTCCGGAAACAACAACCACCGACAACGCGCCCAACACTGCAGCCATCGTGACATCCTCATGTCACATACTTTCAAATGATGTTGGCAACAACAGCAGACGCGAGTATTGGACGTGCGTTTGACAAGGCAGCCCGAACACTTGGCCTATCCTGGGGAACCAGAGGCCCTAGTGCAGCACTCGAAGAGCTCTGCCGCATGATAAACGATGAACTGGAATCCCTACCCGACATCCAACCATTCACCATTCGATCCCGGGAAAACCTGCCTTTTCCTTTGTATCCCTACAATCTTTAGTAGACCGCCACATTTCTCTCATGGACGAACCTCTATTCCAGTTCACGTGAAATTGCCCCGGCTCGTGCATTCCAGACAGCTGCAGCCCATCAACTCCGTGCTAAGCTTACGTTGAGCCTTCGAAATCTCAAGCTGAAAGGCGTGAACGTCAGGGATGTCGCCCTTAGCGGCGGGGTCGCCAGCAACATCTTTTTACGCGAAAGGTGAGTTTCCAAAGCTCGTTTTTCTTTGTCGTGCTCAGCTTCCGTAGGCTCCGAGCAGCACTGGATGAGTACAGCGCATATCGCTCCATTCCCCCCGCTAGAATTATGCACAGGTCAGCGTTTCGATATGTCGACCGATTCACAGGGTTTTAAATTCAATATAGACAATGCAGCAATGATTGCATGGGCTTTGAGGCATTGGTCCCTCGCTGGTGACTATGATGACTATACAGTAGACCTTCGTGCCAAGTGGAGCATTGAGAATATCAGAGTATGAAGCGTCTTTCAGGTATGACTACTCGTATGCTCTTCCTCGATGTATTCGATCGTATTAGGACTCTCGCGTTAGTGGAAGAAGGTTTTTTACATTTGGGTGGCGAATAGCAAGTCCACTAGTGGTGTGCGCGAGAGTCTCGTTGATTCCAAGCGCATGAAACCGAATGACTGAGTGGTAGTTCCTTGTAGCTCTAAGTAGTATTGATATATGAAACCCACGTGTGATGGTATAATGAACAATGTAAATTCTTGTCCGCACACTGGCTGTGCGATGATCTAATGAAACTCACAAGTCCTATCTCACGAAGAGGCGGATGATACTTGATACATACATACTAGTACTGATACATCACGCTGATGAGTAGGAATCCATCTCTACCGTCACCTCAATGGGCCGATGTGGCTAAAGCGTGACAATCAGTACTCTTCCATGGCCAGTGACGCAGCTACTAACTATAGCAGATTGGGTAAGATGCATCACATCATCGCCGGGATGTTTAAACATGTTTTTCCGGGATCCCTGGAATTCCTCGTCTTGGGACGCCATAACGTTCAGCTCTGGACGGTAGATGCCATGGCGCATATGGACATCAGAAGAATGGTTAATTTCTGTGGTGGGCTGTAAGTAGTACCGCGCGTTCAGGAGTGCGAAGAATGAGTTGACGTATACTGAAAAGGAACCGGTGGTCAGTGCGACATTCTGAGAATGCTTTGGATCGTACATTTAGCCACTAAAAATTCAACACTGAGGAAGATGAAGTTGTGCGGCATGACTGCGCACTGTAGGGATCTCAGAGACGAGATGGGTAGTACAATCATTAGAAACTTACTGTAATCATAACTGTCATTGAACACACGCTACATGAAATATGAGTCAAGATGTGGACTAGTCTGGAAGGAGGAATACCTTGTCAGACAGCCGGTGTTGACAATGTAAGCCATGAGCCTTGTTATCATGGAATCGGTGCTAAGTATTCCATGTTTGTATATCAGATCCCTTGGTGTAAATAGACTGTTCATTACCTAGAGAATCCAGTACGTGAAGTGGCGAGGAGATAGCATAGCGATGATGCGATAATGAAATCGACGAAAGTGATCGCGCCCAAAGCCATATATGTCGACCACTCGATTTTAACCAGATCTAAAACGCACGACACTGATAGCTACTCGCTATCAGCAATCGTATAAATAGGGAGCGCGTTGCTTCACTCACATGGCCCACATAATGACTGTCGTTGGATTACAATGATGAGCCGACTACAAATGCACCGAGTTTTTGAACTCTCACCGATGGCAACACCTGAAGAAATCTTCAAGACCGGGCGAAGAGGAATACCAAATGACAAATCTCACCTGAACCCGAAATTATGATTACGCCCTAATATTGCATCATCAGAATCAATGTCATGATACGCCACGGTGATCGTTGATCTAAACCCACCACGGCTATAGGGAGGACTCTTGATCGGCCCTTGCCGACTGATACATTGCATCAGTCGTAGAAACCCATTGGCTCGATAGGGAAGCACATACCTATCCATATGCGATGAAAATATAGACTGCGAACCAATAAAAACATCACTTGAATCCTTCAAGTTGTAGATAACAGTACACTTCTAACTTACAGATGCACCGTGTAGACGATTATAACCTGCAATGGATGCGTGAGCGGCTCGTAGTGCATAAGAAAAATCACCTACATTGATGACTATTTGAAGCTGCACGAGTCCTTCAGTACCATAGTAGAGATCGCAAGCGCCCACAAAACTCACTTTAAAGCTCCACACAAGTTCCGTGAGTGCACTGATATCCGCGTAATGGGCCACTAAGTAATAATAGATGCAGTGGACTATCAAGAATAGGTGCAGAGCATCGAGTATCCTAAAATTTGGGTTAGGGCGTAAACTCGCCGCGCTCGATAATGGCAACTGGAGAGTATACATACCAAAGCCAGGCAACCTAATGTAGCATCAACAACTGAACTGAGAAAAGGAAGCATCGACATACGGCTAGCTTAGGGAACGATATTCCTGTACCCCTGTGCGTCTGAAAGTAGAAGAAAGCTTGAATGCTACTCAGACCGAAGAGACTGTGCCATGAAATATGTTAGGACGTCAAGACTTGATGAAGCCCTAAGCTTTGCGAGTAGATAGGTTACTAACATTGCAGCAAGGATGACCCCAATAAACAGTGCCCCAAATGTGTTCCCGAGATGAAGTTGTGGGATGAGGACCTGCATTGGGGAAGACATAGATATTGACAGAGGCTTGAGCCCGTTCCAAGTAAATCAACGTTTGCGCCGTACTATATATCACGCAGCCACATGAGGACACGAGACTAGCAGATGGCATGACAGATCTAGATCTGTTATGTGGATTGTATAGCTTCTGTGCAGATAAGGTGAAACACAGCCTAGAAGGATGATGGAACACTGCTTCGGAAGCTCGTATCGAATGTCACATCTCCTCATGGTCTTCCCATCATTAATAGCTATCATCTGGGATTGCCTGCGTATATCATACATGTACGAATTCCAGGTCTATGAAAAAGAATTGGCGATAAGTAAATCGTGCTGGTACAAAGTGAGATCAGTGGCAAATTGAGCAACCCACAACACGAGATGGGTTTGTGCCGTATACCACAGCTTTTGGTGGAGCACATGATCTGATGACCTCGGCCTCCAACAATCATTCTAAAAAAAAAGGAGGTACTAATGTAACTTGAGGCCACGACCATCACTTGGTTGGCCTCAGCTGATAACGCCCAAGGCTTGTCGACGCGGTACACGGGCGCCGCATCAGTTTAAGCATCCGGACGTTAGCAACATATGATCCGAGCTCAATTGCGAGTTAAGACATTTGATGTATGTTGTATTACTGACAGTTAAAGACTTGGTTGAAGGTCTACAGTTGCGGACAGGCAAAGTCGACGCTAAATTTTTTCAGTTCACAATTACAGCCTGCCGGAATATCCCGGCACCATGCGTCCAGCGCTCAAGTCTATCTTGGGTTCCACATCAAATTCGATGTCGGCGGGTGTCGTGGAACTCTCCCACATATCACCCAACCAAGTACCAGCCTCATCTTCTTCAATCTCTTCATCTCCGTTGCGGCTATCGGTTAACATCATGTTGCTGTTTGCTCTCTTTGGCATTTGAAGACAGCGCTCATCCCTCGTGTAGGTTTGGCTATCTGAAATGACTTCCAACACATGTTAGTTAATCATGTATTAGTAGAAGCTAGCCAACCGGTCGGCTCGAATCTCACGATGATATCTCTGACCTGATCTGCAGTACCACTTGCATACATGGATATCTGAGGCACAGTCAGCCATAAAGAGTTTTTAGCATCATTAAGTTTCTGGTACGTGTTATTAACGTGTTAATAGCATGTTAATAGTGTCATTAGCTTTGTCTCTTTGCCAATGATGTATGTGACTTCACTACGCCTTCGTATTTTGGCTCGTTCCGAGTCATCTATCTGTATCATATGGGACTTACAACCCCTTCATGATGGAGCTCGCGCCTTTCCAACACTTATCATAGCAAGTAAATTTCGCGCAGTACCTTTTCAGTCAAGCGGTAAAATGTATTTGGTACGGATGTCTCTGCCAGCCCCTTGACAGAATTTTGCACTCAAGGCGGCGACCACAAACTTCGACGACACCACTGACTTCCTCTTCCCACCGCATGTTCTCGAAGACGCTCAAATCTGTCTTCATCGTGCATTCCTTCCCCTTCTCGATGTCCATGTCGATAAATTCAACGACAAAATTCTAGACAAATTGCCGGGCCATTTTCGTAAATATCGCAAAGAGATCGATCACACATTCCGTTCACAAAACGACATAGAATTTCATTTTAGTTCGGACAGTCTGAAAGAAGCCGAGCATACTCCGTTGAACGCACTAGAACACGACCCCGACTACCTTGCGATATTGTCCCATCCTGGAGTGCCTCCTCGCCGCCTAGATCTCAAACAGGACCGCATTCAGCATTTGCGCCATTCAACGAAACATCTCGACAGAAAAGGGATTGGTCAGAAACGCATGATTGCGCTCCATCGTCGGTTCGTCAAAGTCCAACTCTTGAATACATTCGAAAGCCACTGCATCCCCAGCATCAACTATGCGTCCCATCCAAACCATTCGTCGTGGACAGTAAGTCGAAGAGAGCTTCCTCGGCGATCCGCGTATGCAACTACATTTGGTGTCTGTCAAGGTTTGACGCCAGCACGAACCGTGCTCGACCTCCGGACGGACCCTTTTGCTCGCGGTCAATGGTACACAGCGTTGTCGAGGGTGAGGACGCGAAGAGACACTATCTATTGCAGAGACGAATGAAGGACAAAATTGTGGTAACATTGTATTTCTGAGTTGTTACTGTAAACACAATATATCGTCAGAGAGTCCTTGCATATGGTCAGATTGAGTGGATAATGAAAACGATGCTTTCATACTAGTTTCCCGCTGCACGTATTATTTCCGTGCACCCCTACACCTGCCTTTATGCCGCCACAATACCTAGTACTAATATCATGTACTGTCGTAGCACATCGTCTCTCGCCAGATAAATTCATGCATTCAATTGTAAGTACTGGATGATATAGTTTCATCTGTAAACTGCGTGAAAAACTTCGTCGGAGATGGTGCTCCAGCAAGCAATATATGTGATGCGCACCGACACATCATTCTCTCTGATTTTTTCCTAATTGAGGGAAAAAAATAGAACATACCTATTCTCATTGTACCGCGCCAGTGAGTTTTCACTGGATTTGAAGGTTAGCTGCCACTGCCCTGATCGTGATGGTGAAATATGTACAATCTTACTCTATGTTAACAACGTTCCTCTTCTTGACTGTTGGCATTAACGCCACATACCCTGGTGATTAACCAACGGAAGCGGTGCATTCTGATGGTCGATAATAACTCGAATCCGGCGTAGTGACAAAACTTTTCGCTACGACGAGTTCGTGAGATTCCCGACAACGAAGCGCTGCGTTCCATCAAACGCTTGCACAAAATGCACTCGGCAATTAATTCTTGATTGATAACGCAATACATGGCAAGCCTCCTGATTGAGCAATCATTAATGTCAGAGCGAGTCGTTCAAGATGAGTAGACGTAAGTTTCGCTCAGCCTGGTTTGTGAAGCTTCCACAAGCCTGTCAACATTCCCATGACTGCATATGCTATCCGTAAGATTGTTGTGCCTGACCTTGCTTGCAATCGCAATTCGGGACTTGCCACTCTTCATGGAAGCGAAAGTTGATAGTGTAGAACAAAGTAGTAGAGCGATATGAAATGCGGAACGGATACAGGCAAATAGTCGAGGATGAAATGAACTTTGAACTTGGTTTTCTGTCTGAAATAGCGAACGCGGAAACCATGTCTTGCTTTCTTCAAGATAGGGAAGTAACGAGAACATTGCCAACTTGAGGCTTGCTGGGGGATGACCGCCATGAACCTCTTCAATCACTTGTGCTTGTACGAACGAGACCTCTTGTCCATGCTTTCGCCTATCGATAATTGAAACAAGGGACCACGACTTGCACACCTTCGAAATGATTTCCGCTGACAGCTGAACCATCACCAACGACTACCGCCATTTTCAGCCTGGTTGGAAGAGTTTGCCGCACCGGTCCCTGAAGGGCCATCAAAATCCTTGCGAGGGCTACTACCCCTAGGAGGACTCCTGGAGTAGCTCCCACGCCTCCTGTAATCAGGTGAGTAACGACGAGGGCTGCGACGATCGCGCCAATCACGGCTGTCGCGACCGTAGGGGTCCCTATCCTTATCGCGATCGGAACGGCGGTAATCGCGGTCACGATATGAGTCACGGTAGGAGTCGCGGTGGTAAGAGTCACGGCCTGAGCCTGAATAGGTGTCCCTAGTCGAGCGACGATGTCCCATATATTCTCCAGGAGTTGGTGCGTGCGGTCTGTCAGTGACAGAATAGTCAACTCGAATGCGGCGTCCATTCAGTTCCTATGAAGGAGATTAACAAGGATAGCATACACATGAAGAGAAAACATACGACTCCGTTGAGTTCCTGAATGCAGCGAGTAGCTTCTTCAGTGCTGGACATTCTTATAAAGCCGAAACCACGAGAACGGTCGGACTGAAAAACACATTTTCATGGGTTAGGGTAACAAAATGCACAAGAAATCATCGTACCCTCTGGTCGTAAACAATTGTGACTTTTTCAACTCTTCCAAAGCGAGAGAACTCCTCATCCAAATCCCGCTCTTGTGTCCTAATGCTTAATCCAAATACCCCCAAAACTTGGGAGGGGTTAGGCGCCTTCTTTGCCCCATAAGCGCTTTGCAAAACATGAGGATAACATGTGGAACGTACAATTGGAGCATGTGTTGGCTTTTTAGGAGGTGGAGACCTGCGTTTTGGAGGAGGACTACGGTAACCGGTGCTGCGGGCTCCAGGACTTCTGGAACGAGAACGACCGCGTGTTGGGGCGGTGTCCCGGTCTCTGGTTTCTGATGTGGTAGTAGCAGGTGCTGGTGCATTGTACGCATCTGAGTAAGGGTCAACTGAAGGAGCAGTCGGTTCGCCGTATTGATCCTAACAGAAAAGCAAAAGTTAGAAAATGTCGTCTTTGCCACCGAAAATGTGACGCACCATGGCAGTTGAAGTTAAAGAAAAATTTGGCGTTGTTTGTCGCTTGTTTGGTCTGAAACTGCGAATTCAATTTCATCTTCCGCCAAATGCCGAGAATCAAACCTTATTTACTTGTCCTGCACAGTTCCTCAAGCCTCCGTTGTTGTCTGTTCACCGTCCCCGAACAGCACAAATCGGCAAGATCAAGATGGTGAGCTCGTCGTTCTAAACAGTTCCCAGAGATTATGCTGAAATGTGCATTTTACTAGGGTATCGACCTCAGGACACACCACGTCAAGAAGGCCCAGCGGACGGCCCCCAAAAGCGAGGATCCTTACCTCCTTTTGCTCGTCAAAGTATGTGTGTTCAGTATGTGCAAAAGCTCAATCTAAATGTTGTTCAGCTCTACAGATTTTTGGCTCGCCGCACAGACTCGAGTTTCAACAAGGTTGAATGGTTTTACATGTAGTTCAGGCGTTTGACTGAAGCATGATTTTTACTCAGGCTATCCTCCACCGCCTCTTCCTCTCCAAAACCAACCGTCCTCCTCTCTCTTTGTCAAGAATCCTTAAAGAGACTACTGCTACCCCTGATCGCGACTCAAAAGTTATCGTGGTCGTTGGCACTGTAACCGATGATGTTCGTCTCGTCGAAGTGCCCAAACTCTCAGTCGCTGCTCTACGCTTCACGCGCGCAGCAAAGGAACGCATTCTCAATGCTGGTGGTGAGGCATTGACGCTGGATCAACTCGCACTTCGCGCACCAACAGGGTCTAACACTGTGTTGCTCCGGGGAAAGAGGAACACTCGCGAGGCTGTCAAGCACTTTGGCATGGGTCCCCACAAGAACAAGAAGCCTTACACCATCTCCAAGGGTCGCAAGGTATGTGTTGATCATTATTTTAAAGGTGTTCATATCTGACACATTTCCCTTAGTTCGAGCGGGCCCGTGGTCGCCGAAAGTCTCGTGGCTTCAAAGTATAAGAAGCTCACAAAATATTCATCGGTGGCAGCATGGAAGGCGTCGCAATCTATGTGTGGTCACATATGCATTATGGGTATACTACAAATCATCATCTTTTCATCTTTTGAGCTCTGTATGCCCCACCTATGCATTGCTTATGTTCGAGCGCACGCCTCTATTAGGAAGGCCCTGCTTGAGACATACGATATTTAGGACTGAAACATGATCCAGAAGTTCGAGACAGTATGCAAAATCTTAAATTGAACATGAATATCAATTGTCGGAGCCCGTCTAAATAAGTACCCAAGCTTGGCCTACTCTTTCATCCTCTGCTGCAATTCCTTCAACTCCTCTGCTACGTCATCTAGAGGTGGTGGCATAACGTGAGATTCGGGCGTCACAGCCTTCTCAGCGACTTTTCCTTCCTTCTTCTGTAGAGCCTTCAAGAAACTGGAGCCACCAAGCCAGAAGAAAGCGAGTGTCGAGCCAATCATCCAAAAGCCGTACCAATGGAGCCGACGCCAAGCCTCGATAGAATCGGTGAAAGTTAGCAGCATAAACGGCGCTGCCACGTAGTTGAGAATGAGGATGCTGACGAAAGTTCCAGTCAAATCATAAATGCGTTTCGTGATTGTTGTAGGTGCTCCTGGAAGGGGGAGGACCAAAGGACGTATGTTGGCACGGCAGAGGCGGCCCGCGGTAGTGATGAATCCACCAAAGAAGAAAGTCAGGTAGTAGCCTGTCGCGATGCCGTGCTACAACAAAATCAGCACAGGTAATGCGTAGCATACCCAAGCACCTACCCAGAAGGCGCTCGTCGCAAAAGTCAACATGCTGCTGCGGAACCCAGGCTTCTTCCCTTTGGGAGTGACACGTTTGTATATACATTCCCTTAGCCAGATGTTCGTATTGATGTTCCAAGAATCGAGGAGAACTTTGAAGTTCGAAGGGAGCTCGATCTCAAGAATTTTGACGTTGGCGGCACCTTCCCATGTGGATTCACCTGAAGGGCCATACCCAGTAAACCCTAATCCAGTCAAGATACTCGCACCCTAGTTGCCTGGGTTAGCATTGCGTCTACGACAGAACACGGGCCGCACCTCTGTGAGCGTCCAGATCGCATAGTACTTAGACCGCTCAATGAAGCCGGAAAATTGAAAATATACCATCCTTCACCCAAATACGTGAGAAAAGCATTTGATTGAACGCATTGAGACGGACCTATAGAGAAATCCTTGGGTCATGAACCACGGGGCGATCACGATGCCGTAGTGGAATGAAGGACTCAAAACCACAAAGATTCCCAAGAAGACCAAACCAGTCAACATCTTGCGGTATGCAACTCGCTTTCTGCCGTCTGGAATGGACCTTGTTGAACTGGGACTGCGCTTGCCTTCGAAGAGTGATTCGTCAATCAGGGACATGTATGACGCGAAGTCAAGATATGGCCCGACTAGAACACCCGGGAAATAAAAGCTGCACAAAAATTCGTCATCCGGAGACAAAACACATCGAATAAGACTCACGAATAACCAAGAAACTCGAGCAGTGTGGGATATTTCGTGACGCGTTTTTGTAATTGCCATTTGTCTAGATTCTGAATTTGTGTAATTAGAATTCAGGAGATTTTTCAGCGTGCAGTAGGGGCTTACTCCAGGAGCCGTTCTACCATCCCAGACATTCCAAGCAAAAGTCGTGAGTTTCATAGTCAGCACCATCTGAGGCCCTGTCACTTCGAACGTTTCATAGCTTAAGTTGTAAAATGCCCGTATAACGTGGCTTGGAACGGGTATACATCAGCCTCCCGTCCAAACGCGTCTTACTTGTATATCCCTTACTTGATTGTGAGATGACCCATGACGAAGCTGCGGAAAGTCCAGTGAGTAGGCATTTCCTAATTTAAGAGGGCAGGTAAACACACGCGAAAACTATCCACGGCATGTTGGGGCCTTTCACATTGGCCGCAATGTGATATGTTCCAAGAACACTCCCTAATAGCTGGACAAAGCCCCATGGCAGATTCAAAACTGGTATGAAAAAGAAAACCGAGACGAGCAAATTGAAGAGATGCTTGAGATTGGGCTGAGATGCTGGTATACGAATGAAGAGACTTCCTAGGGGACATGCTATTAGTAGACATGAGATGAGCTAGCATTTTTTTTCCAATCGAGTTAGCCCTATATGTATGAACCAAAATTGCTCCCAACCTTGATCTGGTCTACGGATGCACCGATGGCAGAGGCAAGAGGTACAAAGAGCGCATCCATGACTGGCAGGCCACAAGCTGGACGAGGAACAACCAAGCAACTTGAGAAACCAGCACTAGAGCCTTTTTGGAGCCAAGTATGTACTTGAAGCAATAGAGCGACCCAAAAGCGGCGTCCTTTCTATAAGTATTGCATGTATTCCCACGCCAACATCCGGCACTAATTAGAGTGCTGTTACTTAGTCTACGCACAACTAAGTGGAACAAACGTATTTACAACCAGCGCAAGGTTGAGTTTATCAACAATTTCCAGTCGTCCCTGTCTAAGATATATAACGATAAATACAGCGGACTGTGAAAAATGTACACGGCATAACCGCAAATTGAACTGTCACTGAAGATTTACCGTAAAGACCACCGAAGTCCTACGTGCCCCGTCCGACAGAACCCTCAAACGATCACTGCCGGCGTGAAAACCAGCGACGACCTTTCCATTGTGTCTTCTGCCGACGTTGCAAGTGGGGCATGCCTCTCGCGATAATGACCAGTTGGAGAAAAGTACGACGAATGTATCGACGTCCCAGCGTTCGGTGGAATGGGGGCAAGAATATTCAACTCCGAGTTATCGCTTGTGTGCAGCACACTGAGCCTTTCGCCAAATACTGCAAAGTGGTTGTTCGCTGCAGGTTCACTGGTCCTTGAAGAAACTGCGATAGACCCATCTGCAAAAGGGTCTGATAACACCTCACTCGTCGGCTCCGAACTGTCTTGAGAGCGGCATCTTGACCGCCATTCAGATACCCTTCCAACAAGTGGGGGAGCACGAGGGCGTCTTTCTAGTGTGGCTGGTGTTGCCGGTGGGGTTGGGTCTCGCAGCGACTGCTCTTGGTAATTCTGGTTCCCATGACCTGGCAGAGGCTGAGGGAGCAACTCAGCCTGCTGGCGCCGGCGAGAGCGGAATTCGTAGATTACCACGGCGAGGGCGACAAGAAAAATGACTCCAAAAACAAGTCCCAATATCAAGGGAAGAGATCTTTAATGAGAATAAGCAACAGTTTGTCAGACTAGATACGGGCAGATGCTCACCTGGGCTTAGATGTAGACGGAGCAGATGTGACAGTTCCAGTGGGCCAAGGTTGAACACTCCCAGGGCTAGTGCTCCCCAATGTCACCGTTGACGGAGCAGATGCGACAGTTCCAGTAGGCGAAGGTTGGACACTCCCAGGACTAGTGCTCCCCAATATCATTGTTGACGGAGTAGATGCGACATTTCCAGGGGACAAAGGTTGAACACTCCTAGAACTAGTGCTCCCCAATGTCACTGTTGACGGAGCAGATGCGACAGTTCCGGTGGGCGAAGGTTGGGTACTCCCAGGACTAGTGCTCCCCAACGTCACCATTGTGTCATAAGTCGATTCGGAGGTGATAGTCACCATCACCGAGACAGTAGCAGAGGTTGCGGAAGAAACTGGAGATGCGGCGTCATTGTCATTATTATTATTATTATGACCAGCACCATCACTATTTCCATCATCAGGCGTAGGTTGAGGAGAGTGACTTTTATCAGAATAATTTCTTCGTATGACCATAGCGCGCGATGTGGTACGGCTGTTGGTCGCAAACGAGGACGACAAAGATGATGTTGGAGCTGCAAGTACTCCCAGCGGAGATGGCAACGAAATCACCGTGTCGTAATTGATGGGATCATCAGTGAAAAGGGGGAATTGAGAGGGTATGTCAAAAAGCACATGACTAGAGGATGAAATGCGTGCCATAGCCACGACAGGTTGAGGACAAGTGATTCCAGAGTATCGCGACGAAGAAGGGGGTCTGCATTCCCTCCCCGGGGACGATAATGAGCCACGCTCAGATACAGATCCAGCCATTGCTTTTAGCTGAGACATGTTCAATCTTGTCTTGCCCAAATAGCGGGAGTGGGAAGAGAAAATGAATGTTGTGAACTAGCCGAGGGAGTGAGTGGGTAGCTCATGCTAGGTGTTATCAATACCGTTGTACTTATACGACGTTGTTGAAAACAGCTATAACACACAATAAACGAAGCGAGCCTGAGTAAGGCACAACAATTACGACAGAAACTTCGCAGGCTTCGACCCGAAACATATTTGTGGAGCTGGCCAAGTGAACGTTATCCGCATTCTGCTTTTCACCGAGATAAATGACTTACTGCGAGAGAACGCGGAGTTATCGATAAATTATTCGAGGACACAAGCTGCAGCCCTGGAGCTATCCCTAGATCGATGTCACAAATCAACGCGAATATATTGGTTGTCGATACAAGCATGGGAACCCAACTGGACAGGTGTCGCAGACCTAACGTCACTCTACCAAGTGCTGAATGCTGAATACAAAGCCAAGAGCTTCCTGTACAGTTATCATGATACAGGGGAGGACTTTAGCTAAACATTTCAACTCCAGATAAATATGAACGAAAAAATTTAATGAGACTGTAAACAAGTCAGTGCGGTCAAAGGTAACTTTGATATATGAGCGTCAGTAGATGCATGGGAAATTGGGGACACGGTGAAGAACCAAAATTGCATAGACTTTGTATCAAGGTTCATATATTGAAAAATGGCGGACCTGCCACATCTACCGATGCGCTGGTTGTGAAAAATCTTCGATTATGAAATTTCGCGCATCCCCGGCCACTGGTCCACTCCAAAAAGATTTGAGATCTGAAACAAATGAGTCCAAGAACGAGTTTTGGGCCTGATGATAATTCGTTTTGAGCGACGAGATATTATCAGAGGATGGGATGAAATCGAAGTGTGGACGGCGGACAGCAATGTGTACCAGAAGGTGGCAGATCAGAATGAAGAGAATGAGGGACACGATCATAGCGCTCCGAGCCTTCAGGGGCACCTGTGGCTGGAAAGGAGAATATTCGGAGATGCGCTCACGAAACGTAGGCTTAGGGGGCGGTTTTAAGAACGCTATGTAGTACTCAGGTGCGTCAGCCGATGGAGATGATGGGGTCACAATGATGGCTGGTAAAGGAGACTTTTCCGTGGCCAGCGGAAGAGATAGATCTGCAGAAATTTGATTAATGTTGTGACTTGAATTATGCATTCACACGCACCCAAAGGCGCGGGAATCAGGTTGTAGTCGAGACGCTGAGGGAGACGATGGATACGAGGAACTGTATGATGCGTTGGGTCTTCGCACGCGAGAACCTAGCGGTTAAAGACTCACCCCGACGAGTCATGTTGAAAGTGGGAATAGACTAGAAAGCAACGAAGTGAAATGCTTATTCTCGGTCTGGGCGAATAGATTCACAGGTTCGGGAATCTATGTTAAAGGGAATCGACGAAAAGACTGTGGATTGAAAAGAGCGTGGGTGTTTTGAAGAAGTCGAATAGAAAAACAGCTGCGGTAGAACAGGATCTAGGCGCTTGCAATTGCAAGGTGGTGGTAAAGAAATAAAGATATGGCGATGACGAGGGAATTTAGAAAGTTCGTAGTGAGGCTAGATAATCTGCTGACCTGCTGACGTGATCCTGGACTTGACACGTGATCTGGATGGATCTCCTTCAAGCTTTGAGTCTCGGAAACAACCTTACAAAACTGCAGTCATGTCGTTGCTCGAGTCTCCTTCATTCGAGACAATCTCTTCGGCAATAAAGTCCACCACTCACCCAGATGGAAGCTATGTTCTTGCACTGACATCGCTAGGGAATTACTATGTTTCTTCTGCTTCTGCTCCGTCAAATGCGATTCATCTTTTTGACAAGTCATTTTTGAAATGCGTCCAGACCCTCAAAGGTCATCAAAACGCCACCACAACCTTGCGAACAGTTAGAGGCATTGGAGGGTCCGATCGGCATATGCTTTTATCTGCTGGTAAGGATGGTTGCGTGATTGCTTGGGATGAACGTTCCGGCACTCCGACCATACAAAGTATGTTTTTCATACTTTACTAGTGGACCTTCATGTTTGACAACTCAAGAGTATTATTGGTAATCAGTGACGACATCTGGGAGATCTCGTACCGTTTTGTCTTGTGATGCCTCTCATGATGGCTTGACCGTTGCTGCGGGGACGGACCTGCAGAAGGAGGACGCATTTATACTCTACTGGTAGGTTCTGTTCTTCTTTATAAAGCTGTGATCTTCAACATGGGATTCAAGGGACCCTCGAAAACCAACTGTACCACTCCGTGTTCACGGCTCAACACATTCAGACGACATTACTGCAGTGCACTTTCTGAAAAATAGTCCATCTCCAACATCTGGACAGATCTTGCTATCAGCTTCCACCGATGGCCTGGTTAGCACTTCAAATTCTGCGGAAGACGATGAGGATGAAGCGGTTCTGAACGTCGGCAGTTGGGGTTGCAGCATATCTCAAGCAGGGTGGATTCGTGGCTCGTCCGCCAATCGCGTCTGGGCTGCAAGCGATATGGAGACATTTAGCTGCTGGTCAAACGAAGTACATTCCAACCACCCGTCGATCTACTTGTTCCTCATGATGCTGCACAAAGCTCGACATGTTACAAAACTGTGACATTCGCCACCCCTCCATTCATAGCCATGGGCGAACTTGGGTTACCGACTATCTGATAACATGTCACAATACAAAACGATCTGACAGCAATCTCGCTGTATTTGTTGGTTCAAATGAGTATGTGATATGTCATGACCGTAATGTGCAATTTAACATTTCCGCACAGGGGTGATGTGGCCCTTCTCTCAAGCTCAAATGTGTCAGACTCATCTGCACCGTGGACAATAAATTCAGCATGGGCCAATGGTCACACTGGAGTGGTCCGTTCAGTCCTCTGGGACGAAGCCGTACGTTTTCTTGGTGCAGTGATATCTAGTGCTTACCCGCAACACAGCATGAAATTCTTGTTACGGGAGGCGAGGATTCAAAAATAAGTACATGGCGTTGTCCTCTTCCCGGACAGTTTTCGAGGTTCGATAAATCTGTGCAAGATGAAAATGCGATGGATATGGACTCCACTATTCTGAAAAGAGAACGAGATGACGAGATGGATATTAGCGAGAGTGAGCCAGTAAGGATATTTCTATCGACGACCTTCTAAAGTTTGCTCATCATGAACTGCCTTACTAGGAGGGTAAAAAAGTAAAGCGGCAATCGTGAACGTGAACTAGTGGCGGAGCGGAGACTTGGATATCGTTGAAGCGGTGCCAGTCAGCCCTTAACCGATTAACGATTATCAAAGGCACAGCGCATGCGCCCACCGTTCGTATCTACCCTCTGAAAAATTTATGCGACTATTTTCAGCCTAACTCACAAGACCTGAGATGGTAGCATTTGTTTACATTATGCCGCGTTCCTGGTCAGGGTCCCGGAAGCATGTGCTACAACAGTTAATCAGTTTTTCGATCGATCGCTGCAAGTACCGTATGATTCCAAAACTCGCACAGCAAATGTCATCAAGGTCCCCGGCGTACATTTCTCCGCTCACAACAGTCATGTTCGGTGTGTTGAAAGCACTGTCTAGAGTTGCCGGTGATCTGCCTCGAGGACTCGGCACGAGCAGTATTAGTCAAACTTCATGATTTTCCTGCCGGCAATTTTGAACTTTTTGGAGCGAGAACTCGAGAACCCGCTACGTAATCGGGTCCGTTTTATCCTATACTGTGGCATCCAACCGGATTGGGGCTGCGATCAAGCAGTGACCACATATGTTCGCCTCGCGGCTGAGCCTTTATTTTTCGCGTACCGAGCCTTAAAGCTGGTTCTGCTTCATGTCATGCCACGGATATTTCCAGCCGTTCATGTTGGACACGACCTTCATTTCTGTGTCTGCTCGGCAAGCTTGTTGGTGACTACGACTCGTTTCTTGGGCTGTTTACTCATGAATATATGCCAATCAGTGAACATTGGGAAACAATCACGAGCTGCAGCACTGGGACTTCTCATTTATGAACACAGTAAGGAGTTTTTTCGATGCATTTTACTTGCTGACTCTCATTTCTGGCAGTCATTACCATCGAGGACGAGGTAGAGTGTCAATCTGATTCCAGCCACTGCAGTTGTTAAAGTACGACTTCGTAGATTGATCTGGTCTGGTTGAAGAGGAAAAGTTGGGTGACATATCTCTATCATTTTGTGAGTTTACATAATAAAGAAGAATATGCACTACGTTGATGCGCTCCCGAGAGCCGCTGGCTTCCAGCAGTATGGCTCACATTTGACACGAGTGAGTGGGAAGTATCAATCACTGCTGATTCTGTTGACTAGCATTCAAAGCACGACAAAACTCATATGACGTGGTATCATCCAAAGTAATTCTTATGACATACCCTTTTCACCGTCTTACGCTAACCATTCATCAAGCCGTATGTTCTTGTTACTATGGCATCCATCAGGTTGACTTCCTCTGGCCTAGTTGCGTCACCTACATGTTATGCAATAACATCGTGTAAGTCGCGGGTTGCTTTCTCTTGATGTCTTACTCATGATTCGACAGTGCACTCCTTATGACTATTTCCGTTCAAAGTAAGTATACAGCCCATGCACAACTATCACCCATTGAACCTTCGTTTGTTTCAGCAATACTGCAGCTTAGAGCGAGTCCAGCGGTTTCACACGAAAAGTCGACAACTAACATCTTTCAAGGTGTGGGCAATTTATAACCGAAGTCGCAAGGTACTTTCTTGGATGATTGTCCTGAATATAGTTGAGGTCGCAGCGATGGCGCTCCTCATTGGCTTGACAATCGCCCGCGTGGAAAGTGAGTCTGGCAATTTTCATTAGAATCGATTGAATGGACCGCTGCCAGGGTTTCCGGTAGTTTCCACACCAGCGGGCTGTCTCTTTGAGGGTCTTGCCCCCCTCTCTGCGATCTTTTGGACGCCAGCGTTGATTCTTGAACCTATCATTTGTATACTCGTCCTCAAAAAAGTTTTCCTTGACCGACACCAACGCAGTGAACTTGCAACATTTCTGGCCCGCGATAGGTTGGTAGTTGTTGTCTTTTATAAGATATGCTGACGACCACTAAAGCTTATTATACTTTCTCGTGTACGTTCGTCAGTTTCTAGGTGGCTGTTACGGTTTACCTGACTTTTTACCATCTACAGAATATTCATGGAACTCGTTGGGTCGACTATTGTCTGGGCTCGGTATCCCTCCTATATCGACCTCTTCATGCCGTGGGTCTCTGTGATCTCCCCGGGTGTTACATTTCTAAGACAAATTGGCAGTTGGTCTATCGCTTTGCCGTCCTTGCTCTGCAACCGTCTTCTGCTCAACATGAGAGGTCGCTTTGCTAGGGAGCCTGAGCCTGTGCACTCCTCATTGTTGATTGAACTCGCGACCCTCCGAACCAGCGGGGATTCATCGAGAGTGCCAGACGAAGAGTAAAAGATGGTGCTGTAATTTTATACCCCAGCATGGATTCAACTTGTATGATATCTTTGTTTACGGTCCCTGTTAGTGTAACGTACGTTGTGGCTTAGCACGAGCGCTATGTGTTGTTGTGAGTTTATTCTTTGTCGTTGTCTTGATCGTGAAACATTGTCGGCCTCACCAAGTTTAACGCTCACATGTTGTTACGACTGATAACTTCCTCGGACCTTGCTATGTTGGGCCAACTGTCTGCGTTGCAGTGACAATGATCTCACTGATCTAAGAGGATCTAAGGCGTCTTTACGTTATATTTCTGGCCCAAGCCCGATATAACTTGCCCTGGATCCTTATCAGATTTAATACGCAATTTTCAGCTGAACTAACTCTTATTAGCGATGTATGTAGGCAAGGCGTCTCTCAGTTTCTATGAGGGGGTAGCAGCTGGTGAGTCCCTTCATTAAAAATTTCAGATGAAGCCCTGAACCAGTCACATGGACCAGGTCGCCATCAAGTTGTCAGCGGCGAACACAATGGTTCTAGTCGGTGGCGAAGATCCGAGAAGAATTTTACAAGGCACTGCGACGTTTTCGGTCAGACATCATCATGTAGCGTATTCGGAAAGCGTGTCACAAGGGCAAGGCTACAGACACCACCGTGTGCCATGGAAAGCGTGTCACATTCAAGATATCAATCATTTCGTCTTGAATGTAAGCCTCATGACCAGTACACATGCCCACGATGACTCGGAGAATTTGAAAACAATGGGTGGCATTTCAATGACAACATATAAGAACCCGTCAGTCATATTCCCAGCCTCTTTGAACTTTTTTATTTTGAGCTGCCTTTTTCCTTCGTTTTCCTTCGCTTTGTTGCAGCGTTTGGTACCGTCGCAGTTGAAGCTTCCTGTGAGTAACTGTTCAAAGTGATTGCAGACAGACGCAAATTTACCTGGCTCCATCTAGCGTTTACATGCGAGAATAAAGTTATCGTCTCATCTTCTTTCACTGGGAAGAACTCAGATGTTCAGGTCGGCACATTAGCTTGCTCAAATATCATTGCAAAGCGTAACCAATTATCGCACGCCAGACAAATATCTGCGCTGGTACCTGTGCGTTGTGTTCAATGCTCTTGTCTTCCGGACCTTTCCAAGTTGTTTCATCGCATTCAAAGTGCTACCAACTGCTTCATCCCCTTTCGTGGTGGTCCAAACCTTTACGATCGCCAAGTCATCTCGGGCGCTCTCTTGTATGATAGTCAGAAGCATCGGTGAATAGTGCTCGCGTCTTTCGGTTTAATGGCATGTAATTTGCAGGAGCATTTTTTAATATCGCAGTACGTCAAACGTGGTCTCTTGGGGGTCTGCGCTGGTACTTTGAGGTAGATTGGATTCACTATCTATATGCAGTATTCAACTTGCCAGACGTTCTTCGTGAACCGGGCCAGCTACAACGAGACGTAGTGCAGAATCAACTTGGCAAGACTTCTCTCGTGAGACGTGCTTGATTTTGGTGTCTGACTCAAACACGTCGTTTAACATGTCGCATTTAGCTGCCAGTCAACGCAGAATACTCATGGCAGGCAATTGAACCCCTCCTGATTAGACCTGGTTTGTCCGGTAAGTACTTGATATCACCAGTAGCTCGCCTGATCGGCTAATCAAAAATTCCAGAGTGCAGACAACACTCTGAAGCTGAATAGTAAAGACCTGATTTACAGGTTTCGTAGTCACGCTTGTAATTTTATTTAGGTCATTCGAGTTCTGTTGATGAGTGACATACAGCGCTCTTTTCCGGATCCCAGCGGCTTTCACGTACCGTGATTTGTGTTATGGTGATCTGAGACCGAAGCTTATACTCTACAACAAAGGCGATACTACATGTAAGTTGCCACTATATGATGGATGGATAATGATGCAACAGACGAGAGTGATAGACACAACGGGGTATGAGGGAACGTTGGCGCCGAAGCTGTCAGAAAAGGTCTTCAAGCGTCATCTGCTTGACAATATCCTAAGGTAAAGAGTGAGCATCAGCAGTGAAGCAAGGGAAATGTTTCCAACCGTGTTTGACACCATCTGGGCAAACTCTTCGAAGCTAAGTTTTCCATCACGATCTAGATCGCCCTCCATGATCGTCTTGTCAACAATCTGCTGCAGTTGTTGATCCTGTTTCAAAAGAAAAGGTTACAAAGAGCTCCAAATCATTGGGCAAGCGCATAGACCTTGAGATTGTTCCCGACCATCATTTTCAACACCAGAAACAGCTCTCCATTGGAAATGAAACCATCTCGATCCACATCATAAACCTTGAATGCGACTTGATATCATGATATGAGGTCATACTGATGAACCAAAATGGGAGACGCACATCGTAGCTTCTCTTCTCGCCCTCCTCGACTGCTAAATGCGCTCAACCCACCCACAAATTCCTGAAAATCCACAGTCCCTCCTCCACTGCGCAAGAATTAAATTATGACTCGACCACGGAAATTTGTGAACGCACTCTTCATCAAAGATGGCAATCATCCTTGAGGCTAATGGGTTGGTAGCTATTTGAGGTATTTGTAGAAATTCTTCGCGATCTATGGAGCCCGAGCCATCGCTGTATATGCATTATGAGATCGGTAGCAATGCATGGTCAATTAAAGAGATGATATAAACCTGTCTAGCTTCATAAAGCGTTTCTTCAATCTTTCAAGCTCAGCGGATGTGACTGTACAGCACGGTCAAATGAGTATCGCAGAACAGAACAGAAGTCGTATGGAACGTAGAACGCACAGTTAGACCGCTTCTGCATGTCCTCCATAAACTGTGATGCTGTTCATCGCGGGGTGAATAGAAGATGAATGCGTTATGGGGAGATACGAACGTGTTTGACCCATGGCTCCTGATTAAACTGGGCAACCTATGTGATTGTATAACAAGGGTGGGATTAGTCGGTTTAGTTAGATCTTGTGCTAGGCGATGAGAGGCAAGGGCAAGCTGTAGTCGTGGAAATTATGATAAGCCTTTGTAGCGCGTCTATCATCGTACTGGTCGTGACTGACGGCGAGCTAGAATTCGAGGGCAGTGAATGTTGCGGCAATGGCGAGCCAGTATCATTCAGAAAGCTGTAAAGGATTCACGGAGACAGCGGAGACAGGTTCAATTTCGGGAAAATAACTCCCTGCTGATCCCAAACCTTGCATCAGTCGTTCTACATAGAAGTTCCTCCTGGAATTGCAGATTACATCGCCCCAACAGGTCGTCGTCGCGGTTTGATGCTACTGGGTATGCCAGTCGTACTCATACAACTTTCTCCGCCAAGTCTGAGCCCACGCTCTCTGATGCGCAGCGTAGGACTATATACGCACTCTCCACTCCACCTGGGAAAGCAGGTATAGCTATCATTCGGGTTTCTGGACCCGACGCCCTTGACGTCTGGCGACGGGTAACACGCAAAAAAAAGTCTGGGGATACACCGACACCACGGATACTCCAGCGCAGACACGTCATCGACCCAGAGACCGAAGAGAGACTCGATGACAGCTTGACCGTCTTCTTCAAGGGTGAGTTCTGATTGTTTGCTGTAGGTTGCCGGATATTTGATCATGTACATTAGGTCCAAAATCATTTACTACGGAAGATACTCTTGAGCTTCACATCCACTCTGGGCGCGCAGTGCTCTCTGCAGTGTTACGTGCACTTGCTAAACTACCATATTGTCGGCCTGCTGTCCCAGGCGAGTTTACGAGACGTGCCTTCGAGGGTGGCCGACTTGATCTCACCCAAGTCGAGGGCCTGCGCGACCTGGTAAATGCTGAAACAGAAGCCCAAAGAAGGATTGCTGTCAGCGGAGCTGAGGTAGGCGTTATTACTGATTTCGGGACTTACAACTTACCCCAAATGTTCCTAGGGGAATGCGAGAGCGCGATATGTTGCACTGAGGTCACAAATCCTGGAATGTCTGGTTTTTGTTGAAGGTTTTATTGATTTTGGCGAGGACGTGGATGATCTTGGTCAGGACGCGATGATTAGAGAAGGTAGGTTCTCTACAGGCTCATTTGCAATTTTATCTGAAGCGGTATTAGCTCATGATCGTGCGTTGAATATCATCAACTGCATTCGATCTCACTTGGATGACAACCGCCGTGGGGAGATTCTGCGCTCTGGAATAAAACTGGCGATATTTGGACCTCCGAATGCTGGCAAGAGTAGCTTATTCAATTTTCTCGGTATGTCACTTAAGCCACATTCTTTGACACCTTAATTCGAATCCTTGATTGTAGCTCAGCGTGATGCGGCCATTACATCACCCATTCCAGGAACTACGCGGGACGTGCTCACGCTCACTTTAGACATTGGAGGTTTCCCGGTTGTTCTGAGCGACACTGCTGGCCTGCGAGAAACATCGGATACTGTAGAACAAGTAGGAGTGGGTCGTGCAGGCAACGCGTATGTGCAAGTCATAATACGCTATATCTTTTTGTTAACGGTTCGTTCAGTGTTAAGGAGGCTGATCTGTCTCTCTGTGTTCTATCTCTTCCTGATGTGTTATCCCCTCTGGACAATGCCATGGTTCGAGTCCCGGATGAGGTTAAGAGCCACCTGAAACCAGGTACCCTTTTCTTGTTGAACAAGTCCGATACTGTCGCAAACCTTCCTGCCAACCAGTCTCTCACTTTCGTGAAGTATGACGATAGCTACGATAACAGCAAACGACCCCAGTTTTGGACAGCGAGTCTTCGCACATCCGAGGGTACCCAATCGTTTCTAGATGGTCTCGCACAGGTTTTACGATCAAGGTACTTTACACAGTTTGATATCTACTGGCTGGATGGACGTCCTGACATTTCTTAATAGATACAGCGATGGTTTCGATTACACAAGCCCACTCATCACGCATGCTCGTCATAGAGATTTTCTTGAGCAAGCTGTCATGCACTTGGAAGAGTTCATTGCCTTCTGTAAGTATATTCGTTATGCTTCATTGATGCATCATACCAATATCTGCTCGGCCTCACAGCTCCTTCGGAAGTGGACATTGCCGCAGAGTCCCTACGTTATGCAGCTCGTGCGATTGGTTCGGTTTCTGGACTAGATGTCGGCGTCGAGGAAGTCTTGGGCGGAATATTCAGTTCGTTTTGCGTTGGCAAATAATTGCTGATCTCATGTGATTCTACTGTCAATGCATGATGTTCTGTGACTCGTAGACGTCCGTCTCGACTAGTCTTAGCCAGGTGGTAAGCGTGATAGGACAGACATCTGTTGCAGGTTCGAAACCTGCTAAACAGACTTTTTCCTTTTATTATGCCTTGACACACGTAGATGGATCTTTCAAGATCCGCCTGTGGTCGTAGAAATCTGTTCCTCTTGGGCGGTGCGGATTCAAAACCTGCCGACGAATGATCTCCCCTCTCATCATACCTTGACATACACTCATGGATAGTTTTTCGGAGGTTCATATCAACTTGGGAAGCGTCTTTGCCAAAGTGCTTACCACCACAGACTCGAAATCTGTTTCTCTGGGACTGCGCAGGTTCGAAACCTGACAACAGAAAGGTTTTCTTTTCTCTCGGAGCACATCTTGACATTCACTCATGGATGGTTTCCTCGTAGGTTGACCTTAACTGGTCTAAGTGAAGTGGTTGCTACAACAGAATCAAAATCTGCTTCCCTTCGACTGCGCAGGTTTGAAACCTGCCGATGACAAGGTTTTTTTTCTATCAGAACGCACCGTGACATTCACTCATGGATGGTTTCCTCAGAGGTTACCTTAACTGCTCAAGTGAAGCGGTTGCCACAAGAGAGTCAAAATCTGTTTCTCTCCGACTGCGCAGGTTCGAAACCTGATGGCAATAAGGTTTTCTTTTCTCTCGGAGCACGCCCTGACATTCACTTGTGGATAGTTTCCTCGCAGGTTCATCTCAGCCGGTCTTAGCCAAGTGGGCGCCACAACAGAGCCGAAATCTGTTTCTCTTGGACTGTGCAGGTTCGAAACCTGCTGATAACATGGTTTTTTGCTATCGGAAAGACCCACCTAAAGATTCACTCGTGGATGGTTTCCTCGGAGATCTTAGCTTGTCTTAGTCAAGTGGTTAACACAACAGAATCAAAATCTGTCTCTCTTGGACTGCGCAGGTTTGAAGCCTGCCGACAATAGGTTTTCTCTGTCAGAAACACGCCTTGAAGATTTACTCATAAACAGTTCCTCGGATGTACATCTCAACTTCGTCCTGATCAAAATGGTTACCACAACAGAATCAAAATCTGTTTCTCTTGGACTGTGCAAGTTCAAAACCCGCCAACGACAAGATGTTTTACTATTGAAACCCACCTTGAAGATTCATTCATGGACAGTTGCTCAGAGGATCTTCTCAATTGGTCTTAGCCTAGTGGTTACCGCAACAGACTCCAAATATGTTTCTCTTGGACTTGGCAGGTTCAAAGCCCGCAGACCACACAGTTTTTTGTTATTGGAACTCACCTCGAAGATTCACTCATGGACAGTTCCTCGGAGGCTCTTCTCAACTGGTCTTAGCCTAGTGGTTACCGCAACAGACTCAAAATCTGTTTCTCTTGGCCAGTGCAGGTTTGAAACCTGCTGACAACAGTTTTTTTCCTATCGCAAACACGCCTTGAAGATCCACTCGTGGACAGCTCCTCGGTGGCTAGCTGGGGGCTTATCATAACAGAATCAATATCTGTCGAACTTGTTTTTTTTCCCGATCGGAATTGAACCTCCGAGGACCTCGGAGGTTCATCTCAATTGGTCCTAGTCAAGTGATAACCACGAAAGAAACACACTCTGACGGTGACTATGTCATGGATGATTTCCTTGGAGGTCCATTTAATTGGTGTTAGCCAAGTGGTCACCACAACAGAGTCAAAATCTGTTTCCCTTGGAGTTGGTTCGAAACCAGCTGGCAACATTTTTGCGGTGTATAGATCCTCGGAGGTCCTTAACTAGGCCTGGTCTTTGCGCCGATACCTCCTTTTTTATGTGATAGTCTGTCCATGAAAGGAATTCACCTTCACGCCTCGCGAGGGTTGTTTCAGACACATGAGATATATCCCCGAGGTGCATATGTGCCAACCTAGATCGATCCAGAGTGTCAGAGATTGGTGCTAGGTACCACTGCAATATCCGCTGGCCCGTCACTGACTCGATTACATGGGTTTTCCCATAGCTCGGTAACTTACTGTCTCGCCGTCTCAGCACCTCTCATCTTCAAAATGACCACAGTGCAGTCGGTGCGGATGCACAGCAAACGGAATGCTGCAGTATTGGCAGTTCCACCTTACATCTTCCTTGGACCTTATACGTCTGCATCGAGATCTTTCATTGATTCAACAGGCATTACCCACATTATTAGCATCGGCAGGGCGCCTGTTTGTCCCAACCATCCTCATGTCCAATACCACCGCCTGCAACTCTTGGACAAAGATATATCCTCCATCTACACGGCTATTGATAGAGCCAACCAGGTCATCGCTGATGCCAGGAACAGCGGAGGGAAGGTTCTCGTGCACTGTGTCGCAGGGGTGTCCCGCTCTCCGACAATTATCGCAGCATACCTTATCTCGAGATGTTCTATGTCGTTGAAGGACGCACTTGGGCTGCTCGTGCGCGCGAGGCCTGTCGTGTGTCCTAGACCAGGGTTTATCGCGCAGTTAAAGGACCTGGAGTTAAGGGTGAGAGGACATTGTTCACTCGATGTGGACGTTCTTCCTGGCTCGAGGGAGGCGCGTTTGGCACTCCTTGAGGGTTGATCAAAGGTTGATCGGCAACTGTATGTTCTTAAATGTACCTGCAAGGCCATAGCCTCAACTATACCCATTAGGGTGAAACTTGTCTCGCCTTCATTATGCAGCGCCTCGTAGTAGTCGGCCTAGCCAAGTGCACCTTTCGGGTTCGCTCGCGCAGCTATTTACATATCTCACTCTGACGTGCTATAACCGTTCGCCAGGTTGGCGGTTCCCATACTACGTTTGTGACGAGAAAGTGTTATTCATCCCATGAGAACGTACAACTGTAATAATACTAGAGATTATTTGTTCGGTACCCAACTGCAACAGGATTCACGACACTATTTAGGCTGGAACCATCGTAAATAGCCATCAGGGACCTAATTGTGCTTCGGCGCCGGCCAGAACGCTTCTGCTGGAACGATCAGAACGTGGGTCATAACTTGATGATGAATTCATCGACAGAAGGTTCTTATTGGAGGAGAAACGGGATCCGATGGATGCTCTCGTGGATAAAGTGGAATAGGGAAGACGGCCCGCATTTCTGCCCAGAAATCCAGGAGCGGGAAGCTGCCGCCTACCGCCGCTGAGCTGAGCGAATTAGGCAACGCGAACAATCTGGCTTTCATAGATCTGTAGATGAACACACAGGAAGACGCAAACCCAAGGGACGGCCAAGAATAAACAAGACGGCCTTTGTCTAGTCCGCGGGAAATGATATTTGCCAGTTCCTGGGGGTTCAAGATGGGGGGACAGCCTTGCCATGAGCCGTACAAACAAAGTGCCGGTTAACTCAGCCACACGTATGAGTCACCATATACGCAACAACGTACCGAACATATGCCCCAGAACTTGAGAAGGTTAAGTACTTAGTACATGCCGAGCATAGTCGACATGAGAAGATTAATTTCCCGTAAGTCTAAGTCTGGACAAGAAAAGAACAGTGCACACATCACTTGGCGTGATGCAAGAGTTTTCCTGCGGAGGAAGGCGAATGATCTCACAAAGTCTGGAAGATATTCCTAGGAGATGAGTTACACATGCCTGCTATGTTGTCTCGGAGTCTCGGAGCACTGAATAACGCGAGTTTGGAACGGAGCATGACGGGTAAGCTAGGAAAGACGGACCGGAAGAAACCGAAAGATTGGTTACCCTTGTATGGAATTAGTTACCACGTGTTTTCGAATTAATGATTTATACTCCTGACAAGGCTCTGCATGACGGCTCTGTTCATCCCTCCTCCGTTGTCTTCCGCCACACGCACAAAGGCTCTTCACCATGAGCGTGTCTGTAGATGACCTTGTAGCCTCCCTCAATGCGAATCACATTGGTCAAGAGGCTATTGACCTTGCAGCTCTCCAGGTACGTACCATAAACCTTATTTCCCCTGCCCCACAAATGCTTATCTGGCCGTGTCGTGCGACTCGTGGCACCGCAATTTTCAGGCGCAGCTCGCGCAGACGTTATTCGCGCATCAGATTTCACCCTCTTGTGCATCGTCTAGCTCGCCCAACTCGTATGGAAATGCGAGCGCGATTAGGTGTGACCCCACACACGTGCAGCACTGCACCACACCTACTACGCGCACACCTTCTTCATCTATCTCGTGGCCTGCAGGTTATATTCCCGTAGAAATAACTCAGAAGAAGCGCAGTAACAGCATTGTCTGTCCGCGTTCCCGTCGACCAAGTGTAGACGAGGGATGGTGTGACCCAGACGAGCTGGACGAAGAACGCATGGTTGAGGATATGATAGTTCCATCCTCCCCACAGTCTCCAAAAACCTTCATTTGGGGATACACGGGGTTGAAAGGCGCACCAACCCCTGCGCCCACGCCTATGACAATTGTCGGCACGCCGGTTGAATCGCAATCTCTATTTACCACCACAGATCCATTCTATCTACAAGCCTCTCAAGCAAATGCGACCCCACAGCCACCCTCGTCATTTTTCACAAATGCAGGCCGCCCATCTAATCACTCGCCTTTTATGAGGAGCAATTGGGAAAGTGCCCCTACCCAATCCGCTGCCTGGGATCGCTGAGCTCTGGGGTTGCGTTTAAGCTTTCCCCTGTCTCTTGAACATTACTTGAACATATATCTGCCCACAACCCTTTCTCAGCCACTCACATCTTGCCATGTACATTTTATGTCGCCAATGCGTGCCTCACCACTTCCCTGTTCTGCGCCCTCGTCCATGTGCGGACTACGTCGTGATTATTTAACCCAAACCACCGAGGAACCTTCTGCTTTGCAGGAAATGAGGCATCAAACGAATTTTTGATCTGGCATCGCCGCATCGGCCCGATATCGAGCATTGTGGTTATAGTGGGCTGGGTTCTGGGCAATTGTTTTCGCCGTTGCGTGGAAGTGTTTTGTGGAGTTGATCCTGGCAGATTTTCACCCAGACGCGCTTTTCACGCAGCCATATCTTTGGTTTTCTGTTGTGTACCTACATATCGCTACTGGATTACGGACATTCTGGGTTGATCTATAGTAATTTACAACGGATTGTTCCAAGAAAGAATCAGGGGTTATTTGTCTGATGTGGCTAAAGAACTCCTGCCAACAAGACTATTAAAGAGTGCAGAATCAAATGTTATGAGCTGTTGATATTCTTCCTGGATATGAATATCATAATGAGAATCACCAATGAGACACGCGGGTAGATATCATACCTGAATGATGCTTGGGCATACTTCTGCTAGCTTAATATAGGTCATTCGAAGAAGAGCTTTGTATTCCAGTGCCAGGCTACTTGCACCTGGATACCAATAATTACGAAGAAACTCAGACAAGGGTAAATTGCTTACCTGTCTCATCCGCAAGTTGGATATGACCTTCATATTCAATATCCATAGTACTTGCCCATGCACGTCCAATTGCATCAATGATATTGAATTTCCACAGATACATTCGGGGGGCACAGGTTTCAATGCAAGTACATAGTGCGCGGAGTGAAGATACCTTGAGCCTCAGATCAACATCAAGCGGCCGGGTGAAGGAAGGAACAGCTGGCGGGAGAAGAGCATGGGTCAACTGTGGAATTAATGCCTAGAAACGAGCAGCCATTGCAAGTTATTTGCGTAAGTTAGAGTTGGCTTGGTAAAGGCACACCTTGAGCCACCTGGCAGCGCCTATTCCGATGTGGATAAGTACAAGCGGAAGCATGTCTGTTGCTGCGAGGACGGTCTCAGGATCGGCATATGCATAGAGGAAGACAGTGCCAATAAGGCAGGAACCGAGCAGTGTGGATAGATGTTCATATCGGGTGGCCGGATTTGCGGGGGAGGTCCCTGATTTAACTATGGAGCGGCCTTTGGAGGGAAATCCAGATGTCGGAGGAAGCGGAGCCAGTGAGGGTGGTGAGGTAAGGTCAATCAGGTGCAAGGTGGTAGGAACGGCGGCGCGAATCAGATCCGGGGTGAACGGATCGCGCAGGTGATTAAATGTACCGCTTAAAGACTGCATTAAATAATTTCAGTATTCAAGGCAAATAGAATTTACGAGACAGCAGGGAAGAGGATGATAGGACGCATCGTATTAGTTCAAATTTAATCCTGACGCACTGTGAATAAAAGGCCGTCAACTCCTGTACGCTTGAGAAGCTCTGGAGGAACGCGAGAAAGCAAGTCGGATACGAGCTGCACTCCCCGCAGTTTGTAAGGTGCTTCAAAATCATCGAGGTAGGTCATCACAGGAGGGAGAATCAGGTGCCAAATCGATTCATACGTGCTGGCCTACGTAATTGATATAAGTTTTTGGGCTTTATTTATCTGCTGCACGTACTTCAATGTTTCGTAAACACCACCCTAGAACATTTCCAGTTCCGATACGCGTCTTCCATACCTGTCCTTCATATGCGTCTTGCGTATCCGCTGGCTGAGGTAACTTGCGCCCTGTTTGCAAATTAAGCCGTGGATGGGGATTGGCAGCGAAAGTAGGTTTGAGGTGATACGTCAGGATACGCGTTAGTACCAGAGGAGGGATGTCTGGTTCTGTAAGCGGGTTGAGGATGGCTGCGACAAGAGTGAGACACCGTCAAGGTAGCAAAGTCATAAAGGGGTCATACATAGTGCGAGAGATGATGCGTCATCTGCGATCCATTCACCAGGACCATCAAACATAGCTACTGATGTAGCAATATCTGCCTGCTCGTCGACAGGTAGGCTTTGGATGCCATGTCGCGTTGCGAGTAGATCGCAAAGGCTTGTGAGGCTAGCACTAACACCGTTTTTCCACTTGATGAGTTGAGCAAGGATTTGTTCATCTGTGAGCTTGTCAAAGCGAGAGAATTCTTGAGGAATGACAAGGGCCGCAAGTAGATTGGGAAGTGTTGAAGAGCTCATTGCCGTTCGATGATCGCTGTTTGGAGAACGGACGCGACGTGACAGTTCAACGTGACTTATAACTAGCACCAACTCCTTCCCGCTCAAACATCACTGAGAGCTCGGAACTGTCGTCTGGACAAAATTAAACATGAACGCTTCCTTACTCAGTATGCTTGCGCATCGTTTTCGATAATGTATACTGAGCCATCATACTAAGACCCATTTACTGTCACGCACCCGACCGCTGTACAAACCTCACTGGTCTCTGGTGCATCATTTGCTCGGTTTGATCCCACTGGCAAATTCGTCGCAGCAGGTCGGTCAGATGGCTCAGCTGCTATTTGGGATCTTGACACCCGTGCTGTTATTCGGTGGTGTGAAGGTCACGTCAAGGCTGTAACAAGCGTCGAGTGAGTAACGCAGCATTTCTCAACCTCCGTGTCAATTGATCGCATCTACATAGCTGGTCTCGCAACTCCCGCTATGTCCTGACGTCGTCCAAAGACTGGAACGTAATTATCTGGGATCTAGCTTCTCCAGTGGATCCTCCACAACGGTACAATACGATACGATTTGATGCACCAGTTGTTAGCGCATATTTTCATCCAAGAAATAGGTGCGCCTTGGTTCTTTGTTTCTGTTCTCATAGGTTTACAGTAAATGCAAGCGTAGTCGCATAGTACTCGCACTGCTCAGCACGGGCGAGGCGTACGTGGTTGATTCGCGCAAGGAGCACAGAGCGAGAGTGGAGCTGTGCGAGACCTTGAGTGAAGATGACGACGACGAACGGGCGCGGTATTTGGCTTGGTTTCTGCTTTACGACCTGCACTGACGTATAGAGTCAGTTCCATTATGACTACCGCGCGATTTGATCCATCTGGCAGACACGTATTTGTCGGGACTTCGACCGGGAACGTACTTGTGTTTAATAGCAGAACGAAAATTGTAAGGATTCCCACTGATATCCTATCATGGAAATCGGATCTAATAGCATCAAAGATGGTCGCACGGCATCGCATAGCAGGTGCAGGTAGCATGAAGAGTCTGGAGTTTGCGAAGGTTGGGCGGTAGGTGCCCTGTTCTCCGATATATTCATTCTATTTACGCTACGTTCTTTAGACGCTTTGCTACCAATTCCTCGGATCGCACCATTAGGCAGTTCATCCTCCCCACTTATCCTTCGCCTATCATGGGTGCCGAATGCGCGGTTTTAGAAACAGAATTGGAACCTACTCATAGATTCAATGATCCCATCAATAAGGTCTCGTGGCACGCCATGTGTTATAGCCCTGATGGAGAGTGGCTCGCTGGAGGTAAATTGCTCCACATCATTGTCGACTTGACTTGAACCATGTGTGCGAGGACAGGGGCGGCAGATCCAGCGACGCACAAAATCTACATCTGGGATATTTCAAACGATGGTCAATTTGCGACTGCTTTGGACGGCGGTAGGGAACCTCTTATTGATATTCATGTACGTCCCCTCGGTCATGATACTGGGTACCGCAAAATCATGATTTTTTTCAGTGGCATCCAGGAGCCTCTCGACTTGCCTCAACAACTAACCAAGGTTCTGTACTCATTTGGCATTGTCCCTCTCCAGAGCGGTGGGGTGCATTTGCCGGCGGCTTCGAAGAAGCAGATGAGAATGTGATGTATGAGGAGGGAGAATCAGAATTTGACATTGTAAGCTGCACTTTGCACTCTTATCCCCCTCTTTTGCCAACGATGACTAGGAGAATGAAGTTGAACTCGCCATGCGCAAAAAACTCCAGGAAGATGAGGCTGTTGACATATTAGGTGGTGTTGACGACCTTGTTGATCACAAGATGAATGGGGTTGCGGGAGATCCTGGTGATGAGGACCTTGAATGGGCTGATGACGAGCCGGATGATGATTGGCAAGGATGGAGATTAAAGGTGATCATGGTTGATGACGACGATGCTTACTAGCCCATTGGATTGAATTGTTTTGCTTATTGATTATTAGGATAGCCTTGTACTGATCCTGATTGTGAAGAGGACCTCAATTACCTCGGCTGATAACACTAGTGTTATTTCCTGAATGTATGATATTTTTCAAAGGCTACGGCGATGCAAGTCTTATATCTGGTACGCCCCTGATGTTCAAGCAATCGAATAAAAAGCAGGTCAAGCAGACTGGGAAGAGCCGTTACTATAGCACCTCTATCATCTCCGTGAAGCTGGTTGAATAGACTAGACTCGATATCGTCATCGTTTATCGGGGAACTATAGTTGAGTACATCTTAAGAACTGTTCAGCCTTGTTCGAGTAACTCGCAACTGTGCGGCATCTATGATGAAATCGACCCATTGGGTTGTATCGGAATAGCTATAGTTCCGCATTGATCAATTGACCCCTGACCCAAGTCAACAACACTCGACATTTGCTGATTGGCAGCTTCACCTATGATCCCACCTCCTAGATTTCGGACCTGAGGTCAGAAGCATCTATGATAACCTGTCCTATAAATATTAAGCAACTATGAAGTAACAGGGTAGCTACCTATCATCCACCATATGTAAGGACAAAACAGTCAGTTCTGCAGAAGCAATCCGCATGATGCAGCTTCACCTAAGCTTCCAGTACTTATTACATATACAACCAACAGATGAGATAACATCATGGGATGTGGGAGTGATTGTTGTAAAGATCAATGATGACCGCTGGTATATCCAGGAGAGGTGCAACAGACAAAAAGCCAGAAGTGGGTCCAGTGACCAGCATGTTTTATAATTGCATCGGGATTAGTACTTGAAGTTATAGCTTTGGGGGTGGTGGTGGACATGGGGAAAGCAGCCTGCAGCTGTATTTGTGAAGATAGCTGGGCATGAGCTGCACTGCTAGATTGCTGTGTGGTATTGCTCGTGGGAGGGCGTGAGATACTTGCAATAGAGTTTTTCGAAACTGGCCTCTGCTTTTCTCTTGCACAAGCATTTCTCTACATGACGTGAGGTAGGGTTTGAACAGAAGATAAACTTGATCAGGCAGAGTTGAGCATTTGAGAAGGAAGAGAGAAATGTATGTGTTTGCCCTTGGTGTAGGGGATGGCAACTACTGCTGAGGGATGTTTATGTGGTTCTACAGGTTTGCTTGGTCTGCCAGAAAAACAGTTTTGAACCCAGTGGAAAGGGTGGGGTCGGGATTGCGCATTGTGAGCATTGGAGTGTGTGGGGTGAAATAAAGATAAAAAGTGGTCCCAATGGATGGTTCCAAGCAACAGTAATTGTTACAATCATGGTTACCCCTATCTCTTTTTCTCTCTTTTCTCACTCGTGTATTACATCATGACCACACCTCATAGTGCCATCATTAGACCAACCAATCGATCGGTCATGTATTACATCACAACCGCCATGTGCCATTGCTAGATGACTCATTCTCTTATCTCTGACTCGTCTTGATGACGTCAGTCCCTATCTCTGACTCATTTCCTTATCTCTGACTCGTCTCAATGACGCGTACGATACCGGCCCTAAATCTCTTATGTCTATATAAGTCCGGTCTTGTACTTAGTTAGAACTTCACTTTAATCTTACTAGGTTTTACCTGAACTATCCTTTGCTTAGGACCTCCAATCCTAAGTCGTCTGATAACTGATATTCAAGCTGGAGACACTCTCTCTGACTTGTCTTAAGAACCTTACATTTGTAAGGACACGATCCGGCTTCAGGCGTGCTCTTATCGAGTACCTGTTGTCGCGCCCATCCTAGTTCGCCATAACAGTAATGATAAAGGTTGGAAGTGGTGTTGTGAAGAAAACTAAGAACATGAAGATAAGGAAAGTACTGAATGAGATGTTAACCACATACACGAGCATGATCAGGTATATTGTCAAAGAAACCTCAGGGTACCCTATTTTGGACCTTGATTGGCTGACAGACAGAATATCATGTAGCATCATCCTAGAATGCATAAGCCTACATGTAATGAGAACTGTTTATGAAAGTGTCACATATGGTGAGTAGCAAGTTGTTGTGCTGGTCCAAAAGGTCATTGAGGCCAGCTTCTTTTAATATCGCAGTAACATCCCATGTGTATGCATCATGGTCACTGCCAGTGGCTAGTAGTTTTCCATCTAGCAAAAAGGATATGCAGGCCACTGGGTGTGCATGTTGGAGGGGCGGACTGCCAATGGGCTGGTTGTTGTTGAGGTTCCATAATAGTGCTGTCATGTCCAAGGATGTACTTGTGAGAGTACAGCCATTCGGAGATATTGCAATGGCATAGACAATACTGGGGTGCTTTAGTAGTGCTATCTGCTTCCAGGTTGTTGTATTCCATGTCCTAATCATGCAATCATTTGACCTGGAGATGAGTGTTTTTGCATCTGGGGTCCAAGCCAGGCAATTCACCATTTGTGTGTGTCCATTGAGTGGCAACAAGCTCACCTGTCTTTGCATCCCAGATTTTGACTGAGTCTTCATATTCATCATCCAGGTCCCACTGGTAGTATCCAGCAGTCGCAAACATGGTCATGTCTGGTGAGTAGACGACTGTGTACACTTTTGTGTGCTATTAAGAACCATGCTCAAAGGAGAGAGAGACTGACTCAGAGGGGCTTGGCCTCAGCTTGTACACTGTGCCCCTTACCCAAGTATGTGCCCTTCATTTCAGAGGAAGTCTGATGATGGTCTGATGAAGTCCAGAGGACTTCCAGAGGCTGGCTACTCTGGTGGAGAGTGCAGGAGGACTTCCGGAGGAGCGCAGGAAACATCCGGAGGAGCGTGGGAGAGTTCCGGAGGAATGCAGGAAGTGCTCAGGAGAGTTCCCACTGCAAGGTAGTACTTCTACAGGAAACAGGATGGAAGGGTAGGATGTCTGGAGGTCCGGAAGTATGGAGGACAGGAGGACTGAAGGTCCAGAGGACAGGATGTCTAAGGGTTAGGAGGATGGGATGTCTGAAGGTATGGAGGGTGGAATGTCTGAAGGACAGGATGCCTGGAGGTATGAGAGACAGGACATCTGGAGGTATAGAAGACAGGAGGTCTGGAAGTCTGGAAGGAATAGGGGCTACATCGGACAAAGTCCAATGCAGAAGCAAACAGAGGTAGACTACCCTAAGGTAGAGTTGGAGGGACAGGAAGTGGACCTAAGTCTGGAAAGAGGGTAAGTGCTGGAAAGGCAAGACTCCAGTCTCAGGAAGCAATCCCTAGACTTGGGACAGAGACATAGGGGACAAATCTGAAGGTCCAGAATTCCGGCCTAGGGAATCCATCCCTAGGCCTTATGGAAAAGGACAAACTTAGATGGACTGAAGTCCAGAAGAAGATTGGGCAAGTCTAAGGTGATGAACAGGATCTAAGATGGAACATAACTAAATGAACTCAGAGATGAAGACTTGTACAAGGATCAATAAGCAAGATGGAAGAAGAGGTAACTGAAAGCCGGAAAGGCAGAGATGCCTAAATGGGGATAGGCGCAGGATATTGGACAGAGGGTGGGAATAGGTCCAGTGTTAATATCCAGAGGTCCAGAGATCTGGGGATCTGGAATACAAGCTGGATACAGCACTGGAATATGAGAAGGTGGATATAGTCTGGAATCTGAGACAAGGTGAAGTCTGGATGTCTTGCTGGATGGAGTGTGCATAGGGTGGATTGGACAGGGGGGTATGGATCAGGCTAATAGTGGAGATCTGATGGTCCAGAGCTTGGAAGTAAATCTGGAATGGAGTTGATCCTGCTGAGGTGTGAAGCACACAGCAGAAGGGGATCTGGGAATGAGTTGGATATGAAGTGGGGTCCGGATGTAGGCTTGGAAGGTGTGGGAATATGATGGAACGTGGGTCCAGATTGTGGGATATGACATGTGCCCTGTCTTGATTGGACCAAGGATAGTATCTCCCTTCTTCACATCCCACTCCCTTGCTGTCCCATCAAAGGATCTGCTCACCACTTGCTGACCATCTCAACTCCAGCACACAGACCGCACTGTTGATGTGTGTCCTGTCCATTCTTCAATGACTTTGCCTGTGTCCACGTCCCATAACTTCATTCCACCATTCAAACTTCCACTAACCACTTTCTTCCCATCCAGGGACAACACTATGGTTCTCATTTCAATATTAATATCTCCATCCCGATAGTCTTCTCCTATCTATTTCCCACTCTTCATGTTCCATACCCACAGTGAGCTGTCCCTTGAACAAGTCATCATCTGCTGTCTGTCTGGCAGATATATGATGGTATTGATAAAATCAGTGTGTCCCCCGAATTTCTGGCAGGGCTTTATTGTTAATGCCTCTTGCCTCCTGACAATGGGTGAAAGTGAGGACATGATCAACTACTGGGCACAGCACTGTCTCAGCTTTCATCTGACAAAGTCCAAAATCATTGCTTATGACAATATGTTTCTTAGCAGGCCTTGATCCCTTGATACCAAGGTTTAGGTCAATTCAGAGTACACTGGAAGTTTGAACTGGCATGTTCACAAGTCACATTTTTGTGACTACTTCACAGCTTGTATTATAGGCTGTGCAGCTGAAGCACCTAAGTCTCATTTGGGACCATGACTTGTATTCCATCAGGCATGAGGGCATCTTGGACTTTGACTTTTTGCCCCATTTGCATCATTTGTGCCATTCATGCCAAAGATATCACCTGATGTTCCCATGTACCTGATCTAAGTATAGCCATTGTCAATGCCCAAACCTTCAAGCTCACTTGCAATTGTTCCTAGGTAAAGTCAATGAGGTCACAATGTAATCTACATGTCTTTGTCACTGATCTCCTCCTCAGATGTGGCAATGAACTCAGAGCTCTTTGGAGTCTGTGATGATGTCCCTGATGCTTGTGCACACCTCCTCAGTTGGGTGGCTTGCTTTTCCTTGCATTTGCAGGCTACCCCAGTGTCAGATCGCTTCTTTTGCAGTTTGCCAATGACTTCTCCTTTCTTGTGGCATGCAGCAAGCAGTGAGTTGCATGTTGTACTCCTCTCACTGATGTGTCGTCATGCAGAACCAATGGCAGGAACCATTCTTCAACACATTGTGGAGTTTTAATAGAGTATTGAGGTTACTGAGGATGGTGGGTGATTGAAATGGGATGTCCTTGGGCCAACCTCTGAGATCAATCACGAGCTTCTCCTTGATGGCAGTATCAAAGTTGGCATAATTGATGCAGATGTCATGCCTAATAGCTATAGCCCCTTAAAAACACACTAGTCAGTATCAGATTTAGTGCAATGTAGCTGTGGCACCATCAGCATCTGCTGAAAAGCTCAAAATACAAGACCACACACCATCTGAGAGCAGGACATAGCCAGAGCACCATCAGCATTGGGTAAACCAGTCACAAACTAAGATCACACACAGGCTGAGAGCAGGACACAGTCACAGCACTATGGAAGATGCAGTGAGGCCAGAAACATTGATGTTGAATAACTTTGTGATGGCATGTCTGGTGTTATTGGTAGTATAATGATGAGTTGGATGGAGGAAGGGAGGATTTTGGTGAAGGACAGCAGTGGCTATATGAAGGTATGGGTGCTAAAAGTGTGCCTTCAATGACTGGAGAAGGACAGTGCTTAACAGTCTGTTGTGGGTGGCAGAACAGTGAGCAAGTGTGAGAAAGAATACCTGCTAGTCAGCTAATTATTAAATTAAGTGCAGCACTAACACAAACAGGGCAAATGGGTGTTAAGAACCATGCTCAAAGGAGAGAGAGACTGACTCAGAGGGGCTTGGCCTCAGCTTGTACACTGTGCCCCTTACCCAAGTATGTGCCCTTCATTTTAGAGGAAGTCTGATGATGGTCTAATGAAGTCCAGAGGGCTTCTGGAGGCTGGCTATTCTGGTGGAGAGTGCTAGAGGACTTCTGGAGGAGCGTGGGAGAGTTCTGGAGGAATGCAGGAAGTGCTCAGGAGAGTTCCCACTGCAAGGTAATACTTCTACAGGAAGCAGGATGGAAGGGTAGGAGGTCTGGAGGTCTGGAAGTATGGAGGACAGGAGGACTGAAGGTCTGGAGGACAGGATGTCTGAGGGTTAGGAGGACAGGATGCCTGGAGGTGCACAGGACAGGATGTCTGGAGGTCTGGAAGGAATAGGGGCTATATCAAACGAAGTCCAATATAGAAGTAAACAGAGGTAGACTACCCTTAGGTAGAGTTGGAGAGACAGGAAGTGGACCAAAGTCTGGAAAGAGGGTAAGTGCTGGAAAGGCAAGACTCCAGCCTAGGGAAGCAATCCCTAGACTTGGGACAGAGACATAGGGGACAAATCCGAAGGTCCAGAATTCTGGCCTAGGAAATCTATCCCTAGGCCTTATGGAAAAGGACAAGACTCAGATGGACTGAAGTCTGGAAGATGATTGGGCAGATCTAAGGTGCTGAGGACAGATCTAAGATGATATTCAGACTGAGGACTCTATGGGAGTTGTACAGGGGTTATATACTAGAGGATATCTGAGAGGATCAGTAAGCAACAGAGTAAGGCTATGTATGAGCATGTGGAAACACATTAGTAAGTAAGACAGAACATAAGTAAATGAACTTGGAGATGAAGACTCGTACAAGGATCAATCAGCAAGATGGAAACAGAGATAACCAAGAACCAGAAAGGTGGAGATGCCTAAATGAGGATAGGCGCAGGATCTTGGATGGAGGGTGGGAATGGTCCAGAGATAGTACAGTTAATATCCGGAGGTCCAGAGATCTGGGGATCCAGAAGGCAGGGCGGAAACAGGATTGAGATATGTGAGGTGGTGGATGTAGTCTGGCATCCAAGAGGAGGTAAAGTCCAGATGTCTTGCTGGACGGAATGTGCATAGGGTGGACAGGGTAGGGGTGTACAGATCAGGCTAGTAGTAAAGATCCGGAGGTCCAGAGCTCAGGGGTAATTCCATAGCAGATCTAATCCTACTTAGATATGGAGCACATAGTGGAAGGGGATCTAGGAATGAGTTGGATATGGGGTCTGGAAATAGGTCCGGAAAGCATGGAAATATGATGGGATCTATGTCTGGCATACAGGATATGACAATGGGCCAGTGGGGGTGAAAGGTCAAAGACTGAGACTTTCTGTCGGTCACAATTTTGATTCCTGTTTTGACTGCCTGACCAATGATATCATATCCTAAACTGTGCCCCAAAATTGTACATTTGTTTCTCCTTAACCATTTCCCCTCTTATCACAGCTTGACATTCAATCATGGACAGTTATTTGGAGGTTCATCTCAACTTAGAAATATCAAGATGGCCAGACTGGTTACCACAACAGAATCAAAATTTGTTGCTCTTGGACTATGCAGGTTTGAAATCTGCTAACAACAACTATTATAACACACCTTGACATTTACTCATGGATGGGTGATTCAGAGGCTCATCTGTATCTTTGGACATCGATTGTGCAAGTTTGAAACTCACTGATAACAGTTTTTTTCTATGAGAACATGTCTCAAAGATTTGCTCATGGATGGTTTTGTCAGAGACTCACCTTGAGTTGTCTTAGTCAAGCAATTATTGCAACAGAGTATCTCTCAGATTGTGCAGGTTCAGAACCTGCCAATGTCAGGTTTCTTTTTCTGTTGGAAGCACACCTTGAAGATTCACTCATGGACAGTTCCTTAGAGATTCATCTCAAGTTTGTCCTGGCCAAGGTGTTTACCATAACAGAATCAAAATCTGTTTTCTTTGGACTGTGCAGGTCTGAAGCCTACTGATGACAAGGCCTTTTTTTTTATTGGAACATGCCTTGGAAGTTCACTTATAGATGGTTTTTTTGGAGGTGCATCTTATAATGCAATATGAACCTACCTACCAAGACTTCTGATCCTTTAATGTCAGCTAATTTCACTGATATTCACAGTTCACCTGTACCCTTCCCATTCATATTCCAATTCAATGCATCCTCCACAGCTCATAGATTTGTCCATTCATCCAACATGGCATTATATTTACTGCATCTCTCCACTTCCTGTAATGGACCACCAAATTCAATGTAGTCTAATGGTATAACCCCTGGCTCCTTTTCTGTGACACAGCAAATACTACATTATTCTCAGCACCTCTGACTGGGTACTAGTGGGCAGAAGTGTTCTCCAGTGTGGTTCCTAAAGTGCCCTGTCGGTGGTTTTCATGCCCTTAGCAAGATTGTAGGGCTCTTCACACACTTGTTGATGAATAGAAGTTCCATGATTGATTGAGATTCATTAAATGATCCATGGTGCTCAAAGCCAATGCAGCTTTTATATGATCCTCGTTCAGCAAGCACATCACTGGTTTTCACTGCCTAATTCTTGTCTGCTTCTCCATTGATTGTCACATCCAAAACCAGGTTCTGACTAGGTGTAATGCTCCAACCTGTTACAGGAGGTGTTAAGAACCATGCTCAAAGGAGAGAGAGACTGACTCAGAGGGGCTTGGCCTCAGCTCATACACTGTGCCCCTTACCCAAGTATGTGCCCTTCATTTCAGAGGAAGTCCAATGATGGTCCAATGAAGTCCAGAGGACTTCCGGAGGCTGGCTACTCTGGTGGAGAGTGTGGGAGGACTTCCGGAGGAGTGCAGGAGAGTTCCGGAGGAATGCAGGAAATGCTCAGGAGAGTTCCCACTGCAAGGTAATACTTCTACAGGAAAACAGGATGGAAGGATAGGAGGTCCGGAGGACAGGAGGACAGGATGTCTGGAGGTCCAGAGTATGGAGGACAGGAGGTCCGGAGGTATGGAGGACGGAACATCCAAAGGTACGGAGGGTGGAATGTCCGAAGGACAGGATGCCTGGAGGTATGAGGGACAGGACGTCCAGAGGTCCAGAAGGAATAGGGGCTACATTGGACGAAGTCCAATGCAGAAGCAAACAGAGGTAGACTACCCTAAGGTAGAGTCGGAGGGACAGGAAGTGGACCTAAGTCCGGAAAGAGGGTAAGTGCCAGAAAGGCAAGACTCCAGCCTAGGGAAGCAATCCCTAGACTTGGGATAGAGACATAGGGGACAAATCCGAAGGTCCAGAATTCCGGCCTAGGGAATCCTTCCCCAGGCCTTATGGAAAAGGACAAGACTTGGATGGACTGAAGTCTGGAAGATGATTGGCAAGTAGAACAGGATCTAAGATGATATTCAGACTGAGGACTCTACTGTAGTTGTACAGGGGTTATATACTAGAGGCTATCCAAGAGGATCAGTAAGCAAAGGAGTAAGGCTATGTATGAGCATGCAGAAACACATTGGTAAGTAAGATGGAACATAAGTAAATGAACTCGGAGATGAAACTAGTACAAGGATCAATCAGCAAGATGGAAACAGAGATAACCGAGAACCGGAAAGGCAGAGATGCCTAAATGGGGATAGGCGCAGGATCTCAGATAGAGGGCGGGAATAGGTCCAGAGATAGTAACAGTTAATATCTGGAGGTCCAGAGATCTGGGGATCCGGAAGGCAGGACAGAAACAGGACTGAGATATGTGAGGTGGTGGATGTAGTCCGGAATCTGAGAGGAGGTAAAGTCTGGATGTCTTGCTGGATGGAATGTGCATAGGGTGGACAGGATAGGGGATCCAGGAATGAGTTGGATATGGGGTCTGGAAACAGGTCCGGAAAGCGTGGGAATATGATGGGATCTATGTCCAGCATACAGGATATGACAGGAGGGCTCTTTGTAGTTGTCCCACATAAGTTTCTAGACCATCCAAGAAAGGATTTGACTAACAGAAACAAATTTATCACACCTGGGATGTGTTAATCAATCAACTTGACATTCTTACCAAGGTGAGCATCATTAATTAGTTATGCTGAAGTCATATTGAAGTCACATTTGTACAATTTGCACTGCAGAATGTGCAGCCAGATATCACTGTTACTTTCTGATGATTCACACCTGCAAACTCACTTGATTTCTGATCCTGTTTCTCATTGGCCTCACTTAATTGACAATGGCTGGTTTGTGCATCTTGGAAGAACATGTGTGTAGTACAAGGAGGTTAAGCTTGACTGGCTTTCAATGGTCACCATCCTGACATGTGCACTTTTAGTATTGCTGCACTGCAATGTGATGTAAATTGACAGTACACCAGAGATGCATAAATGTCATGTTACATGGTTGCTTTTCCATCACAAGGTCACATGCACCAGAAGCTATGATCATGAAATTTAATCTGTATGCCCATCATATCAAAGCCACCTGTTGTACTCTACCACTAGCTTAGCTACACATGTTCTATACATGAACATTTTGTTCTCTGTTCTAACAAGTTTCTTTTATTAGGCATTCCCAGAAGGATCTCTTCTTAGCCTCTCAATTCAAAGACTGAGGTGAGTATTAGCATTTGTTGATACATATTTTCATTCTAAGTACCTACATAGTTCTCCTTTCATCTCTAGGTATGACTGCATTTGTACAGGTCTCTCAATCTGAACATTGAGTTCTCCTTTCATTTCTAGTTCAAGCCTATCTTCATTTGAGACTGACCTTCCTGTCTCTGCCTCCCATGGCAGCTTCTTCCAAACTAAAAGATGAAAGTTCACATCCATATGATGCACTCCTAAATGATCAGGACTTTGACTTGATAGTATCTGATACAAAGTTCATTGCTAATGCTGGAACTGATTTCTGACTGCAGTTTGATGAGTTGCAGAAATGCCCTTGTCAGGGTGGCATGCTTGAGTATCTTCAGCTGCTCATGCATCATTGCAGGCATTGTCACTTTAGCCAATCATGGAGTCCTTGGAGTAACCATGACAAACATGTCTGGAGTAAATGTGGGTGTCAACCCATTGCCCTTGCAGGAAGATATGTTGGTCCTGGCACTCAACTTAATGGTCATGTTATGCACCAAGTCCATAGGCCTTGCACACAGCATCTCATTGTGCTCTGCACTAGCCTTAGTCTTAACTTTGTTTCAACACCAATCTGTGTCTTCTGACTGCAGAGACTTTGTCTTCCCTCATGTTATCACTCCCTCAATAGTCTCTCCTTTGCAAATACCTCATCCATACCTAGTCCCTTTGCATTTCCTTTGCATTTCCTTAGTTTCCAAACCTCATTTTACCATACCCTTTCCCTTTCCTATTCTGGCCAAAGGTTCCTGCACTCTGGCTGATGCTTTTTACCTCTGGACTTGTCATTTCTACCGTTGGGTTACCTTTGCATAGCTTCAGGTTTATTGATATCATAACTACTAACACTTATCTAGTTGCATATCCCTCATGGGTTGAACATTCTTGCTTTTGCAAGTGAAGCAGCTAGGCAGATGCAGAACCATATAGAGTAGAGCTGTTTTATTACACTCTGACTTGTTGTATGTTTGTTACATTGGTACTCAGTAGTTGAGACTCAGTTATTGATATTGATGTACTGATTACTGAGTGTCAGGACTTGGTAGTCAATCCAATTCCCAATTTTATTTGACCCCCTGAAGCACCTTACATCACATGATGCAAGTAGCAACAGACAGAAGGCTGCAAAAGATGAAAAACTCAGTCTGAGAACAAATAGACTCACTATAATACATATGCCTGGAGGAATCTCATTCCCTACAACATGTGCCCTAAGCAGTCAATTCTCATATGGCATCAGTCACATCCAAGTACAAGTCTTGGACTCTGGAAGAAATAAAAATAAAAATAAAAATAAAACTTTTAAAAAAATAGCCCTTTAGCATCTTTCCAAGCCTCTAGCTTGTCTTGTCTCTCTCAAGCCTCAATCTCTCTATTTTAGTCTTATCTTCTTTCTTTTGAGTTCCTGGCTGTTAGCATCTACTCAATGCTTTTGTGTTCTGCAACTCTGTCTATAATAAATGTGACCCAGTCCCCTGAGCATGGAGCTGGGGGATTCCACTTGCCCTAAACATGAGACTCCTACCTAAGCGTAGATTGATTCACCACTGTCAGAAAATTTGCATCAATGTCCAGTGTGTTGTATCACCACAGCAAGTTTCTGATATAGCCCCAATGGCATGTGGGAACTACAAGTGGCTGTGCACATCACTAATTGTCAGCTTAGCTAAATTATGTAAATTGTTGGTGGAGTGCCAAGGATAGCAATAGTGGGTGACTAAGCCATATGCCAAATCATATCAATAATACCAAACAATGAAATCAATATATAGCAGTGACCCAACTTAGGGTGATGATGAATCATTTCCTTCTGATATAGTTACCTGAAATCTCTTAGCCTCACACCATACAGCAAGCAATCACATTCCCTTGGTGAATCTCAATTCTCATCTAATATTTCATAACTTACACAGTTTGAAGTAGCCTAAACCTTGCTCTTTCAAATTTGACTACCTAGCTTTCTGTTGCTTTCTACATGATGAAGCAATGGGCAAGAATGTATGACACACCACTTATAACACACCAATTTGTAGCTACACATGCAGGACTACATGTCAGTAGTATTGCACATATTTGCATTCCCTTGATTGTATCATTTCTAATTAAATGATTCTTCAACTTGCAGGAACAGGCTCTCACCAGTGGTATCAACTTTGCAGGTAGTTTCCCCGAAAACTCGGATTCCGAGTCTAAACATGACAAGTAAGTATTTATCTCACCACTAACTATTTTCGAGTTCAATGTCCAAAAAACTCATTACAAAACTACTACTAGGATGGTGCCTTCATCAGTCTCACCTCCTCCAAGTCCAAATGAAGTAGTCCCTCGACTATCTCGAGGTACCGCACTAGCAGACGACGGAGGCATTATAATGCTTGAACACCGTGATCTTCCTTCATGGACACCACTGGTTGTTTCGGATAGCGAAGGCAGTATGGACGAGTTCCCTTTAGGTGTGAAAAACTCAAAAGCCTCGCCTTCGAATGCCAGAAAAACGCTGTCGCAGAAACGCCAAAAAAATCCAGACCGTGGTCCTCCTATTGCAAAGCCTCGACGAGAAGTCCAGCAGGAATCTTCGCGAACTTCAGGCGTCTACTCCGAGTCGAGGGATGCCCGCGGCTCCCAAAGTTTGCAGGAGACACTGCAAGCAACATTCAGCGCCAATGGTTCATACAATATCTCGCCGCCAGTCGCACCTATTGACAGCGAAGGGAGCATCTCTGACATGCAAACTGTTATTTATAGCAAAAAGCGCCCCCGGATTCAGAACACTCGCAGAAGTACAAGTCAGGAAGGCTCTGAGGCTGTCGCGATAGCCGATACCCCAATATCCAATGGCATCACAGCGGTTCCCACCATAGCTCGGCGAAAAGCTGCGCCTGCCATTCCTTACGACTCTGTGCAAAATGTTATTGATGCTGCATTGGACACTCGGGTAGCCAAAATTACTTGGCGTCGTCGGCGCCATACCACAGGGTATGACACCAACGAAAAGTCGCAGGACGGAACTTCAAGGACGAAGTGCTTTCCCTTCGAAGACGCCATTTTGGACTTCGATGTTCCAACCCCCGCACATCAGGGAGATCACCACAGTGAAATGAAGTCGGGGCTAGCTTCAGTCGAGGATGAACGCCCCTCCTTGCCGCACAAATTTACGCGAATGCTAGACGGTGTTCAAACTACCGTTCTTCTACAGCAATCTAGAGGGGAGAAATTCAATGAACGACTGGATGCAATGTTCGGAGACGCAGACACACCTCGCTCGCCTGATGGACTAACTACTCGCGTAAGTACCATGCATCGCAGACTAGAAACGAACTCGAGCTGATATGTTGTAACCACAGGCAACCTCAGATTCGGCGTTTATCTTCGTGCCGGTGCACGAGGTTGCGGCAAGCAAAGAACACAGCCCTATCCCATCCAGCGATTCAGGACCATCAGTTGACACGTTGCTGTCGCAAAGCACCAATGCCACAAGTATTTCTGGGCACAATGACGTCTCTAAAAAGAGAGCTTATACGGAGAGCCACCTCGAGGATGAACCTGTTCGAAAGAAGCATAAAATTGAGATTGCCGAAGACCAGGTGTCCGGATGGATTACGGCGTTACAACGACTTGTCAAAGGAAAAACGAAGATTGACCACAAGGTACGGAATGAGTCTCCGACATCTGCATTCTGTTGTTCACACACACCAGGGCATGGAGGATTTGAGCATAGTATTGGCTGAGATAGAGTCTGTGTACCCGCACCTGGATTCAGAACTTGCACCGGTTAGTCAGTTTTAATGATTCATCGGCAATATTCTCAGCCGGTCTGCCCTTGTTTAGGTCGCTTGTCTTCAAGACGTCTTGCAGCAGCTAGCACAGTTAGAGGATATTCCATTCAGAGACGAGCATGACCTCCGCCGTCGTACAGATGACATTATCGCAGAGTGGCCAAGTGTCAAAGTCTAAATGGCATATTGATGAGGGATGGTTTTTGGTGCGTTGCCTACATTACCTGGGGGCAAATTTTTTATATCCAAGTATGAAACACCTACGACTTTTGGCGGCGTTTATCAAATTCGTTAGTAGTTACCAATTAGGTCTCGCAGTTGATTGGGATACCGAGCTCGCGCTCGTTTATCCGGACCATATTGGGGTAATAATACAGAAATGTATCATAAACTAAATTGGAATGTACACACATTTCAATGGCTACTGGCTTCTTCAATCTGTCGCCTCCAGCGCTTCTGGATATCAATCATCTCTAAGAATATATTGTATTTGGCATCAAGTATTTTGTTGACTGCCGACGACGCCCCAGGGGCCACGAGGGTACCAGCAGGTGTCATTTCGACCTGAATGGCAAGAATCAACATCTACACTCAGCAGAATGCACAGGACATCTTGCCATGATCTTCCACATGTCTTCTCCATCTTTAGCACCCTCCGCTGCAATCCTTCCCAGCATCGCTGCACCAAGAACCACCGCCTCGGAATACGACTTGGGTAAGATGACGGGGATGCCACATGTGTCTGCAAAGAGCTGCATGATCACCACATTCTTTACTTGCCCACCAGAAAGATACAAAGAGGTAATGTCGTGCCCTGCCGCGTTGAGAGCTTCAATGATATGGCGTGTTTGAAGGGCGATAGCTTCCAGTGTAAGGTAGTACTTGCGAGCGAGGTCGGCTATAGATGCGTCCTGAAGTAATCAAGATGAATTGGTCGAAGTTTTTAATCGAAGTAGTAACTTACCAGCTCAAGACCGACAATGGAACCTCTCATTCGAGAGTCAGCAATTGGAGACCTGTTTCCTGCGATAGCTGTGAACAAGGATACTAATATCGAACTGTAGCTTATCTCACCATGGAAATCAGGATAGAAATGCAGATCCTTCGTAAGCTCCGTGTAGGTATCAACATTATTCTCGTGCCGCAACTTTTTGAGGACGTCTAGCAAGACTATAGACGCTCGTCAAAACACTGTTTTGGTTGGCCCAGCATAATAAGCTACACGAACCAATATGCATACACTTTCCCTCTTGCTTTGCACGTTCTTTGAGTTCGGGATACGCGGTGTGAGTGGTGATGATAAAGTCAATAAGCTGTCCCGTAGACGACTGGCCGCCCTCATTCATCCACCAACCAGGAAAAGCTGTGTCCTATGAGAATATACCATTAAGACACCGCATGTTGTGCAGAATGGTGATGGTATACCCTATATGGGCCCCATACACCCTTCACAAAGACACTGTCCCGACTCTGCAACAATTTTGACGTCTGGATGAAGATGGATTGAGCAAGATGACTTACCTGAACAATATGGCCAGTACTTGTTCCGGCAACAATGGCCAAACGGTGCCGAGACTCGTCGAGAGAAGGAAGCACATTTGAAAGTTGACCATTCTCCATGTATCGAGCGGCAACTGTGCCCATCCAACCAGCATACCTAGCACGACGCCAATAGCATCCATATTTCAATAGACATGCTGATAGAATATGACATACCCATCAATCAGACCACTTCCAACAGCAGTACCTTCCGCAAGTCCAAGTTCTTCAGCTGCCTTTTTAGATAATCCTCGACCAACTGGGCTTCCAGCAGTCTGCACTTGCCCCCTGGCGGCGCCCATATGCTTCCAGTTACCACCATCGACAAGTTCACCGAGACCAATGCGCTCAAAGAAGTCCGGCTGCCAGCCCTTGTCGGGAACGTAAGAACACTTGCACGTAACCGAACAAAAGGAGCGTGTGTTATCTCCAGTTGCCTTGTATGTGAAAAAATCGGGAAGATCAAAAAATTGGCATCGGGCGAACAGAGCAGGGTCCATGCGCTTCTTGAGCCAAAGAATCTTAGGCACCTCCATCTCAAGCTGTTCCAAAATTAGAATTAGCAAGATAAACCGGACTCGCAGTCACCACATACACTCATGGTTCCGCCTACATAATTCAAGACGATCGATCCAGTGGAGTTGATAAGTTCAGTTTCCTTCTCGGCGCGATGGTCTGCCCAAAGAATGACGTTCCGATCGCCATGAGTGCCGATACTGCTACCCTTGGTAACTGTTATCGGATTCCCATCGAAGTCCGACACGGCAAGAGAGCAGGTGGCATCGAAGCCAAGCCCCTTGACCGCGGTCGCGGGAATGTTAGATTGCTTTAATATTTCCTTTACCGCGGTACAAATCTGCTCCCAGATATCGTTCGTGGATTGCTCGAAGATACGGTAATCGTGCTTATCACGCCAGGTGATGGTATCCTTCGTGGAAGACGCCATTATCTCACCGTTTCGTGCAACGAGAGACGCGCGAGCAGAGCCGGTACCGATATCAATGCCAATGAAGTAGGGAGTGTCGCAACTCATTACAACAGGCAAGACCATGGCAGGAATGGTGGCGGTCAGTGAGTGAAACGAGCAAGCACATGGTTTAAATCAAGTTGGAATACCCATCAGTGACTGTCAGGAAGTACGACATTGGACCCTAGGTTGTCAGAGTTAAACCTAAGTCGACTGCACTTAATCGACCTAGATGGTTGGGCGCGCTATTATGATGTTGATATGATGCCATACCGTGCCCACGGGTCTTTTTGGCCACAGCAGGTTAGCCAAGGACGCATTATTTGGTTAATCGAGACCAGACGAGAGTCGAGACCTATGATTAATCAAGGTTTACACAAAAGTAATTGGACGGACCTGTCCTAGATAGCAGACCTTCCCGTATCTTTGTCTTGGCCCTTTGCCTGCCGCCCTGTGCAGATCGGCATGACGAATGTGCCGCAGGCAATCTTCATTGACACCTCCTTTATGGGCGGAAATGACGGTCATGATCATTGATGTCTAGTAGTGAGACGGAGCCGAATTGGCTCTCTGCCTTTGCTCACTCGAGTTTCTCGTCTCGCCAGGTACGCTGTCATTGTCTGCCTTATTGATTGAGTTTATAGTCTCGCTAGTACGGCAGAAATATGCGCACCTGCCCCTCCTGGCCGGTGTTGTACTCAGTGCTTGGCGTTGTGCGATACTTGATGTGTTTGGAGCTATTTGTCTCCCGGGTCCTGGCTAGTGTATATCCTCGTTATCTGCGTCCCCGTAAGGACGATTAGAAATAATAGTGGTACTCAAAATAAATTTTGAAACTCTTGAAAACTCGCTAAACTGCGTTCAACTCCCTTCAACTCCCCGCTTAAAGTTTGAAAGAACTCGCGCAAGTCCGAGAGAAATGTGCTCGGCACACGTCGGCATGTAGTCGGACTTTAAAACGACACTTGTGATTTTTCAAAGCGTGCTATGTACATAGGGGAAAGTGGTAGAGTAGCGGTCCAACATAATTGTATTTCAAATGAAAGCATTAATAAAATTGTAAAAAAAACAAGGCCTGCGGGAATGAAATCAGCTGTGGGTAGGGAGCGCGGGAGGGACCAAATAAGTGCCGAGTGGAGGAGGGGGGGATGCTGAGCAGTGGGGGGGGATGAAAAGCGTCGGGAGGAAGATCTGCGTGCCTCTGCGGAGACGCAAGATCAAGTGAAGGGCGGACTCCTTCTGGATGTTGTAGTCACTGAGAGTACGGCCATCTTCGAGCTGCTTTCCAGTGAAGGTGAGATGCTGCTGGTCAGTTGGGATGCCCTCCTTGTCCTGGATCTTCGCCTTCACGTTGTTGATGGTGTCCGATGACTCCATCTCCAACGTGAGGGTGCCTCCATGGAGACAGATAAGGAGGCGGAAGGTGGACAGGCCGTTTGCCGGTAAGGGCGAGGCGCCGCTGATCAGGTGGATGGCAGATGGTCCATCGCCCTCGCGCATGGATGAGCGTTGGCTCTAAGTCGTGCAGACCGGCGAGCACGTTGGTGAACAACAGGCATGTTTTTCGAACTCCGATGTGCGATGCCGGCCTGACTTTCAATTGCAGCACATGCTCATGCTGTGTTTTGTTGAAGTAGCCGAGCTTTAGGCGAGTTTTCAAGGAGTTTCAAGATTTATTCTGAGTACCACTAATTTATCTTTGATCTTATATCCACCCTTGACTCGTAGTTTATTATGTAATTACACAATCTTCTTGATCACTGTCATCATGTCTTCAACAACGCGTCCAATCGTTTTCATGGATATCAATATTGGAGAGACACCAGCGGGTAGAATAAAAATGGAGCTCTTCAGTGACGTTGTCCCAAAGTTTGCGGCTGCTACCTACTGCTGTGTGCTGTTCTGATCAAGTTTGCAGAACTGCTGAGAACTTCAGGCAGCTGTGCACTGGCGAATGCAGGTACGCGCAGGCCATGAAGATAAACAATTATTTATAAACCCCTCGAGATAAGACGTGATGCGCGACCCCAGGGTTACAAAAATGCGACTTTCCATAGGTAATCATCATCGCGACCTCGAGTGATCGACCTTCGTTGATGGATTCTGGGCAGAGTGTATGATAGCATCTTCTTGATGTCCATGATGATTAACGTGTGCGCCTTAGCGTACCGAATTTCATGTGCCAGGGTGAGCATATTGTGACAATATCTTTTCGACCAGCCCAATCCCATACCTGCTTGTAGGTGGAGACTTTTTGAACGGTGACGGAACAGGATCGTTCTCGATATACGGAAAGAATTTCCCTGTAGGTGTACTTGTGCTCTTCATGGCGGGGCGTACAAGTCAATTTTACGCTTTAGGATGAGAATTTCCAAGAGAAACACATTGGACCTGGCTTACTTTCTATGGTTTGCTATGCTTTCTCCGTCCGCAAACATTTATCTGATAATGATTTGTAGGCAAATTCAGGCCCAAATACAAACGGATGCCAGGTATTGCTCTCTACGAATCTGCATTTCTACCTCAGACTTAATCCCCGCAGTTTTTCATAACCACAGCAAAATGTGATTTCTTGGACGGAAAGCATGTGGTATTTGGCAAGGTCATCGACGGCATGTTGACGCTTCGTAAAATCGAGAATGTCCCTACGGGACAGAACAACAGACCAAAGTTGGTCGTGAAGATCGTTGGTATGTAGTCGATTTAACGGCTTCGGAAAGGTGTCTTATGTGTATATCGCAGAGTGTGGGGAAATGTAACCGCCTGTTCATAGAAGCATCAACAGGAGAATGAATACGACTGATAACCTATTCGAGTCGGGAGGCTTTCGAGTTCACTGGATCCATACATTGAGGACTCTTGTCACATCGACGGACGTAAGCTTAGCGCAGATGACACTCATTGCATGTACTCTTTTTATAATTCATTCTTTTACCGAATGAATGGCGAGAATGCAAGATGTTCATTATGCCTAGAGCTTTGGTCCATTCAGTGTCAATCAGAAAGCATAGATTTTGGTTGTGGTGCAAGATACATGGGCTCATGAGTGGCCATAATGAATAAAGACTAGTAATCTAGTCTGATGCGGTTGTCAGCCGAGCTAAATTGAGGGTTGATCAACCTCAGCTATAATATAAAATATTGAGAAGAACGCACTGTAAATGAGTTGACCAGAGTGGTGCACAATGCGCTTGATCAAGCCCTCCTTCTCCAGATGTCTGATGGCAACGCGTGCCAAACTTCCATTGACCTTCAACCGCTCAATGAGAATACTCTGGCTGATGAGACGCCAGGTGGGAGCTTCCTTCATGATACGGTCGAATGTAGCTTTGTCACAGACGACGGCGTGCTGGGCCTTGTCCTTGACCTTTCCCTTCGACCACTTCTTCTTCTTAGCAGCCTTTCCGCCGGATGATGATGGTGGTGGAGCTTTTGCCTTGGCCTAAATCAAAGGTAGTCAGCACCACATCTACATGCTTAATATGACATCCAAGGGCTGCAATACTCTGAACATCCTGCAGTCCAAAGAATCGGCATGTTTCATGCTCTCTGCCCTGGAAATCATCATCAAGGGAGGATACTCACCATAATGTCGCGGCCTCTTCGTCGATGTCGATGAACTGCACTTGGTCTGGCCTAACCGCCAATCTCTCGGCGAAATCCGGTTATTGAGGCGCCGCATCAAACTCACTGACGTAACTGTGGCACCGATCACGTTGAGTTGAGTGGGAGAGAGTAAACGAGTATCCCACTGACATTTGGGTCGACAATGCATCCCTGGCTACTTCTCGCCCTCGCCCTTCCATCATTGGCACTCGACAAGACCCATGGCGTTCCCCCTTCTCTCGTGTCGAAATACGTACCCAGCACGAGGGGTTCGCACCAGACATGGACGTGTTTAGATGGTTCGAAGGAAATTACCTGGAGTGCGGTAAATGATGATTATTGTGATTGTCGGGATGGCAGCGACGAGCCAGGTGCGAATCCGGGTGGTTCTGGTGAGGTAAACTAAGTTGTATTGACGTAGTTCTATATTCTGTAAGGCACGAGTGCCTGTCCCAATAACAAGTTCTACTGCCGCAATGAGGGCCATATTGGGGCAATTATACAAAGCTCTCGTGTTAACGATGGACTTTGCGGTAAGTCTGCAGACGTGATATAGTGAGTTCGTGATACTCATTTGAACATAGAGCAGGAATGCTGCGATGGATCGGACGAGCCCTCAGGCGTGTGTCCAAACACTTGCCAGGAAGTCGGAGTAGAATACAGAAAGAAGACAGAAGCAGAGCGTAAGCTGCGAAAGACTGGATCCAAGATACGATCTTCATACATTGCGTATGCACATAAGGAGCAAAAGCGCTTGGAGGCACTCGTTGCTGATCTTGCCAAAGAGATTGAAACGAGAGAGAAAGAGGTGGAGAGATTACGAGGTATGTTAGTTCAAGAGTCGGGAGCTTTCGTGTTAACACAGCCTTTTTCAGACATTGCAGAACGCGCAGAATCCCTCTCAGCTGCTGAGCTGGAGCGTAAGAAACAGTCTCGTATGTGTGTCCTAACATACTCTGCAATCTTGACTCACAAGCATGTTGCAGCCCTCTACCAGTCACTCCTCGTACATCATACCGCACTCAAGTCCCTTCAGAAAGAACACAAGAAGCACCTAGAACGCGAGAAAGCTCTTGGTGACATCTTGACCTCACTCCGCGCGGATTATAACCCTAACTATCAAGATATGGCCGTCCTGGAGGCTGTGCGTGGCTGGGAGGCACTAGCAGGATTGCCTCACATAAACGACGTACGCAAGGGTGACGATGGGGAAGCTGACACTACGGCGGACAAACCGAAAACAGAGGACGATGTTGAAGATGAAGGTCTTTGGAATGCAGCAAAGATCGAGAAGGAGTTGGATCAGTTATTGAAAACAGATCATGTGACGCTGCTGCTAGAATATGACCAGCTTGTCGGGCCTGCTTCAGCCCAGTCCCTCTGTAAGTTAAAAGCAATTGTTGGCACCACAAGAAACTGACCAGTTTTAAGTGCTTGACATTTCGGCCTACCTTCCAGACGCTCTACTCCCATCCTATCATAGTTTCCGCGACTCGCTCCTCTCGGCTCTATCAGTTTTCGGAATCGGGCGCGGAGGCACATTCGACTCGTCTGCTGGTAACTATATCTTATGTGACTGAATGTATGTGCTCATCCCGCCTTAGAATCAAATCGTGCACGTGTAGCCCTTTCGGACGCGGAACACAGCCTCAAGCTGACCCAAGATGAGCAACGAACTGCAAATGAAGACCTCCTGGATCTCTTTGATCCTGAGGGCTTTGGCCCAGAAGGCGAGTGGAAAAAACTTGACGGCATGTGCCTGTCAAAGGATACCGGAGAGTAGGTGTTGTTGCCTCGAACTACTCGGAAGTATACCAACGTTTCGCAGGTACACTTACGAGGTTTGCCTATTTGACGAGGCGAAGCAAATTCCCAATAGCGGTGGTTCTGGCTTCAGTCTGGGGTATGTTCTTTAGGAATAAGTGCTATGAATGTACTTATCTATGTGTCTTCCAGGAAATTTTCGTCCTGGAACAAAGCTGCTGGACCTGGTGAGCTAGAATATTATACCCGACAGCACTACACCCAGGGAGCCAAATGCTGGAACGGCCCCCATCGCAGCGTTGAGGTAAATATTGCATATTCTCTGTTCGCCCCCACAACATTGATATCTGTTCTTATAAGCTCGTTTTCACATGCGGCACTGAAAACACGTTACTGACGGTGGTAGAACTGGAGAAGTGCGAGTACCAAATTACAGGAACAACCCCAGCACTATGTCGCCCACTGGAGGACGAGCACACCAAAGACGAACTGTAGACTTTTTGGCATTAAGTCTAGGTACAGTACCTCTGCATGCATGCAAGTATTTATTACGTGGTCAGGTGAACCTGAAGTTCTACTTCCACCCCCTCGGGGCACGAGTGCTAATCAGGAAACCTACTCCAAATTCGTAAAAATGGCAAGGAATCAGTTCGATGAAAATAACAATGCAATCTGGCTACAATATCTCCACTGTCCTGACGCAGTCTGTCATGTTGCAAATAGAAGCCATGTCTTTAAGCTGTGCAATAATATCGTGATCCGATGCGATTCTCGTGTATTCCCCTCCGCGTTGCTGTGCTAGTAAAATTGCACGAAAAGGTTGTCCAAGGCGAACGATCAATCCCAACGCTGGTAAATGAGGCACGGAAGTTATCGGGCCCCTCTTGCCAGAAAGCCCGTGAAAAGGCTGTCGGAGGCGATCAATCAATCGCAGCGCTCGCGAGTTCGAGTCGGCCAGTACATTCTCCACAGGGGATTCGTGTACCGATATGTGTGCCATGCTCTGGGTATTGCCTGCAAAGTCAGGCAGGTCAAGGAGGTGACGATCCCACGGACGGACAAGGAAGAATGTCTGCCCAGTGGCAATGGCCCGCAAGAACGGAATGAGCTTGTCTTCTGTAGTGATCAACAGGTCGTGAAGCCCATCTGCCTTGACTGCATAGGTAAGGTATGTCTCCCGGTCTTGATCAGGCATCCGTCTCACAGCAGTGACACGGAATGCGATGCAAGGCAGTTGTAATCTGCAGTTCGCAAAACGAGGAATACTAATGATGTTAAGCAGGGTATAAAGCTTGAAAGCTGACTTCACAGTCACGGCATTTCGGAGTGAGGAGATTGATATCTGAATCTCATCTTCGCAAAGAGATGGCAGCATGCATGGCGGAGCCTGGTATGCAGTGATGTCGGCTGGCAGACAGCTATTGAACTCGGATGATTTTCCGACCCAGTCCAGGGCGCTTATGTCACCCGACCGAGCCACGACCTCCTGCAGGAGCCGCCCGAGTGCATTTTGCTTCTTCTCGCCATAAATGGGGGGTAAGTGGACGCCGAAGATGCCGAACAATGAGTATGCAATATCTTCCTGCAATGTGGTGATGCGCCTTGATGCCCATTGGAGTTTCTCTCGGGCATTTTTCATCCCGGGACGGAAGGCGACGAGCGCCCCTGAATTTATCCCCGTCGCATCCGCCAACTCCTGCATGATCACAATGGACTCTTTGTGATTAAAAGATTGGTCGTCAAGATATAGGTTCCAGTCCTTTTGGTAGAAGAGAATGACTTTGAGAGCCAGGAATTCTTGAACCGTCCATCCTCGTGTGATCCAAGCACTCCTAGCCAGTGCGCCAGACTTTGATGAAGGCGGGACATCCGACAGGTAAACGATCGTGAGGGCTGAGTGGCGATACCAGACAAACATAGAGTTAACCGATTCCTGAACCTCAACATTGCTACTCTTGTCGATGCAGCATGTATCGCTCCACGCCCATTGGTACCCCGCATTACGAGCAACTTTGCAGAATGACTGCAACTTCACAATGCCGCCGAAAGGATTCAACTCGTATACGCTCTGGTCCTGGATGTCGTGCAACAAGGGCTCCTTGCGTTCCCACCTATGCGACAGCATGACACAACGGAAGTACGTCATTACCACTTCTTGGATGAGCTCCAATTGGAGGTCTACATGCATTATCGTTGATGACAAAAGCTTCTTGTACACGGTGCTCGTTTTGAAGGCATTTATCTGTGCCTCTCGATCGCACAGGCGCCCAGTGGTGGTATTAATCAGACGCGGCGGTGCATTTTCCATTTGAGCGTCAATGACCTTTTGGATAGCACCTTCTACTCCTGATGGAGACGTATACTGCTCGTGCAGTTCTGGGGAAGAGTTGAGCACATTCCGTATGCATTATTCCGGACTTACTTTGTGCTTGTGCGTCGAGAGCATTGTCCGAGCTGGAGAGTACGGTTCGGAAGGCGATGGCTTCATCATAGCGTTGTGCGCCATGAAGTGCTACATGCTTCAACTTGTATCCGAGGTAGGACGAAGGTTTGAGTTCGATGACCTATGTGTCATGAACATGAGCATTGGCTGGCAAAAATATAGTCCATTGCACCTTCTGCGCATCAAAAAGCGCATCCTCCCATAACATTTTCTCGGAATTCGCCCTACATCGATTTGCAAAGATGATATCGGTTCCAGAATCCAGGTCGATCGCCGCAGAGTACAGCTCGATAGCCCTGTCGTAATCGCTCGCAGCCAGGGCGGCATCCCCGCTCGCAGAGAGGTCAGTAAATCCGTTTGCAGCATAGAGCGCTCTGCAATTTTCCTTGAAAGCTGAGTGAAGTATGGGTGAGGAATATAGCCTGCTGACAACTGAAGACCTACCAGTGGACCACTCAAGGCAGCTGGTTTTCATGGCTTCATCAAGCAAATCCATCATATATCGGTACGACTTGTGTGCTTCTCCAATCCTACCCGCGAGAAGGAGTGCATGGCACCGTTTTTGGTTGGCAGTTTGCCAAACGGACTCGAGGTCCCACCCAAAGAGCTGCACAGTTAGGCATGAAAGGCATTTTCGGCTGCATGAATCAACGTACCACGACAAACTCCTCATATTTGGAATGGTGAGCCGATCCAGGTGAGACAGCGATAATGTTGACAGCAGCAGCGAAATGGTCAGCAGCATCATCGTGACGTGCGCCATCTAAGGCACGCAATCCCAGTTGGAGACGTAGATACGCCTAATTGGTACGAAGTTCAGTGTCGACACGGGAACCTGCGTTGTTCAAAATGCTCACTTCCACAATACGACAGGTGACAGTGTCTGCCTCAGGGCAAACGGAAGCTAGTTCTTTCACGCGGAGCATTGCATGTTCGTGTTGATTTGCATTGAAAAGCATGATGGCCTGAAATGGAGATGAAGCAGGAAATGTATGAGAAAAAATAATGTACCTTAATCAAGAGAAGAATAAGAATGGTCTTTGAATCACTTGTGAACATGAACGCGAGGTCGAAGGCTCTCGTCGCATCCTGCACCTGTTTGTTACCGCAGAGGGCGATGCTCTTTGAGATATAACCCCCCAGGGAGGGCTGAATGTTGATGGACTATGTCACCATGGACGTTAGTATTAGGCAGGGTCTTAATAGGGATCAGTGTACCTTGTGTGCATCTTGAAGTGCATTATCCCAGTCACGTTTTCGCGCCATAACGAACGAGCGATTCGCATACGAGTTGTAGTTGTCGCCATCAGCATCAATCTCTTGTGTTAGCAGCTCTTCAGCAGTAGACAAGTCCCCGATTATGCATGCATCGCGGACTCTTGCGTACATAGGGAAAATCTGAATCAAGCATGCTCACATTGTGTTACGTGAGTCATGGGTACAAACTTGCCTTGGGATCTAGCAAAACATCCACTGGCACCGCCCACTCTGAGACCTTCTTATCAAATCCTCCACTGAGGACGTACTTGCCATCCATGGAGAAGGCGACGGAACACACTGCGTCAGAGTGCTGGAATGAAGCAATAGTTTTTCGATCTGAACGTCGCCAGACACGGACATGGTTGTCATAAGATGCAGAAGAGAGCAAAGTGCCAGTAGAGTTCATGGCAATGACGCCGATCTGGTGAGTATGGCCTGTCCAAGGACCACCAACCTGCTTCCAGGTCAATGTATCCCACTCCCGTATGGTGGGATCGAACCTATTGCCTGCTGAGAGAAGCCGTGCACCATCAGGCATCCATGTGAGTGAGAAATTGTATGCTCCACTGGTCGTAGAGTGAGCCTTGAACTTTGCGACGCAATTCCTCGCGCCTGTATTCCATATCTGTATATCCAGCTTGGTCGCGACGGCAAGCAGTTCACCAGAAGGTGAATACCGGATGCAATAGACTTTTTCACCACAATCAATCGGATTTCCTTGCGGCTGCCATGTTTCTGTGCTCCACAGTCTTATCGTTTTGTCCTTTGAACCGCTGGCTAGCACTGCCCCATCTGGAGACAAATCCAGCGAGCGGATCCTTTCCGAGTGGGCTTTGATGGCTTGAGTGAGAGGTTCGCCAGTGTCGCCGTCCCATGCGATGAACTCTCCATTGATATCACCGCTTGTTATCAATTGCCCATCTCTTGATACTGCCAGCGCCCGCACCCAAGCACCGTGCCCCTCCATTTTCTTCAACAAAACCCCATCCTTCAAGTCCCATATACGAAGCGTCTTGTCCGCTGAGCCCGTGACCATGCGTCGTCTATCAGGGAAGACAGCAACAGCGGACACGGTGTTTTCATGACCTTTAAGCACTCGAACAGGTATGGGTAGGACCATGGGCTGGGCTGCCTCAGCCATTGAGTCACTGCTGCCGAAATTTGATGGTGTTGAGCGCAGTCGAGGTTGATTTGCTTGATCAGACTGTTGCCGTTCTAAGCTGCAGGCGGTGCTGTATTACAGCGGCATTATTGCTACTAGTGTCTCTTTAGACGCCCAAAGCACGGTAACATCACAGGCCCACGAACTTCAAGTTTTGCAGATAAAAAGCTGCGCCCTAGATTGAAGACTCGGTCGCTACCTTATGACTCACCTTTAGTCTCCTGTAGTCATTCCTTGGCTCTCCTTCGAGTTCTGTCTAATTATGACTCCAACAGTAGCCTGGGTCAGTCTGAGCCGTGATCGCCTTCAGTCCTGACTCCTGCTCGTGTATACCGGAGGGCTATGAACTCGGGTTTCACTGCTTGGATCTATCCGCCAGACCAGGGCCATGAATTTGAGGATTACTGGTGTGCACAAGGAGGCATAAGGCAGAATTAGAGCAGACGGAAAAGTGGCTTGCCGATTGGATGCTAGCTCGAAACTGACATAAGATCAAGTAGCCCCTGGGGACCTATTGGCGGTCACGAACGGTCGTTTGTACCGAAGAGCAAGCGTTCAGCCAGTAGAATGCTCCAAAAAGTGTACGTTCGTGCATTTTGTTCGGTAGATGAAGAGCATGTCATAATACGG